GTAGGCAAACGATGAGGATAAGTTATAACCACTTGACGATGTCGAGCAAAAGGTAAATGATGACAATAGGGTCATCCTATTGACATTTCTAAGCGAGTGTTATGCAAGGGCATCGATTTAATATATGTATTACCCTTTGATCATTTTCACTATTGCTTTTTCGTTACTGTCAAGAAATATATAGATAGAAAAACGAAAGTGTGTGTGTAGGCATATGTTTCGGTTCTTCTTCGTTCTCTTCTTTTGTCATTTATACTAGGCAATAGAAGAGAAAAGAGAAGAAAAACGAAAATAATTGAACACTACTATAATGTTACCACACGTCGATTTTCTCCTTCCCGCTCTGTCTTCTTTTTTTCTCCCTCCCTCTCTAGTATTATCATATGAGAAGGAGGAGAGCAGAGAAAGAAAATGATATCAAAATATATTTCGTCACAGCAATGCCAACTAACATCAACAAATAATCATCATCATCATCGTCATAATCAGAGTAACAAGTTTGCAATACACATGACTGCTTCTACAATGCCATCACCTTCTATTTGATATGTTCGAGAACAGACGCAAATAAACCTGAAATCAAAGCGTATAACATGTCAAGTATAACAAAAAAGGCGACAGACGTGTACACATACGTACGTCCTTCTCTTCGTCTTCCTTCCGTCTACCTTCTTCCGTCGAATAGAAGAAAGCGATGGCAATTGCGGTCACCTTCCTTCTTCTACTTCTTCTTCTTCTGCTTGCTTTCACTTTTCTCTTATTTTTTTCAGATATATCACGAACTGATGAATGAAGAAAGCGTCGAAAGCAAGCAAAACGGTGATGTCCGGTGGGATGTTTATGAATAGTGGCAGTAGTAATGAAAGTAACTCCGATGACGAAAGATGTCATTTACCAACTGCTGATTTAATCTATTCGGAAAATGAAAAAGATGACGAAGAACAAACGGTGGTCATACGACGAAACACGAGTAAACTTAAACGACAACGAGCAACAATCTCACTTCAATCACCTTTATCTGTTCGCAATACTCCGTCACTTGAATCTATCGAACATGATTTTTACGATGATGATGATGGTGATGTCATCGTATCTGATCAAATGACAATCAAAAAGAATGATCTTGATAATCATCGGACAAGTTTCAATGAATCTGAACGTACAGACAGTGGGATTGGACGTAATAGTGGTTCAAGTTGGCGATTAAGCAATCTTAGTGAATCATTTCACTATTGTCCATCACAACAACAGCAAGACTCATTGCAAACAAATGATAAACAACAAGGTATTTACATGTCATTCATTTCAAATTCATCTTTTGATTCGAAGGGAAAATACGTTAAGCAGCTTTTCATTCAAATGACATCGATGCATATAATCGCTTCACCTCCGATGAAGGTCACATATCTTCAATAAAAATTTGAATTTATATTTGCGAATAATAGAAGAATCTCCTCAACATTTGTATTTCGTTTTATTTGCTCTTTTTAGATTCCAACTCAGGTAGTGACAACGATGATGTTGATGACGATGACGGTACAACAGCAATTCCGCAATTTAACGCTGCCAGTCATTTGTCTGAAGATTTGGTTGAAACTTTGCGATTGCAAAAAGCAAGGTAAATATATTTGTCTATTTGTTTTCATTTCAAAGTGTTTTATTCGTTGACAGTTGGCTTCATGTTAAACATTGGCTGACCGTTCAACGGCATCGAAAAATTGAACTTGCGTCCAAACGACAATGGAAACGTCTGTGGATTTGTTTAAAGGGAACGAATCTTTACTTCTATCAAGATTGCTCCGATACAAATCCAAAATTTATTCTCAGTGAGTTCTTCAATCTTCAAAATATTTTGTTGACCTTCGAAAAACCCTTTTCTTCTTCTTTCTTGTACAATTGAAATGAATTACAGATGTGTATATATTCTCACTAATCAAGATTCTCAGTTTGTTGCCATAGAACAACTCAGTTTGTGTCATTTGAGTTTGGATCATGGTGAGAATTGTATTTATAAAGAATGAAAGAAAGAGAATGAAATGCAGAATCACTACACATTGAATATGTATACGACAATCCCTAATCATAGATTAAGATATAATCGAATGAATAATTGTAAGAACAAGAGAAAGAGTGAGCGAGAGAGAGAGAAGAAAAGTAGGACAAGATGAAGAATAAACATATCTGTTCTTTATAGACATAGTCGATAGTCTTTGTTATCCATTGCCTGAACATCCAAACAGGCAGCATGTGTTCAGTTTGACAACTCATACTGGTGATACCTATTGTTTACAGGTACAGTTCGAGCTTTTGTTTTTTTCGTGGAACTCATCTCTCGTTTAGACATCAGATCAAGCAGAATTAGATGATTGGATTCGTGATATTCATTGTTCGTGTTTACTGAAAACGAATGAAAATCTGCTACGAAAATTAATCGAAGAATTGGAAGAAAGTGTCGAACGTGAAAACAAAATGCGTAAATTAGGTGAATTACAACTGAAATCATCCGCGAATCAGAAAGTGCGATTACTCATATCCAAACAAATCGATCTCTGGGAAAAGAATCTCGAAGCATATCATGTCGATCTGTTTCGTAATAAATGTTATCTATGCGCATTGACAAACGATCGTGGTTTACCCAATCCAAAAGATTTACTCTCGCAAGCATGTCCAACAACTAAAGCATCGCTGCATAAATTAACTTCCTTTACACCCTGCAGTTTCTACGCGTGTATATCCGCTCGACGACAATTCGATCGACTGAAGCCGAAATACAAATTAGCAAATTCGAGCTTCAGTGCCGATCAACAATCCTCAACGAAATGTTACTTAAGTACACCATCGAGTCCACTGAATTCTGTCCAGCTATCTGAACAAACGATTCTACAACTGGTGACATGTGAATCCGATCCTCAAATGGTTTGTGTATAAAGCAAATAAGCTCCTAAGGTGTTTTCGAGAGAGTTAGTCGACGCCTCCTAGTGCACTAAAGAGTTTCGCTAATCAGTCAATGATCAACAGACGTGCTAATATAACGCAAGAGTGTCTAGGTTGTTGTGTTGTCTATTTGTTGATACTCTATTGACATGTCAAGGTCAAATATTCATAAAGACAATATGGCGATTGAGTCTATAGACAAGCAAGTCATATTTGCTTGTTAAATTTATTTGATAACGAACTTAATGGACAGAATGGCATTTCCTTTGCTTGGATTGTTAGATTCAACGTCGATAGCAATTAGATAGTACGCAGAAAAGAAAAAGAGATTAGTGTAGTATCGGTTACAGTGCATTTTTGACATACTGAAAAGAAACTTGAGCGATAAATGATATGCGATATGCAATGTCGAAGTTGATTTTTAGAGAACAATTGTATCAATCAATGAAACGGCAACTGTGAGTGAACTGTTGAAACGTGTTACGGATAAGTTAGGCTTACAAATCGATGGTCATTTTCTCTATTTCGATTCGAATACTTCACATGCATTCGTTTCGAATATCAATGAAAAACTGAGCAATTTAGTATGTCTTATTTTATCTTTATCTTCTTTGTTCAAATCGATTCTTCTTCCTAGACATATTCTTCAATCGAAATTCGACGTAAAACTGTCTATCAAATAACATTACATCATCCGCTTAATCTCTCAGGGATTGAAATCGTTACTGAATTACATCGCGAATGTTCTCTACAAGTGATTGTATGTAATGTTCAACATGGTAGTAAAAGTGAACAATTAGGAGTGAAGAAGGGTGATGAAATCGTCATTGTAAATAATTTTATCGTACAAGATTTAGATCTTGATACACTTGATCGTTATTTAAATGAAACGCCCATCATCTTGACACTTCGTTCGTCACGATCGACCGACTCATGTCGAGATTCGAATCAATCATTTGATTTGTCTCATGCAATCATACAGAATTTAATATGTCCACCACCACCACGACGTATTGAACGGTTATCTCGACAGGAACTTCGAGAATTAGTCGTGCCGAAACCGGATACAGTATGTTCAACAGAGTCGATGCCATCAGTATCGAAAGATTCCAGTGAAAATGATCCATCGACATCCGCTCTCGAACGTTTACTGAAGAATGTCGAAGAGTTAAGTCGATATTGCCGGCCGACCACAACTTTTTTCAATCCAAATGCCGAACAGATCAATGTGGTTCATCAGCCGGCTCGTGTGAAAGTTCTTTCGAATGCTCAACGAATACGAAAAGTTATATTTGAACTGATTGAAACCGAACGATCGTATGTACAAGTAAGCAGAGGACGTAACGCGTCATATTACGCATGAAAAGGATTACAAAGAATATTTATTTTGAAAAACAAGCCGATATCGTTTGTTGTTCTAGGATATGCAGCGTTTGATAGAAAGATACATTGAACCCTTGCGTGATGATTCGAAACTTTTGCCAGCAGATGCGATCGAATCACTTTACGTCAGTGTCAAATCGATTCATCAGTTACAGCAAACCTTTCTCGAGCGTCTCGAATCGAATATTCCAACAGAGATTCTCGCTTATAATGTCGTGCCTGAATTTCGTGTATGACTTCATCGATTTTCTTCCAAGTTTATTTGAAATTTTCGATTTTGTAGGATATTTTAATATCTATAGCAGATACGTTCCTATCTTATTCTCAATATTTCAAATTATATTCAACCTTTTGTGCAATGCATCTACGTATCAATCGTTTGCTCGATCTCCATCAAAACAATCAACATCTGAAAGAATTTCTCGCAGCAAGAAATCCTCGACATCAACATTCGTCTTCATTTGAATCTTATCTAATCAAACCAGTTCAACGCATCTTAAAATATCCACTACTTTTACAACAAATGCTAATTTATTCCACGACCGACACTCAGACCGACGACAGCAAAGAACTCATCAAACTGAAACAAGCGATTACTATGATGAATGACATCGGAGAATATATGAACGGAATGCAACAATTGTACGAAGATTTCGGACAATCATTTGAACACATAATCAAAACTTATAGTGAAGAACATAACAAAGTAGGACGATCGTGTGTGTGTGTTGCGCTGTTCTTTGTATTGAAATTTTAGACGTTGCAATTGAATTTACCTGATCTGTATGCGTATGGCGAACTGGATTGGATCAATATACATTTGTTTCTTCTTGGAAAGAATCATCAGCGTTTGAAAACACATTGTTTTGTTTTTCGAAATGGTTGTTTACTATTAGTACGTGAACAGACAAATAAAAAGAAACAAGTAATGCGAAATGTTTTGATGGGATTCGAAAACGAACATTTGCTTTTGTTTTCGATAGGATACGTCAACGTTACATAACGGAAACAAGAGTATCTATGATCGATTTATTCGATTTATTCCAATGGAAGAGATCAACGTCGAGTATCTTGATATGAATGATGCGAAAGATAATATTCGTACTTGGCAATTGATTCAAACAAATCCGAAAACTCGCCTGAAAGCGTACTTTCGTTTTGCAAATAAGTAAGTCGATGCTTTCTCATCTCGTCTCACGTCATAGAACGTTATTGATTGAATAGGGATGCTGAAACATTCGTTAAAACAATAAATAGTTGTTTATCTTCCACATCAACTATCGAATGGCGGCAACACGCATCACAACGTTCGCTGGGTAAGAGTCGAAATTCGGAACCAGCATTCTCAGTGGGAACATCCTCTTCATCACAACGCATGTCGTCCAGTCGATCATGTCATGCTCTCCTACCTGGCAATTCTCGATCATTAAATCGTAAATCAAGTCATCGCCGACGAAGCCCATCGCCAATTTGGAAACGTCGGACAACGCCTGTGCGGAAACAAGCAACGACAATGCATAGACGAGAGAAGCCAATAACAAATTCGACTGATTGTTAATAGCAAAGATATGTTTTATGTCGGTTTTCTTTTCGTGTACTATTTTTCTACATCGTATATTTATGTTTTCGTTTTTTTTTTCATCGATTATCTTGGTGCTTTGTATAAAATGATTACTGTAATGAGAAAAAGGAAATCGCGATGCGAATATTGCAATACATTAGGTCTTTTTGATCGAAGGAAGTGTTTTGAAGTGTTGCCATTGCAGTTTCGTTTGAGATATCAAAGGATCATTGTAGATCAGGAACGACGATTCGCGGGATTTCTTAGGAATTTTGAGTTGATGAATTGTTGGATAACGTTGTAAACGTTGTTTGAGTTCGCAGTGCTTTTGGAAGAAGATTTCCTGTTCGTGACGATTCAGAAATGCTTTTGCATTGATTAGTTTCTCACTGAATTTCAGATTTTCCTTTTCAATCCGTTCATATTCAATTTTTCGTCGATCTCGTCGTGATTGTAAATTCCATTGGCGTTGGAATAAATATTCACGATTGTAAGAATAAGACTTCTTATTAGCGGACATTTGAATAAAAGAATTTAGCGCGAAGAAACTGCTGTGTTTACTAGCGACATAACAAAGAAAATTTCTTCTTGCTTTCTGCAAAGAGGACGACGTGAAGCAACCCATAGTTAAATATCGATACAATGTACAGAATGTTTTTCTTTTCATTGTAGACAACAGCATTTCTCTCGATCAACAACACCATGTCACGCGCAGCTGGCACCTTACAAACAACCTATAATGCTAGTAGGAGATCTTCGCTTTCGTGAATGAGAATAATCGAATTTTGCCTTTTCATTAGCTTATTACCCACCATCGTTAATGCCAGGATATCGAGGTAAATTCGAATTTAAGGGTTCACTTGGATTCGAACAGTTCCTTCTAGGTCATGTTCCAACTACTCAATATCAATACGGTGAAACATTTGGTAATGCAACAGCGAAGTATTTTCAAGACTACCGAAGTGAAGCGCTCAACTCATCGAAAAGCCTTTATGCGCGAGGTGAGAAATACTCTCGCCGATATTCGTTCTATATGAAATTTTCTTCTCGACTTCATTTAGGTGGCTATTTTCCAACGCCATACACACACCAACCTGAACTCGTTATGAGCGATCGTCGTCGTAGTCGTGATCAATATCTTTATATTCCGAAATATTCATTGAATAACACAAACGTTGATCGTACAAATGAAATACGCAAATTCTATCAAGTAAATCTTTTGCAATCGATGACCAACAGCAAGTTTTCTTCCGCTTAGCTTTCACAAGAACATCGTGATGCTTACACAGATCGCAGTGGAACATTACACCCTGTTGAACACTTTACTCTACCTGTATCAAATGAAAAAATGTATGAAGCTAATTTACCTTAGTAAGTACAACTTCAATCCCAATCGTATTTATTCTCATTTGAATCTTTTGCAAATGTAAAGTTACTCAATGCTACTTCGACACACTTCTGACATCAACATTCCGGCTGATCGTAACTTTCCACCAGTGAAAGAGGTTGCTAAACAATCAGAATTTCAATTATTTCCTCCAATTAGACAGAGTACAAGTTTGAATTCACTTCAACAACAACAACAACAGCAACCCACCGGAACGAATCCATCGCCAACTGTCGATTATCTTTGTTAAGAATGCTGATAAGCGAGGAAGGAAATACTGACCTAAATTTACTTTCGTTTGTTTTTTTTCGCGCTTGAATTCATTTTTTATCTATGCGTATTTTAATCATATGAGAACGTCGTCTAATTATTTTCTATAATCAATAATTTATTTAATTGCAAAATAAAAATACAAAAATAATTCCGAAGAAATAAAGTTTGAAGTATTTCTTCGGAGGAAAAAACCGTGAATAACGTTTTCGTTTTTTATATTCACTAGAGAAAGAAAGAGAGAAAAGATAATTAATATATTAACATCCATAATTATGATTTATAACATTTTAAAACGAAGGCCATCATTAACGTCGTCGTCTCCTGATAATTTGTTTCCTTCGACGGTACTTGTTGTTGAGAGAGCGTCAATATCCTTGCCTATGACATCGAACATCATAGTTGATGAGATACTCTTCATTGAAGCGGGAGAATCCGGCATCAATTCACGAACGATAATCACTTTGTCTTTGGATTTTGTCAACGATGGCGGGTTACGAGGTGGTTTTTTGGAGTATCCTGCTGCTACTGCTTCTTCCTCTTCCTCTTCTCGTATCGAATTGAATTCACTTGACATTGAACGAGAGCAGTTGTTTTCTTTCGTGAATGTATACGAATAATCGGAAGATGTTCGACCACTTGAGGATAATCCTGAACTTTCGCTACTGGATTTTAAATAGCGATTTCTGTGATAGACAGTTGGTAATTCTTGCGGTTGGTAAGAGTATTGAAGATTAACCTGACGAGCTTCGCCGGTCATTTGAGATAAACTACCTCGTTTAGCTGTCGATGGATATATTGTGGTCTTGTTATATTCTGTAGATAAACCAGATGAGGAATGTGTCGAAGATGTTTGAGATTCTGCGCTTTTGGATTTTGAGGCAGTCTTGTCTGGATTGAATTCTTTCGTTGATTTCGTCGATCGTCGAGGTGAAATACTCTTACTTGTCTTTGGAGCACTTGGGCTTGTTGATGCTTGTGAGTATAATGCAACTGTTGTCGACCGATGTTTACCGTGGGAACCTCGCTTATGCGATCGATGTCGTCGATGAGAACGACCGAAATCATAGTGAAGACCATCGCGATTGTAACACCTGTCGGAAAGAATAAATGAACCAGGTGGAAGGGGTGGAGTTTTCCGTAACCATGGGCGGATCATAACAGGTGCATTGGTATGAGCATAGTGTTGAGCTTGATACTGCTGTGTTTGATCGGGTAGATATTGTGGTACAGTTGGATAACGAAGTAATGGTGTACTACGGCCACAGTTTGGTCGAGCATTTGGATATAAATTGGCGTTGGGAACATTATGGCAAGCAGAACAATGCTGTACCCAACAGTGGCCAGAAACTAATATGCTGAGCGGAGGTGGCGGTGGTGGACATGCACGACATGTACTTGGATAATTGCCATTTGAACTGTCACCTGTCGATGACGAGGGTGATACATTTGAGCTGTAATACGGTGATGTCATTTGTGGTGATGATGACGACGATGATGATGATTGCTGCTGTACTTGTTGATACTGCTGGTACTGTTGCTGATACTGCTGCTGCTGCTGCTGCTGTTGTTGTTGTTGTTGTTGTTGTACATATGGATTGTAGGGTACCGCCTGTGGAAGAGGGTAGGGAATGACAGCAGAACCGACTGGAGCTGGAGCAGAAGCAGGATACGACTGATATCCGTATGCAGATGGTGAACATCCTTGAGCACAAGCTGAAGGTTGAATGTATGGTTGTGAAGCAGATGATAACGCCGAATAAGCCGGATTTGGTTGTATATATGCTTGTAATACAGGAGCTGCTGGAGGCGGTGCGTAGGTCTGCGGTACAGGTACCGACGGTGGTGGTGGTATGTATGCCTGCGGTACAGGTACCGACGGTGGTGGTGGTATGTATGCCTGCGGTGCAGGTGGCAACGAAGGGTAATACTGAGAAGGTGCAGTGGACGATGCAGGTAATGCCATGCAGGATTGTGGAACAGATGATGACGATGAAAAGGAAGGCATAGAATAGGGTAAATTAGTGTGGGATGCAGGTAGAGGTGGTTGGTAAGTAGACATCATTGGTTGCTGTTGTTGTTGTTGATAGCCTTGTGAATAGCTGGGCATCATCAGCTCAGGCGTTTGCCAATTCGAACTGTAGGGTAATACAGCAACAGGATTACTATAACGCTGTAGAACCATTTGCTGTACGGCAGGTGTTAGAGAGAGCGATCCAAGTTGTGGCAATGGTGGCGGTGGTGGATACGAACACAAAGGTTGAGACATACGATTGTAGAGAAAAGGTGGCATAGCCTAAGAAAACAACGTACAAAATCGGATGAGTGATAATTTATACTTACCAAGGGACCTGTGAATGGTTGTTGTGCGAATGATTGCCCCATGGGTATAAAAATGACTCTAACCTTCGGTGGTAAAGTAGTGCCACTGCCGTACCCGAAACTTGATAGATTGTTTAATCCTCCCATACCTGGATTCATTATCATTGGATATGGTACAAATTCTGTTTCCTTCTCGTATTCAAACAATGTACCGCGACCATAAGTTATTGGTGGTGGTGGATTGTAGTACGGTGGTAATGGTCCTGACATATTCTCCAGATTCCAATACTCTCTTTGAACCTTTCCTAATTGTCGTAGATATTGTTGATGACGATATTTGTAATCTAATTCATTGAAAGCTTCTATTAACTGAGCTCCAAAGCTTGGCCGATTAGCTTTGTCATATTGAGACGATGAATACGACGCATCAGGGTTGAACGGCGGTTGATAGAAGGGTTTGTTTGGATAATGCGGCGCAAAAGACGCTTCCGGTCGTCGATATCCATCATTAAACGATCTGTACTGCACCTGATTAGGAACACTAAATTGAAAGGAGGGATATCCTCCATAACCAGGTCGATGGAATGCTGACATTTCTCTTCTATATCTCTTATCTTTTCACGTAATTTTCGATTTTTAGAACATAACCAAGAGACCGAGACACTAAAAAGAAAATCGAATTGTGCACCGCAGTGAAATATTCTTTACATCATTGTGTTATATTAGCCAGCAGATTTTATATGACATTACACGCTCATTTGTATGTTCATGTTAGCCTTGAATATCTGTTTTAGTCAATCAAGCAAGTTATCTGCAACGCTTTTTAAGCAAAACATCCTTCGAGCATTTATCTCACCTATATTTTCTTTTCGTTTATCCTCTGCGTGATCTGCTAAACTGATCTAAAGCAATGGTTTATACTAGTTTCTTCAGGCAGATAGGCGCACGTAAACCGCACAAAAATGCAGAAAGGACGGGACAAAATGCATCAAGAGAAGGACAAAATAACACGTTAAGCGACAGCACTGGACCAATAAACAAGCATAAATGATCGGGAATGATAGTACGTCGGTTATATCAGTGGTAAAAAAACACGATCGACGAAATGAAGAAAGAGAATGACACAAACTATTCATTCGATTGCGGCGTACTGCTTATTCGCGCGCAAACAAGCGTGACAATCAGCAAACCTTTTTCCTTCTCTGTGTGAATGCGGTGAAATTATTGAAAAAACATTCGTCACTCTTCGATAATACATTTCGTAAAACCAATCATTTCCTTACAGCTCATGTAAACATTTCGCGAAATTTTTCGTATTTAAGAGTTTTAATCCGACACAAGGTCATATGATTTAATCAGTTGAAACATTTGATTGTATGTTAAATAGAATTGAATGTGTCGAAAGCCGAAGAATAACAAAAGAACAAAAGAGAGAAGGCAAAGACCTACTGATCTTACATCACACCATCGGCTTTTGACGTGCATTGAGAGAACAAGGGGAAAAAAATAAGAAAATTCGACAGTAGGCATGTTTACAAACGCGTTTGCAAACGTTAAGCTAGCTCGACCTTTGCTATCGTTCAACATAGTTTGTGGTATTAGAATGAAGAGTGAACGGAGGGAATTATGACGATGATATGTGGAACTTTTGTGTTGAACATATAATACCACACATGATCCATTCAATGTCACTTTCGAAACAAAAATCTTGCCTAGTGAATTCTTTTCTTTGGTGTCTTATGCGACAAGTTGAACAGGAGATAAAGTGACTTTTATTAGTTCACGTCGCAATCTGAACAATACACAATCATTTAGAAAATAGACAGAGGAATAGGAAGAAGAGAAGGTAAAAAACGAAAAGAAGAATAGCTGATCTTTTTTCTTTCTTTTTCACATGCATTGTTCATTCTTTCCTCGTTTGTCTCTTGTCAATTCTCCTTCTTCTTATTCTCATCTTTAGTCGTGTATACGTCGGACATTGGATCTCTTTCGCCTCTCTTCACAATTAACATCGAGTGTAAAACAAACAAGTATATATATATATACATAAAGGCACAAAAGTGAATACACGAAAACGAATACGATAAAGGGAAAGGCAGAAAGAGAGAGAGAGAGAAAGAAGAAGAGCATACGCGCGTGCAAAGAGGGAAATTCGAGCAATTGCATCCGCACACACAACAACTTGATTAGACCGCTGTCGCCGGTCGCGTTCGTCATCATCATCATCAATTTCTTTTCTTCTTTTTTTTTTGTACTGAATAAATTGAATATCCTCGAATAATGTTGAATTGGTGGTATTATTCTTCGTATATCATCTTTTTTTATCTTATCACAAGTAAGATGCCTCTGCTTTTTCTGAAAATGAATCAATCACTCTTCTTAGACTTTCTACACGCCCAACACCATTCGATCTATATTCCCAATTATTTACAAGCATTCGATTATCCCAATGCAGATGAAACACCGTTACCATTTCAACAAAATGAACAAGACGACGATCGATATCCTGACGGTTTCGATCCATTTCAATTCGAAGTTTTTCAAGCAAATTCAACGACCGATTCTATAAATAACGAATTCGAGAATGTCACAGCACCTGATTCCACATCGATGAATTCAATGAACACAAACGAATCGACTTCAATCATTGAACAGACCACTCCAATACAAAACAGTACTCAATCAATTTTGTTTATCAATGACACAACTCCATTGAATAATGAAACAACTTATTCAAATGAGCTGACAACATCTCCGCTCACCACGGATACATTCGTGTTTACATCAAATTCTTCGATAGAGAATCAATCCGTACCCATAGATACTCGAATGAATGAAACAACCGAGAATAGTTTCAATGAGAATGTCACGCTTAGCACATTTTTAAAAAACAACACTTATTTGATTTTCAATCTGTTGAATCGAACTCGTTTTCACGGTAAACATTTAGCTCATCATAAATCCTTCGATATTTATAACACGACACCCGAAGAAGCAGCTCGACATTTAACTGATCGAAAAGCAATGCAATCGCTGATACATCTACTTCCACCGAACTTATGGTCCCAAATACAGAAAAACTTTTCGATTATCAATTTTAATAAAACAAAGTATAATCAACCATCACTACCCGACCCTGTTATACTTGCTGAAGCGGCTGCACAAGCAGGTTTGCCTGGCCCAGGGCCCTACCCCATACCGGATCATCTTTGGTATCAGAGTGGAAATTATTTTCGAAATCCAGCTTATTTTATGAATACTATTCCCAAACTTGAATCAACAACAACCACGACATTAACTTGTTTGTTGAAATTGTTTTTTTTTCTCCATAAATCTTATTTCTTTCTCTCTCTCTCTCTTTGAATTCTTTCAGCAACTACGACGAAATCAACATATAAACCAGCTCGATCATCGCCAGCGCATGTTTTCTTTCGATTACCTATCGCTCAACCAGCATACCCAGCTAAGATAGTTACGGTCAAGCCGGCAACGACTCTTTCATCAATTTCTAAACTGAATGAATACCGACCAAGACCTATCATACCTATGAAGCCCATACCACCATCCATAACAACATCGACAACGACGACATCGTCAGCTAAACCAAATATTCAATCTTTACTTGCTCAAATTGGTTTTACGTGCCCGGCAGGTGTAACCGGTATTCGTTTTCCTGATCAACGATTATGCAATATGTATTTTACATGCACACAATCCGGTTTACCTGAGCCATCACTTTGTCCTGAAGGTTACCTTTTCTCCGAAATCTCTCGTGACTGTGAACTTGCTTCACATGTCAATTGTGGATCACGGTTATCAACGATCTTTGACATCAATGACAATCCCAATGGTGACAGTAAAATATTGTTCACCACAACTTCTACCACCACGACCACCACGACCACCACCACTACTACTACAACTACGACGACGACTCGCAGGACAACTACAACTACAACGACTTCTACGACAACTAGAGCTACTACATCTTCAACAAGCACTACTACAGAGAAAATAACAACATCAGCTCGGTTACAACCAAACGTCGTCAATGGTACTCTTGAATGCGTTCTCGGAGCTGATGGTTACTATGAAGATCCACTCTATTGCAATGTTTATCATCACTGTCTAGCTGGTATTGATTATATCGAGCATTGTCCCAATCAACTAGCTTGGAATGAGAAGAAAAAGATGTGTGATTGGTAAGATTTTAGTCCAAAACTCATTCTTTCTCCGTTTCAAACGTATCTTTTCACATATTCAAGGACAACCAATGTGAATTGTTCAGGTAAAACAATGCCTGTGGTTCAAGGTAAAACTTCGTTTTGTACCAATCGACAAGATGGTCGATACGCATCGGAGACATACTGCAATGCATTTCATCACTGCATCGGTGGTACGGACCACATCGTTCGATGTACAGGAGAATTGCAATGGGATGATCACAAGAAAGAATGTGGTTGGGAATCATCTGTTCATTGTGGGACACCGAAGAAGATGTTACCTAATGAAAACAAATTCAACTCAACATTTTGCACAGGAAAAACGGACGGGTAAGAAGGCTCAGGAAGAATGTCAACTTGTTTATTTTGACATTTTCGAAGAGAATGTTAAGGATATTGAGTACTTTTTTTAATCAAATAGATCCTATTCTCACGAAGAGTATTGTAATGTGTATCATGTATGTGAATCAGGCGCGGATAATATGCGTCAATGTCCTCATCAATTATTTTGGGATAATGAACAACAAAAATGTGAATGGTCACATAATGTTCGATGTACCGGTCGTACACTTATCGCATTGTCAATGGAATCGAGCTTGTTTTGCATGGAAAAAACAGATGGGTTTTACATTGATCTGATTTGTATGAAAATTTCACTCGTGCCTTTTCTTTTCATGTGCATTTTGATTTCAATGTAGATTGCAATGTGTATCATCAGTGTATGGCTGATATTGATGTGAAACTACGTTGCCCGGAACGACTGGTATTTAATGAAACATTGAAGCGATGTGATTGGCCAGAATCAACTATTTGCAAAGGTGGAAATATTCTACTAGAAGGCGAAGATTCGAATGAATTTTGTTCTGACAAAGTAAGAGAAGTCGAAATTTTCAATCCAATTATGCAACTATTTTGACGTTCCTTTCAGCCCAATGGGAACTTTGCTCACGAACAATATTGTAATCGTTATTACATATGTCAAAATGGTAAAGACGTCGTATTTACCTGCCAGAATAACTTACGATACTCAATCGAAAAGAATGAATGCGATTGGGCAGTGAATGTCGATTGCCAAGGCAAACCTGATTATATGTGGGAAGGTATCAAAGAGAACTTCTGTAAACGTCTCGTATGTATTGAAATAATCGAGAAAATTCTCTTTTCGATTTATTTTCTCTTGTGTCGTAGCCGGACGGAAACTATCCCGATATACGTTTTTGTAACATATTCCATCAATGTCAAGCGGCGATGGATTATCCAAAACGATGTCCGAATAGACTGATGTTCAATGATGATACAAAAGAATGCGACTGGGAAGATAAAGTGGATTGTAAAGGTCGAGAAAAACTTATCGGTCAGTTTAGTTTTCATGGTACAAAATATGAATTTGACTTTCTGTTTGTATGTATAGACACCGAAGGTCTTGATGATGAAGTTCGTCCCGGTTCAAATAATACGCGAGGACGCTCGACAAAATTCTGTATGTTGAAACAAAATGGTGACTATGCGGATTCATACTATTGCAATGTTTATCACAATTGTCATGGTGGATTTGATACAATTCAATATTGTACGAGAGGACTAGTGAGTTGAATGTCAAAAGCTTTCAGTCAGATAAACCAAGGATTCGAAATGATTTTTCTTAGGTTTGGCGACAAGATACTCCTTCCAGTGGCCATTGTGATTGGTCGAAGGATCGAGCGCCTGATGGAGCAGATTGCAATGGAAAAGCTCTGTAAGTAAACTGATTGTTTTCAGACCATCGGTTTATCTTATAGCTCATTGTTTCCCGTAGATTCTTTGTCGAGAAATTAGCGGAGACCGATATATTATCAAATCTACGCTCAGAATTTTGTATAAGCAAAGGTGCTGGCCTCTACGAACATCAGCGTTATTGTGATCTCTATCTACAATGCAATGAACAAGGCGTAGGCGTCACGATGGAATGTAGCCGTAAGTTTCTCTATTTCTGACAGGAGACAAGATGATTTCTATTCGAATCGTTCTTGCTTACAGCGGGTTTAGTTTTTAATGAAAAAAAGAAAGAATGTGACTATCAAGGAGATACGAATGACAATGCAAAGGGTACATTATGTTTGACTCCACGAAGTTTTCTACGGTCGAAACCCAAAGTTGATGTGGCTTCGATCTTATTCGAAGGTGTCGACGCTACCGGTCAATTTCCGTAAGTTAGAAACTAAGAAAGAACTCTCCAAAGTTTGATTTTATTCGATTTAGAACACGTTTTGATTGTATCAATAAAGATCAACAAAATATGTTCGCAGACTTAGATTGGTGCAACATTTATCATGTATGTATCGGTAATCGAGATAATATATTTTTATGTCCGCCGGGTACGATATTCAACGATACGAAACAAGGCTGTATGGATCGTTATAATGGCATGAATTGTAACGGTACACGTGCTTACTATAAACCAACAGCAAACCGACAAAAACATATCGATTTATCGTCTATACCAAGAAAAAGGGTCCCCGTAGAGAATCGCCACTTCGCAGATATGAAACGTTTACCAATGAATAATTATCACCGGCGAGTCCCGTACGAATGGAGAAATCCGCAGCGTTCAAGACAGGTATAAGAAGGAAGAAAATATTAGCTTATTTGTTTGATAAATTTCGTATTTTAGTACGATGAGAATGATGACGATGGTTATGTAGATGAATCTTTTCGATGGCGACGACAACATCGAGATTATTAATTCTTACTCAATGAACATCTGACTTACTCTTGTTTCTTTCCCTCACTTTTACTTGTATGATGTAGTTTTTTTCGTCGATTTCATCACCTACACGTGAATAAACCGAAACAGTTTTCTTTACATCTGATAGACGGAAAAAATCCGACCACAAAAGACTCGTTGTTCTTCACGAATAGAATGTGACAAATAATATGTAAATATATAATAAAAATACGATAAAAAAACAACTATTAACAACAATTAGATTTTATATTGCGCAGAAAAAGATGCTTGTATTTCCTTCCAAGTGGCTTTGGAGTATTCAAATCTGATCCTGTCTTTGATATCCCATGTGGGAAAAGTTTCGTTCAAACAAGTTTTTGTAATGCGAAAACTTTTGTTAAAATTTGTTTCGAGAAATTCTGGCTTTTGAATAAATTCAATGTCACCTGGTTGGGCTACTATTTTACCTTGCCTGATTGCTTCTTGATGTCGTTCGTTTGCCATGACATCTCGTCTGCTAACGAATCGCGCAGTTTCATGGAGGATTTTTTGTATTTCGCATCTGAAAAATCAATACGTAGGACAAACGAAGAAAGATCAACTACGTACGAATGGCCATAATAGAGTAGAAAGACGCATAGGATTTGAACAAATATCGACCCCTCGCGCGGATGACGTCTAGATGCTTCAGCTGGACTACAAGAATAAGCTATGAGCATAGACGGGGACAGATCACTTTGCTTCACTTCTTGGCCACTTGAGCAGCGCAAATATTCTGGCCATGATGATAATGATCGACAAGCTTGAATAAAAAATAGACGTGGTTTTCCAGCCCAAATTGTCGTCGGTGATGAGTCCGAATACTGCTTGATTATATCTCGGATATTGACGATCTTTTGATCCGTAGTTAAGAATGAATTTAAGAATCTATTAATGATCAAGTATAGGTACCATAGATCGTTGTCTTCTAGTCAAATAGACTTACCCATGTGACATTATGAACATAACGAAACAGTCGCATTGGCCATATTTATCTTTATCATTGAACTGTTCTAGTGACGTGTCCACATCCGCCTTCTTGAAATCATGGGTACATATCATTACTCTGAAACCGGATTTTTTGAAGACGACTCTGATATTTTCCACATCGACATCAGATCCAGTTCGATACTTGGCTGTAATCTCTGCAGACTTCATAAATGATTGAATATTGATGATTACACATAAGCCTTTTTGTGAAGTATTTGATGCTGATGATGACGGCGGCGCTGGTTGCGGTTGTTGAACCACTGGGAGTGGTTTAGATATATTAGGAGATTGCGTGTCAGACACGAGAGCTAGCAGAATTAAACACAATGACAGCAATGAAAAGGAACAAAAGTTAATTTACTTGGAGGTTTTGGTTTTTCCGAAGTAATCGGAAAAATTGTTATTCCTAGCGAAGGATCCTCTTGAATATCGACTGTATTCATCATTTCATCAAGCAATGTACATTCACTTCTATTTTCCGGTATTGGCTTATAAAATTTATCGTAAGTTATTAAAAAGTCTTCATAACGTTTGATAAATGATTGAAAGTTTCGAATAATCAAATCCACAAGGGCGATTTTCTTCGAGAGATAATCACATTGAATTATTGAACAGAAAAAGTTCGAGAAATCCTGAGATGATTTCCTGTAAACATCATATAAGTCACATGCATCACCTGGGAGCTCCATCAAAAACATCAAATCTTTTATGTGAGTATTCAACGATAAACGATCATTGACTTGTGCCAAGAGAAAAGCATAAGCCAAATCCAGTTCATCGCCAAGCGAAAGTTTTCTCTTCGCTTTCAATTGATTTGCCTCGTTACTAATTACATTCTGTTCTAAATATTTCGCTTTGAAATGCAGCATCACTGCCAACTCAATTCGTGTCCACGGAGTATCATTATCATCTTCATTTTCCTGTACTGTTAACAGATTTTCGAATTTTTCTTTCAGATTATTTGTCGCAGATGTTAATTGCACACAACCATCCTGGTGGTGAAAGAAATACACAAGTGTATCGACAGTTGCACTATTGAACGAGCCCAACCGGATTGAACATTGATTAATCGTTTCCTTCGTAATATTCGACATATCTATAAACAATTAGAATTGGCTTTTGTTTGCGTTCTATATTGAATTGAAGATTTTAATGAAGAAAAAAACCGACGAGGGAAAAGAAAAAAGAACTCTGTAAGAGTGCAAGAACTAGAATGAATAACAATCAACGGTCGCCGAAACTACATACATAGTACGCATCGGGAAGATTTGCATGAGAAAAAGGAATACGAAAGAAGAAGGAGAGGAACAAAAAGAAACAACAACAATTAAGTTAAGTGCCGAAAAGAAAAAAACCACACGTGATGAACCATGATACGTTTTGGCAAAGAAATTCAGTTTGAGTCGAACAGAAAACGTGTGGATACATTGAAGACGAGGAGGAGAAAATAGCCAGAAAAACAACAGGTCTAGCTAGTTATGCTTATAAACTATTTGATGTTGTTTTACTCTCGACTAGAATCATCAAAAAGACACGTGAAGAAGAAAAATGCGAATACACCGCAAAGAATCTTTATGTACGAGATAGCACCACGGTTAGCATTCGTCGAACAACTATGGTCGAAGCTGATGGTTTGTTTTCAATATATATAGATATATGTACATTATAGGCATATTGATTTCACCACAGCAAGCAGTACAGTCACATCATCGGGTTTTCCACCTAAATGAGAGAAGCAGATATAATAGTATGCAATGAATCATTTATTCAAATGGGAGGATCTATGGGATTTTTTTCATTTCTTATCGTTTCTTTTTTTTCCCCACATTACCGACTCAATTCTGTTTATTTCAATCGTAAAATGTTTACTAATAAGATATTCTAATTAGTTGTTCGCTTATTTTATCACATTTGTTTCAAATGAAATCTGTCGTTTGACCTTTAAATGTAACCTTCGGAAAACAAGATGGGATTTATCAATTGAAAATCATTTTATGTCGATTATTGTCGTTAAGTAAACGTCTGCAAGAGAAAGAATAAATAATTAAGTGGACTTTCATTTAATTTTCCGACGATCAAAGGAGAAAGAATGTTCTCATCTCGTGAGAAAGCTTTTTTAAAGACATTTCTAAAAACAACCATCCGCTTGTCGACGAAAAACTTCTCGTTGTGTTTGTTTCTCTGTCATTTTTTTTCAACTTATATAAAACAGGTGATATTCGATGTTGTTTTTCAAGCAAAAAGATGATTAATCAATTCATCTATTCTTACCGCATATGTTAATACCCAGTGAACGTTTGGCACTTCGAGCGAAGGGTGAATAGAAGTTCGGATCATGACCATTTTCCAGTGCACGTTTGGCTAAGCGTTGCGCTGTTCGTTGTAGATTATCCAATGTTACTTCCTAGATCAGACAAAAAAAAGCAAATATATAATTCAAATAGTACTAATATATTTCTCTTGTTCTTTTCATAGTCTCAAGGGATTTGCTTCGTTCATTGACTTCCCTTTTTTCCTCTCTATCTCTCTCCTCTTCTTCATCGTCATTTCTCTTCTTCTTCTATATATCCCTTTCTAATCAAATTCTTCTAGTTACAAGCCAAGGATTCGACGACTTCTGTTGCTTGTATATACTCGTTTGTCAGTCAACTGCGAAGAAGACAACAACAAGTTAGTGTATAGAAGAAAAGTCAAGATAACAAGTTTGCTTTCCCTATTCCGTCTTTAATCTCATGGTAAGATTTAGCAATAAAGTGGAGACGATGAGAGTATGTCAGATATTCTATCTCCAGGCTCCTATCGTCGCTTGTATTCTCTTTTAGATATCAAAAAACAACTTAGCAACTTGCCAGCAATTCTCCGACTAAATCCATTATACTGCAACTGTTCTGTTGACACATCGAAGATTCTCAAATATGGCTCTACACATTCCAAAATGGGTACTTGCAGCATGTGTCGGTGCTGCACCAATGCTTGGAATAGTCTTTTTTATTTTATTTTCTTGTACATTACTCGGACTTGTCCAACGATGTAAAATTAGTCTGGCGAAATCTTATGCTCATCGAAGGAAAACAACTAGTTACGATCGATCTTCAATGGACAACGAAGATGACCTCGTAGCTGTTCTATTTAAACCTGTTTCAAATGCAGTTATCGTTTCACCTTTCGACGATATTCCAATGAAAGATATTGACGCTGACTCCTCATCGAAAGCTTATTCCGAACCGAAAGATGGTATTGAAATTTCAATCGATTCCGTCAAAGCTTTTGTTTTCTATCTAGACCTTTCACAATCTTTCAAACTTCGACGAAATCGAAGTGTGGACACATGTCACACAGGCTCGGACTATGATAACGGCTCATCGAGCATATTCAATGACAACGACTATGAACAAGATCGTCTGTCTTTAATTGAAACGTCTTCGCAACGAAGAACATCAACAAAACAAGTCAAATCTCCTGATACGATTATTCATGTTTGACTTACCGTTAGTTTTTTCATTTCTTCGACGATGGCCGCATCAGGTAAATTATCCCATAGACCATCCGTTCCAATAACAATAATATCGTTTTCTTCGACGTTGAATGATGTGACTGAAGCCAAATCCGGACTGAAGAAAAGACAAAACGGAATAGATTTGCTTTTTAATGAACTTATTTTTATAGCAAAAAAAAACAACTAATAAAAAATCAATTTTTCTTTCCTTGAAAAATGCAAAAAAACCGAGACTATATGCTTTTACCGATCATCTTCCGAGTGTACTTTTTTCGAAAAAAGTAAACAATGCATTCGAAACATGCTACTTGACATTCCTACCTGTCAGCAATTAAACGTGGATCGTTGATTGTCGGATGAATAGCTAATTGGAATGGGGAATTGAAGTAATGCTGTTGTTCTTGTGAGCGATGTACAATTAGGTTCCTTCTAATCACGACAAAACCACTATCTCCTAAGTTCGCTGTATGTAAAATCCGTTTTTCATTATGCAAAGCAACGATACATGCAGTACTGCTTCCTATAATTACCATTATAAATAGATAGTTTGCAACAGCAAAGGCTCCAACTTACCAATAATACATTGTTTATCTTCTAATAATTGCTTATAGCCTTTGGATAGTAATTCTTTGAGTGTCGTTGGATTTAAATCTAGAAGTTTGTTATCAATCAATGATTTACAAGCATCCATCAGTGAACTGGAGAATAAAGATGGATCGATTCCATGTTCACGCCAACCGCCAACTCCATCTGCTACACCTACATTGACATGAAAGAGAAAATGTATGTCACTCTCTTTGTTCATCAAAGAAACCAATTTGCTTTGGTAACATACCAAGGAAATCTCCTAGGCGATGTTTAGTGACGAAAAAAGCATCGTCTCCATAGATGTTGGATCGCTGTTCACTGGAAGCGTTTCTTTGTCGTGTCTTCGATCGACATTCATTTTCATCATTATCATGACTTGAATAGCCCGATGATGCAGTGACTAGATGTACAGCACGTCTTATAGCTGACGATGGACATGTTATAGCAAGACGATGAGATGATGGTGTTACATGAGCAGATGACGACGATGACAATCGTATTAGACTATTGAAAAGGATATTTTCAACTTCTGTACCACTGATAGCACGTGCAAATAATCGCGCATAGACAGATAATGATTGCATGATTGTAAACAATTTATCTAAAATATGCAAAAAAAAGAAGAGAGGAATATGTGACTAAAGTCATTCACATATGAAATGTAAATACAAACCTTGAAAGAACTTTGGACATCGGTAATTGATTACCTAAAGAAACGAAATGGACTTTTGTTTTGTTTGAATATGTTTACCCTCATACATTTACTATTAACTTTGTGTGTTTGATCATAGGGACAAAAAGAGGTACTCAGAAATTTCTTCTTTTTTCGCATCTACGAGTCTTTTATATCCTTTCTCACTCTCTCTGCCTTTTATGCGCTTTTTTTCGTTCTCTGCACTTGATTATAAACTGTATGAAGTGCACCAGCAGCATTGCATATCGTTGTGAATTAAAATTTCTCTTTCCCTTGCCTTTTCTCTCTCTCTCTCACACACACTTTTCCCTCGCAGGTCAAATTGATGTCTGCATATTTGTAAGCAATAATGAAAACATGATTTCTAACTGGACTAGTCAGGATGAGAAAAAAAATTGGTTATCAATCAAATGGAATTTACATACACAAGAAGATTGTTATGGGAAAAATCAGCACTACAAATAAATTCGTTTTGTATTTGTGTACGTAGAGTACGCTTGAAAATATGGGTGTATCAGTAGCTAGACGAGGAAAGCCATGACTCGTACGCGAATCATTGATGCGTTGCTCGCATGAAAAAGTAATAAGAAACAGTTGACAATTTCTGTATCTATTTTCATATTATTCTCTCGTCACCTCGAACTTTATCTATATCTCATAAATCAGACCATTCTATAGAGGTGTCAATGAGATGTGAATGCAGATATACTGTCTCAAAAGTAACGAACACCGACTACCAATAAAATCGAGTTTTTCTTTCTCTTCACAGTACGATCACTTGTTAATAAATGCAAACACACACTTCTATGTTATGATTTGACATGGTGGTAGGCACATGCGAGAGAGAACAAGACTGATGTGTAAATAAACACGGATCACTGGCAGATTCTTTCGAGTTACATGTTTAGACATGTCAGTTCATCTCGCGAACAATCATTGGAAACAGCTGTAGATGAGGTGAGACAATGAACAGCATGATTATGTTCGATGACTTCGAACATAGACGAGAAGAAAATCAAAGCTACTCACCCGAAGGTTTAATGATCGACTAGATAATGTAATTTACACAGTATAATAATATCAATGTGCACAAATATTTGAATATAAACAGATCTGAAAAAGAAAAGAATCATTGACTAGTTTCGATTAATTATTTAAATATCAATAAGCAAATGAACTTATTCCGATATCCATTCTTTCATCGCTTGATGAAAAGAAAAGAAGGACAGAGTACAACACTACTGAATTAACGAAACATTTCTCTCACGTGCTTTATCTTGTCATACTTGTATCGTCATATATTTTTTTCTTTCCTTTTTTTATTCTTTTGGTTCTATTCGAAGAAAATAATTACGTCATTAATAGAAAAAGAAAAAGCAAATGGGGGTAGTGAAACTGTACTTATCATTTGACACGCAGCGATGTACTCATATAATAGTGAAAGAAAAACGTGTTGTGTATGGGCGTTTCGTTCTGTCGAAACTAAGTCTCGATGCGATAATAAAGACTCGAATGATGGAAGTAATTGTAATTCATGTTCATGATTAGTATACGTTCAAAAGAATTCCTTTTTTTTCTTCTTTCTTTCACTAACACAATCGAACGACAAGAAGCAATACGTACTATTGAGCAATGAGTGCGAGTAGAAGGTTGTCTGATTTATCGACTCGAGAACGATAGCGAGAGGAGAATAAAAAAAAGCACATCATTTTTCAAACGAGAAAGAAGGAAAGAGACAGGAGGAGAAAAGAACACATGATGGAGCAAAGTACACTTGCGTTCGTCTATAGAATAAAGTTTTGAAGTAAAAAGATCGAGAGAGAGAGAGAGAGAGAGAGAGAGAGAGAGAGAGAGACATCGAACACACGTCCTCCTATGTATCTGATCAGTCGAAAATGAAATGATACGAAACCTTATCGTCTTCAATAAATCACGTCTTAAACGAAAGGAAAAAATATATCACTCTCATCTTGCCGAGCCGTTTTTATTAACCTGTATGTAATAAATAAGCGTTATAACAATCAGAGTTCAGCGTACTCACAGACATGTATACGAAGAAATAAAAATAACGACGAAACAACACTTAGTTAAGCACGGACGCAACAGAGATATCATCTTTCATTTAATTTGATCTGTTCGATCGTGTTTTTCGATCTAGACAAGTTATAAATCAATTTTCTTTTCCTTATCATTTTCATTCTCATCATCCAAGTTGACATCACTCAAATCAATATCTTCAATGATATCCAATTTACCGTCTTCACCATCCCACGGTTTACTATCAACAATAGTTGGTAGTTTACCATCTTCGACACCAGTCAACGGTATGAGCGGACTGGTTAATCGGCCAGCAGACAATTCCTTCAAGAATGTACTGATACCTGCTTGACTAAATGAACCTTTCAAAACGACGTATTTGCCTTTGCGTGCATTGATTGCTACTTGGGCTGGGTAGCCAAACCCACCAATACCAACGCTCTGTTCTAATTTCGATTGAAGTGCACCTTCAACCCATAACCAACCCCAACCATTGCGTTTGTAACTTTCGGCAAAAGATTTCAACATGGTAATGTGTTGGTTTCGACAAGCAGATTGACAATCAAGAATGTGTGGTAAAAATGAAATGATACATAACTGTTTTTCGGCACAATTATCGTCTAGAACCTGTTGACTTGTAATTTCTACGACGTCCGGTGGAGGAATGTTCGCTTGAGCTTTATCCAATGCCCATGCAACGATATCCTAGGAAGTAAAGGTACTCCTAACTGTTGTTCTTCTACAAAGAACTGATGACTTACATCTGACGTGCGACCACCATCATACTCTTCTGCTTGACCATCTTTTCTACCGCCAGGAAAGAATTTAATTGTCGGAAAGCCTTGTACGCCATATCGTTGAGCCAATTGAGTATGAACTGTTGCATCAACAACGCCTAGTTTTACTTTACCTTTGAGTTCTGTTGCTGCACGAGACCATTCAGGTGCCAATTTTTTACAATCTATCGTACACAAAGATGAAGACTCACAAAGATGATTACATATAATTGACACTTACGACCACACCATGGAGCCACTAAAAAAAAGAAAAGAAAACATTATTTCATTGATCAAGTCAACTGATCAAAGAGCTTTTCATTGAAAACAAAAGAGGCGACTGTTTAAAATTCTTCATACAGCTTCCAATCGATTTCTCAAAAAAAGGGACCAAACATCTAACATGTATGTCATTCGCCAATGATAAATTAAAAAGCTTCAACATAGATAGACTATCAGATAAGTCATGTACCTATTTTGTCACACACTGATTGTGTATCATGACCTAACCGAACTCAAAGTTTACCGCTAAGAAAAGGAAACTGATTTTTAACGTTGATAAACACTAATTTGTATTACACACTTGGTTAATTTGCTATTCGATAGGAAATAGTGAAATCAACAAACGATAACTTACTAAATTCAACAAGCCATACATCTTCCGACTCCAGAACTGTTGACTAAAAAAGGAATGATATTGTTAGAGGAGTAATGAAAAGAAAATTTACATCGAAATTGTCTTCAGTTAATTCAATTGTATCTTTGCCTCCAGTACCACTACCACTACTACTTCCACCGCGTTTGCCTAAACGTTCATTTGCAATTGTTCTTAATTGATTGAGAGCTTGTTCTACTATAGCATCTGCAGTACGTCCACCTTGATAATCAGTTGGCGATCGTTTATTGTTACCAAAGATTTTAATCGTTGGAAAACCAGAAACTCCATATTGATGACCAAATGATTTATGTGTGTCAGCATCGATTGCACCAACTTTTACAATACCTTTCAAAGCTGTTGCGACACGCTTCCATTCAGGTGCTAAATTTCGACAATCTATAGAACAAGTAACGAAAAAAAAAACAATCAATAAATGTCAAGGTTAACTCTCATTGACAAGTCAATACATACGTCCACACCACGACGCGTAAAATTCTATAAACCACAAGTCTGAACTTTGTGTTACCAGACGGTCGAAGTTAGATGGATCAAGTTCGATGACATCATCGCTTGAACTGTAAAATCCATTTGTCGAAACAATCAAACAAAGAATGAGACATAGTTGAGATGGATACATTGCTATATTGCTCTAAAAATGTGATGGGAAAAATAGAGAAATGAACGAGAGCAGGAAAACTCACTCTGGAAAAGAGGTAGAGATCTTTTAACCAACATTTTAGTTCCACGATCTCTGTTGTCATCTAGCATTCTTTTTCCAATCATAGTTCAGCGCGTTTGACCGATGTAAATAGACCTATGAAAACTAATTATCAAACCTTTAATGTACATGTTCAGATGCAAAAAAAAATGATTTCTACGTAAATAAATTAGACAATTTTTTTCATGACTCGGAATTTGAGAATTTTTTCTCAAAAAAATACTTGTCGTCAACATTGCATGTGGCGCTCTTTCTGATTGGTCGAAGCAGAAAAGCCAACTCATAGTTATAAATAAACAAAACAAAATAATCAATCAACATAGAGAGAGAGAGAGAAAAAGTCCTGTTCAGAAATAGCAAGATACTATTTGGATTTTCTTTCTTTTAGAACTTCTTTTCTACAAGAAAAATTCAAGAAAAATGAATAAAACACCAATTTTACTTGGTTCTCTTATCTCACGAATTAGCCCAAATCTTCTTCGATATGCTTCATCATCGAGCGCATCATCAACAGGCGTATGTCAACAAACTTGCGTTTTCCTCTCGACTGACTTGTTTCACTTGAATTAAAATAGAGAAAAGTCGCTGTCTTGGGTGCCAGTGGAGGTATTGGTCAACCGCTTTCATTGTTGTTGAAATTGTCACCATTGATCAGTGATTTGTCACTCTATGATATTCAACATACGAAAGGTGTGGGTGCTGATCTTAGCCATATCGAAACGCGTGCAAAAGTCAAGGCTTACGTTGGCAAAGAAGAATTGAGCAATGCTTTGAAAGGCATGGATCTTGTTGTTATTCCTGCTGGTGTACCACGCAAACCCGGTATGAGATTTAGTCGATTTGTCTGATTTGATAACGATTATAATTCGTTTGTTACATTCAGGTATGACACGTGATGATTTATTCAACACTAATGCAACTATTGTTGCTGATCTCGTCTCCGCTTGTGCTAAGAACTGCCCACGAGCTATTATTGCTATCATTGCTAATCCAGTTAATTCAACTGTGGTCATTGCTGCTGAAATCTTGAAAGCTAACAATGTCTACGATGAAAAGAAGGTTATTGGTGTCACAACATTAGATGTTGTTCGTGCTGCAACATTTGTTGCCGAAGCCAAAGGTCTTGATCCAACAAAAGTCAATGTCCCGGTAATTGGTGGTCATTCAGGAAATACCATCATTCCATTACTTTCTCAAGTTTCACCACCGGTGTCATTTTCTCAACAAGAATTAGATAGTCTATCAACTCGTATTCAAAATGCTGGAACAGAAGTTGTCGAGGCTAAAGCTGGTACTGGCAGTGCAACATTATCAATGGCTCACGCTGGTGCTCGATTCTCATTTTCTGTTCTCGAAGCCTTGAGTGGTAAACAAGGTGTTGTTGAATGTGGTTATATTGCATCACACGATGGCGAATTCAGCCATTTCGCTACTCCACTTCTCCTTGGTGTAAGTTGAACTTCGTTCTTCTAGTTTTGTCATCTAGTTTCCTCTTCTTTGTTTTTCTTAGCGCAACGGTGTTGAGAAGAGTATGGGCACGGGTAAATTGAGTGATTATGAAAAGAAATTGCTTGAAAAAGCTAAGAAAGAATTAAACACAAATATTCAAAGCGGTTTGACATTTGCCAAACAATATTTAACAAAATCCAAATAAATGCACCAATAAGTTTTTCAAGAGAAAAGAAGAAACTTTTTCTTTATGTTTTATTTTGCCATTAGAAACCTATTTGATTATTATTATCCGTCTTTCGTCTCTTAGAATGTAGAACAAATAAAGAAAAACAAGATTTTATGACAGTGACATCCTAGGCTCGCTCTTTTCTTTTTCTAGTTTAAGATTAACATCGCTTTCAGCTAAAAACTAGAACTATGGTACGATTAAGCGTTGATCAAATGAGCCGGTACGTCAGTCCAGTGAACCCATCGGCATATCCAACACTCAGTATCGTCTTACTAGGTAAGTTGAATGCAAACAAAAGGATTGCATTGATCCTGTTTTGTCTTTTCAAGGTATTGGATTATTTTTAATGTCATGGTTTTTCGTCTATGAAGTCACAAGTACAAAATACACTCGGGATTGGAAAAAAGAACTTATCATTGCACTGTAAATAGAATTCTGCGTATATAAAAGAAAAATAATCGAGAAACATTTGTTATTTTAGCGTCGCATCGGTTTTTCTTGGCTACGGTGGTTTATTTCTCTTGCTCTGGGTTGGAATCTTTGTTTGAATAACATATAGAAGAATGACTGCTAATTGCAATGTTCATTGTTTTCACTTTTTTTTGTTTTGTTTATTGCATAACTAGATTTATTCAACGTTGTTATAGTTTTGGGCCTTGTTGATGATTATTTGTTATCGTTAAAACTAAGTCTTACTCTTTCTGCTATCGTAAAAAGAACTCGAAACATTTTATCTTCATTTTTAGATTATTTAAAAAACAAACGAACGAATTTCTGTCTTTTTTTATGTATTTATTAAACCAATTGTACATATTTACCATACCGGTAAGTACTTGAACTCCATGCTTGTTTACTCATACTTGTATTTCATTAGTACGCAGAAAAAAAACGGATCAGTTACCTAGGAAGAGAATTAGAAAAACATAACATGCGTTAGTTGTCATGTTAATACAAAGAAACATCTGACAAAACAGTACTTTTCTCCCTTTTACTTGTTCCTATCACGCCGCGGCTACGTGGAAGAAGAATGACTGAGTTTGTATTTACTTATACATCAATCGACATATACCGTGCATGTCTGTTATTGACCTTATCTCAGTCGGGATGACTTGATTTCTGTACCTACGCGTTGATTAACATTTCGAGCGTTTTAGCATGTTGAAATGAGCCAGATTTTATCAAACTTCCGTCGATAGTCGACGGATTTGTTGGTTTGTGATTTATTAAAACGATAAAAATGCAATTAAGAATCGCATGATTAATAAATCCAGAGGATAGCAATAGACAATGCTCTTGAGAACTCTTCAAGAACCTCGATTATAAAGTGAGCACGGCCGTTTATCTTCTCTTCGAAAACTCTCCAACGTCATTTTCTTCTTTCGATGATTATAAACAATCTGAAATACTTCTTTGAGTCAAAGAAAACTATTTGAAATGCGAGTCATCATCACATGATGACGCTTTTCTCTTTCTTTCTTTCTTTCTTTCTTTCTTCTCTTTTGCTCGTTTCGATCTTGGTGTATACACCACCAACTCAGCTGCTATCTAATAATGTTGTCCCTACAATATTGTAAGCATACACGTCAGTCGCACGATATATGGGTTATATTATTGAGCTTGTTGATAATTGCGCGTCTCTCTTTATCAACAAAGATGACAAGCTTTATATAGATATAAACGCGTATAAAATTTAAAATTAGTATTGCATCATTCTTCGTCTCGTTCTTCCCTTTTCGCCTCTCTCTCTCTCTCTCTCTCTCTCTCTATGTGTTTGATTGCATTTATGTGCATGTGTTTCTAGACGACAAGTTATTTTTTAATGAACATATTTAACTGAAAGTGAAAATGCCGGAAACAATCGGTGATTATCAATATAGCAAACGGGACTTGATCGGACATGGTGCTTTTGCTATTGTCTTTCTTGGCCATTCGAAAATCGTACGTTGCATCAGCGGAGGACTTGTTTGTTGTTATGTATTTGTTTTCTTTATTGAAGAGTCCCGACCAACAAGTGGCGATCAAACAGATAACGAAAAAACAATTAGCAAAATCACAAAGTTTACTTGAAAAAGAAATCAAAATTCTCAAAGTAAGATACCAAAGAAATTTTCGTCGGTATTCGAAAAAAATCTTTTTCTCTTCCCAGGAATTAACAAAACTTAAACATGAAAACTTGGTAGCTTTGCTCGATTGTAAAGTAAGATCGAGCTTGTCATTCGAACACATTCTTTCATATCAATACGATTTTATTTCTATCTCAAGGAATCTCCGAACAATGTTTATCTTGTGATGGAAGTCAGTTAATAAATTATGTGTAAATCTAGCAACCAAATGTTTGTGTTTTGTTTAGTACTGCAACGGTGGAGATTTGGCTGATTATCTACAAGCAAGACAAACTCTTAGCGAAGATACCATTGCGATATTTTTCCGACAAATTGGTAAAACGATCAATAGATTTTTTTTTCTAATCAATTGCTAAATCTTGTATTGCTTTCAATTTCAGCTGCGGCTATTCGCGCTTGTCATGATCATAGTGTTGTAAGTACTTGTTGTGTTTTCTTTCCAAACGAATACTTACTTCATCACCAATTTCGATAGGTTCATCGTGATTTAAAACCTCAAAATATTCTTTTATCTCATCCGGACAAGAATAATCCTCGCGTGCAGGATATCATATTGAAAATTGCAGATTTTGGCTTTGCAAGATTTCTCTCCGATGGTGTTATGGCTGGAACACTATGCGGTTCACCAATGTACATGGCACCCGAGGTTATTCGCTCGTTACAATACGATGGCAAAGCTGATCTATGGTCAATTGGTACGATTATGTATCAGTGTTTGACTGGCAAAGCACCGTTTCAAGCTCAGACACCCCAAGCACTTAAACAATATTATGAAAGAAATGTTAATTTAGCACCGTCGTACGTGATCAGGGTTTTTATTGATGAAAATGTCGAAAGAGGATTTATACTTTAGCATACCACCATCGACATCCCCGGAACTGAAGGATTTAATTGTTCGAATATTGAAACGAAATCCAAAGGAACGAATTGATTATGAAGACTTTTTTAATCATCCATTTTTAGCTAAAAGTATGAGTAGAGTAGAAAAAGTTTTGAACGTATTCAGAACCAATGTTCATTCTAGGCCAGCCAATTCCAATATCATCGGGTCGTACACAAACATCTAGTATCAATATTATTAGTTCATCACCACTACGCGAAGGCATTCTATCTCAAGTTCAAGATTTCGTACGTTTGCCTAGTTGAGATATCTTTTACACATTCTTCGTTGTTTAGGACTCTGTTATGCCACGACAATTCAGTCGCCAAATCGACCCAATTCCAGAATATGAACCAGATATTGTACCAAGCACGATACCGAATCCACCGCAAACAGCAGTTAATAATCGACGTTCACCGTCGCCGAATTCTTTGAATAATCTCGGTCCACCGACAAGTACAAGTCGATCATCAATCAAACGTTCAACAAATCCAACTACACCAGTATCAACAAAACAAGATGATTTTGTGCTCATACCAGAACATGTTGCCGTAGATAAAAGTCTTCCATCAGGTAATAGCATTCATGGATGAATTTTTCGCATTTCTATCTTTGATCTTTCAGCGGGTAGTCACACATCATTTGCTCAACTCTCACGAGAGAAACGTCTAACTAAAGATCAGCATCGCACATTATCTGAAGGAATCTTGTAAGTTATATTGTTCTTAGTTGTACAATTCCCTCTTACTTTCCTTTGGAAAGATGCTCGAAAGAATCATCGTCACAACGGCCCGATAATCTTGCCTTAACAGCCATTGAAAATACTGCAACTATCAAAGACACACGTGCTTCCAGTGTTAGTCAACCTATACCAGTTCCCTCACAAATTCATAATTATGAAAAGATGCAAGAATCAAGAGATCGAACAAAAAGTATTGGCGGTATTTCTGCTGGCAGTCCCAATAGCAGTCCGTACGACGGTATGTTAATCTTTATCATAACAAATTGTACTTTGATCTTTGAAATATTTCGATCAGATCGTCGCGCATCATTGGATCGTCTTCGTCAAGCAAGTATTGTGTCATCGAATTCAGATTTAGCTAATTCCATAAGTCCACCGGCTGTCCGATTTACTGCTGAAGGTGCGACGGCGACCGCTAATCCATTCAGTTTAGTAGCGGCAGCACGCCGAACAAGTAGGATTTATCCATGAAGAAAACAGGAGAATGAATTTTTGACTTTTATAGCTACGACACCACCACCATCACGTGCGATTCCATCATCTGCATCGAATTCAAGTCTTGTTCAACAACAAAATTCCAAATTGATCATTGATGTATCTCCACTGAAATCGAGACCGAAACTAACCGACGTCGATAGTAAATATTTCAAAAACTAGTTATCTTGCATATCAATCCCTTTCCTATCTTTGTCGATGTAGATCTTCATGATCGATTTTTCGAACAAGAAAACAATTTGGAGTTCTTCGGAACCAATCCCGATCAACAAACAGTAGCTGGACCACTTCGTCGACGTGTTAGTTCAATGTTCGGCGACACAAAACCCGAAGGTCGTTATTATGAACCACAACAGATTACCGATGATACTTTAATGGATGTAAGTTTTGCCGATCTATTGAAATGAAATTTTGTTCATAACCATATTTTAGAATGAACATCATGATACATTAAATAAACTCGATTTTATTCTTCAATTAGTTGATTATATATTGAACTTGGCTAGTTCACGAACAAGTTTACTTACAGAATCATTAAGTTTAAATAATAAGAACAGTAATAACTCTTCACGACCGAAAATGGATCGTCTTAGTCATGTAGATGATCTATATAAACGTGCTGAACAATTAACACTTTATGTTAAAGCTATGCATTTCCTTAGTTCAGCTATGTGTCTTGCTCGGTAGGTTGAATGTATTGAAAAGAAATCACTCTAAACAGTCTTTTCAGTGATACGTTGAAATCCGGAAGATTGCATCCAACAGCTGGCGTTCGGTAAGACTTCTTCGTCTTGTCTTTTAACATTTTCTACGAATATATTCTTATAGAAATGCTGTTAGTGATCTAAATAATAAATATAAGCATTGTTTGATCATGTGTAAACAACTTAGTACACAGGAAGAATTGTTAACACATGATGAAATGAAGGGTGTGACACTAACAGCGGACAAACTACTTTATTTACATGCAATTGATCTTTGTTTGAACGCCGCCAGTTTAGAATTCTTCGGCAAAGCTCAAGAAGTAAGAAAGTGATTTACGACGAGAAAGACAAAAGTCAAGCTTTGTGTTTGTCTAGTGTATTGGACCATATACTCAAGCCCAAGTCTTGTTTCACAGTTTAAGTCAACAAGCAACCACCGATTGTGATCGATCCATATTACGACAATATCGAGAAGCAGTCGAACGTCGTTTGCATTGTCTTCAAAATCAGGGACTTGTTGTGCTCAACGACCCATCGAGTACATCCTAATATTTTCAATCAAGGCTTTTCTTCTTCTCTGTACATTACTTTTCATCTCTCTAGTCACTTCTGTGTATATTCATCTGTATGTAGATCTGTTATTGTTGTACGCCTTTTAGAAAAAAAAACCAACAGGGAAAAGAAAATACCAAGTGACAAACAACAATGAATGAGAACATGTCTGTTAAAAAACAGTACAGCTATTTGAAATTAAGAAAGAGAAACAGCGAGAAAAAACGTGACTATCTATCTTTATATATATATATAAATTTGTATATATTCATTTAGTCGGTTCAGGAAAGATGAGAATGTAATGTGTAAATAACACCTGAGAAAAGGCAAACTCTTTCTAACAGTTCTTCTCCCTGATTCGATCTAATCTTTTTCTCTCTTTTCAATAATTCTCTCGCTCAGATTTCTTCAATGTATTTCTATTCAGTCTCGTCTATTCTTTACTGTGATTTGTCTATTTCATTTGATCTTTTTTTGCTCTTGTACATTTATTCTGTATATGTATGTCCGTGGCGAATCCAATGTTCTCTTTTCGCTTTCTCATTTCTTTTTTTAAAAAAAGAATCAATTCATGCTGCGTGTATTTGTCTCTACGCTTTTTCTACTTCGTCATCTCTCTCTCTCTCTATCTCTTTTTTGATCACTTGACGATTTCGAACAACATATACATTACTTCAATATATTTGACATTTATCTTTTTTTTCTTCTCTAGATGGAATATGAATGATATACAACTAGATTATGTTAAACCAACGAAAAATATATCCGTTGGTATATATGGATGGCGGAAACGCTGTTTATACTGTCTTTTAATTGTTTTAACCATCATGGTCTTTATAAATGTTTGTTTAACACTATGGTTGTCACTTGTGTTAGGCCTTCATTGGGTAAGACGAGTTCGTTGTTTGTTCGTCAATCGAAATAGTTGTGTTTTCTCAAGGGAAGTGTTGGACCTATCTCAATATTTAAAAACCACGTAGTATTTCGATCACCTGTAGTATTGAAAGATGGCCTGGTGGCCAATCGAATTTTTAGTGGCGATCAGGTACGAACGTATTTGACTGAATTAAATGTATCTATAAGTGATTTATGCCTTTGAATAGTCTTTGAGTATTCAATCAGAAAAAAGTGTGCACATTCAAAGCGGTTCGAAGAATAAAAATTCCGCAATAACAATTGGTAAGCAAAGTCAAATGAGTAGGTTCTATGCACGATGTTTATTGATCGATTTAGACAAACAGGGAATTCACGCGAATTGTGATCAATTTCAAATCAATGATCGAACAGGTTCAAAACTTGTTGCGATTGATTCGTCACAAATCCAAGTTTACACTGATGATCTTTCAATCATCAACGGTATGACGCGTTGGTAATTCGATAGCGAGGCATTAAATCATTCTTAATCTTTTCTTAGAACACAAACGATTGGAACTTCCACATCTAGTAACGAATTCAATCAGTTCAGATAAAAACCTAAGGTTAATTGAAAGATTACTTCGAATTCATGGTCATGTCTTTCATTGCTTTCTAGTCTCTCGGCGGATGAAGGTCGATTGACGCTCTCATCGAACAGTGATATTGATATATCAGCACGGCAAACATTGGATTTTGTTGCGAATGATATTGTCATCAAATCTCATACGGTAAAAGAACAAAAGAGAACGAATTTTGCATTGACTAATTGATCTGTAGATTCGCCTTCAAAATGAACATATCTATTTTGAAAAGTTACGCTTTTTCGATCGTGCTAAAGCACCAATTGTAGCTCGTAGTTCTCAATCGTATTCTGTGTGTATTTGCGAAAATGGTCTGGTATTTGCTGCAATCGATTGTCGTCAACATGCGTTCGATTGTCGCGAGTGATTCAAGCCAAAGAGAAAAAAAGCAGCTTCAACATTTGCACTTCTTTTTCTATGCATTTATCCAGTTTGATGTTGTGTTCTTCATAGAATCTCAGGCAGCAGTTAGATTACATTTACATCCAATTATGAGTCAAGTATTTTCTTTTGCGTGTTTGTTTGTTTTTCTGAATATATTTCTATGTTTGTAATGGGGTATCGTTTTTTTAATAGTTATTAAAAATATACTTATATCAATATTGTAGTATTGATGTTTTGCTTTTTCTGAACTGAAAAAGAAAGAACTTCTCAAACATCTTAGATATAAATGCTTGCGGAGTTGATTGAATTACAAGAATTTGAAGCATCGGAAGATCGTATTTGGTGCGTAGCTTGGAATCCAACAGGAACATTGTATGATCGAATCTTCGTCTGTACAGTACAATCAATGATTTGAACTGTTTTTAGACTTGCATCGTGTGGTTCAGACAAAGTAATCAAACTTTGGGGACGTGAAGGTGATGAGAACTGTTGATTGCTTGTTGCTCTGCTTGATTAGATGTCAATGATTTGAACTTAGCGAAAATCTCTTCTTTATATTCAGGAGAACGAAATTGGGTATGCAAAAGTACCATCACTGATGGTCATACACGATCGATTCGATCCGTTGCTTGGTCATTTTGTGGCAATCGCTTGGCATCGGCAGGTTTCGATGCGAAAGTCTCGGTGTGGGAGAGAGATGGTCAAGATTTTGTCTTACAAACAACATTAGAAGGACACGAGAACGAAGTTAAAGATGTGGCATTCTCTCGTAGCGGACTTTACTTGGCAACATGTGGACGGGATAAAAGCGTTTGGATTTGGGAATGTAAAGATCTTATCTTCCATAATTCAGAATGAGACGAAATTCAATGGATGTTCTAGATAACGAAGAAGAGAATGACTTCGCTTGTGCTGCCGTTTTAACAACACATACACAAGATGTTAAGCATCTCAAATGGCATCCACAGAAAGATGTAAGACATTCAATTCTCTTCCGTTTCTCATCACCAGTCATGCAGGTTTTAGCTTCGTGCAGCTATGACGATACAATCAAAATGTTCGTTGAAGATAACGATGATTGGACTTGTGCAAGCAGTTTAGGTATAGTATTTGTATTCCAAGCAGCAATAGTTCAATCGAATATTTGTAGAATCGCATAAATCAACAGTTTGGTCGTGTGATTTTGATGTCACTGGGAAACGATTAGTGTCTTGTAGTGATGATAAAACTGTGAAAATTTGGCATGCCTATGAAAAAAATAATCGAGAAGGTAAATAAGATTGCACAATTATCATCTGTCTTTTTATCAAAGACTGGTTTAGGTATACGTTCACCGAGTGGAGTCTATCCAGTTTGGAAATGTGTATGTACAATCAGCGGTTATCATACACAAGCGATCTACGATGTAAAATGGTACGTTTTCTCGTTTTGTTTAATCTCCAGTATTCACATTGTCGTTTTTTTAAAAGGTGTTCCTTGACCGGTTTGATTGCCACGGCGTCCGGTGATAACGCAATTCGTATCTTTCGCGAAGAAGAACGACAGCAAATGGATGCTCCTCCAAGTTTTTCATTAGTTGCTTCCAATACACATGCACATCTGCAAGATGTGAATCGTATATCATTCAATCCCAAAGAAGCCGGTCTACTGGCATCGTGTTCAGACGATGGCACGATCAAACTATGGCGAATTGAACAGAGACCTTCTTGAGAAGTAATCAACTTCAAGTTTTTTTTTTCTTTATTTCTTTAAGTTAAGCAATTCTTTCCGTTTTGTTAAAAAATAAAAGAAAAACACACAAACATAAGTATGATTACGTCTGTGTCAATCGATAAAACCATAAAAACATCTAGTTAATATCAACAAGTAACGACGAATCCTTAACATCATCTGTTAAGGCCATGTTTGCACGCTAGAAGAACACCCTCAAGTTTTTCCCATCATTGAAACGTTGTCTTACCTGTGTTTCGTACACTGTTTTCTTCTCCTGTGGCGCTTTAGACGAATGAATACTCAATCGGCCTTTGATTTCTGCCAGCAAATCGGACGCCGAACTGCTAAATGAACTTTGAAAAGATAGAGACACAGATTCGTGCAAAAATAAATGTTTGTTTGTCTAAACATTTACCTCGATGGTTCAGTTTGACTTACATCAGTACGTGAAACATGTGGAGAACCAACGGCATCGAGACCTTCCCGAAGAAGTCGACTATTACGACGATCTATCGGTTTAACTGGACATGGACGTGTAGGAGATGGAAATGGATACAATGACGTTGTGTTGAAAACGTTGTTTGCTTTTCCCGGTTGATTGTTTTTTCGAAATCGATAAAAGCTTGGAAATGGTTGTTTCTTTTCCCTGAGAAACAAAATCAACAAAGATCAGACTATAGTTTTTGGGAATGAAACATTTACTCGCAAGATCTTTTATGTTTTCTGCAATAACTACGACAATAATATGTGAAAACAACAGTCAGTAATAGTGCTAACAGAGCTGCTAAGCCGATCAGAAACCAGTGAAAATAAGTAAATGGAATTTGTTGAACGAATTGTTTTAGTTTATTATCGTATTCTATTGTTGTTGACGAATTGGATTCTATTGGAACGATTGTCGACGATAATGTATCAATAACCGTGGTTAATGTTGGCGAAATTTGCGTCGTATCGGATGATAATAATCGAAATGTCTTCCGATGATGGTAGCTTTCAGGTCTACCAGCATAAAGATCATGATAAGTGAACAAGCCACTGGTCGCCATTAATACATGTTATAATCGTACTGAATGTGAATGTTTATTTCTCTCCACACGAACAGATATGTTCGTCTTCATCCGCCCTGGACGATAGTTTGACAAATTCGAACGTGTTTTCTTTTTCGTTCTTCACAGTCATCGAATAGTCGACATAACTTATCTATCTTCGGGAGTTACATTCGCGGTATTAATACCACAAACAACAACCGATGTATTCGAGTACAATTCAAATGGAAACATTCAGCATGTTACTGAATAAATTTTTATTTCGCTTATGAAAGTAGATGATGATAATAACAGAGTTTACGATACAGTACAAAAGATCCTAAGCAACTGACTTCTCGCGAATTGAACTACTGTTTCGTGAAACGGTTAATTCGTTAGAGTCTTTGGTATGCGATGAACAAGCATCATTCACCGCCTCTTTTTGCTCATGTTCGATTGACTCGAAGTCATCATATTCTTCATCTGCATTATCTACCAAAGCGTCGATATCAAATGCTTCTTTCATTTGCGTGACAAGTTCAGTATGGATGATTTCTTGCGTGCGTTCTGGTGGTTCGGTGAAATAAGTTAGTTTTCCATTTGTCCAATCGGAAAGAACTCTTTGTGCAGCTTTGTGTGTATCGGGCACTCCACCTTTTTTTAAAGCACCAAGTTTCACGGCGAATTTCATAAGAAAGTCATTGGCGTCTGCAAAATCATCTAGATTGTATTGCAACAATATCTAAAAATCATCATAAATATGTTCATTCAATCTCTAAGCGGTTCACAATGATCTACCTGTTCTTTTGTACATCGTTGTAGTAATAGTTCAATGACTGGCAAAGGATCCTCAATTGTTTCGATCTATACAGGAATTCCGACGAACATGCATTTATGTCTTTCTCCAAAATCGCTTACTCGAACACAATTTCTTAGAACTAGTGCCGATGGATTAGCATCTTTCGACATGACAATACCTGGACTGTCGAACAATTTAATTAATTTATCTAATTTAACTGTTTGGATTTGTCTAAAGAGCATTCACCATTGAAAAGATTCATTTTTTCATTACAACAGAATCTCTTACTTTGTCAAACCAGGCATAGAACCTGTTTCACATGCTTGACTACGTTTCAGACTATTAATGACACTACTTTTTCCTACATTAGGATATCCTAAAAAGAGTTACGGTTGAGTTGAGAGACACTAAGAAGTTCTTTACTCACCAACAACTCCAACAGTGACACTCGTTTTAATATCATTTTTTCGACAGTAATTCGACAATAGATTCATTAGTGTCATGGCACCAAAGCATTTATTCGATAATCTCAATCGCTGTTCATCGCAAGCTTTCAATGACGCTTTAACATGTCCCTAAGCAGAACAAAATGGATGGTTTGTCGAAATAAGATTTCACCGTAGTCGATACCAATCGATCACGTTGATTTTGAGTCGATGCACGAAAAGCAACGGTTGGAAATTCATTCCGTAGATATTTCAACCATTGATCAAGATTGTATCGTGGGATCAGGTCTGTTTAAACAGAAGACAAAGTGAGTTCATGATGAAAGTTGTAAAGCAAACCAATTTTGTTCAATAGTAGAATAAGTTTTTTGTTTTTGCCGGATGTTAGAACAGCTTCTTCTACTTGCGGACAGCGACATCCAAGAGGATCACGGGCATCAAGTACTTCAATAATGATATCAGATGCATCAATTACCTTATTGAAAAGCAAGTTCCAAATAAAAGTCTTTGATTTTGATAGATGTTCATACTTTCTTAAATTCACGGTAGAATGTTTTGCGGGATTTTTCATATCCATCGGCAAATTCGCAGGAATTACAATCTTCTTCATTCTAAACTAATGAGATAGGTAAGAACGAAATAGTAAACAAAACATATACCGATGACACTTGTTCCTGTTCATATACATGTTGTCGCCGTTCAATATCGCGCATCATTGCTTCTAAAGTTTTCGGCCGGTCTTCCGGTGGCTAAAACACCAATGGTGTATTAATGAATTCGACATCTGCGGCAACTACAAACCTGTACTTTTGTATTTTTATTCGTTTGCAATGAATCACTCTTGAAAGAGTCTAACTTTGGTCCTTTTATACTGGTTGGATTCTTTTCTAAAGATCGCAAATCAATCTCGACAAAGATGTCTTCATTGTCGCATACACTTACTCTTATTGTCGGAATGTTTTCGTGAATCTTTACTCATTTTGAACTAGAACTGAGGTATGTCGTATCTGAAACACATTCTTCTTGTATTAGATCGTCTTTTTAGAAATGAATATAGAAAGACAAGAAATTGCTGATAGAAATTGAGATATCTCGTCAAGAGTTTATTCTTGTTTATATCGAAAATATATAGAAATCCAACAATCAGTTTGAAATCAATCTCATGCTAGGATGCTTCATAGTTTTCCACTTTCATATCATTGATTCCGAGTAGTTCATCTTGTTCTTCGGAACGTTTGTAATGTTCGACAGTTAGCTGAGGATCAGGTTCCGGCGCACATGTATTTTGTAAATAACAACTACCAGCAGGATCATCCAAAACAACGGTAACAAATTCTTCTCCAGCGAGAATCGCTTTCAGAGTATCGATAAACGATTTCATTCGATTTTTATCGCTTTTTGGATCATGACTATCACCGCCACTAAATGGCATAATGATATTGGCTAATTCGTCTTTTAATGTTGTAAATATGCCTTCGAGCGTAGTGAATTTACCACCAATCGATCGTGAGGATGAAATTTCAAAATCAAGTTCAGGAATGGCGAATGATGATGTTTCGGAAACCAAGATATCGCGACTTAAATCAGTAGCATCGTTCATAGATAAAGTATAACGAACACCTTCAGGTGCAATGCCTGTACCAGATTTCACTTCATTGGATTTATGTCCGCAAGCATCGCATGATGTCGCCATAATAATAACTTCCTTGAAGTATGGAATTTGCGTTACTTTCATGTTCGTATCGCATGGTGAATTACAATACGGACAATTGGTTTGAAATATCAAGATTTCATCAGTTATCGAATCAGCATTTTGCGTTTCGGATTTAGCTTCAGTGCTGCCTGTTTCTGTCGTGCTTTCTTCTTCGTTAATACCCAAGGATTCATTTTGTTTGGCTGTTCGACGATATTTCTTTATGGTCATTTGTTCGTCTCGATATGGTGCTTTGGGGTTTTCGATGCAACTGTTTCCGCTGGGATCATCGATTTCAAAATGGAATGGTTGTGATAAGGTTTTTAATGACTCAACACGTTTGATAAAGTCATCTAATTTCAATTTTTGTTGTTCAAATTCCGAAATACTACTTTGATTATCATCGGTGGAATTTTTCTTGAGATCTTCTAATGATTCTTCGATTTGCTTGATGGTTTTGTTGATATTTTCTACAATTGAATCAAAAAAACCTTCGATAGTTGTCAAAACACCATTGGAGTTGTAAGGTTCTTGTTCAAAATCTAATTCTTTAATACGGATCGTTCCATAACCAGATTTAACGAATTGTCGATTAAGATCACCAGGTTGAGTGACATGCACATTGATGATAATTCCTAATGGTTCGACACTTTGTGCAGGTTGAATGTCATTGTTTTTAAAGTGGCATGAATCGCATTCGAATGAACTGAGAATAACATCTTTGTAGAAAGGTATGCGCGTTAATAATAGACGTGTATGTCCCTTAGCATAGCAATTCATACAAAGTGATTCAATTTCAGTTAATTGATTATCGGCATCATCAGCTGATAAGGCAGCAAAAGCTGGACGAGTTTCGCTTGTCGTCATGTTATTGATCTAGAATATCATTATACAGCGGGCTTTTATGCAGATCAATCAAGGGGAAAATGACAAAAAATTTCAATATTATTCGAGAATCTTGTGAAAGTATCCGTCATGTAATTTCTGCAATTTATTTGACGAATAATGGTAAAAGCCATTCATTTTTGGTAGAAATGAAATATTTGGATGATGAAACAGACCAACCAAATTCATTGATAAAAGGATACAAGAGCGCCATCTGAAGATTGACTATGCTTCGGAAATATATTATTGAGGGTTCTACTGAATCGTGTAGTCATAATCATCATAGCAATAAACTACACACACAGAAATCTTTTCGTGTAGAGTTTACACTTTAGTCTGGAGAGAAGTGCACTGGCAGGAGTGTGATTGATTTGCAAACAAATCCAATTTAAAGATTCGAGTATTAAGTGTGCTCACAGTATTAAACCATATGTCTAATGTGGCAATCAGCTGTTCACACGACTTGTGAAATTTTTCTCAAGATCTCAGACAGCTTTGACGTGTATAGCCATTATACAGTACTAGTTAATGGATAAATTCAAGCATGATTCAGTTCTCTGCAGTCCGTCTAGGTAGCTGTGCGATGCAGTTCATTCCTCTAGCATTTTGACATCATAACTGCTGGAGAAGTTTACAAATAATTACATAACAAGACTAGGTGTCTATACATAAAACACTACGAGAACGAACGTAAATTTCAGTTCATGAAAATAGCTACGTATATTTGCAAGATAAGACATTCGTGAATCTTCCATTTTATCATCTTGATAAATATTATGATAGCATTCTGCCAATCCAGAATAGTCTGTTGTCGTTATCAACGAACTGTTGTAAAACTAAAAAAATGCACTAAAAGAGTTCTAAAAGGATTCTATTCCATAAGTTGACATAACTAAACTATTGAGTAATCGTGATCAAAAATTCAAAGTCGGAGAAATGAAGTACAGCTTCCTTTAACCATCGTAGCATTGTTCGTGAAGTTGCTCGTATTGGATTCTACTGCATCCAGGACTCGTTTTATGCTTATTCACTTTGTATATCATATTACATTTACATTACAGCATCGCATCACCTGCTGTCCCTACCATCGCTTATCTCTATGGCGCTTAAAGACGAAAGAATATTCTAAAGATAACTAAGACGCTCTTTTTTCTCTTCGTATCATGCTATGTAAGTTAAATCACTAATAACTTCTCGAATGATATGGCATATTCGAGTGTTATCTTTGCAAGGTAAGATGACCAGGCGAAACCTATAACGTCCTATATAAAGGCACATAACTTTTACAAGTTTCATTAAGTCGTTTATCGTCGACAAAGCAGAACACCAACAACACAATCAACACCAATAATGAAAGCTTTCATTGCTCTTTGCGTCCTCTTCGTAGGCGCCTACTGTGCACCTATGCTCGATGAACAACTCGGCAACCAATGGACTTTATTCAAACGTGTTCATGAAAAACAATACAACTCAGTCGAAGAAGAAACCGCTCGGTATGTTGTTTCGTCTGAATCCACGGTCTTGATGGAATTATTCTATTGCTTTCCTTTTTCTAGTCGCAACATCTGGGAAGCTAACCTTGCCAAAATCCAAAAACACAACCTCGAAGCTGACATGGGTGTTCACACCTACACCTTAGGAATGAACCGATTCGGTGACATGGTAAGTCGTATATATTCAGTATCTAAATCAATATCGAACTTGATTACGTGCCTATGTATAGACCCATGAAGAATTCAAAAAACAAATGAACGGTTTAAAAATCTCAGCCGACGATAAACAAACCGAATTCGACCGACACACATACTTAGCTCCATCAAACGTTGCTCTTCCAGATGCCGTTGGTATGTCCTTTTGATATGTTTGAGAGACTCTTTCGACGCGTAATTCTCGTCTAGATTGGCGCAAGGAAGGTTATGTAACACCAGTTAAAGATCAAGGTCAATGCGGATCGTGCTGGGCCTTCTCAGCTACCGGTTCACTCGAAGGACAACACTTCGCTAAAACCAAACAACTCGTTTCACTCTCTGAACAAAACTTAGTTGATTGCTCAGGCAAATTCGGTAACATGGGTTGTGATGGTGGTTTAATGGACTCAGCTTTTCAATACATCAAAGCCAACGAAGGTATTGATACCGAATCCAGCTACCCATATGAAGCTCGTGACGGTAAATGCCGATTCAAAAAGGCCAATGTTGGTGCTACTGATACAGTACGTAATGTTTTTCTCGATCGTTAAGAACAAAAGCTTAGATGACGTTGTGATTTTCTTCTAGGGCTTTGTTGACATCAAGAGCAAAAACGAAACTGATCTTCAACTCGCTATTGCTACCCTTGGTCCAATTTCAGTTGCCATCGATGCCTCACAAGATTCATTTCAATTCTACTCATCAGGTGTCTACAACGAACCCGATTGCTCATCAACTGAACTCGATCATGGTGTCTTAGCTGTCGGTTATGACAAAACTGGATCAACCGAATACTACATCGTTAAAAACTCATGGGGTACATCATGGGGTAACAAAGGTTATATCTGGATGTCCCGTAACAAGAAAAACCAATGCGGTATTGCTACCATGGCCAGCTATCCACTTGTTTAAATCGACAAGTAGCACGAGTTAAATAGAACTGTATAGTTTCACTAGTGTTCCAGAAATCATATTATTTTTCCATTTTGTTGATTTTCAATACCATCTGCGAAATAAATTAAAATAATAATTTATATATGCAACAGAAAAAAACCTTTTTTTAACTCATTTATTGAATTGATGTTGACATTTAAATTGAAAAATAATGTAGGGATCAATAATAGGCAAACAAGTAAGAAAATATCATCGATATTCTGCGAAATATAGACACACACTCGTGTTCGACAATCATATAATCAACAAGAGAAAAAAAATAAATGTACGAAATAGTAGAAATTCTATCGATATCAACAATTGCAGAGGTATATACACTGGAAGCAAATGAAACTAATTTTGAACTGCGAGTGGTGCTGACTACAAATAGAAAAGCATTGAAATGAAAAGAGTTTTCTTCGTACATACCGGTAAAGCACCAAGACGATGCCGATGTCGCACTAGAAATGGATTTTCAAGATAAATATTGACACTACTCTGCGGTTTGAGCCCAATCACATCCTGTATACAGAGACACATCCTCAACATCGATCAATACGAAGAAAGATGGGATGTACTTTGTCAGTGCAGTATCGAACACCGATCATGATTTGACCGAATACATGTCCATGTTTTGTGAGAGCACGTTGTGCTTGAAGGCGAGTTTCGAATTTTAGATGAAATATATTCGACTCATCAACAATCTATACAAGAAATGAATTCTTGATTTCACAGGCGAAAATGTGAGAAAATCAATACCACATATTTTTCTATAACTCCGAATTGACTAAACTCATCTATTAATGTCCGAGCATCTGCGTTTGTTCGGTAGCCAAAGACTGTTAGCCATGTTCCATCATTGCCGCTTTCATTTGCAAGGCTAAACATATTGTGCGATAGAAAAAAATAAGAAGCATGAAAAGAAAGAACACTTTCGTACTTTGTTCGTTGAGTTGTTTGAATAAAAGTAAAGTTATTATTGGAATTATTTGTATTGTCAATCGGTTGATCGACTCCAGTTTGATTCATCAATCCAAAGTTATATGACGAACTCGTATTACCAAAGAGAAAGTTCGATGTGATTCGACGAGTGTTTTCCACGTCATCGAATGCATTGATATTTCCAGTACGTGATCCCATTCCAGTTTGTCGAAATAGAATTGATGTTTGAGATTCATCAACTAATTCCGAAAATCAGTTATCAAGTTCGCTGAGAAGAAAATGTTACATACCTGACTGATCATTGTTGTTGTCAACGAGAAAACGCACACGTTTTTGTTGACCTGGAGAGAGAGGACTTGGTGGAGATTTTCTATCGAATATTTAGTTAGGTAAGGATGGAAAAGAACGTCATTCACTCACGCCTCGCCAAATGTACGTTTGCTCATTAACGAGACAAATGGTGAAGACTAAACAGGAAACATTTCGAGTATATATGCATATATTACGAACAAAATTTCATTGTATACCTTCAAACTATCACGAAAGAATGGTGATGATTGCATCTGAAAATAGAAGCGTATTGATGTCTATACTTTCCTGTCTGTTATTAAAAGTAAGAATCGGATCATTTTATCTAAAAGAAAAATAAAAAGGCTGCTCAGCGAGAAAAGTAGAAAATCTCATTCGGAATTTGATATTTTTGTTAATCGTTCATGAAGAGTTTGACAAGAAACGTAAAATCCTCGACCTTTTTTCAATGGTGTGTGTGATTTTCCACAACGAGGACACACTCCATCATATCCCGTTAATGACATATCGCTTTCCATCGCATAGAAATCCTCACCAGCACACGATACTTTGTCTTTGATCAAGCATTTCGAATGGCCAAGTTGAACATAAGTATTTAGCAAAACTCGATCAGTTGTGGTATTACCAGAAGGAATATTTCTTCGCTCTCCAGTTGTTAGCAAGTGTACTTGATTTGTCACTCTTTCAATTTCTCCTTTTAACTGCTCTACTTGATCAAACGACACATCACCTTCATTAGTAAGCTCACCGATTCTCGTCATTAGTTTTGATACTTCTTCATCTTGTTTGCCTAGTTTTCTCTCATACTCTTTAACTTTTTCGTTGTATTTTCGATCGATTTCCTTGTATCTTTCCTCACGCCATATCTTCAGTTCTATCAACGGTCCATTTGCCGCTTCTGTATCACATAAAAGCATTTTCACTAAAATCCAAAAATCAAATAAATTTTAAATGAAATAACAATAGAATATTTTACACTCATTTAGACGGTCACTCAACGGCCCTAATTCATTAAGAACTTGTGTTTGATGTTCGTTGAAATGTTTTGAACAAACATTTTCTTTACAATGATGACACAAACATGCGACGGGCTTTTTGCAGCCGTCGACAGCACATGATGTTTTTGCTGTCATTGACTGTCTACACGGAATCCAGAAGAAAAAACTACGAAAAAGTCAACAATGAATGAACAGTCAAGTTACGGCGTTTTCATTTGTCTCCTAATTCTCCAATAAAAATATATCTTAATTGTTCCACATTAAACGTTGAGATAGAAGATATAATTCAAAAGATTCCTGTTAGTAACAAGAAAATCCTCATTAACTATAAGTAAATATAAGCAATTAATTTACTGTTGTCGCTAGTAGTTCTAAATACCTTATTCTCTTGTATCAAATATGATTTGAATATCAGAACTGTATCGATATGAATTATGAATGAAATTTGGTAAATAAAATCAAAACGTTACTTCAACGTTTGCCCAATGGCAATCGTTTCTTAGTGTACCAGGAGAACATTGATTGAAAACCAAACTTTATTCAGCGTTTTTGTTCATTCAGAAACGATTCTAAATCAGATAGATAGGAAGTTCGCTTTTGTTCCATTGTTGTTATTTGGGCGAATATAAGTGCGTGGAAGCGTCATTGACGGTATGATCATTCATATTCTTCAAATAGTGTTTGTGTTTGAAAACTAGATTAACTATCGTGACAACAACGTCATAATCATTTTCTTTACAAATGATTAAAAACCCACGAAAAAGCTCTATAAGTAACATCATGAAAATAGACATATATTCCGAAGAATATTTCCACCTATCGTTGCATAAACAGCTATGAGTTCTATTTTCTTTGATGGTTTGAATGCAGTTTTAAAAGAAAAATTGTCTTTATTAGAAGTAGGAAAAGAATAACCATGGAGTCCACTTTTTAGAAATTTGTCAACAATTGTTTCGTTGATCGAGGCACGTAATCGAAGTGCTTGTTCAAAATACTTTTCAGCTAGAACAGAATGTATGATCTGATGTATTTGTTGAAAATATTGATAACTTACAGTCACTTATCAATCGTTCAGTGATGAGTTTCTGAACTTTGTTTAGTTCAGAATGGATGAGGGGTAGTTCGCAGAAGAGAAACAGTTCGTATCTAAAGGTAACTTTCAAATAAGAAACATACCACTTAACCATCGACATTTCTTCATCAAAAACGTCGTGATTTTCCAGAAACTCAATGTCAACTAAAACTTCGAAACAAAATCCTTTTCATTTACAGTCAGTCAGTGCTAATTCATTGCTTACTTTCACACAGTTTTTTGTTCGAATAATTCTTTACCGGAATCACCTTTATGAATTAGATCATCCAGTAGCTGAAATGTAATTCATTATTAGTTTAATCAATTGGTGAAACCGGCTATTGCTACCTTGAATTTTTCTGACAATGTCAATCGATCGTTCTCGCTGATGACAACTGCAGTTCACTAGGATGTCTGATAATATTGATGTAACCCTTGAAGTTCGTGTCTATATAACTACGAATAAATTTAAACTCATCAGACGACCAACGAAGAAAAAAATATATTCGAATAGACTTTTGCGTGTACCTAAATGTCGGTGATTCTTACAAGCCATTGTTTTCTAATGATATCCGTCAAATGAGCGATATCATAAGTATGAGGATAGTGAATATCATATTTTACTGAAAGAAGAGAACCGTGTGCGAGAATGCAGTGATTGTAGATGTTATACATGTTATAATAAACAAACTTGCTTCTCTTTCTATTGCAATGAATAGCTATCAATGCCCGATTCTAGGTCATATATTTGAAGTTTAACAAGATGACAACACAAAACAATCGACTAGACAAAATAATACACATTAAAATACGATAAAAATAATACCGACTTGTCTGTATGAGAGATAGTAGAATAAACATGGAATAATAAAAACAAACATGACTTGAGAGATTGCACTGTAAGATTCCATTTTATTTATGGGCCAATGTTTAATAGATCAACATCTTTTCCTGTTTGTTGTTGATTAAAATTGATTATTTGCTGATCATCATTTATCAGATCATTGTCGTTTTCTTCATCATTGCTATTCTCGTCATCGACATCATCGTCATCCTCAGGATTTCCTTTGCCGCGAAGTGTTGGTAGTGACAGGTCAACTTCGATTGGAAAGATGTCGGCTTCTTTCATAACTTCATTACAATCTTTATGATACTTATCCAATGCGGTTATGAAACGATGTAATTGAAAAACGATATCTTGAACTGCAAAACAAGAAGATCAAGATGTAAGATAAGAAAGTGAAATTTGTTCGAAGAAAACGAACCGTGTTTCTGGTCGAGCAATTCTAATTTGACAAGTACATCAGCACGCATTTTAGCGAAACGTTCACGAGCTAATTGTCGACATCGGAGAATCAATCTAAAGACAAAGTCCAGTTTGCAATGCGAAATCTTATGTTAACCGTTCTATACCGATATTCATAATTGCCTGTTTCTACGCGATAGAGCGGTTCTTGGAGCGCAGCATAACTACATTCTTCGTCATCCATTTCTTTCACTTTCAAACAATAAGACTAAAGAAAAATCAATCGGAGCTTTCTGTTATATGAATCCGGAAAATCTTACTAAATATTCAAATTTGGCATCGGCATATTTTTCAATCGTTAATTTGGTATCTGGAATAGCTTTTGTCAAATAAGTATTCAGATCAGCAATCATCTGGAATGAGAGAAAGATTTTCGCTACATATTAACAATTTTCATCAGCGTACAGGCTTAACAGTGCGAAGTAACGTTATTGCATGACGATCGATTTGTCGATGAGCTTCACCAAATTTTGTGAAGGCTTCCGATGCTTTGAATTGTGGCTCACGTGCACCAATGTTAGCAAATGCATCACCAAAACCACGATGTGTATGTGCTAATTCAAAAATTGCTTTGAGAACAGCACGTGTATGTTCTATAAGACCACGATATAATTCTGATGTTCGTTCAAGTTCATCCAATTTTTTAATAAGGCCATCTACAAAATACAAATTCTTGTGTCGAAACTGGCAGACAGTTTTCGGTTCGTTTACCATTGCAGAGAATAGCCCGACTAAGACCAAGTGCATCAGCTGTTGTTGAACTCATCCCTTCCACGATACGATGCTTCATTTTTTTCAAAACTAATGTTAAAGTGGCAAGAAATGACGGAGAAACTGAAGAATTGTGTGCACAAACCTATATCCAATGTTTTGCCTTCTTTTGGTTGTGCATGCAACTTATTATAGTGTATCGCTACTTCTGACTACAAAAATCTCAAGTGAAAGCATGGAAGAGATGAAAAGAGATAATTTACTTTAGAAGCTTGAATGAGTTTTGCTACTTCTACTTTCGTTCGGCCTTTAACCGATTTTCCGTTAACAGACACAATTTCATCGCCTATACAAGAAGAGAATCGTTTGCGAATCCACGAAGAAATGTGATAATTCTTACCAGCTGCTAAAGAACCGTCTCTCGATGCAGCTGTATTATCAAATATTTGAACAATGTATAAACATGGACAAAGTGGTGCACCACCACCAATACTAATACCAACTAGATTTTGAGTATCCTTTTTCAATGTACATGTTCCCGATGTTAAAGTCATTCCGCTAGAATGAAAAGCATAGTTGAAATAAATGCAATACTTAGATTTTCTTCGATACATACAGCGTGTCTTCTTCTAGATCTCCGTACTCCATTTCACTTTCTTTTTTATTCAGAACTTTTCAAACAATCAGATCTTCACAAAGTCAATGGAATTGGAATATAGGAATGCATCATGAAGAAACGAAGGAAAGTAAATAACTGTCTGTCATCGAATAGAATTAAGTTCCAGATTGGATGGATGGAAAGATCTGACGAAAGGTGTCGCTAAAAGCTATTCTCTTATTCTTGCGTTTAGATATTTAACAGATAATACGAGACAAGTGTTTTGTACAGATTCCATTACCAATCTATTGAACTAAATCTTGGACAGTTTGTGTGCGCTCATGTCGTTGTTAGCTATGGTTTGAACGACTCATCTTGCTGTAGCGTCAATCTAAGCAGCGATATTGTTTCGAAAAATATGTAAAAAGAAAGGATAACAGTTTTTTGCTATGATGAAAATATACATTCAGTGTTTGAAAGATGGTCTGGCTTATGACAACAACAAATAGATTGTCTATCGACTTTACTAGCACCATAGTCTGGATCATTACGGCTCGGTTAGTTCTGACCAGAATCGGCAAAACCTGTACAGGAACCAACCCGGATTTAAAGGAACCCAGTCGCCGGAATGATCGACCTCGAAACCTACCTCTTCTAAGATGAACCACAAAAGATAACGCTAAGTGACGAATAATGCATCGATCTTGTACAGTATGGCTAATAAGAATAAATTCTTTCCATTACTTTTCTTTTTCATTAGTGAATTCTTATTTTCGATATAAACATGGAAAGAATCTATTACTTTAGAAGAAATAAAGTTCAATGAAATCAACCCTCGGTATTTCGATATATGCCCTTTTCCGCCTGAAAACAAGCATCTCATAACATACCTTGCAGAGAGAGAGAGAGAGAGAGAGAGAGAAGAGAAAATGATTTTCCGGCAATAATAAGTCTTTTTGTGAACTTCTTTTCCCGATAGATCTAATATATTTTTGAAGAAATTTTGTATCTTACTTGTGTACCCAATTTGGAGGAAAGCTGTACCTCTCGTGCACTCCATTTCTCATCTCTGATACCCCATTTGAGATCTGAACAGTTGGTAACCCTGCTGTCGACCGCATTTTGAGAATATAGCTACATTATGAACAGTGAGTATTGGACTGGTGTACTTATTGCCTTTCATGTGTGCATTTAACGAAAAGCAGAGGCACAAATAAATCGAACTGAGAGCAGAGCCACTCTTTAAAAAAAAAGAAAGTTAAAAGAGCTCGAATATTGATGTTTCCTAACCGGATTAAAATAGATATAGCCGTAGGGTATCTCGTTTTGTTCGGCAATACGTTTGAGATAAATGATAGTGTCGACTTGCTTTTTTACTGACAAAATCCATTTGAACGAGAATGTTCAGGATTGTTAGACACCGCTATTGTTTCGATTATGATCGAAACTAAGGTGCAAATAGCTACAAAACTCACAAAGATAAACACAAACATGTCCGTAAGAGAGAGAGAGAGAGTGAGAGAAAAAACTAGGGTGTAGTAGAATCAACTTTCCGATCATCTCGTTCTCCCATGTCCGGTTTTGATTCTCACTGTAGCTACTGTAGCCAAACATTTCATGGTACATCTTTATACTCAAAAAAAGGGAATCGGAAATTATATTAAGATGCTTTCAGTATTTGTTATTGATACTAAACTTTGAAAGGTGCTCCAGAAGACACGAAAAGAGCAGGACGGAGACGATTCTCCGAAACAATATACCGGAATTGTAAGTCTTTGTGTATGAAGAATTCAGTTGATATTAGTTATTTTATACAGAGAAATACTCATGTTAAGTTTTCTTTAAATAGGACTGGTTAGTTTTTCTAACTTTCTGTGACGAAATATTACCAATGAGTTTATCTTCAAAAAAGAACAGAACTGTTGATCGCTAATCGAGATTTTTCTGTAAATCATTTTGCTATGGCAACAATAAAAAAACAGCTCATTGTACGATTTCACTTCGTTTTAAGTGTATGTTATGACTAAGTAATGTTATTACGAAAGTGGTAACTCAGAAGATTCGGTGAGTAAGCACTTTATCGTATCCTATCTCACGAAGACTTTCTAAACGTAACTTTTTTGCTTCATGGAAAGAAATTGATAGTGTGGACAAGTACAAATACGGATAGAATGCAAATGTTGGTATTGTTGTGTGAGACGAGCAATGCCGCATCAATATTCGTTCTTTAGATGCTTTTTACTATCGTTATTATTGATGTCAAATGTTCATTTTCCTTCGTCAGAAATGAAATAATTGTACATATTAACGTGTAGGATATCTTCGACGCGGATCCGTTTGAATACACGCATCAAGCCGAATTTAATGAGATTCATCATTCATTAGGGAATATTCTTACCTTTCCATATCCAACTTCTTTAAAGTATATTTATTTGCTATGTAATATATAGATGTACGACAGTTAAACAGAAAAATTAGATACGACTGTACAAGCATCTCTACCCGAATCTGTTCAATAGACAATGATTCGATCGAAGTCAGGTGTATAATCATATGTATTATAAATACGGATAGAATTCATTCCTAAGCAAAGATTCAATGTGACCGGCAGTGAAGCGATATCTTTATTTGTGGGCATGGCTGGAAACGCAATCATCGTTGCTGGTAACATTTCATTGACAATCATTCCAGCTGATCGCACTCGATCGGTTGTATAATAGAAAATAATAACAACTGGTCCACTGTAGTGGCTAACAATTTGCTGAAAGATAAGTTCATTTTTAAAACCGATATGACTAACTTTCAGTTGGTTGGAACAAACCAAACATGATTCGATTGTTGTTAAGATAAATGTATTCAAGAGTGATTCAGCTTCATAAGTTCTAGCCATAATAACAGTTGAGTTGAGAATTATTGGAGGTGAAACTGTCGGACATGGATTTGGTGTAGCTGATAAAGAAGAATCTAAGGATCGGGTAAGAAATTCATTAATGAGTAAAGATCTGAAATGACTCATTACTTGAAACTATTGTATTTTTTGACAATTTAGCATCGGTAGTAAATAATTGTTGGACTAGAAGAAGGATTTCGGAGTCAACTGAAATGAAAATGTTTTGTTTTTCCATAACTTCTTACATTTATCCAGTGGTATCTCCAAACTATGAAATGTTTGAGCAAAGATTGATTCTCTTATATCATTTTGACATTGTTTAGCACATTCAAGTGCGTAGCGCAGCCTCATCGAGATGATTAGTTGTGTCGTAGCATTCTTCTGTGTGTTATGATCAGGTTGACTGATGATGATAATCGTATTGTTATTGTTGTCGAGGGTAACCGGAGACACAAACTTAACAAAACACAAAAAAAATCCGAATTGACATTGTCGAGTTCGTTTTTACCACTTTCGTTGTTGATGGTGAATTTTCACGAGTTATATAAGCGTCTAAAATGACCAAACTTGTTCTTTTTGTCACTCTCTTCAGATTGAGTTGATCTTGTAACTAAACAAAACAATCAAAACATATTATCATAACTTTCAAACGAGAATAGAGACCAGGTTTTGAAGAATCATCAACTTGTCTGAGTCTAAATCATTGATTTCATATGTCCAATTCATTGGTGAAATCGTGTCTCGATCGGGAAGATTATAAACAAGCTTAAGGACATCACTACGAACTAAATTAAGTTGAGAGAAAAAAGGAAGCTGACTTGAAATCATCCGACTACGTCTTTTTACTTTGATATTTTGTTTGGTCGCCTTTAGCTGTGGTAAATATTGGTAGAAATGTAAAGACAATCAATGCAGCAACGATGACTAAAATCGCAAATCCACTACAAGCAGTTAGAAAAATCATTGGATTCAATCGACGGATACTAAATAGAAGAATAGAGAACGGAATAACTCTGCGAAAGTAGACAGATGCAATATAGTTTACAATCCGCGATTGACTAGTGATCCATTGGCTGTATATTCAGCAGATATATCAGCATTTGTAGGCGTGACTTTGGCTGTACGAGAGAAATTCCTCATTGAGAACTAGGGAGTCTAGGAAAAGCAAGTAGTAGAAAGAAAATGTCTTAAAAGTAAAACCTTCTAAGACTAAGACTCGCTTTTATCTCTTTTGAACAATATTTCTGATATTTCAGTAACATTTATCTCTTATTTCTTTCCATGTTTAAGTAACACGCAACACCGCATATAGTTCAGACAATCAGAAACTTGAAACTACTTCGTTTCGTTTACATATAGGATTATTATTCAGCTAAAAAATTCTTTTATACTCTATTACTCATCATAACCGGCATATCACAAATACCACTCAAAATAAGACTGCAAAAGGAGAAAATATCGATTTTCTTTCCATTTCTGATAGTAGCAAATCTGTCTGGCTCGACTACTGATCACAAGATTTGAAATAAAACAGATTATTTCTGTGAGATCTTAATAGTTGCATGTTCATGAAATTCATTCTTAGAACGTCAAATATAACATAAACAATTCAAATTTCCCGTGAGAAAAATATTCCGGACGAACCAAAAGAACTCGCTCACTGTTCACAGCAATATGCACTTCACTTTCATTATTGTTTATTATCACATACAAGGAAAAATCATTGGAAGATTGTCTTAAGCGTGAAGAAATATTACAATACAAAAAACACTGGTACCGACAAATCAATGGAAGTTTTGTTTAACAATTTAGCGACGTTTTACTTGTCAATTACAAAAAGTAGAAATCCTATTGCCGTTAAGAAGAAACTGATACATTAAATGATCAGTTATCTAGATAGATTAATTCAATCACATGAACTGGCGTGACTACGTCTACGATGTATTCGATGATGATGAGTTCCATTCATTGCGGGCGGTGGTGAGTTACAATCACGGTTACTCGCTTGTTCGTACGAATCTGTATGGACGTATAGAGGTATTTTAGGATTCATTAACGTATTGAGAAGAATAAGAAATGCACGAGATGGTAGTAGACCTTTTACAAATGGAACCAAGTATAAGAAGCGTGGAACACAAACAAATTTTCGATTAATCTAAAGAAAGAAGAGAGATTCTTAACGGATAGGTAAAGAGATATGATTACGAACTAAAATTGCATGCATGATCTTCTTCGCTGCATAATCAACTGTTAAAGGCGATACAACTGGATTGAAGTGTGTTTTCGCCTGTTGATAAAGATGTGTCATCAAGTAATGTGATACTACTGAAGTTGTATAAATACCATCGTAACGGTCTGAAGAGTACATAAAATGTGAGTTTTATTTATATCAACTGAAGATTATTACTCTTACCTAAAGTTAATTCGTGATCTACACTTTCCATCAAACCACCGAGACCGAATTTTGCTGTGCAAATGTCGGAAAAATTTCCGAGACCAAAAATAGCTGTCGGACCAAGTACGGTTATAATATGTCCATGATTATGTCTCATCATTGACGGAAGTACTCGACGAATTATCTGAATTATATCAGGAAATGAATTTTCATACGCTATCATTTTATTAATGTCCATTAATTCCTTACCCAATAAGCAGCGAATAAGTCGACATCTAAGCATCGTGAGAATTCTTCTTCACTCATATCCACAATTGATTTCGAGGATAAAATTGCAGCTGTAAATCAAGAAACTCTTCAACGGATAAACATGTCTTCAAAGCAAAACTTGCCATTATTTACTAAGATCGTTACATCACCGACATCTCGTTGTATTTTTTCAATTAGTTCATGTACTTCGTCTTGATGTCCAATGTCACATGTATAAGCAAACACACGTTTTTCGTGAATCGATGTGACTGGTACTTCTTTAGCGATGAGTTCAGCTGTTTGTGTATTGCCATTTTCATCGATATCACATAGAACAACAATAGCACCTTGTTTAGCAAATAACAGCGCTAATTGTTGCCCTAAACCTCTTCCTGAACCAGTGATAAGTACAATTTCATTGCGAACATTTTTTTCTGTCGTTGAGAAAAGATAATGGCTGATCGTTTGTAAAATCACATGTAGTATATCAAGGAATGCACTGAGATAATATTTGACACTTTTCACGTACGAGAACATTTGCTTATCGAGAAGAATATCTAAAAGTTAAATATTGATATTAGTAATATTCATGAGTAATAATTCTTTCCTGACAAAGACACAAAAAGGGTAACTATCACAGAATAAACACGCACGAAAAAAAAAAGGAAAGAAATCAGTTATCAATGTTCATTAGTCCAGCACCGATGAACGACAAAGTGGACAAGTCGTATGTTCACCATTCGATAACCAATCGAATAGACATTTTCGATGAAAATGGTGAAGACATGGTAATGTACATATATACACATGATTGATATACTTTTCCAAACAGATTGAACATTGATAGATTTCACTACTGTTCAGTTTCTCGCTAGGTGAATTCCATGAATTGTTATTTTCATCTGATTCACTTGTATAACAGTTCTCTTGTTGAGTCAACAATATCCTTCGATATCCAAACGATCTCTTTATTGGACAAGTTTGTTCGTTGTTATGATTAGCTTGTTCTAATTCCATATCGGAATAGTATTCACTAGCACCATGAGTTGTCTTACGCTTCCGAATGGTAAAACGCCAAGTAGGAAGACGCGTTAGATCAATGCCGGAACGAACTGTTGCTGTTCCGTTCGAATTCATTGTCAATAACGAATGTTGATCCAACCATAAACTATCCTGAGAAAAATATCGCAAAAGCGTCGTATTTCCATGATCAGTTGGCCCGTGATCAGAGAATAACAAACACAAAACGTATTGCCAAACTTTGGAACACAGTGCATGGGTTTGATCGATCATAATAACATCATTAGGTAACTAAAAAGTCGAAAAGTCAATCGCTGGAGAAAGATTTTTTCAATCAAAGCTTACGTCAGCTGTCATTCTTCCAAATTTTTCCTTCAAATACCATCGAAAGCACAAGCCAATACTGATGTGTAATGAAATCAATATTGGATATAGGATCCATTTGGACATAGTGGAATAAATAAGTAAATCATTTCGAATAAACATTAAAAATGTTGATTGGTGAGAATATTTTATGAAATGAAAAGCGACGATTTGTAAGTATTGATCGATTCGATCGGTGGACAGACAAATCAGGCATAATGACCAAAAGAAACCTGATATAACGTTGATCATGAAGATTTTCTTCATCAAACTCATCGATTGTACCAAATAGATATCATAAAGAAAATAAATATTTAAAATCAAATAGTAAACATAGATTAATGTTTGGAAATTGATTGTTAAATACGATAGAAATGTGTTCAAAGAACGATATGAATGTAATTCATGAAAATTATGAATCTTAGTCAAATCATTGTAAACATAAGTATGAAGAGATGAATTGTGTAGTGAGAATCGTATTTGTAATGGCTGATATTCATGAAAGTGCAAATAAAAATTTATATTTGAATGGTAACGATACAATAGTGTGAAATAGTAGATTGGGATGGTTGATGAATAGAATTGATTATTCATTCGTAGTTCGATTGACGAACGTTTCTCTCGAGAGACTTCATACCAATCGAAATCTTTCTTCAAATGATTATCCAATGTTTTACTTAACCATCGTAGTATGTATTGGTAGTCATAATGTTTGATGGAATAGATTTCGTACGAATAGATCTTCGGCAACCGTCGGTTTATTGATGGAAGAAGCAAAACAAATCGTTCGTTTGTTAAAGTTCGACACAAATTTGAATATTCGTTATTTGAACAATTTACAATTCCTGCTTGAATGTTGTTTATCGCTAAACGACGCTCGATTGTTCGCCATTTGTCAAAAGGAAGGTGAACCAACGATTCTCGAGATCGTTCATTCGGAAGAATGTGAACAAACCTATGAAGACGAAACGATGAAAAATATCGTGACAATCATCGCACTCACCAAATAGTATCTTTACAATCATCGACGAAATCTAATAATTGCTTATATGATGAGAAGAACGTAGTTTGACTTTCATATTCGTCTTCGATCGGTTCGTACAATTCACTTTCGCGAACAGCACCTATGAAACATAGAGAACACATATTTTTCTTCGAACGAAACTGTTCTCAATTGATATTTACCAGTTTGTTCGACCATTTTGATAAGATCATATTTATCATTAATATTTACATAAGTAATACCGCGTAAATTAAGAATATACTGTAATTGTTTAACGTTCAATTGATTAGCCGATATGATATGTTGAGATAGTGAAGTATGTGTCGATAGATGAAAGTAATATTGATAGAAATCATACCAACGATTAATGAGAAAAAATGAAACGAAATAGAAACAAACAAATAAATATCTACTGATCATCTGAAGTAGAAGAAAAAAAACGATTGATTGGTGTTCATTTCGAAGGTAATGACAAAGAATTTTGTTTATTCGATACGTGCGTGGATCTTTCTTTTGACTTCGGTTTATTCGAACCAAAAGAAAGAAGAAAATATACAAATTATCAGAAGTCAGATTCATCATACATCCATGTGCAAAATTATAAGACTAGACAAAGAAAAACACACACACACACACACACGCAAACAAGAGACAAAGAAGAAATGTAGTAGCAAGAATATTTTCACTGTGATCATGCGAAAATGTAAAATGATGATGAGAGGCACTCTGTTGCTCTGGTCTTTTCCAAGATCCATTCTCATTTGAATTAATCAAGACAGTTTCGATACAAATAGTAGATGTTTGCGTTGAATTTGTTGATCAGGTAATATCGACCAACAATCATTATCAATATCGTAGATTTGAATAACCCAATAGGAATCTTTTAAAGATGATCGCTTGTCATTTGATGTTGGGAGAGATTGTTTTTCACTATCAGTCAAATTAGATAGATAAACTAAACCACTGACGATCAGACGACGATCAACCAGAACACATTGGCAATGATTTGTATATGAATAGAGCATTGATTGTTTTAAGAAGATTTCATTACGGACAAGATTGAAACGATAGATTAGTTTCGATTGCCAATAGATCAGATAAAGATCATCTTCATGTGTTACAAGTGAAAATCGGCCGATGTTATTGTTACGTGGCAACATATAGTAACCAGCTGATATTAAACTAGACTCACTGCCAATGGTGTTATCTATGGATGGTGTCTAGAATGGGATACATAATGGTTAACTTACAGATTTAGAAAAGTTTAAACTGTACTCAAATAGTGATAATGTTATCATTAAATAGAGTATAGAAATCTCAAAGTGGAATTATCTCTATCGAAAGCATTTCTGGCGAAGTATATTACGAGCTTTTGTCTATGATTGCTTTTGACGTGTTAAGTTGCACTCACTCGTGAAAGTTGTCCTTTATCTTTGTGAATGATGGATGTGGTCGTTGCTGCTACCACATCGTCACTTGACGCGGTGTGTTTCATCGTTTGTCCATTCGCCAATTCATCTTGTTGCTGCATTCTCAATTTATACGTGTGTAACATTTGTGTATCATTTTTATTCGATAATAAAATTCGTTGTCCCGTAGCAACGATCGGCTCACATTGATAGGATGGTACGCTTTCGCCGAGACACGTCCAAGTCTCGCTAGTTAAATCGAACATGTCCACCGAATGGCAAGGATTCAATGTCGAGGATACATATGACACACCGAAAAATAATAAAACAACATTATGAAATAAAAGACATGTGTGTTGGCCACGCGGACACGGTAAGCGTATTGAAGACATTTGCCATTTCAATGTTGACAATGAACAGATCCAGATTCGATCGCTCAATTCACCCGAACGTAGTTGTCCACCAAATAGATATAAACTTGTGTTCGTCGACACACAAGACACATCGGAGAAGACTTCCGGCAAGCGACCAAGAAACCGCCATCGTTCGCGAAAGAAATCGTACGCATGTAAATGACAGTATGAGGATGATAAACGATAATCCGGCGAAGGTGAACGAAAATGGTGGTGTGAATTCGGCGAATACTCACAATGACTGGAATCTGTACTACTAAAAGATAAACGAATTCATTTGAATATATTTATACTTTATTTTCCAACATACTTCTGATGTGAAATATGATTTGTGGTTCCATCATTCACTTGTAGCTGTGCAGAAAATCTCTGATAGAAGTTCGTTATTGGCTCATCTGTTTCCTTCACCGTCGATTGTTCGTTCTCATTTTCTTCATCGTCAATCTCATCGTCCGACGATGATAATTCGATCACAATTAAATGATATCTGATTTGTGTACTTGGGCTAAATAAATCAAACATAACAATTATCGAAAAACAGAAACAATACTGTTTTCATACCGAATAGGACCGAGTAGATCGGGAATGAAGTTATTTGAATAGAAATCTTTCAGCGTACGTAAACAAGTTGGATATTTTTGTACTAGTTTTTCATTACGCATCGAATTCGTTACAAAATCACTATCACTTATCGAATTTAAGCGTATGAATTTAAACAAACTTTGAAAATATTGTTCACGTTCATTGGGATGATGATTGACCCATTGTACAATCGTCGAAAACACATATTCTTCCTTCGGAATATCTAAATTGTCATCGGAGAGAACTTCCATTAACGTATGTTCATTTAAATGAACAAACAATCGTTTCTCGTATAGACACATAAAATGATCGACAATATATTGTAATGTTGTGCGTCGTAGTGTTTCCAACGAGTACAAAGTGGCTAGTTGTTCAATTTGTATACAATTGTGAATATCGATTTGTAAATAGAGAAATTTAATCAAAAGATCAGTCAATTCTTTGATAGATAACATGACACTTGCATTGAACATTTCGAACAGATTTTCATAGGTGATATCTGTATGGCCAGTGTAGATAAACTCGAGTATGCGTTTCATTGTCCAAGGTGTGATGTCTTGAATGCGAACGTTGCCTTCGGTCGATTCGCGAAAGTTATAGGAAAACATCGCGCGAAAGTATGGCGACGCAGCAGCGAGGATCAAACGATGACAAGCAAACGAAACTCCATCGACGTATATCATCACATCAGTGAATAGATCTGATTGACGGAATTGATTGATTGTAGAAAATAGAGCCGATGGATAATCTGAACAGTGTATCGAATGGCGTGTTTGAGAAGTTTGTTCAGTTGAATTGATTGACGAATGAGAATGTTTAACAGGAGATGAAAGAGATTTCGTTTTTGGATTCGCCATCTGAAAGAAAAGATATGCAATATGATGAAGTCAGAGGAAAAAAACTAGTTTAGTCAAATAGAAAAGAAGATTCTTATTGGTCGAGATGATGCCATTTCTTACGAATAATTCTGCTTGCTAATAGCGACGTTAGGAAAAAAAGAAATCGATGTGCAAATGAACAACGACAGTTCTTGCCGATTATCAATGGCAATATTTTTCTAGAAGAAAATTAAAATTTATTTACAACTTTTTTGTTTAATTTGAATGAATAAGTTTCGTTCGTTTAATTTCGAAGAAAAAACGAAGATTATTCATTAGAAAAAAATAATAAAAAAGACATTTTGAGCAAGAAGTATGCTAATCATGTGCCTTTTTTTTTCTTACCGTAATAACAAATTTACATAGAAATTTTATCCAATGATTCATAATCTCGTGCGTCGATGAGTCATCGATAGTTTTGTTCTTTCTCCTCACATGTCTTCTATTCATTCATCGCCGTGTTTTGCCATTTGACAATGTATATATACGAAGTGAAAAGAAAATAACAGACTCATACTTACTTTCCTCTGATCGTCTCAGTGATCATGAATACTGAACATCCAGGACGAGGTTTTGGCATTGCACTACGCTATAAACTAAATCCTGCTTTCGCTCCATATCGGGGCGAAGAGAGAGGTCAATTTGTTAGCAGCGTCTCTGCGTTCGCGCTCAGACCGTTCTATAGACAGCAAAAAGAAAAGAACGACAACGGCAATCTTTTCTTTCAAACCTGGAAACACGCACAAAGAATACGTGAATATTCGTGACAGTCGACGATAATCCGTCTAAGTTGCACAAGAAACATGGAACGATAGATTTGTACTTGTTTAGATAGAAACTATTTTCTGGTGCAAAAAACTAATTGTTCGTCGAAATCAGAGATAATTTCGTCTGTCCTGTTTTTTTCTTTATTAACGATCAAATTTCAGCAATAAATTACACAGTTGTTACAATTACTATAAATATCTACAAGTTGAATCTAAACAAAAAATAATCTATTTAATTAACACAGAGTCGTCCGATGTCTTCTAAGTAAAAGCGAGACATTTGACGAGTATCGATGGGTTCGAATCCGACACATGTAAATTGAATTCGATCATGATTCTAAATGAGAAGATTTCAGCAAGGGTAAAGAGAGTACCTATTGACATACGTTGTAACGATTGCATTTGACTCGAAGAAGAAACATTTTTTCTATACCAAAAATACTCATCAGTTTCTGGTAAGCTCGATCTTCGTCCTGTGGAAATTGTTCCGGTGGGCAACCGAATAACAATTCGCTTTCATTTTCGAAGAAACTAACCCATTGATAACCTGTCGAATCCGACAGAACGATCTAGATCAAATAATCTTCAGTAAAAAAGAAAGGATCGAAGATACCTACACTTGTCATGTACAACAACTTGAAATCTTCATAGGCCAAGTCACATTTCGAACAGTAGTATGTGCCATCGTTGTTATCTTGTAATTTCTTTTTGCAATCAGATCGAGTACAAGCCTACAAATTTTTCGGATTTCATTTCCAATAATATCAATCTCAGTAATCTACCTTGTAGACCGGATCATGTCGTACATGTGTGCAAACAGCTTTGACACGAAAAAGTTCACCGGTTGTTGACGCCGATGGCATGTTGGATTCATATTCAGCGACCTGAGCAAATGTTTTCCATGGAACTAAAAGATTCTTCTAGTTTGTAATCACTCGAACAGGTCATTTACTGTTTTCATGAGAATTTAATTGCATAGAGAGATCTGTCATTTCAATATTCATTCCTTCTTCGATGTACCATCGGCGAAGCTCATGAGCGGCAGGTAAGTCCGGATCAATTTCAACTTGTGTACTACCAACAGCGGATAAAGTGCGAACTAAATATACCAAAATCACTTCCCTTCGTAAATTATATCTCATCACATTCATAAAATACCTCCATTAAAATCATTTACACTAATGCCTTTCAACATAATTACAGTTCGAATGGACGACGGTTGGAAATTCTCAGCCTAGAGCATAGATTCACTACAAAAATGCCACTTCCGTCTTATTCTTCATCTACCATTTGATACCATAATGTAACAGTGATTTGTCCAGTACGGTCGACAATGAGAATGTCACGTTTTGTGTATTGTTTGTTTTGTTTACTTTTCCCGTGAACAACATCATTAATACTCATGATCATCCCAATAACATCTAGGACACAAGCGATTGAATTAGGAAGAATCGATCAACTGTCATATACCAATGTATGAATTTGCTTGTATGTTTGGTATTTGATCAATCGGAATGAAATGCAAACGCTGTTTGGGAATATTTGGAAGATTTTCAGTACACAATTCAATAATTGTTTCGTTATTAAATGTCATTTCGAAATCATTGTTAAGCGTGTTGAATTGTTTATTTGCAAATTTGATTTGAGCTTGAGTAATGTAATAAATCTAGACAATGAGAAAACAAAAGATTTGATTTGAATTGAGGAACAAGGAAGAGATTCACATTGCCAACGATTAGGAGAGGTTCTAACCGATCACAATCATCACTGAAACCCGTGGCGCGGATTTCGCCCGTTTCGTCGATCAGATCGCAATTGAATAAACGACCTTCACCGTTAGAAAACGAACGAATGGGTTTCTTGTGTGCCACTCGAACTCGAATTGTCCATCTAGAAACAAATAGCATTGTAGAAACGCATAACGAAGAAGAATCGCTCAACTGACTTGTTTTGAAATGGGTTCAAGACTTCAATTTTAAACAAACGATTTGTTTGAATTGAATCAACATCGAGGACGATTGGTAATGTCGATGATGACACCGGCTGGTCGTGTTTCAATGCAGATACAGAACTTTTATTCGTTGAATCTAAGAATAATAGCACACTTTCGTTTGAATTGATCTGATAGATAGGGTTACTAACTATTTGTTTTGGGTTGGAGGACATGTTTTGTTATTGATGTGGATGAATTCGTTTCATCTTCATTCAAATCAGCTGTTAACAATGAGATTGGATTACCGATTTTATGAGTGGCAATATCCAAAACAGTCACTTGAAGAACTTGTAAGATCATTCTAAAGCAAGATTTGCTTCCTGATAATTTCGTTAATCGATCCGAAATACTTTGTTGCTTGTCCTTTGAGGTCACTTCGTAAAAATCGATCGAGTCGAACGATGGAATACTCTTGCAATTGACCATTAGTAACCAGATCATTTAATTGTACAGTTAAAACACAAGCTTAAACAGACAAGAAGAAAATTGGATATTTCAGAAGATTTTGGATTTTACAAGGTAAGAAATGTTTCCCATCGGAAAGAATAAGACGATAGCGCTGAGCTTTTTTCATTTGACTTGGTGTTACTGCCGAATCATTGACTGGTTTTGAGTCCATCAATTTGATATTCTAAAGAACGAACTTAACTCTCGACTAGTAACAATATCGTCATTTTTATTACTAATATTTGTAAGATCGGTTGTTCACCACATGCTCCATTCTTGGCGAAACGCTATGAAAACACAGAACAATTCTTTAGGTACTATTTCGTTTCCGCTTACCTGCAAAACACCGACAGTTAATTTTTGCATGATAATCTATTTCGATTGTAACTGAATTAACGGTTTCATAAACTTTCGTTTTTGCCGGGTACATCAGTTAAACCGTTACTTCGATTAGTTATATTAAAAATCTGATTTCGATTTTTCTCAAATGAAAACGTCTCAAGATTATCGATAAAGACGTTCAAAAGATAATCTTTCACATAAAGATGTCTCTGTTCTACAGTTGTGATATTGCCGGCGACATCTACGTAGGAAGAAAATATAAGGGAACAAGAAGATATTATTAAAGGTATTAAACAGCAAAAAGAAGAACATAAGGACGAAATTGATCTCGAATTACATCGATTGGAGCTGGAATGGCGTGGTTTTGAAATTCAATCCATGCGAGCAAAAGTGAAATACTATAGATATCTCTCACAAAAAGTGGACGAACTTAGTAAGCAGATTCGTTTTTCTAAATAATATAATATACGATTCTTTTTTTCAAGGTTCTCAACAGGAAATCGTGAAAATTTACAACAATATGAAATGAATTGACACAATTCAGTTTTATTTAAAAGAATAAAAAATTTACAGAAAAAGAAAAATTCATTTTCATTCTTATAATTATAAGAATTGTTGATCAATTTTAACGAGACAGACTGTTAAACTTCTTATGAAACAAACCACTAGAAAAAAACTCTAGTATTAGTTCTATACCTCGTAGAACATGTAGTACGACATATGCATATTTTTACGAGAATAAAATCAGTAATATAACTTAAACGAATGACTACGTCAATTGCATTTAATCTCTTTACTTAATCGTTGTCCTATATTTCCATACTTCTTTTGCTTCACTTTTTTCTCTCCTGGAAGAAAAATATATATTCGTCTTCTATGTTTATTCTATTGAACAATGACCGACATTGACACTTTTCATGACCTGTCATATTATTCATACATTGCCGGCGTATAAAAATGATATATTAAGTTATCGATAACAAAATATAAATCATTTGTTCGCTATTGGCACATATTCTTATTTTTTTTCAAATGGATGATTTTGTTTATTCTTCGAATTTGTTTTCTGAATGTGTTTCAGGTAAGAAATCTGAAAACGAGAAAATATCTTATAATCTTCAGCAACAATTCAGATGTAAACGTTAGAGTTCATTTCTCCTTTTTTTGTCGATAGAAAACTTAATATGTGAAATCATAAGTAATTGATAAATACTTTGTTATTGATACGAATTACGATAGGGAACGTGTATCAAACTTGAATGAGCGACATGAATTGATGTCATTGATCTTCACGTAATTCATATAATTTTCTTCTAAAATAAATTCATAGCAAAATCATTTCTTAATATAGAATGAAATTAATAAGTATAGATGTACAAAGAGTGTTAACGAACGGTATACTAAGAGTTTCATGAATGTCAATCGAACATGGAAATAAGATTAGAATTTTTTTCTCGACAAGATATATGAGAGAAAGTGATAGAAAGAAAATATTGTATTCTAAAGTTTAGTAGAACGATAGTAAAATAGTTTTGAATAATATTCTTTTTTATAATCTTTCTAGAAATGAGAAAGGTGGAACAAATGCTAACTAATGAACAACTTCAGTATTTAAACGAATGTATGTAGAACTGTTTAGCTGAAATAGATTTTTAATCATGATTGACATTGATTTTATTTAGATTATCTGATGAAAAAAAAACCAACTATTAATGAAGTTCTATTAATATGCAATGAGTGGAATGTCAAAGGGATTGGATGGTTGGTTGATATAGAGGTAAGCAGATTTTACTTGAATGTCCTTACGAGATTACTATTTGTTGTTGGCATTTAGAACTGGTTTTTCGGTCATCGAGCACTTGAACTAGAAATTCAACAGCGACTCCGTCTAGCACGAAAAGCTGCTGCTTAATCAAATCAAATATTTAGTTTTTTGTTAGTAAAGAAATCTTTTGTATTTTCAATAAAATCGACATGGAAATGTCAACTAATTGAATGAAACATTTGTATTCGAAGTACATGGGAGAAGTTTCGATCGACTTTTTTTATATCTTTCATTGTGTACAAAAAAATACGTACCGTGATGTTGTTGTAGTGCAAATGAATAAGAGGGTATAAGTATTATATACTCACTTCTTACACTTTTATTCAAACTTTCATAGAATACTATTGTCTATTTGTAATCTGTTCCAATTGAAAACCTTCATGATTATTATCTGCGACTTTATCACATTTTTGTCGATAAAGAACAATACCAGCAGCATATGGCATAAAAACTCGTGTCTTTCCTGGAACATTCGAGTCCAAATACCAAGAATTACCCATATTAACTAATGTAGCATTGACAATCGCATTTACTTCATTTGTAGTTTCAATTGTATTAAGTTGATGCTTTCGTAAATAATCAAGACAATCTGTAATCCAATCAACATGTTGTTCAATAGAAATGATCATATTTGTTAATACAGACGGACTTCCAGGTTCCGTTATTAGAAATAAATTTGGAAAATCACTAATCATCAATCCAAGATAAGTTCGTGGTCCTTCCGACCATTTATGTTGAATTGTAGAATCTGATCGACCACGAATATCAATATTCATTAAAGCTCCAGTCATTGCATCAAAACCAGTAGCAAAAATAATCGAATCAAGTTCATAGATAGTTTTTGTTGTTTTAATTCCAGTCGATGTTATTTCTTCAATATTTTCTTTTTGAAGATCGACTAAAGTAAACATTTACTTCTGTACGAGATATTAATAAATCATTTTACCATCAATTATCCATACAAACAATGCCAAATATTTGATTAATTTTATCCGATGATTTGTCTGTTTTTTCTTTTCTTTCTGTTTTTTGTTATACATTGATCATTTACATGAAAACAAAAGAAAGAGAAATTCTTCTTTCATCTATTTTTATTAAATATAATCCAACTTTAAACAAAAAATATCTTTATGTTTCTTTCGAGAAAACAAAATTCCGAAGCACCGATGAGAAAGAAAATCTTGTTTTATATACAACAAAAAAAAGAGAGAGAGAAGAGAAGCATAATAAGCTTGATTATTAAATAATCGGAGAAAATACAAAAGAATCTATTGTTTTTCAAGAGGTGGAGCAGATGGATAAAGATTATTACTATCTATTACATCTTGATATGTTGGTGGTAATGCTGATGCTGATGCTGTTCCTTCCATTGGATATGGTTCTTTTTCATTTTTAATTGAACCATAACCAGTAGCTTGTCCTTGTTCAACTATTTCTGGTGTTGGTGCTAATAAATAACTTCGTGGATGTTGTGTTGGTTCTTTATATCTTTCGATATCACAAGCCCAAAGTGCACTACCAATAACATTTGTTACTGGTGTGATTAAGTTAAGAAATGGAATCATTTCTAATAAAATACCAACAATACCAAATTGTGTATAATCATTTCGATTTTCTTCAACAAAATGTCGTCCTTGTAAAAATGATAAACCAAGTAAATCAAAATATCGACAATGTAATGACCAGGCATAATAATATCCATTTATATAAATATAAAGAATTGTTCCAATAATTGGAATTAAATTTAATGGTGATGTTACGACAAGAAGTACTACACGAAATAAGATCAAAGTTAAAAATGATTTAATACATGTATATGTTGTTGCTGATTTTCGATGTGTTTCACCTTCATTTAATCCCATTGTTTCTTGTCTCCATACTGAATCAAATATAACATCCATATAACATGCAAGAAATAGTGAAGAGATAACAAGAACTGATACACCTGTTTCAAATAATGTGACAAAAAAACTTATCAACCATGATAACCAATCAGCCATATAGCTTTCAAATGCTTGTGCTTGTAATGGAAATATAAAGACAAATAATAAAACTGATGTAACAATTGCTGCTAATAACATTATTATTAAACTACAAAATATATGTCACCATAAAGCTGGATGAATAATTAAATATAATATTCCACGAAATGGATAACTAGATGGTGAATGAAGGACCCTTTCTTTCAAAGAAATTCTTTGAATGAATAACAAATATTACACGATTTTTCTTGTTCAATTCGTTTGATCATTGATATCATATACCAGATTATTCTTCTTTTTTATCATCTACTAGAGGGAGACCCGCTGCAAATAAGAAATATCTATGTCGAATATCTTACGTGTTGCAGAGTTATAACAGATAGAAAATCAACACAATTAAAATTTCTACGCTTCCACTCCTTATTTTCCCCACAGTGCATCGAATGAAATGGCAGTTCCGGCTATATCTCTTTATGCAAAAGAGTTATCGAAGCTAGTTTCTGCCTAAAAAATCATGAAAATTTCCTCTTTCTCTGATATTGATTTTCCATTCCAGATATTCATTCATCGACCTCTTTCTCACTCTCACGGCATTTCATGCCTTATATCCTTCGAATTCACCCACCCTCATCAATTATCTTAATCTTTTGAGAACCTGTAACGCTATTGGTGAGTTTCGCAGATTATCTGTAGCATTCGCCGAACTATCATAGGCGTAGAGAACACGTGGATTGTTGTCTATGAGCGCTCAGACGGCCTTCGCTATTAATTTTCTCAGTTTTGGAAATCTCGCATTCCTATTGGTCCGTTTCACATATTGTCTGTAGCAAACGTCTGGTTCATTTGTTCTCGGAACAAAGTAGATGTCGACCTTCCCCTGGGTCTCAGGAAGTATTGTGGAAAGTTTCACGCCGATAGCTGCTACAGGGACTGAATGCATAGCGAACAGACAGACAGACAAACTTTCTTCTTTATATATATAGGTTTCAATTTGATTTTCAAAGATATGAATTAAAGGCGATTTATCTAAATATGACAAGAAAAATATCTTTCAATATTTATGTATAATTTAAATATTTTATCGGTAAGTAAATGCGTATCACTTTCAATGTCCATAATGAAAATATCCAATTGAGGTAGATTAGAAAAGTTGTAATTAACGAAAGAGAATATGTTGCATAGATAATGTTTCAAGTTTGAACAATTGAATCTGGTCATGAATTTTTGGTAATATTTGTGAATAAAATCGATCAAGTATAAACCAATATTCAATCGATGGACTTTTTTCATTAATGTAATTTGATTTGTAAGGTGCCGGCAAAGCAAAATTCGAGTAAGATTTTTTTGGCACTTTTTTTACGTCATCTGATACAGTTTTACATGTTGATCATGAATATCTAACTTTTAACTTTGGTAAAATCTGTCTTCTGGTCGAAAAACTCGAAGTGTCTCGGAGAAGTCAATTTTCGAAAAAATGCATCTTTTCCCGAAATATGCAAAATTTTTTTATTTTCCAACATACTTTTCATTTTCAAACTAATTTTTCCTGATTCAGCATCATAAACTGAATCGAAAACTATTTTTAGGTCGGCTGTAACTTCGAAACTGTTATCGTGAGGGTGCTTCAAATTCCGCTGACTTTACCTCAGGGTGGCTGTTTTTGTAAACCTACCTAGTTTGTCCACATGAAAGGTAGAGCTCAATATTTTATATCAATCGACTGGTCATACTAGTCGCCAAAATGTTGCGTATCGCTTTTCTCAGATTCCATTCCTAGGTCATTAAAACCCGGTTTTTCTGGAGCTGACATGAGTTTGGACAGTATCTGGCCTGTTTTGTATTCAGAAAAGATTGTTAGCTACAAACTAATTACAGATTCGGAATCACCATACGAAACTACATTCAATGACCTATATTTCCACTGACTTTGAAGACTTTCATTTTTTCCGATTTTTTCCCGTACGCCTAAAAACGAAAAAATTTGAAAACACATCAAAAAATGAAAGTCTTCAAAGTCAGTGGAAATATAGGTCATTGAATGTAGTTTCGTATGGTGATTCCGAATCTGTAATTAGTTTGTAGCTAACAATCTTTTTTGAATACAAAACAGGCCAGATACTGTCCAAACTCATGTCAGCTCCAGAAAAACCGGGTTTTNTGCTGATGATTCGTCCGATCAGTTAGTGGCAGCTTACTTGATGATTGTTTACTTGCGCATACGTGTGTGTAATGATCATGATACTTTTTATAGCATTTGATGTGTACTTGTTTATATAATATTGACTTTATCAAAGAAATTCCATTTTTGTTCATGTAAGCTTGTTTCAGTTTTTCTTCAACTTCCTTACTTTGTATTGTAGTAAAGTCTCTTTTCTTCGTTCTTCGTGTGCGAGGACATAACTCACATGTAAAAGACATTATTAAATGAGGTTTGTTTTTGAAGAGTTTTATTCAATGAACTGCGCAACACACCAGGCTCATTTATTTTTAAATGATTCTTACATAAGATACAACAGACATATCCAGTCAAGTCAATCAAAACGATGGCGCGCTCGACATAATCGTCGTCGTTGCACATGACAAACCACCAGAGTGACGAATATTATAGATGTCTGTACAATCGGAATGTTTTCTGCCTTTTATTCATGTTTCTAAAAACAATCTCCCATTGAAAATTACACCATTCGCTTCTGTATTAAACAGAGCATTTTTCAACATTTTAAGTTTACGAAAATAGTTTTTCGAGGCTAAGTGCATTACTAGGACTAAAATCTGCCAGTAAAAGAATGTGTCATTGACGCTCTGACGGCTCACCACTTTTTCATTTTTAATCGAACCATAACCAGTAGCTTGTCCTTGTTCAATTATTTCGGGTGTTGGTGCTAATAAATAACTTCGTGGATGTTGTGTTGGTTCTTTATATCTTTCGATATCACAAGTCCAAAGTGCACTACCAATAACATTTGTTACTGGTGTGATTAAGTTAAGAAGTTTTCTCTTCACTACTCAACATGTTCAAGTTACTAGATTTACCTGATGAACTTTTCTGTGAAATTTTACGATATTTGAGTGCGTTCGACGCTCTGTTTGGTTTCTTGAATCTTAATTCTCGTCTCAATCGTTTGTTGTCACCTTTCACTCGACAAATCGACTTTACATCCGTATCTTATGAACAATTTTTACATTATTTCAATGATATTTTACCTGTGATAAGTAAACAAGGACGGTTGTATGCTCTGAAATTAGGTGATCGGCGAACACCAGGTCAGATTGAATTGTTTAATCGAATGATAACCAGTAACAATCGTAATTACATCACCGACATTGACCGAGTTTTTGTTGAAGCTCCTTCTTTAGAACATTTTGGTCATTTCATTGATGGTTATTTACGAACCCTACCAAGATTACGCATACTTTCCATCGAAACCGAAACATTATGTGATTCGGACTTTCCCAAATGGACAAAAGTCATTCTCAACTCGATCCTTCCCATTCCATCTTTAACGAAACTGTCCATCCGCACACCGGTCGGACCAAGTCTTTCGCGTCTTCCCGATACGATGATGCTAACTTCTCTAACTCATTTGACTTTGCATGTTTCAGCTGTAACCGATCTGGTCATTCTTATAAAACGTACACCGAATTTGGAACAGCTTTCCATACGAATGGGTTGGTGGACAAGTGGCGATCGTACATTAGTGAAAATTCTTGATGAGATGCGCTCGGATCACTGTCGAACGTCGTTTCTACCTAAACTTAGGCGATTTTCCTTGACGATCGATTCGATAATATCGTTTCAACACGAACATTTGCAACAAGTACTATTCCGAATATTGAACGAGCACGTCACATCTTCTTTTTCATTCATATTACGAAGTTGTATAAAAAATGACAAAGATTCCACAGTGCAACTACTCGACGGTCAGTTATGGCAACAACTGTTATCTCCATATTCACATTTGAGAAAATTTGATCTGTTTATTCGAATATCCGATTCGAATAATGCTGATCAACAAGAAGATTATTCAAAAACGTTTCAAAGTCCATTCTTTCGTGAGAAAAAATGGTTTTTCTCTTATTTAAAACCTTCCCGTCAAAACGATAATATTCTCTATTCAATTGCAAATAAAACTATCGAATTATTTGATATATCATTAAATCCTCCAGAGAAATTTCATCATTTTCCTATGAATTATGCACCACATCTGGCCATCGATCAAACTGACACTCGATATCACGCATTAGATCAATCGAATTTCTATCATGTACTAAATCATTTTCCATTTCTTCAACAATTAACTCTTACCGATGTGAAACTCGACGCTCCAGTTATCTTACCAGTCAATACTCTATCATTATATTCCTTAAAAATCGAAAAAACTCAGAGGATTCTCCCACAACTGTTGTTTTCAATATTTCCCTTGGTCAACACATTGTCGATATCTTTTCCCGTGTTTGACGATCAAAACGAGATATTCAAGTAAGTCGACATAGTCACAGACGATACCCTAATCGAAAATTTTGTTTTATAGTTTGCAATATAATCAAATGAAAGACTTATCATTATTCAATATACATCCGGAGCGCATAAAACGAGTTTTATTATTCTTAAATCAATTTCCTAACATCAGTTTTCTTCATCTTCGTCTATGCAATCGCCGTTTCAATGATGATTCTTTACTAAACCAAGTCAAAGACATCCTTCGCCAACATTCTTCACTTATTTCAGTCAAACTGGAATTCGATCGAGATTTTTCTGTGCCAATCAATTGGACGATTGAATTTCCTGACCGAGTGAAAATGTTTCTGAGCAACAAGACTTTCGACGGCGTCCTTTATCATCTATGGTTTTGAACTTCACACATTTTGATTTTTCTCGTGATTTGTAATGATAAGAAAGTTGTTTTTCTTAACAAAAACTATTGTAAATTAGATTTTGCACTTGCAATCATAATTCGCATGTTCACGGCAAGATCGTTGAGTAAAGTTCAGAACGACATTGGCTTCGTATTATTTATCGAAACAAAGGGCGCGAATATAATCGATCCCTTTTCCAACACTTGGATTTAATTGGAGTTGATTAGAAATGTTTCTTTCTCTTCTTCTTTTGTCTTGGAACGATTTCTTCAGAGAATAATTTCGAACGGAGACCATACAAACGTTCCCATTCGCGACTAATCGTTTTAAGCATTAGCTACACGTTCTAATTTATGCGTTGTTCCAGAGATCTAGTCTCTAGCGAAGGAAGAATCACTCAATAGTTTTCATTTCTATTAAGGAAACGACAGTCGACATGTCGATGTTCCAGAACTTTTATCTATGAACTTTTCCTCACAGAAATATCAACTGATAAACTGACGTTTTTATATCTAAAACAACTCTCGTTGACTTTTGCCTTTTTCAAGTTTTATGATGGTAATCAATCTGAAATAATAAAAACGGTCCTCTGTATTTTTCTTTCGCTCTAGTATCGAGCTTGAATATGCATTCCTTGTCAACAAGTTAGTTCGTAATTCAGACTCGATGTTCAATGAATGAAAAGCGAGTTTTTTTTCAGAGCAGATGATTATCACAAAATCAACAAATGGAGACATTTTCAAATAGAAGTAATGAACATCGACAATGAATTGTGGATTTGTTCAAGAATAAGAATAGGGATAGTTTATGATCTACTCGTACATACGTAAAAGAGAAACTATATCGTCGTGATAGACTATTAAATTGAGAGATGACGAGAAAGAACTGTTTTCTCTCTCTTTTCTTGTTGTTCGTATATAAATATCATAAAGAGGATTCTCTTTTTCTTCTTTGCACTGTTGTCGTTGCAAATAAAACCATTCGAATCACTTCTCATTGTTATTTTTAGCTTGTTGACTATACAAGAATCCATTCGATAAAATAATTGACAAAACTCAAGTAAGTCCGTCCGTGGCGTCCATGGCACATATCAGAGGAAAATTCATCTTGAATTTCGAGAGTAAATCAGTTCATATATAGTCAAGCATCTTTCCGATATGTCGATCATTTTTGTATGAATAACAAACAAAGCATTTGAAGAAATACATTTCATGATTTTTATTCGAAAGCAATTTCTATTTTGTTAACGCGAGGAGAATACGAAGACTCATGTGACATGTTTCATGTCAATGGCAATTGTTTATAGTATACTTAATCTCTCGTTCTTTTTTAGAAATCTATTCTAGATTCATTGAGTGAATTTCCTGTCTTGCACTCGAGATATTTTCTTTGTATTGTTGGGACAATGTAGGAGAATTTCAACCTGGAGAATTGTGCAATGCGACATCAACGGGCGAAAACCGGTCAGGCGAAAGTAAAATGTTAAGTAAAAGAGTATAGCGATGATGTTAAAGTCGATTATCAACATAACCGGACTTTTTTTTTGTAGTTGTAAGCGGGAGATGAGTAGATTGTGAGGTTGACTCCGGTGTAGAAAGGAGAATTTCCTTCGCATTGAAGTTTTGGTATTGAGCAAAGAAATGTAATCAGAAATCTGATCAAGAAAAACATCTAATCGGTCTCACGTCGATGGCGTTCGCTGACATTGTTATCTTTAATAAGTAGAAGAGATGAGAAAATCTTCAGCTTATTTCTTGTTTTCTTTCAAGGATATGACTATAGGGTTTGTTGAACAGTCATTGATTGTTTGTCGACAAATATGAGAACGATCCGTTTGTTATTTCTTATCATTTTTTTTCTTCCTCCGGCTCATTCTCATCGTCCTTCTCTCTTGAATAGTAGTGATGTATGAGAACTCTAACTACTGAACCGATACGATTGTCATCACATAGTCTACATTAAGATCATGCTTTGTTTGAAATTCAATTATCGCTCATCTTATCTACATTCATCTACGCGTTCATCTTGTCGATATAGCTGTTAAACTTCCTTTTCTTTTTTTCTCTCTGCTGAGTTCTTATTTGAACAAAGATGCATACTCATATTCTTTGTATAGTAAAGCAATTTGATCCAACACGCTCAACCTCCTTCATGATCATATTCGTCAGCACACGCGCTGATTTTTCATCTAGAACAACTAATCATAGAAAAACAGTAAATCTTCGTTCCTATGCTGCCACTGATGTGTTGATTTAGTGAAAACACCGCTCGTGCACACTAAGCTATAGCAGAAAGTCAACATTGGCTTTTCTCTCTCTCTCTTCTCGTTGCGCTTGGTATAGAGACGTGTGTATATACAATCTCCCGCCCGTCGATTTCCTTTTTCCGATTAAAATTTTGCTTGTCACTAGCAACGTTTGCCTAGTCTAACTGCCTTTGTTATGCTTTTATTTTGTTTATGGTGGTTAGACGATCAGTCCTTCAGTTAAAGTCACATTCGGTACTAATCGGCTGCTATTTTAATACAATCATCAACCTTTTTTCTTGTCTTTCAACATCTGTCTGTTTGTGTATACATATGTGTGTGTAGTCAATGACGTATCAGTACATTTACTATATACAGTCACATAGATGTAGGAACTGAGTTTAGAACAAGACATTCTCGCTCTCTCTCGCGTGCTGTCCTCGAGAGATCGATCTGCAAAGACGACGGCGACACGGTGGTATATATGTCTATGACTAATAAAAAATGGGAAAAGAGAGCAAGAGAAAAAAAAAGGAAAAAAAGAAAGCGAACAGTATTTATCCTATCGATATCTCCTGGTGTTCTCCGAGATGATCTTTTTCTTTATATCTGTAGATGATATTCTGATTTCATCACTAGGCTTGTCGCCCAGTATTCTTTGATGGTAAGATACATTCCTATCTTGATATAGATGTACTGATGCATTTGAACATAGAAAACCCAAAACAAGAAAGCGAACGAGAAGAGAAGAGATAAGGAAATCTCATGAAGATGTTTATTTTTCTAGCACTTCATTTCGTTATCTTAACGAATCGTCACAAACGATCAAATTTCTGTATAGATATACCAGATCGATCTAAGATCGATGATGACGTGAATCGAGATATAATGGATCTATTTTTAATTACATCAGAAATATTGATTGATTGGCTTATCGACGATTCAATATTGTATATGTGTATATTTATATACCGAGCGTTAGAAAACAGAAAAAGTGAGAACAAATGAGATAATGATATTCGATTGGTATTATTTCAGACCTAGACATTTCTAATGCATGCGGAAGATGTTAAGGTTAGTCCCGGTTGTCTTGTTTTGCCACATAATGATCAGAGATAGAAGTCATGTATCTGTAATTCTTCGACGCTCGAAAATAATCGACAGAACGAGGCAGAATACCAGCGTAGATCGGTTTGATTTGTTGCTAGTCTGTTACCAAAGGTTAATCGTTAATATACGAGAAGTTTCGTTCTGAAGTAGACGAGAAGACATGCAATTGTCTGGATATATTAGTTTTTGCTATTAGCAGTTCTTTTAATTATCATCTTCATTGACAGTATAAGCTGAAAAATATTATTGAAGCGACTCGAAGAAAACCGAACAATTGTCTTATATTGGAAGTAAGAGAAAACGGAAGGAGCTCGTTTCCGTCGTTATCCGCGTTTTCATAGAGAAAAAGAGGCAAGTGGGTGAGGGACAGATAAGTATATAATTAGATTGTTCATTAGCTTTACTTTTCTATACGGACATCCCCTTTGTTCATCGATTACAATGCATGTACTCTATATCATATGATCTTTGTAATCAATGTTATAGTAAAACATCGCACTTTCCTACTGAAGATCTATGTAAAGGAAAAGCAAACCTTTATTACTATTGAGTTCGACGAACTTAGTTAGTGTCTGGTCGCCGAGCAACGTATACTATTCGATGTTGATTAATTTATCAGAATCGTTATCTGTTTCTAGAGTTCTCCTAAATGCCAATATCATATTCGATTTATGTTAACACAAATTCCATTCTTCGTCGTCTTGCATATGTCAGACTTCTCTCTATCTCTATCTCTCTTCGAGTAACTTTCGAATCGTTCTAACATGATTAAGCCAATCCTTTTCCTAGGAATCGCTTCGGCTAAGCTTAACATCTGTGTTCGAAATTCTCGCACGATAGTTTTTAAGAACAAAATTTTTCTTTCTTGAATAAAAAAAAAAGAAAAACGAGACTCTTTTCTCACTATTTATATAAATAGAAAGAAAAACACGCGGGAAGTTTTTTTTACGCGCCCATAGGAAGCATGATCGACGAGTCGTCAACAACAGTGAGTATATTCTTCGTATGTATTAATATTTCTAATTGGCATCGAAAAAGAAAAATAAATGATTCTAGGCAAGTTCTCTTTCGGTAAGTGTTCCTAGTCAGAAAAGTCCTCACTTTTGCTGTGGATTTCTTCTTTTTCCTTTTGATTAGGGATAGTCAACATGACTTCGAAAGACCGTCGTTGGTCTTCTCGTCATTAGAATGAGAGAAAAGTAACCTTAAGAGTAATGGTGATTTTGAAAAGTGATGAAGTCAATTGAGATAAAAAGATTTCTTTTCTTCTTCATCTCTCTCTCTTTTCTTTCTTTTCCATACTATGACATTCTTGAGTAAATTATTTCTTCACTCAAGTACGACTTATATCAATCCTATTTGATGTACGCCTTCGATATTATATTCGATTGTCTACAGATGTGATAGTTCTCTTTTTTTTCTGGAGGAACATCGAGGATGATCTCTCGTGTTCCGACGCGATGAATTGGCGTTAATCGAGCGATGGAATATACTATACAATTGATCATTACGCCTTGGTCTTACAAAAGATTCTCTAGGTGACAGAAACACAATGGCACACTAAAGGAGAAAAAAAAAGGAAAGAACTTGTGTGATGGTAAGAACAAACGAGAAAATTAATCCGTACCGATTGTTCACCTTTTCTCCCGTTTTGCTATTTTCGTGTATAATTAGTCGTGTACCCTCGTCGTTTTTACATTTTCTCGCATTTTTTGCTCTTATTTTCATTCATCTTTTCGAATTTTTTTCAATTGTCGTCTGTTTGTTTTTGTAACTAACCATTTGAAATTGCCGAATGCTTGTCAAAGTCACCATTGACGATCTGTTACCCACCTCAACTCTCTTCGAAGACCAAGGTTTGCGCGTATCTCTTTCCAAGTAAGTGAAACTTTCCCTTCTCGCCAATAAAATGTTTGTTTATCATGTTCTTCTAACTATTGAAAACACACATATTTTTAAAAGGAAATAGAAACTAGCACTAACACATATCCGTTAGTGAATAGAATGACAAGGAAAAATTTTTTTCTTCCTCTTTTGTATAATAGCATCATGTGCATGAATTTTCAAGTGAGTATTCTTATTCGCTTGTCAGACAACGTCATCTTTGCTTAACATATATATTAAATGACAATGATGAGGAAGATTTTGGGGCGTGAAATAGCAGCATTTAGAACGTGCAATGTTTTTGATTTGCAGAAACTGTGCGCAGGAAGGAGACCGGGAATTCGTCAGGTATACAACTGACATGAAATGGTACAGGCCGAATGCTGAATTGATTTGTCAACAGTTTGCGAAACAAAAGAAAATGAGTGAGAAAGAAAGTGAATCGAGAAAAGTGCATTTTATGCATGATGGATAGGAGAGTATTTGTTTTTTAAAGCAAATTGACGTCGATGGTGACACGATGTGGCGATGAGATTTTTGTGTGTGGTTGTTGAGAAGGAAAGAAGAAGAAGAAGAAAAACAGTTCCTTCAATGAAAAGGAATTAAGATCGATGTATCAGAGAGAGAGAGAGAGAGAGAGTTTCGAGATTGTTTGTATGATGATGATGATGATGCATGTGTATGAACAATTATGATTTCTGCGCATTGATTCGGTTGTTTGTGAGTTCATTTTTTATTCTTGCAATCTTTTCCTTTTTCTTCGCCTTCTTTAGCGTTTGCTTTCGATAGCGTGTTTATCAACAAATATGAGTTCTAATTGCTAACGTGACTTTCAATGTCTGTTTAAGAGAGAAAATGACTAAGAAAAATAACTTAATCTTCACATAGAGGAAATACTGATCGTCTTTTGTCTACTCTGAACAAAGGAAATCGCGGTAAGACACGCTCGGAATACATTTCGTTTGCTAAGTTTGTCTATCAAAGTTTTCTCCTTTTTCAAAGTCAATGAAAACAAATAATCCTCATCGAATGATATTTGTCTTCGATATTTTTTTTTCGTTCCTTTCGCCCGAAGATTATCTCGAGTTTATATATGTCATCAAGAGAGTTCGTTTCTCTTCCTTCTTCTCTTTCGTCACAATGACAACTTTCTCTCTTTCACTTTTTATTCTCTTTCTTTTTAGACAACAAAACTTGATTTAACAATTGCGACCTTGTTTGTGTCGCTTTAATCTCGTTCATTGTCGTTTATCGTCTTCTTCCTTCACATGATTATTTGTCTTCTCGATAGAGCGATTCACATCAATCGTCTGGTATCATTCGCCTGTTTTCTAACCGCCTTTCTTCTCGTTCAAAATCATCCCGTGCTTGCCAGTCATGCATCTCCTGATGATAAACAAATCAATCAGCAGTCAACAATATCGCGCACAACGTTAAGATCCGCTCGGGCGAATCCATTACCGAAAAATGAAACACTTCTTTGCGTACCCGAAGTTATCAACGTAACATTGCCTTATTTCTCATTGCCTTATCGAATCTTTGCGGGTGCACTCGTTGTTCCGATCACCATATGTGCGATCTCGGGCAATATTCTTGTTATCTATGTTATCAAGTATTTTCCGAACCTACGCATTACAGGCAATGTCTTCCTTGCTTCACTTGCTCTTGCTGACGTCGGCGTCAGTACATTAGCAATGACGTTCTACAGTCTACAATTAGTTCGCGGACGATGGATTCTCGGCGCGGTAAGTAATGATTAGTTTTGTGAACGACATAACTTAATGAAATCAAATTGAGGTTTGTATCTTATGAACACAAGAAAAACAAAAGTAAACGTTTCATGTTGCACTTCATCGTAAAGTAAAAGTCAATAACAACTTGTTTTCTTCGTTCGTCAATGAAACCTAGAGAGTGCACTTATTTTAAGCAGTTTAATTCTCTTTTCAAAATACCGATACCAAGTAGAAGAAAAACAATTTCTTTTCGCTGTTATTCTCCACGCATTCGAGTCTTTCGAGGAAACAGGAAAGCAAAAAGAAATTAGGAATTTCTATTCTAATTGTAATTTGAGATCACTTCATTTGCAAATGAAAGCTGTCAAATGTTTTATTCGTCATTCTATGTACCAAACATTTCATGTTTAAATAACAAGAACGATTTTTTTTATGTCAAGCTAAATATAGTCCGAAGTCATTTGATAAGGCACTGTTGAAACGAATCGAAGATGCTCTTGTTTTTTATTCTCATTGTGATGAAGGTCATCAAGACATTTTAATTCTCGTTCTAGTTCATGTGTCGTCTGTGGTTCTCATGCGACGTACTCTTTTCGACAGCATCTATCATGCATTTAGCTTGTATAGCCTTGGATCGCTATCTTTCGATCGTACGTCCATTCGATCATGAGCGAACATCTTCCGATCGACGTCGGTACGGTATGATAGCGAGTTGCTGGATCGGCTCGGCTTTACTTTCGTTCATTCCCATCTTTACGGGAATTTATACGACACGTGAACAACGGGATAAAATCAGCTGTCTAAACCGCGTTCATGGTCGTTGTATATTTGCTGTCAATCAAGCGTACGCCATTGTTTCATCATCATTTTCGTTTTGGGTGCCAAGTGCTGTGATGATTATCATGTATCTGATGTTAATAAAAATAGCGGATAAGAAAGAAAGCGAAGCAATTCGTATGGCAGGTGGCGTCAATAGTCGTCATCGAGCTTCTCAACTTCCACAATACTATCCATGTAGGCGATCGAGTGATGATCAAGTACTTAATGAAACATCTTCGTCAACACACCAGTCACAACGTACACATCAATTAACAGCAGCAGCAGCAACACCAGTTAATGGATATCATAATAATCATCGCCGACCAGGTAAACACGATAGTGTAGATACACAAATGGAAATACAAACATCTGTCGATAGTCCTGGACAATTGTTCGATCCTAGTCAAAGTCAAATGAAACATTTAAAACGCGAACGTCGTGCTGTTAAAACCTTGGGTGCGATTATGATAGCATTTCTCATCTGTTGGCTTCCGTTTTTCGTTCGTTATTCGGCGTGTGAACCCAATCGCTGCAATTGGAAATATATGCCTATTATCGAAGATATTGTCTTTTGGGTCGGTTATTTCAATTCAATGATCAATCCGTAAGTACAAAACGAACATAATCAGTCTCTTTGTCCAAAAACGCAAAATCTTTCTCATTTAGATTTCTATATGCGTTTCATAACAAAGACTTTCGTTTTGCTTTCCGAAAAACTCTTAGTAAATACATTATTTGCTGTCGTGAACGTCGTGCAAGTACGAATAGTATGTCGATATTGCCACCCGCGACACCAAGTGGAGATGGAACGAGGTCCTGTATGAGTAAACCGAAATCACAGCATAAACAATTTAAAAATCGTTTGAAAACCAATCCAAAAGGGACGAATGCGCTCACTTCGACTAGACTACTTAATAATCACAATGATATTCAAGCATCAAACGGAAATTTAACTGTTGGCGAAAGCGCGATATCATCGAAGAGAAATTCATGTTTATAAATGATGTATCTGTTCTCTTACGTCTACCTTCATGCACACATCTATTTTTAGTTAAACGTGATGAGTGCTGTTATCTATTTGAAAGTTAAAAAATAACATACGGAAGCTTACTGTGATGGGTATTATCGAAATCTAATGTTCTCTTTTCTTCTATTTTTTGCTCGCTATTGACACATACTTTGTTTTGATGATTTCTGTATATGCTGCGTGTATAGGTATGAGTGTGTGTGTGTGTGTGTGTGCATGTCTCATCGCAGGCCCGGTGAACGATAATCGTTTGTTCTTTTTTGGCTTACTATATTTTCTTTTCTCGCAAAAAAAATGTTGATTTCTAGTATTTTTCCTCTTCACTTGTTATATTAAAGAAGAAAATTGAAAAATTAGAAGCGATACTTCCAATATCAACACAAAACAGTCAGTAATTACTACTGTGGTTTGCTTCGTTGTTAAGCAAATAAAAGAAAACAGCATGTCATTAAATCACCGATGTAAATATCAATTATTATTTCTTCAAATTATACGTCCTCTAAGTTTAATCAAATATCTAAGAATAGTTCATGCACTTGATTAACACTACTCAAAGTTCATTGAAAATTCGTTGTAATCTTATATTGCGAACACGTACGCTAGTCATATTTGTCTATATAATAGAAGGTATACATCTCACTTGAAATGATTTTCTTGGGCAAACATTAATTTCTCTCACACGAACGTGAATATCGACGTATAAGTCTTCATTATTAGCGAAACAACAATATTGACTTGCTTGTAAACATGTGTAGATTTCAAATTGCGAACTTGACAAGGAGAAAACAAGGAGAATTCTACGATTTCATCAACTAATTTTTACGTGAACAAATGACGTCATCCGAAAATAAACTTTCAGAATCGTTCTTTCTTTCTCTTGTCATTTTATCTTCTCTCTTCTGTTTATCCATTGATTATAGAGTCTACACTATCACATATAATTATCATTCACGCCTCGAGCTAGAAGGTAAATTGGAGCTTAATCCAAATGAGTTCAATGCCTTATCTAACGAACTAAAATCTCCTTTTTTGCTAAGCAAAATGGAATCAGATGAGATCAGGGTAAGCATTCAATTGCGACCTCTATGGAAAATTTGTGAATATCACTGAAGAGGTCTTACGAGGATAAACCTTTCGTGATCGCTTAGACCAATCATGGAATATTGTCATCGCCTTCTTCATCACTAAGCTTATTTCTTTTCGAATTGAATTATCTTCGGTTTTTAATATTCTTCTGAATTCTACATTGCTTAAATGCAATCGATTACTCGACAGAATAAACATATTATTTATCGTATTACATATAATTATTCCATTTAATGTGTCTTTTCAGATAAATACTGCGAATCTCAGTAATGTTGAATGATAATTTACAATTATTTTTATTAACATAGATCTCATCGGAAAGGTAGGGATAGGAAGGGCTAAATGAAGAGTTGTTCAAATCCAGTTTTTCGATTAGGTCATGTCGACACCAAGTCAAACAAGTGATAGTCTCTATTCGAAAGAATCGTTCTCAAGCAATTTCCTTGAAATTGATAATTGGATTGAATTATACAAGGTATTTTCTCGCAATTCTTCTTCTCAATCCATCTTTACATTTTCCTAACATGTCGAAACTTCATCGTTGATTATGAGATTGAAGATAAATAGACAGCTAATGAGGATAATATTTCTGAATTGTTAGGTGCTCGTACTATTGATGAATAGAATTGCGTGTCTACAATCAAAAGTATGTGGACATACGCACGTCATCGTGTGTGATTTCTAATCTGTCTCGATTTGCTGCCCAACTTCAGTGACGGAGTAGCATCCTTTCCCCGTTTTTTCTTTCTTCTCAGTTCACTTTTCTCTTCTGTCATACATCCTAGTAAATTAATCATGAAAAACGAGTTCTAATAATGATGAAGCCGAAGGGTTGATCTTTTCTTTTTTTTTTCTTTCGTCGTCTGTCGTTCCAATGCTAATCTTTGATCTCGCGTTTCAAAGATTTTTCTCTTTGAAATTTTGAAAGACAGCAGATTTGACCAGATATGACACGTTCTTCAAAAGTGATATGATAATTGTTCTATATGAATGCACATCTAAGTTTGTTTCTTCGCACGAACAATTTAGATTAATTATGTAAGATTTCTCAACCGATTCCATTATCTTCTTTTCTTTTTTTTTTCACTTTCATTCGTTTATTCATGTTGAAAGTAATATAATTGATAAACTTCATAAGAATAGAAGAAGAAGAAGAAGAAGAAGAAAACCGAGAAAAAAGATTATCTGTTGTCAGTCAAAAGATTAAAACTTAAACGAGAAAGGACATATCGAGCAACAATGACTGAGATTATGCTCTCGCGCACACACTTCTGACAGGTGATGATAATACAAAGAAGACGAGAGAAAGTGAAAGAAGGAATTCTGTTCGCACGACTAAGTTTCATCTTTTTTTCCCTACTACTGCTTCATCAGTCGTAGCAGCACCAAGGTATGTATATACACGAGTGTGTGTCTGTGTTTGAATAAAAAGAATGCATCGGAAGTCGAAAGAGTAGAAGAGAAAGATGCGAGATCTACTCATTTTCTTTTTTCTTTCTCTTACCTCGATAGGATGAGAAAGCATCAGACTCATCAACGGCTAATTTCAAACCGACGCTCAGTGCTGAAATTCATTTAGCCATTACGACAGAATCTTCGGAAGTATGTATCAATGGTTCTAGGGTATATTTCTTCATCACATCTATGACATCGTATTGATTTTCATTTCTAGTATGCTTCATCACTATGTGAACACCTATTCACACTTTATCGCAATGTTCAGCAGCGATCTTTCGTACTTCAATTTCTTCCATCGTTCATCATTGCTTACTACGATGCTCTTTACCATAATAATCCTCAACCGACAAATGGCATTACAAAGGTATTGTGATACGTGCTTATTATCGTTGTCAACGAGCAAAATGCAGGAAACCTTTCCGATAGATTGACAGCGAACAAATCTTTCTGAAATATGGATAAATATGTGTATGACATGAATTCCTTCTATGGATCACACTAGGTTGATTTTAGAGAGTAGATACTCAATTTTTTAATTGAATTGCCTCTGATAAGAAGGAGGAGAAATTTTCTTTCTGAATAGAAAAAAATGAGGTAGAGAGAGCGAGAAAGCGGAAGTGAACGAGACGTGAGAGATAGTAACACGGCTAAACAAAGCTAATTTCGCTTTTCATTATCATTATGAATACATACATCAAGACTAAATTCATAATGCATCTTTGCCTTGAGTCGACAGCATCATCATCATTATCATCATCATTCCTCCTTCTTTTTTTGACAGCATCCTAGCGTGAATAATCAGTCTCCAATGGTAAAGATGAGCGGCTTTCTATTCTCTCTCTTACCGCTTGATTATCATTATTAAAAAAAAAGGAGAGCGAGCTAGAAAAAGAGAGAGAGAGAGAGAGAAGCAGAGCACGTCACTTCATTATTCTTTTCTTCGTCATTCGATGTCTTTTACTCTTTACTTGTAGGATGTTTGTTCAACAATTGATACTTTCCTCGTCGGTCTCTACAATTTAGTAAGTTCCATCCATCATATACTTATCTAACATGAATAATCAATTGCAGACTTTGCCTAACCGGTAGTTAGCTATTGATAACAGTTGTCATATACTAATCTGTATCAGTAGCTCTACTACTGAATAGTCAACATATGTCACAATCGACGTTTTGATTCTCGATCAAATCGAGACGAAATAATATTTGACATATTTTTTTTAGAGCGTTCTCGACGATGGTTACAATGATAAAGTACACGAATTCAGTAAGTTCTAGTTAGAAAAGAAGTTCATGTCAAGTTGAAAACGATGACTTCTCCTAGGAATTCCAAATCTTACCATCCCTTCCATCTACCACACTCCGAATCCGGTAAGTGTCTAAATGTCTAAAGAAGATTTTTTTCCCAAATGTCAGCTTTTTCGACGAAATGTCATAGTAATTAAAATGATCAAATAAATGTTTGATTTCATTTAGGATCATTATGCGCCTACTCCGCTGACTCAACATGCGATATCGAAACATGAGAAAAAACGTGAAGTAGTTCGGCTACATACATTTGTTCCATTCGATACAGTCAATGCAACCACAAGGTAGAGTTTGCCATTCGCTATTGTCTTGTGCTTTCAATTACTAGTCTCACCTCTCTTGCAGTAGTTCAAAACTAATGATCATTTCCAAAGGGTTGGTTTTGCAAACAGAACGATGTATAAAACTATCTACTGTGGTTTCATGATTTTTATCATTTGTTCGTGGGTAAAAATGCAAAAGAGAAGACAGAAATCCATATCATTTGTTCGTAGAACACTTGTGTGTGCTTTGCCATATTTCTTTCCTCGAAAGAAAAATCAGCAGTTATATTTCTTTTTGCTCCTAATAATTCATTAATAAAACACCGCGTAGTTATTCTATACTAAGTTTGCTTCTGATCTGTTTAGAGAGCAGATTCTTTGGTTTCTTTTGATACAGTATGGAGCGAATGTGTCCGCAATGGATTCTTATTCTCGACAAGCATACTTTAAAATGGCGAAAAAGTGAGTGATGAAAATATCAAACGATTCATTGAATATTCTTCGGTTTTCTGCATAGATTACTTAGTCAAGGTTTTTCTTTCGATGAAAAGAACTTCACTAAAGTGCATACGTCGTCACCATTGCCATCCACTGGTCGACGTATACCAGTGTCGAGTCGAATGATGTCGGAAATCTTAGGAACATTATCCTATTTTAAGTGAGTATTTCTGAATCGATCTTCGTTGTAAACGTTTTCTGTATTTTGCAGAGCGAATGCAATCGACAGGGATGCCGCGGAATGTATGCGTCTTGTGAAAAAACGAGCGGAATATGAAATGTATGCGGATGTTATTCTAGTACGTATTGACGAATGGCTCTTTCGCTTTTAATGAATTGAATGTGTTCAGATGACTGAATCGATGAGTTATTTGCATGAATTTGAAACTCAACGACCTGAAACACAAGATACGATTGGGATTGAGATCGAGTTGCCACCGACAATCGATATGGTCAAACAAAAACGTTCGGCAACGACAACACGCTCCATGAAAAATCGACATCGACCGCACAGAACTCATCAACCACACGAAACAGGTACTTGACAATATTAGACTTCACATTTCGATGATTTCTTCGATTTGAATTTAGCTATTATCGAGAATGATACATCGAATGAAACTATCGAGCATTTAAATTTTGTTCCGGTGCCCAGTAACGCTGACCCGGCAACACTGACACCACCCACTAGTCATCGACATAAATCTATACTTGATGTTCTGGATGAGAACTCGCCAACCACAGACTTTATTCGTTCAAACAGTAACAATGCATCGATATCAGGCGAACAGCAGAATGCAGACGATATAAACTCAATGAATGACAGCAGAAAATCCAATATTTCATCATCAATTGGACCAGCAACATCGAGTGCATCACCTTCATCACCACGCCACTACAAACCCAAATCTTTGACTTCAACGCAAACCTATTTCAGTACAATTCAACAACGGGCATCATCACCCAATATGCAACATGTTCGAACCATTGTCCACCAAAGCGAAACTGACTTGCCACAGTCACGTACATCGAGTATGAAGCATAGCGATAAGAAGGAAATGTTTACTACTGTACGATTCGTATGTAATAATGAAAATCAAGACAATGCAACTGAAACATACCTTTAATCCGAACAAAATCTGTTTTGTGTTTAATAATATCGATATAATTTAGTCGGTGTTTGTGTTTGTCTGTTTGTCCTATTTTATATTCATATATATAGAAACAAAGAATAATCTGAATAAAATCAACGAATGTTAATTATCTTTTTCATATTTTCTTGCAGTTCGGGCTAAGTTCAACCACCCAAGAAGAATATCAATGATATACGTGACAAGAAAGACTAGAAATGTTCTTTCGACTTTCAATCAAAAATTACATTCGCAGTTAGCAATTGTTATGATTATTGGTCGATAATTATTACATTTGTTTTGAAGGAAGAAAACTTCTGTTCTCGTTATCTTAAACAAGTCTTTTCCTTTTTTCCGTTTAGCGCGAGAAAAGCGTACTCACTACCTTTCTTTCATAAACATTGGTAGTCATAAGAGCTAATTGGTTTCTTTTGCACCACATCCGTACTTTCTCTTTTCTACCCCCTGGAGCGATAAAGTTAACTATATTGTCTAACTTCAATATATTCAGACTTTCTGTTCGTTCTTAGAGGACATTGACACGAAACTTCACTTTCACTAGATTTTTCAGTCGAGTGTTTCATCTACAAATAGCTGATCGAGTTGACAAGTGCTTAATTTTCTTTATTGGTCGAACAATTTTTTCGACATAATGACATCTAATCTTAGATTTTATATATGAAACAATAATTATAGAATTGAATTTATTCGTTGAGTGAAATATGAAAAAAATTAAAAATGCTCACAAAAACTCGTGTCATTTAGATCACCATGACCAACCATGTAGAACTCAAAAAATGTCAACAGTATTCTCAGTATGTTTATCAAGAAGAAAAAGAAGCATGCAAATATCATTTAGCTCTTATTTCTTTTCAAGTTCCATCCTCTGATGTGAGGAGATATTCAAGAGCAAAGGAGTGTAGTTATATCTTGCAAAAGTTTGTAAATTAATAAGGCAGAATATGCTTTTCTACTCATAAATGACCAGAGGATAGGGAACTGTGTTAGATTAAGATTCATTAAATTTAGATAGAGGCAAATATCTATATGTTGGTCTCTATAAGACTCCACGTCGCTCACAGCTGAATTCATAATTCGCCTGAAGAATTAATTAGTTTTACACAAGAGATTTAGTTTCAATAGACGTATTAGAATATGCATTAGTGTTCACGCCTAGCTGCAATAAAATATAGTCGTGTATTAATGTAGTAGATAATATCTGCGTAAGGAGAATTCTGAAATGTCGATGTTTGTCTTTCAAAGAAAAAAGCCTCACTTCTATTTCGAAGTATGGTATAGTGATCGATAGTTATATTTTTCGCTTTTATTTTGTGTTTCTTGCTTTGATTTAAATGTTATTGTTTCGGTTCGATGATTTTAGACGATGACTACGCAAACCAGAGTAACTTTTATATGTAAATCCTACGCAATACGATCACGACTTGATCCTTTTTCTTGCTAGATACTGTAACTGTATATATATATATATATGCATCTAAACGTCTGATGATCACCAGCGCGATTTACTGAAGAACAAATCACAAGAAGCAATGCAACCTCTCGCAAAAACTTCAAGTCAACCACATAACCCAGCTGAATTATTGGCCAACTCACCGGCTACGAAATCTGGTTGGCTATACAAAAGAGGTATGTTGTGAAATTCGCTATATGATCTTTTGCAGATATGCTCTGTGTCGATCGATATTCGGCTAGACTGGAAGAAAGCAGCTGATAGCGGTTTAAAGCGCTTTATAGAACTTTTAGGTCTTTATGTGTAATAATTGAAATTAAAAAAAATGAGACAGATGTCAAGTTGACTTCAACTATGTCCTTTTTTTCTATTGTTCAGGTGAGCACATCAAAACATGGCGTCCACGGTACTTCATTCTTGTGCAAAATGGGCACTTATACGGTTATCGCAAACCTCCGACTGCTAATGACAGTCAACAGGAAGAACCACTGAATAAATTTCAAGTGATCGACTGTAGCGTTATACGACAAGATAAGGTTAAACAAAACGCTTTTGTTATTCATTTTAATCAAATGAAAATCGAACGACTATTCGCGGCTAGTAGCCAACAAGATCGGTATGGAGCCCTTCTTTTTATACACAAATACTTACAAGATGTTGTCTTTCTCTCTAGTGAAGAATGGATTTCAGCAATTGAAAAAATCAATCAACAAACAACACCCCATCTACAGCATCAGTTGCAAACGCCGAAACAATTCCATAACCAAATGGTTACAAACGATAATAGTGATCATATGGAAGACCATCGTCTGTTAATGAATGAAGTTTTCACACGAAGGCCTGTATGTTTGAAAAGATTTTCTCTGAGAAAAAGCATCAAATTGCTGAGTGTGTGATTTTCATTTAGCAAATCAATGATTTTGAATATTTGAAAATTCTTGGCCGTGGAACATTCGGTAAAGTTGTACTTTGTCGTGAAAGAACTACGCAGCGAATCTTTGCAATGAAAATGTTGAGAAAAAGTCACGTAATAACGAATGTAAGAAAACTACAAGGTGCGATTCAATAAGAATTGGATTTCTTTGTAGGGCGAGATTGTACATACGATGGAGGAAAATAAAATTTTGCGACGAATTCGCCATCCATTTATAACAAATTTAATATGTGCATTTACTACAAGTGATCGTCTTTGTCTTGTAATGGAGTGTGTCAATGGCGGCGAACTTTTCTTTCATTTGAATCGGGAGAAACGGTTCTCGGAAGAACGAACAAGATTTTATGTAGCAGAAATTGCTTGCGTTATTGGTTATCTTCATTCGAGGAAGATCATTTATCGTGATGTCAAAGTAAGGAAGATTTTATCACGGAACAATGAAATTTCGTTTTTTTCCTACAATTAGTTGGAAAACATTTTACTTGATCGGTTTGGTCATATAAAGCTAGTCGATTTTGGTCTATGTAAAACCAATGTTCCATTCGGAGAAACAACAGTAACATTTTGTGGTACACCGCAATATATTGCACCGGAGGTAGATTTACATTTTCTTGTCGACATATTGAGTCATTTGTTTGAATGTAGATTCTTCGAAGGACATCGTACACGAATGCGATCGATTGGTGGGGAATTGGTGTTATTATGTATGAGTGTCTTGTTGGTCGATTGCCGTTTGCGGATAGTAAAAGTCAGGAAGGTCTCTTTCAGAAAATTCTCAATCATGAACCAGTGTATCCGCCGACATTATCTCCTGTAGCAAGCGATCTAATCAGGCGTTTTCTCAAAAAAGAACCAACTGAACGGTAGGAAAGAGGGAAGCGCCTAAAAATAAAAATGATTTACTGTTGATTCTAGTATTGGTTCGGGTATTGAAGATGCTGTTGAAGTTGAACGACATCAATTCTTTGGTGGCATTCCATTTCGCTTTTACGAAGAAAAGAAAGTTCGTTTTGCGAGAAAAGCAATGCATTTGCTGGCTAACTATTGGTTGCTTCCTTCTTTTAGATTGAACCACTGTTCAAACCAGAATTAGATTCAGATACTGATACACGCTATTTTGATACTGAATTTACGAACGAACCTGTTTGTGTAACTCCACCTGGTAGCGAAGAGAAAACCGGAGCTAATTTCTTTTTCTGATGGAGTTTTCTATTGTTTCAGGTAGCACAGACTCTTTGAATGGTCTTGGCTTACCAGATGACGCTTTTGAACGGTAATCTATTTCAGTTTGTTCGTATTCTTATTATTCCGAATTCTCATTTAGTTTCACCTATGTTGGCAATGATGGGTTAAGTCATTTCGCATCTCGATCGATTCTTTCAATGGCGTCCTCACATGCTGCTCGTTCTCAATCAAATATTTATCTCGACGACCCCGATTATTATCACCAACAACTCAATGCTCCTAATCTGCAAACTCAACATTCGGTTTCGACCTACAACATGCCATCATTGGTTGCATCATCGACATCCATTCGTCCGAATTCATCGGCACGAATGAAAAATGCCACGAGTATGCAACAATTAAAAGAATCAACCAATAATCGCATTCCTAATCGCCCATGGGAAACAACTGAGCAGCAAAACATGATTATGGACCAAGATGAGCAACAACGACAATCAACATTATCAATTCCCGACGTTTATCGACAACAACTAATAAATGAACATCTTATGTGTATTCAACAAATGATGGCTAGTGGACAAAATTTTGCTTCTATGTTCAATGACGATCCTGTGTTTGCTCAACAGTTCATGGCTTATTTATCATCTGGTGATCAGCAAGACGACGACTACGATGTGATGGAAATCACTGATGAATAAAACAACTAACATGATCCATCATATTCGTCAGATGTTTTTGCGCATGAAAAACAAAAAGAACTTGTTTATGAGTTAGCGAATTTTTCCGTCGAGCTTCATTCTCGGTTTATTAATTATTCTTATACATTTGCTTGTTTCTCTTTCGATATTTATTTATATCGAATCATTTCAATAAATTCGGCAAAATTGATTTTTCCATCAAAGTCCTTATCCGCTTCTTGCATCATTTGTTCGACTTCTCTTCGAGACAAATTCTCGCCGAGAGTATGCATGCCACGCCAAAGATTATCAAATCTAATAAACAGAAGCACAGTATGTTTTGTTCAAGTAAAAATAGATTTACGTTATATAGCCAGATTCTGTACGGTCAAACATACGAAATGCTTCTTGTAATTCTTCGACTGTGTCCGTTCTATTTATTTTATATGACAATAAGACCAGAAATTGAGTAAAACTAATTTGATCGGAATCTATTAAAAGTTAAAAGAGCCTAGTGAAGTAAATAATTTAAAAAATAAACGAACTTTCAAGATCGATTTCTTCAAGATAGCGATTCAGTTCATCTTCTTCCATGATGCAGTCTTTGAAACTTTCATCTAAGTTTTCAAAGATTGTTGGAATATCTTTCACGTAGACCGAACCATTATTCTTTGAATCAACCAATGAAAAGGCGTGACGGATATCTTTAAAAGTACAGATCTTTCCAATAGATTTGAAATTGTCAAATTACCGAATATTTGTTGTTCGCTGAATGTTTCGTTCTAAACGACAGAAATGCTTTCTTTTCGATTATCAGTAGATGGATTTCAATTCACCATCTTTTACTTGTATATACAATATTGAAATATGAAAGAGAAGTCTCGATATAAAACATGTCTTCTATTTGTTACAGAAGACTCAGAAATGTATGTTCTTTTATTGTAACTGAATTCATCGCGAAATAACGCGCAGTCCTTGGTAAAACAAAATGTGTTTATTTAAAATCGAAGCAACGAGAATTTGCAAAGTCATTGGAAAGATGTTTGACTGGTCGATAGAAAATAACATCACAGATTATCAAACAGATGTTTGCTTAAGACGGCTGTCTAGTAACGAACTGTTCGTTCCTGGTAATGAATTTGTGTTGGAGGTATTTAATCCACTAGACAGTTCTTCAATTTTCTTTGTTAGTTGTCGTTTGTTCCTATTTGTCATTGATTTTGTCGAAAGAATTTTCTCTTCATTTTCATCTTCGGATGCTGATATATCGAATTCGGTTGTCGCGTAGAATAGATTCTTTGCACCGCTTCCATTTAATCGACGACCTCCAGCATCAGTATCCTGCTTTTTCGTTGAATTCGAACAGCCCATACGTATCGTCTTACATAGCAAAATGAATGTCTTTTTACATCATTTGATAAAACGATACTGACGTCATCAGTAAATATTTCAAGATAAATTAGAAAGAAAAGAACAATGAGAGAATTGATCTGTTAAAGTTGTACGACAAAGTTTTTTTATTCAGCTGTGTTACCTGTTACATTTGAAAATGCTCACAGTGGAAGAGAAAGTGGTGAAAACAAAATAAATCGAAATGTTGATGGAAAATGGATTCAAGTTTCAAGCTCCATCAATTGTAGACCGTATACTGTTTTTGGAAGACAAACAGTCGCCATCTTTTCTAAACAGCAGCATGAAGTATGCGGGTGTTTAATATGAAAGAACGAAAAAGTAGAAGAAAAAAAACACAAGAGAGAAGCAAAAACATATCATAGTTTATCTTTTTTTCTGTTGTCTTATTCCGCTTAAGCATGAAGTGTCTATATCAATAGATGATGTTCATGTTCTTGCACTATTTGTTCCACACGATTTAAATGGAGACCTGCTTTATCTGGTGTTACTCAGAATAGCCAGGAACCAGCTAAAACCATCAGCTGAACAAAATCGCCAGAGTTTTATGCCACATTTCTGACATTCTCCGACCGGTTCCAATATGGAACCAGTCAGTTTTCCGACGTATTGAGCTAGAAATTCACGGAATATTGCTTCAGGATTCGTCGGCCTGAGTACGTTCAATTGACTTTTGAATATACAGTATGCTAGAGACTTTTCTGATAAGAAGCTGCATAGCTTTTGTGCCGAGACAAACAGACTACGATGCATCAGTATATTTTAGATCCGTTTTGAACTTCCACTGTAGTTTTGTCGTTGCCAGTACGGTAGCAGTAGATAGAATGGGAACAGCCAGGCGAAGTGAGGGAAGTATAATCAAGAAAACACTGTCATAGCATTTTGATTCATATTTTGTACTCGAATGATAGCCATTTCAAATTTTTTTGATGATCTCTGAACATTTTCCGACGGCCATTTGCAGCTGATGTGAAGAAAACCTTGCCTGCTCATATAAATCCCAGATATTTAAATATTTTCTTCGCTCTTATCTGTTTTCATTATTCATCGACATCTTGACTGAAAATCTTTCATCTTGTTTATGAACAGCGCGCACTCCTGTTTTGACCAATGTATTCGGTATTTCTATACTTTCAAGTGCCTCTATGCTTCGTTGCAAATTTTTGAACCTTCTAACTCGAGCGATATATTGCACCACATGTTTTAACTGTTCATAATTGATATTTTATAAGTACGTTCATATAACCTGTGACAATATTGATAAAATGGACGCCAAGAAGATTGCAAGGTTCTTGTGAAGGGCAATGATGTCCTTCAACAACGAGGTCAGTGTGCCATACTCGATCGTACATCTTTTAATAATTCGGCTAAACTGTTGGTGTTGGTAGGTTAATTGTCATGAAGTTTAACTTGATATATTGAAAGCTTCTGGATAGATCGAGAGAAATTAAGACAGAAGTCAAACTGATTGGCGATCATTTGCTGATTTTTCACGAGGATCCCCTGAAAAAGTTTCTAAATGTAAGTACGCAACTTGTACTGAAGTCGGTCTGGTTTTGTCACATGAAGATGTTCCTGTTTTAATTCTTTGAATGATATGATTTTTGACCGCTGTGAATTCTCGGGGCCGTACTATGCTCATAACCAGATATTGACGCATTCGCCTAAACGGTCATTATAGTTATAAGGCAACTTTTTAATCATTAAGTTAGAAATCGAGTCTAATCCGGTTGACTTTTCCGTTTGAATTTTTTGCTGTACTATAGTTCAATTCGTTTCGATGTCTGCATTCGATGGCGCATTGACCGTACTGTTTTAATCATGGTAATCGATAATCGAAGAGTGAAATTGCTTCGCTACAATAATTCTCAAGCTCTTTTGCACTATATTCGATCGATGTAAAACTAGCACGACGAAACGATGTGTTAGCTAATAACTTTTTACTACATAAGTCCCGTTGATAAAAGCTAGTTCATTCGATTCAGAATCACACCTTTTCGCCATGCTATAATTCTGCACTGATGTACGCTCATGATTTTAAGGAATTGTATTTTTCACCGTCATTCTGTGTAGTTCGGAAGAAGGTGAGATTTGTATATCCCAGGTCGATCATTCCGGCGACTATATCCGTTGAAATCTGAGTCGGTTCCGGCACAGTTTTCGCTGATTCCAGCAAGTTCCGGCAGGTTCCTGGCCGTTTCCAACTCGAAGTTTGCAGGAGACGGTCGGGAAATTACTGGAACCTACGTTTGAACTTCCGGCGGCAAGGAAATGGTCGGAAAACGAACCTAACCGGCCAGAACCGACCGTGTCAGAATAACCTGGGTACACAAGAAACGATGGAACCAAATTTCTTTTTCTGGGTTATTAAGTGATGACTGAATATTTTATGAAAACTCATTGCACCGAAGGATTTTGCATTTTTTAATAGCACTTTTTAATTCTTTTGTTATAATACGTAGTAATACTATCATGTCTTCACATTGAATACCTCTTCTCCTTAGTCAATGAAATTTATTTTTCATTTTTTTGCTCTTTTTTAACTTTTCTGTGGTGCCGTATTCAAGTGATCTGCTCGATATTGAGTTAATATTAGTCACGGAAAGAATCGCCCGAAAAAGCGCCGCAAATCGGGTACAACGAAATTTTTTCGTTCTGACGTTTGAGTGCTTTTCCTTTCCTTTGCTTTCCTCGAACAATAGTCCATTATGTTCACACAGAGAAAACGAATTGTCGCTAATGTCCATTTTTGTCTGAACCAATAACGAATCATCTTTTTCAGTTCTTTCTTCTTTCGCGCATTTGTCTTGACCAACATCGTTTTCTTCTCACCAGCAGTCTATTCATAATCGTCCGGCAGAGATTCGCGTGTGTTGGACGTATCCACTATCTTACTTGTACTAGAGCTAATTTCTCAATTTTTTAGAGTTATTCTAATCATAGAACTTGTCCTAAAGTTCGAGCATCACTGTTATGAACCAACATTCAGCTTTTCTTCGTCCGCACCATGGGAAAACAAATAATTCTCTCAGTAGTAATTCTTCATCATCAACATCGAATGACACAGATGAGAATTCGACGATAAAGAACTTAATCTACAAACATATTACCAAAGGACAGCAATCGACCATGACGACGACTTTGAACAAAGGTACAATGCGTGGCATCCTTGGTGAAGTTGGTAATATGACCCTATCGAATAAACCAATGATTTCTAAGCCTAAAATAATTCAACAACAAAGTTCATTTGCGACAATTATCGAATCGAAATCAGTTGTTAGTGTTCCACCACCAGCACCACCGCCGGTAGTTATTCCATCAATCACAACAACAACGGCAACAACAGTCGTTGATGAAGAGGTCGAAGAAATTATTTCAGATTATGAGGACGATGAATATGTATCGGACGTACCAGCTGAATTTGATTGCGATAGCGGTGATCGACATAACATCATTACAGCTTCGGAATATGTGGGTGAAATTTGCAAATACTGGAGAGAATTGGAAGAACGTACGCCCATTCGACAAAATTTCCTACTGAATCGCCGTGAAGGTAAAACGAACGAAAATCGATTTAAAAGTTGTTATGAAAAGTGTTCGTGTTTTTCATAGGCACGGCTTCGCCGCAAAATCGCGCGGTCTTAATTGATTGGCTTTATCAAGTCCATGATCGTTTCAAACTTCTTTCGGATACATTTCATATGACTGTTAATTTTATTGATCGTTATTTACAACTTGTTGATGTATCCAAACATGATCTGCAGCTTATTGGATCGGCTGGTAAGGCATTCGGACTCAAACCCAGTCTTTGTCGCTCACGTACATTGTCTTTCATTTTAGCCTTGTTATTGGCTTGCAAATATGAGGAAATGACCATTCCCGGCATGAATGATTTCGTCTATGTCTCTGATAATGCTTACTCCAAAGAAGATATGAAAGAAATGGAACGCCGTATAATATCAACCTTATCTTATGATCTTGGACGGCCATTATCCATCAATTATCTTCGTCGTTATTCGAAAATCATCCAAGCAACGGATCTAGAACATACGTTAGGCAAATACCTTCTCGACTTAACCTTTATCGATCATTCGTTTTCTCATCTTCTTCCATCGTATGTCGCAGCATGTGCTTCATTTCTTTCACGTTATTTGCTTGCGTATAAACGCGTTACTCCTTCGACATCAATGTCGTTATTAGTTGAACATTTGTGGCCCGCCAAATTTATGTTATATCATACTGGCTATACCTACGAACAACTTCGTCAAGGTATTGAACAATTAGGCCAATTACTTATTGGTCAAGAAACAGCGAAGTTAAAAAGTGTACACAAGAAATTCTCCCAAAGTAATATGTTCTCAATAGCACAACATAATTGCTGCAAAAGTGCGTTTGTACAAATTGCACTAACTCGTCTAACAAAGTAATTCGCAATGATTCTTAATCTCTTTTTTCTTCTATGTCGGATAAAATCTATTCTCTCTCTCTCTCTCTTTGTTTTCAATGTTGGTTTATCTGAAACTAAAAAAAACACAACAACTTCGATATGTATAGTTTTGATTATTGTTTGTTATTATTTTCTTCTGTTCATTTCTTTCTTTTTTTGTCTCTTACATATGTGCAGTAAGACATCAAATATGCTGTACATTTTGGTACGAGTGTTTGATTGACTATATGTGCGTGAAAACTAAACAAAAAAAAACTGAAGCGAGCAATGTTTGATGTAAACTTTAGAACTTATACTCTGTGAATGTGTGACTGATCTTTTTTTTTAAACTTAGAAAAACTGCTTGTCTTGATCGACTAGAGAAACTTATCACGAATTATTCTTGTCTGGTTCTCACAGATGTGTATGTGTGTGTGTACGTGTGAATACAACATAATGAATGACGAATTAATTTGTTCTCGTGTTTTTTTTTGTATTTTGAAATATACTATTAGAATAGATTGTCATTTTTGAAACTGACTCATCGTGTGGATATGACATGAACGATAAAATGATTTGACTGTGTAACACTCCCATGGCATTCAATAAAGAAAATCGATGATGCAATGGCGAAATTGATTGTTTCGTATATGACTAATTTCCACAGCTCGCTCTCTGCGTGCGCGAGTTTGATTCAGTGGAAATAGAAAAAAAAGAGGTGAAGAGTTTGGTTTCGTGAGGGTGATGATGACGTCGATGTCTTTAAGAAGATAAAAGCAACTATGCTAAGCATAAAGCTTATGTAACACGAATCACTAAGGGATGTGGAGTATTGCATTTGCAATCCGTTTGACTGACCTTTGGAATAATGTGTCAAGTTGGGTACAAATCACTGGATGAGAAATCCTTCGTTACATCAGAATTCTATTTCTCTTGGAGTTCTTTCTATTTTTCAGCGCTGTTCAGCTCGTACAAGATGACTAATAGATTTCTACGTCTTTTTTCTCTCTCTTTCTCTATTTTAGAAATATCTCAATGACGCATCAGGCACAGAACACGTGTTCGCGTTTGTATGGTGCACATTTAAAATCGAAGTCCAATATTGACGTAGACATAGTATAAATACTGCAGAGGAGGTAAATTCATGAATTTTTTCTTCCAAAATACATAATGCCACGAGATATTCGGTGTGTTAAACGATCTCTTATCGATGGTTTATTAGAAATCTATCGTTCGAATCGTTTTCTTGCTCTGTGTTCATTTCTTCTTATTTTATTCATCTCATCGGTGATTCCATTGTCAATTATCTGGCTAATTCAAACGCTTTTTCTGGACATTCGAATTATTCCGATTTCATCGCCATATTTAAGTACAATTCTAACGATATGGTCTACAGTGGAGGTTCTTTTCTTGGTTTATCAGGCTTATTTATATTCGCGTATACAACGACTTACTCCTACACCTTATCTATCAGCTGCAGAACGCGAGCAAATAGTATCAAATGTATTAGCTAATATAAAAGATATGCCCCGAACGTTAAGCAAGTGGTTTATGGACCATCCGTTTGAAGATATTAGTCGTCAAAGTGTAATCAACTGGTTGGCATTTGCATTTTACTCGAAAAAACATCACGATTTAGACGAAAATGATTTGGAAGAACTTAATCAACTCCTGGCAAAAGTCGAAAATGCCCATCAATTAACTATTTCAAATGATTCATCGATCGATCAAGTTCCTTACATGAAGCATATCCTCGATCCTGTCCATATAATATTCCGCCCATTCGTATTCTATTTCGTTACCGATACATTATTAAACAGCATCCTAGCGACAAGTATCTTCTATCTGAAAGGCTATCAGTTCGTTCAAATAGGCCATCTTCCATTTTGGACGTATCATGATGAAACATCAAATGACAACAACGAACCAGAAGAAGAGCCCATTATCTTCTTTCACGGAATCGGTGCTGGATTATTGATGTACCAACCATTTTTCACACGTATTCATAAACAATTCTCTCGACGACGACGTATCATTTTAATATCGCTACGATGTATTTGTATGCGATATCCAACATTATCAGATATTCCAAACATGTCCGAAACTGTTGACTCTATTCGATTAATATTCGAACATTACAAAATGAAAAAAGCTATTTTCATCGGTCATAGGTCAGATTTGATTTACACTATATCGCCTCTATTTCGGTTGTTTTTGTTTAGTTATGGTACGGCATGTTTATCATGGATTGTTCAAAAATGTCCGCAATACATCTCACGATTGATCTTTCTCGATCCAATTTGTTTTTCATTATTCGAACCTTATGTCATCTACAATTTTGTCTATCGAAAACCGTACAAACTAGGACACCTTTATATGTACTACTTTGTTTGTCGAGAATTAGGTATATCTTATGTGATAAGTCGTCATTTTTGGTGGACACAAAACAATTTNGGTGTTCGAAATGTTGTTGTCGTCGTTGTTTGTCCTATTGTTGTCGACGGACAACAATAACGCACCTTATAATCAGCGCATTGTTTATGTTTGAAACCATCAACTTGTTGATTTAAACATAGAAATCCATCTTTAGGTGATAATCGAAATAAATCACCGGTTTGACCTGGATGTCTGTCGTTTATCGTACTAGCCTAGAATATAAATTACCATCGATAGCATAAAATTAGAATAATAACATCTTGGATCTCATTACTTCAATAGCGACAGGTACTGGACATAGAAATGAAGGAAAGAGTCGTTGGATATGAGTTGTAATTTCGAATTCACCAAGTGTAGTACTCGGATTGCCTGAGTCAAACCATGTTGTCCATTGATTACTGCCGGAACAGCCAGAGGCTGTAAATTCAGGCGGAGAAAATATTCCTTGTGTTAACGCTCCGAGATTCCATTGAAGTAATAAGAAAATAATCGCGAGCATATCGTCGCCTTAGAGAAAAATATTCGTTTTGTCAAGTGAAAAATGTATCGATTAAATAATCAGACACTTAAGCTTCTTATCATATGAAAAATGAAGATACACGAAAAAAAAAATGATTCGCATCATCTGAAGAAATCGAATATCTGATTGTTAAGTGGACTAGTTTTTAATTCATTTCGCTTTTCAATCGACGGAAAAATATTGATGAAAAACGATCCATGAGTAACTTTTAATCTAGACAAAAGTGCAAAAGTCATTAAGCTCGATGAAAGTCCCGAGCTTGTTAGTAGGCGGGGCGCGACTTTTCGAAAAAGAAAAACAAAAGTCAGATTTCAATTTGCCTATTTTCTTTCAAGGCATCTACTTGTTGATCATAATGGAAATGTTAATAAACGCAACCGGTTGAATCAAACATCTCTGCATTGTTTATTGGAAGCGGGAAATGAAGTGCGTCGGAATGAGTGTTTAACATTATTGTTAAAATGGAAAGATAAACAAACGAACGAAACAATTGATCTTGACGCAAGAGATTCCGTAAGCGATTTTCCCTTGGATTCTTCATCTCGATTGACGTCGTTTTCTAGGATGACAATACCGCACTGCACTATGCAGCAAAGAATGGATTGAAATCCTGTGTGGAAGTAAGTTTTTAGGGGTGGTTTAATTGAAATGCATTGATTTTCTTCTAGAGCTTATTGAATGCTGGTGCTGCGCTCTATGTGGAGAATCGAGAAAAGTTAACGCCTTGTGAACTTGGTTAGATTTCATAATAGATTGCACTAATTTTAAATAATGGTCTTCGTTTTTAGCTGAGAAAAATGGTCATAAGGATTTAGCCATCTATCTGGAATCGCGAATGATTTTTAGCGTAAGTTTCACTTTGTCGTTCAGACGTCGATGTACAATATCATGCTTCCTTCTTTTTAGAGTAGTTGCGAAGATTTAGAAATCGATGAATCGCCATTGACAACCGATGATGTAATGTTTTTTACTGATGGTTTCATCGTAAGTCGTATATGTACATTGCAGGTTTCATGCGGTCTACGAATCCAAGATTTACAAGAAGCCAAAGATCTACTTCTTGTTGAAACAGCTGATATGTTACAAATTCCATTATTTACTGCTGAAGCCTTGCTTCGAAACTATGGTGAATTTGCTTTCGTTAAAATTCATATTAATCATATTTGCTTGATTCTAGAATGGTCAAAAGAATACTTGCTTCAATCATGGATTGAAGATCCAATTCGCTGTTGTGAGATATCCGGTGTCAATCCTCCATTAAGTCTTCTACATGAACGTGGTTTGACAACCATCGATATAAATGATTTTGATACAGTACATCTTTCAAATGAAGTAAAAGATAGTCCGGAACATTCGTATTCATTTGAAGAGAAATTTTAGTGTGGAATCTGCCTGAAGATCTTCGAAAGTGGGGTAGAAAGAATCGTTATCTCGTGTGATCATCAGTTTTGTAAAGATTGTTGGCAACAGTAAGTTTATTTTTAAAAAAGAAGATCCTTTCCTTTCTGATCTGTTGACTTGTGTAGATATTTAACATTGAAAATAGTTGAAGGTTCTGTGCACAGTATATTCTGTCCGGCAACTGATTGTTTTAAGTTTGTTCCAAATGAGATCATCGAGAAATGTGTTGACAAGAACATGGCGAGACGTTATCTCCAATTCGATATCAAAGCATTTGTTGATTCGAATCCAAATTTTAAATGGTGTCCACATAGTGATTGCACATTAGCTGTTCAGTCACCGGTCTTCGATCGTGTACAATCATCTCATATGAGAGAATTCTCCAAGTCAGTTAATTGTCGAAATGGTCACTATTTTTGGTAAGAAATTTCAGGTTTGAATGTAAGAGAAACGGATTGGTTTGTTTTAGTTGGGATTGCTTACAAGAAGGTCATGAACCAGCATCGTGTGAAAATTGGAAAGATTGGTTTGACAAGATAGCAGAGATCAAACCGGAAGAATGTAATGAGAGAGTGCGCTAAGAATTCTCCAATCTCTAATCGTTCGAATTTGTTTAGTGAAAGGTACAGAAGAAGAAGAAGAGATCGCTGCGAATTGCTTATGGTTGGTAACAAACTCAAAAAAATGTCCAAATTGTTCGATTTCCATACAGAAGAATGAAGGTTTATTTTGTAGTCTGACCAAGATTCTCAATAAGAATCTTTTGATTTTTAGGTTGCAATCATATCAAGTGCGTCAAATGTAAATACGACTTCTGTTGGGTCTGTTTGGAACCATGGAAAAAACATTCGAGTACAACGGGCGGTTATTTTCAATGTAACCGATATGAAACTGTAAATAAAATAATTGCCAAAGAGAAAGAATTGATCACTGCTGCTGAACAACGTCATATACGAATGGTTGAATTAAACAAAGTAAGAATCCTCATTTCGCCGTATCTCTCTTTTAATTCTCTGTTTAGTTTATACATTATTACACTCGCTTCAAAAATCATGAGAATTCTTATAAACTCGAAGAACCCTTGTCGAAAACTGCGAAGGAAAAATGCGAAATTATCTTTTCGAAATCCACACAGCCATCACAAACAATAACGACAACAACTGATGAAAACTCCATTGAATCTCAGACGAAATTCATCGAAGACGCGATTAAAGAATTGTTACGTGCACGACGTGTCCTCCGTTGTTCATATGTCTATGGTTATTATCTTGAAAATTCCGGCCATAAGAAAATGATATTCGAATTCATTCAAACGGAATTCGAAGAATGTACAGAAACTCTGTCGCAAATCATCGCCCGTCCTTATCTTCGCACACCCAAACATCGAATCGTCCAAGTAACGAAAAATGTCAAACGAAAACGTCTCGAATTCTTAGAAACCATTGCACGTGGTCTGATACCGCCCGACACACCGCCCAGTTTGAAAAAGTTCTCCAGACAACGATGGAAATATCTACTCAAAGACGATGTCGACGGAGACGATAATGAATTGAAAAAAGCTATTGCCTTTTCATTGAAAGAGCTCGATCCGAAAGTAAGACATCACTCGTAGTAGAACGGACATATCACTTCGATTTCTGTTGTACTTCTAGAATCCGTGGATTGTGGATAGAAAAGGACGACACACGAATCTCGTGACGTTACTTGACGAATGGCCAGAATTAGAAATGGAAATGGATTCTGGTCTCATTTCGTGTGATGATGGTAATGAAAAAATCGAACTCGTCTGCAAATTCTTTGAAAACTTCTTTTCTAGGTGCGTATTGTAAACGTCGGAATTGTTACAAACGTCGTGCACGAAATCCCACAACATCGATTCGATTTGATTATTGCTCATTGAAATGCTTACGTCTTGACCGTACTGAACAATTAGAAAAAGGTTTTGATTCCTTTTGTTGTAAGATATTTCTCAATTTGCGTCGTTTTCAGAAGAAAGAGAAATGGAGCAAAGTTTAGCACCATTGACGAACTCATCAGCGATGAATACAAATTCGATGACCACGAGTACTTCAACAAACGATTCAGCATCAGAGCCACAAAATTCTGATGATAATTCATCCTCGATTGTTGTCGTTGCACCTCCAAATGACGTGATGGATCTACTTCGAGCCATTGAAATGAGTCGTTTACAAGCAGTTCGTGAAAATGAACAGAACATCTATCGGCCCAATCAAACGAATTCAACCAAAAATCCAAACGATAAAATCAATTATTTCAATGATCTACAACAAACAATTGAATTATCATTACGAACCAAAAATGAACAATCACCAGCAACAACAAGCAAGTTTCCTTCTCTGCGGTGAACAACTCCTATTGTTTTCATTTTTTTCCAGTATGTGACGAATCTCATGAAGACGATGCGCAATCAGCTGGTGCGGCGGCAGTTGCTGCAACAATGCCAAGCTTAGATCTCTTCAGTAAGTTGATAAATTGAAGGCATTTTCGAACAACGAACGATTGATTTCACATTCCAGTCGAGGACAATGCTGCCACGTTGAATTCAATCATAATGAATTTACAGTCGGCAGTTGAGAAAGATAGTACCTACGAAAAATCGAAAATCGTCGATTTCGATAATAAATACAATGAATTAAAGGAAAATCTGAAGAAACCAAATGAATTAAAAGAATACGAAGATTTCGATTTGAAATGTATCGAAACATCGTTCCATCAGCAACAAACCGAAATACGAAGAAAAACAAGCAATAAACGAAACAAAGATGTCATTGTACCATTAGATACAAATGAAACATCTATGGTCGCAGCAGCGGCAGCAAGTTCCATGCCAAATAGTGTACGCAGTCCATTACAGCGAAAACGTGCAAATATCGAACTCGACATTCGACCCTGTGGCCCGAATGAAAGGTAAATTGTTCGAGTGAAACTTCGGATCATATCGATTTGTTGAATTTAGCTTTAATAATCGAACATTATTAGTTCGACATGAGAATCAACCATATGAACATTCGTGGCTGAATGAATCTATTTCAATGTCAACAACTCGTGCCATTGTTGAACGACGTCCGATAACACCATCCGATGATGAATCCAGTTTTGTTTAATAATCCTTCAATCAATCGTCTTTTATTTGCTTTCTAATCAATGTTAATCTTGTTAATCGAATCTCGTTTTTTTTCTTCTGTTCGAAAAGAAAAGAAAGTCATTACTCGTTAGTAAAATTCCTTTCAATTCCCTCAACGTTCTAGTCATTGTCTATTGTGCGTCTATCTGAATTTTGTCTCTCTTTCTTTCGATTACATTTTTTTGTGCAATAATGAACTCGATGTTTCTTGTTCCTCTTTTCTGTAGTATTTCATCATTATCATCGGAGTTAAAACAGATATGATGATAAATAAAGATCAGCAGACTTTTGCTATCAGTATATTCTAGTCGTCTGTACGAATCATGAATATGTCGTATGCTAATGAACAGAACAAAACAAAAGAGAAATTAGAATAACCATCGATCGTTAGTCTGCGTACGCTTCATAGACGATTATCATCAGGAAAAAAGTGAGACACTCAATAATCGTTGACATTCACAAAGTATCGTCTCTGACCTTTATTTCTTCGAAACTATTTTTCACCTGAACGTAACACATGAAGATTATCTATTATTGAAGAAGTAGAAAGTAAGACAAAGTAGAGTTAGAAGAAGAAAAGAGCATTGTCTAATTGTCATCATCATCATCACCATCATTATTGATAAGCAGAAAAGAAAAGGAGGAGAGATAGATCATAATTGACCTTTAGGGAATCAATCTATTCGATGCTAATGAACAACTAACTTCAACAAAGTATCTCTATATCAAACACATTGCTTGAGCATTCTCGTGCTTTTTCTTCTTCTTCATCATCATCATCATCTCGGTAACATAACACTCACTAATATTCTTCGAACATCGTCAGAGAAGAATAATAAACAAAAGAATGGAAGTATAGATAATTATTGTCGACCATGCACGTCAATTAAAGATTACAGTAGCAAAAGATCGATTGATAAAAAAACGAGAGCTCTAGAACGTTTTTAATTAATATCTCTTCGGAGAATATTGAAATAAGTCGAGCCGGAAATGAAATAACATTCGGATATATCCGGTTTAACAAAAAAAAAATTTTCGTCATTAGTTTTCTTTTTCTTTTCACACCAGTATGCATGTTACGTCTCACATATGTACAAAATAGATTATAGAGAGAGGGGGAGAGAGAGAGTGAGGAAAGAAAAGGAAATCTACACACACACACACGCATATATATATATCCACACATACGTATATCGAGTTGAACAAACATCTCCGTCATCGCAATTCACAGAGGTGATCTGACTGTTATTCTAACACTCGTGTTTGTATCAAATAATCAATTTCTTGCATATTCTGTCTTGGTAAGTTCGTTTTGTTTCTCCTCCAGTTTCGTTTTCGATCAATTCAGAATGAAATCGAAAAAGATCGAGTCTTAACGTTTCCTTTTTGAATGGTCGGATTAATGATGCAATTTTCTTGAGTTTGGTTAAGACATGCAAATAGATCGCTCTAAGCTCGAGTTAAAATTAACACGAAAGCAGAGAATTAGAAGCAAGTTCTGTATTTGTCTTTGATTAACATGTCATTGTCAGTGACGAGAGAACGAAATATGATACTTGAATGTTCATTTGTTCGTGAGATATGTGTGTCGATGAGAGAATCTCATCTTGATAAAAGAAGAAGACGAGAAACGAATTTGTTTTATCGAAAAAGAAAAACTGTCAATTGTTGTCATTTCTCTCTGTGATCTAAATCAAAACTGTGAATGAACAAGTCAACAATTGTCGGTATGATATGAAATTGAGAAGCGAGAAGAATCGCGTTTTTGTTTTTCTTTATTTATAAACGTTTGAGGTATGTGTGCATTGAACTGAATAGAGAGATGATCAGATTTAAAAAGAGGAAAGTCAGTTGTAATTCATTGAATCGATAGAAAAAAAAAGAATCTCAAAGTTCATTTCGATTGATATGCAAATTAGTCCGGCGTATGATTTATTAGTCTTTCCTTGAAATGAAGCCCCATCATCAATGATCAAACGATTTCTTTTTTTAATATATCTTATGAATATTTGTTTGGAATTTGTATCGAGGAAAAAAAGACGTATAAGACACGTACAGAGCATAGAAGTAAGTTATATAAGTTGGTGAGTGTCACACATGAAGGAGAATATGTTATTTTTTTTTCTTGTCAATCATCATGTGTGATTAACAGTGCCTTTTGAGAATTGTTGACTATGTTAAGTTTTTGTCATTTCTTGTTGATTGACCATGTGTAACAGTTTTAAGACATGAAAAGAATAAATCTCTCATCATATCAATGAAAACAATGCAGAAAAACTTACATAATCCATTCTAACACGGTTTGTTTCTTCGGAAAGAAAAGACAAATATCAAAAGTGACCGATAGGTGGAATATTGACACGGTTTGTATCCGAGTATTGACCTTGTCTCTTTCTCTTTCTATATATATATATATATACACATGTCTTTCTATATTGATTTATTCGCTATTGCCGCACGCTATATCATTGACGATCGGCACCTGTCTCTTATGGGATTAGAATAGAACAGCTTGTTCGTATCATCAATTCATTTGTCTTGATTTTCATTTTCTAGAAGAGTATGTCATGTTAACGCAAATGCTTTGGATTGTGATTTGTCTCTCTTCCTGTCAATTAGTTAGTGGAGTGATACGAAATGAACTCTGGTGGTAAGTAGAGCACAAGAAACGAAAGTAATTCGAATGAATGGAATGTTTCGTTTAGGAATATTGGTCTTCGACGTGAAAATGAAAGTATTTTATCATCATATACATCGATCAATGCCGATCAACAATATGAAATTGATGATGATCCATCGCCATACTGTCAATCAACATTGAAAAGCTTGACGACTGGACAAAAGCAAATATGTTTACTACACGCCGATCATATGCCTGTGGTTATTCAAGGTGCAAGTAAAGGAATTGAAGAATGTCAACATCAGTTTCAAGATCGTCATTGGAATTGTTCAACTGTACGAGATGGAAGTGTCTTCGGACCTGTTCTTTATCATGGTACGTCTAATTTCTGTTTATACTCTCAAGTCTATTTGATATTTGATTTTATAGCAAATCGAGAAACTGCATTTGCACATGCAATGCTTTCTGCAGGTGTGACTTATGCTGTGAGTCGTGCTTGTAAGCAAGGTTTATTAAAATCATGTTCGTGCAGTCGATCAGCACGTCCGAAAAATCTGCCACGTGATTGGACATGGGGAGGGTAAGAGTTTAGATTGAATTTATAAGAAGAAAAAACACGAATTATCGTTTATTTCCGGCAAATTTAGATGTGGTGATAATATTGACTATGGTTATCGATTCGGTCGAGATTTTGTTGATACACCCGAGAAAGAAATTGATAATATGCGAATTCTTACTCCAATTACATTCATCAATTCTAATCAAACCGGAATTGATCGTAAAAAACGAAAACCGCTTCGTCGCGGAAGAATTCGTCGACAAATGAATATCCATAACAATGAAGTTGGACGACGCGTATGTTATAAAAAAAAATTCAATGTTCATGTTTCTCATAGCACAATTCACCTATTATTGCAGGCTGTTTACCGTCTGACGCGTGTTGTTTGCAAATGCCATGGTGTGAGTGGATCTTGCAGGTAAGGAAAACACATTTCTTGACTGTATTCATTGATACAATTCGATTTATTTCAGTCTTCGAACATGTTATCAACAATTACCAACGTTTCGTGAAATCGGTGCATTTCTAAAAGAAAAATATGATAGTGCTGTTGAAGTACGTTACCAACGTCGCTTAGGACAACTACGTTCACGTGATCGTCGTTTTGCCGGACCGACCAAAGATGACTTAATCTATTTCGAGGATTCGAATTTCTGTGAGTACAATCGACGGATTGGGTCATTCGGTACGAAGAATCGTAAATGTAATCGTACCAGTCACGGACCCGACGGTTGCGCAACAATGTGCTGTGGACGAGGTTATAATACCATTCGAAAATATGTTCAAGAAAAGTGCAATTGTAAATTTATTTGGTGCTGCTCTGTTCAATGTCAAACATGTCAGAAACTTGTGGAAATTCATGTATGCAAATAGAATCTCGTTTACATTTTAGTTTAATATACGAAGATTATGAGTGCCTTGTGTTTTCTTTTGTCAGGTTTTGTTTTTTCTTTCTGTTATGATTATTTTATAAAGATAAATAAAGAGAAAATGTGACAATGGAGCATTTTTCCTCTCTTGTTCGTTTAATTAGCTTGTCGAAGAAAGAAAGAGAGTCCACTGCTAATTAGTTTTGCATCAATTAGATTTATTGATAGAAGAAATGACCATGGTTGTTTCAGATGATGATGATGATGGTGATGATGTCGTAACAATGTAAGAAGAGGATATTTATCTAGATTGGGATGAACATGCATTTGATTGACTATTTCTATTGTTGTTAGACGAGCAAACAGTTGGAGATAGATGGAGAAGGAGCGAAGATATGGTTCGCAAATGCATTGAAGAAAATAAAGTTCAATCGACGAAGCATGAAAGTACGAGTTCAGATTTGTCTGCAGACATAGCCGACGAATTGGCCACCAGAGCAAACGAGGAATGCATGTGAGACCTAGTGATACGAAAAAAAAATAGACTCGCCTTTGTTTTTGGTAGATTATGACTCGATTGAGATCGAGACGATACTCATGAGACATTTGATTACTTAGATAGACGAAAGAAAACGTTAATACCTAATTCATAGATCATTCGGGTGCAGAAACCACTGAACAGAGCGGTCCATTGCTCGTATTTATACATTAATAAGATGTTTTTGTAAAAATTCCATGAACTGTATATCACTTCATCGTTCAATTGATAATGCCCATAAGAAATGAATAATCTTTGCATGATAATTTTCACTGCCATGACGTGGAATAGATGAGAAATGATCACAGCCAGACATTTCCAGAATATTGCGTGAAAAATCCACCGAATATACGATGATTCTATCCATTGCTGTGCACACGAACGGATTTCATTCAACGATGTTCGTTTTGATGACAGTCGATAAACATGAGCAAGTAAGGAGATGTAAATCAACAGAAAATAGGACAGATACATAGCGACAAATGAATGAACAAAAGGCGAGAGATCATGATCGATCAGATACATATTCGTGTATTGAATGACATTTGGATAGAAAAGTTTCTTCGAAAAAGTTGTTTCTGGTTGGAACAAATACTCGAAAATGCGTTGGAAACGGCTTCTCGGCTTGACAAATTGGAATGGTGAATATTGAAAGATATTGAATAGGTACGATTCGAAGGAATTGGTAGGTAATGGTTCGGGTTGGAATGGCTCATGACCAATATGAATAAAACGTCGACAGATATTCAATGGATGAAAAAGAATAGGTACAAGAAATAAATTAGCGAATACTAAGAAATTTAAGAAACACATTGGTTGGAAAAATTGAAAAAGATAACAGACAATAGAGATATTCGTGCGCGAAATGAAATTTCTTCATTTTTGGCTGTAAACAGGCAGATCTGCGTTGGAGATTTGTTATCCAGTTTTGTGTTTTTATTGATATCAGAGCAAATTAGTGGAGGTGGTATGAAATACACTCAATGTCCTGTAATGGTTTTCATCTATATACTCCTCCACTTTGTTCTGTTGACAGTCAGATAGCGGATGGGATTCGTTGGAAACGTCGTCGTTGTTTCTCCACTGTTTTAGCGGGCCACATATGCAAGATGTTTATTCAGTAAAAAGAATTTTACACTGGATACTCGGATAGTTTCTCAATTGATTCTCGTCTATATTGCCATATCTACTCATTGTAGGAAGAGAAAGTGTTGACAACGGTTTCTTTTTTGCCTCATCTTCATTGTAATCAGATAATAGGTGTTGAAATTTCGCTTACGGCTGATTCCATAAAAGAACAGAAGAAAATACCAATTTTGGATATCTATCCATTTTCGGACGATCAACCAGCGGCTACATTTTTAGCTAAGTTAACTAAGCTAGAATGAGAGAGAGAGAGAAAGAGGGAAAATATAGTTTTATCTTTCTCTCTTCTCAAACAATAACGACAATACTATATAAACACTTGTTATCCAACAAAACGAGTGTTTAACACAAACTTATCTATACAGTACGTATAAAGAACTCGATGTGATATCATCTAAGCCTTTTCATTATAGACCGTATTTGTGTTGAATATATTTCTTCGAAATAATCATGTCGATTGAAGGGTGAGCTTTTGAACATGCGTGTTGATGTGGATGATCCATTCATGTTTTAATCTAGTATTGTTTATGATCCAAATGATCCAGAATTGAAAGAGTCATTGAAGTATTTGGCTCTCCCGACGGAAGAACGCATTAAACTTCAAGCTCAACCATTTGACGGCAAAAAACAATGTTGGGTACCTAATGCTAAAGAGTCGTTTGTTGCTGCCGAAATCGTTAGCACCAAGGGTGAAGAAGTAACAGCTAAAACAAGCAAAGGAGAGGTACACGACTTGTCGGAAGACTTCAAACATTCAAATCTTTCTGCTCTTTCTCATTCTAGACTGTCACATTGAAAAAAGATGATGTTCAACAAATGAATCCACCGAAATTTACATGCTGTGATGATATGGCAAACTTAACTTATCTAAACGATGCGTCGGTTTTACATAACTTACGCGATCGTTATGAACGGTGGCTCATCTACGTAAGCTCATTTGTAGTTTTCACAATAGTTTACATCAATCATTTCTTTCCTTATCCTATAGACATATTCGGGTTTATTTTGTGTGGCCATCAACCCATACAAGCGTTTGCCAATTTATACAATGAAAGTTGTACTTATGTATCGTGGCAAAAAGCGTACTGAAGTTCCACCACATCTCTACGCTATCTCTGATAATGCTTATTCGAACATGCTTCGCGGTAAATCTCGACTTCATAACTGTACTTTTACGCAAGTGTGGGCAGTGATATTATTATCTATAACTTATCAGCAATGAGTCGATTTCAACACGGATGATAAATGAGATATGTAAAAGAAGAAAGGAGAGTTAGTGACAAGTTCTGATAGAATGATTGAGTAGAGAGAAACTGTTAACACCTAAAGATTTATATTCAACAAGCATTGATAAGCTTTTCGGGCATGCGGCGATGTCGTCAAGGATTTGAAAATCAATATGTTTAGATCGTGAAAATCAATCAATGTTGATTACGGGTGAATCAGGTGCAGGAAAAACTGAAAATACGAAAAAAGTCATTCAATATTTCGCATTGGTCGCTGCTGCCAGTGCTAAAAAAGAAGAGGGAAAAGTAAAGACTTACTCTCTGTTTATCATCGAATCTGTAATCTTCTATATCTTATAGAAATCGATGACTCTTGAAGATCAAATCGTTCAATCGAATCCTGTTCTTGAAGCTTTCGGTAATGCTAAAACAACTCGTAATAACAATTCATCACGATTCGTAAATCCACTCATTACTTTTGCTCAACTATCTTTCCAATTCATTATTATGCTTCTAGGGTAAATTCATTCGAATTCACTTTGGCAGTTCAGGCAAAATTGCTGGTGCTGATATTGAAGTTTATCTACTCGAAAAAGCTCGTGTCATCTTTCAGGTACGATCAGTTTCAAGAGAAAAACATTTCAATCTATAACACTCCTCGTTTGTTTTTTTTTTTAGCAACCAGGTAATCATACGTAATGAAGTCACAATTCATTCTAGAAAAATATTTTCTTTAGCTGAACGTAACTATCATATTTTCTACCAGCTATGTTCAAATGCATTTCCGGAATATCACAGTAAGACGAATGTTTGAAAGTAAAAAACCGATGATATTAATGATTTTCATTCAGAGGAGTGTTTAATTGGAAACGATCCCGGAAAATACCATTATGTTGCTCAAGGCATGCTTACGATCGACAATGTTGATGATGCAGAAGAAATGAAACTCACAGATGAAGCTTTTGACGTTCTTGGCTTCACTCGGGTTTGTTCTGCAAATCGAATTGATTGTCATTTTGTTCGGTGAAATGTTTCTAGGATGAAAAATTAAGTATGTACAAATGTACAGCGGCTATTATGCATTTCGGTAACAGCCAATGGAAACAACGACCACGTGAAGAACAAGCTGAAGCCGAAGGAACAGAAGATTGTGAAAAAGTTGCACATCTTCTTGGTATTGAAGCAGCTGAACTTATCAAGGGTTTACTTAAACCACGTATTAAGGTAAACTTTATCGATTGAATGAGGAATAAATACTTCAATGAGAAAGATCCATCTTTAGGTCGGTAATGAATATGTTAACAAAGGCCAAAACAAAGATCAAGTTGTTAACTCAATTGGTGCTCTTTCCAAATCCGTATGTTCTCTTCTTGTGGTCAGAACTTTTCTAATCAAATGTTTCACTTTTTCAATCGCTTAGATTTATTATCGTATGTTTTGTTGGTTAGTCGAGCGTGTCAATGTCACACTCGACGTCAAAGCTAAACGACAATACTTCATTGGTGTTCTCGATATTGCTGGTTTTGAAATTTTTGATGTAAGATTTGCTCTATGTGAACCAATGACGAATTGCTGATTGATCTACTTTTATAGTACAATGGGTTCGAACAATTATGCATTAATTACACCAATGAACGTCTTCAACAATTCTTCAATCATCATATGTTCGTCTTGGAACAAGAAGAATACAAGAAAGAAGGTATTCAATGGGAATTTATTGACTTTGGTATGGATTTACAAGCTTGTATCGATCTCATTGAAAAAGTAGCGTATTTCTATTTGACTATTTCATCGAATCCAAATTCGATTTTAGCCTATGGGTATTTTATCCATTCTTGAAGAAGAATGTATTGTACCAAAAGCAACGGACAAGACATTCGTGGAAAAATTATACAACAATCATTTGGGTAAACATCCACAATTCGGTAAACCCAAACCATCGAAAGGCAAAGCTGAAGCACACTTCGAAATTCATCACTATGCTGGTTCAGTTCCATACACTGCTACTAGTTGGCTTGAAAAGAACAAAGATCCTATCAATACTACTGTGTACGTTGTCATGAAATTTATTTTCGAGGTTTGCGATCATTGCTCTTGGTTTTAGTGCAACACTTTTTGCTAAATCGAAAAATCCCATGCTGGCTCACCTTTATGCCGACGTGGTTGAAGAAGAAGGTGGCTCGAAAGCTGGTGGTAAGAAGAAAGGTGGTAGTATGCAAACCATTTCTGCTACTCATCGTGTAAGTGTGCATAAACTTGACAATTTCTCGGTAGTCAATTGATCTTTCGCTTAGGAACAATTGAACAAACTCATGACGAACTTACGATCAACTCATCCACACTTTGTTCGTTGTATTATTCCAAATGAAGTCAAAACCGGAGGCATTCTCGATTCGCATTTGGTTCTTCATCAACTTCATTGCAACGGTGTCCTCGAGGGTATTCGTATCTGTCGTAAAGGCTTTCCAAATCGTATGATTTACTCTGAGTTCAAACAACGTTATTCAATTTTGGCACCCAATGCTATTCCTAAAGGATTCGTCGACGCCAAAAAAGCTACCGATAACATCCTTAAGGATATTCAGTTATCCGAGGAATTATATCGATTGGGCACAACAAAAGTTTTCTTCAAAGCCGGTGTTTTGGGTCAACTCGAAGACATGCGTGATCAAGCTTTGTCGAAGATTATTGCCACATTACAAGCTCAAATTCGTGGCTATATTATGAAGAAAGAATACAAGAAAATGTTAGACCAACGTTTAGCATTATCAGTTTTACAACGCAATTGCCGTAAATATCTTTCGCTTCGTAATTGGCCATGGTGGAAATTGTATACGAAAGTGAAACCTTTGCTATCGGTTGCTCGCCAAGAGGAAGAGATGAAGAAACTTGAAGATGAATTCAAAGCTTTGAAAGAAGCTCTGGAAAAAGAAGAGAAACTACGTAAAGAAGTCGAAGAGAATAACGCCAAATTGATCAAAGGTAGGAGAGTTTGTTAGGTTCATTTCTTTCCATAATTTACTAATTTCTTACAGAGAAAAATGACATGTACTTACAATTGGAATCTGAACGAGCAAATACAGCTGGTGCTGAAGAACGGCTCACGCGTATTATCACACAAAAAGCCGATCTTGAACAACAAATCAAAGACATGGAAGAACGTTTCAGCGAAGAAGAAGAAATATCCAATGAATTGAATAGCAAAAAGAAGAAACTTGAACACGATATTGATGGTTTGAAGAAAGACATCGACGATATGCGTTTGAATTTACAAAAATCTGAGAACGAATCAAAGACACGTGATAATCAAATTCATACATTACAAAGTGAAATGGCTCAACAAGATGAAACCATTGCCAAAATCACACGAGAACGTAAACGTTTAGAAGAACAAAACTCAAAAACAACGGAACAATTACAAGCGGAAGAAGATAAAGTGAATCATTTGAACAAATTGAAAACTAAACTCGAACAAACACTTGATGAACTAGAAGGCAGTTTAGAACGAGAGAAGAAAGCCCGTACGGATCTCGACAAAGCCAAACGTAAATTGGAAACGGATTTGAAAGCTGTACAAAGCAATATGGAAGATATCGAACGATCGAAACGGGAATTGGAAGAAGCAATCAAACGCAAAGATCAAGAAATTCAACAGATGGGCGGACGACTTGAAGACGAACAAGGACAAGCGACCAATCTCGGCAAGAAAATTAAAGAATTACAAGCACGTATCGAAGAATTAGAAGAAGAACTCGAAAGCGAACGACAAGCTCGAACGAAAACCGAAAAACAACGTGCTGATCTGACACGTGAAATCGATGAAATGAACGATCGATTAGAAGAAGCTGGTGGTGCTACGACTGCTCAAGTTGAAATGAACAAGAAACGTGAAAGTGAATTAGCCAAACTTCGTCGTGATTTGGAAGAAGCAAATCTTCAACATGAAGCCACCGCTGCTCAATTACGCAAGAAACATCAAGATGCCGTCAACGAAATGGGTGAACAAATTGATCAATTACAAAAATTGAAAAATAAATTAGAAAAAGATAAACAAGGTGTCAAATCCGAACTCGATGATTTACGTGCACAACTCGATCACGCACAAAAAGGTAAAGCTTCGAGTGAGAAACTTGTCAAACAACTTGAACAACAACTCAATGATGTTCAACTCAAACTCGAAGACAGTCTCAAACAAATTAATGACTTTTCGGGTCAACGATCGAAGTTAATCTCGGAAAATTCAGAATTAATCAAACAAGTTGAAGATCTCGAACATCAATTAGGCGCATTACAAAAAGCCAAAGTTACTCTGCAACAACAAGCTGATGATGCTCGACGTACTTTAGAAGAAGAAATACGTGGCAAAGGCTCAGTCAGTAAGTATTTCGAATTTGACGATTGAAGCTGAAGAGAATCCATTCTTCTCTTGTGAATAGGCACACAGATACGTAATCTAACAGCTGATCTTGATCAAGCACGTGAACAACTTGAAGAAGAACAAGAGGGTAAAGCTGATCTTGTTCGACAAGTCGCAAAACTCAGTTCCGAAGTTCATCAATGGAAATCACGTTACGAATCTGAAGGTAAATTTCACAACTGCACAGCTGTCAATGTAATCAAGATCTTCTCGTATAGGTTTAGCTCGCGGTGAAGAACTCGAAGAAGCTAAACGCAAATTAGCCTCTAAGTTAGCTGAAGCTGAAGAACAAGTCGAAGCTGCATTGAATAAATGCAATGCATTGGAAAAAGTTAAAGCTCGTCTTCAAGGTGAAGTCGAAGATCTTATGGTCGATGTCGAACGTGCCAATGCCAGTAAGTATATTCGAATCGAACTTATTACCAATCTATTTGATACTTCCAGATGCTTCGGCTATGGATAAGAAACAGAAACAATTCGATAAATTAATCAATGACTGGCGACAGAAATGTGAAGATATCACTATTGAATTAGAGGCTTCACAAAAAGAAGCTCGTCATTATTCGACGGAACTATTCAAGGTCAAAACTCAATACGAAGAATCGCACGAACAGATCGAAGCACTTCGTAAAGAAAATCGAAACTTAGCTGATGAAATCAAAGTAAATCTCACGACGATGACTTTTGATGAAAATAGAAATGCTTTTTTTCACTCAGGATCTCATGGATCAATTAGGAGAAGGTGGAAAGAACGTTCATGAATTAGACAAAGCTCGAAAACGTGCTGAAATGGAAAAAGAAGAATTGCAAAGCGCTTTGGAAGAAGCTGAATCAGCCCTTGAACAAGAAGAGGCGAAAGTCCTTCGTGCTCAAATGGAATTGAGTACAGTTCGTCAAGAAATCGATCGTCGTATTCATGAGAAAGAAGAAGAATTCGAAACTACACGTCGCAATCACCAACGTGCTCTCGAATCAATGCAAGCCAGCTTGGAAGCTGAGTCACGAGCGAAAGCCGAAGCACTCAAACAGGTATGCAAGACGGAAAACAAGACTTTCTCTTCGATAATACATACTTTATTTTCTTAATTATAGAAAAAGAAACTCGAATCGGATATCAATGAACTTGAAATTGCTCTTGATCATGCAAATCGTACTAATTCAGACTTGCAAAAGGCATTGAAGAGATTACAACAAACTGTTTCTGAATTCACTGCCCAAATTGAAGAAGAACAGCGACAACGCGATGAAGCACGCGAAGCTGCTGCAGCTGCTGAACGTCGTGCTAACTTGATTGTTGGTGAAATCGAAGAATTACGCACAGCTTTAGATCAAGCTGAACGTGCTCGTCGCGCAGCTGAAACAGAATTGAATGAAGCTGCTGATCGTATCAGCGACTTGAGTACACAAAATGCGACTTTATCATCGCAAAAACGGCAATTGGAATCAAGCATTGTTGCTATGCAATCAGATTTGGATGAAGCTGTTGCTGAACTCAAAAATAGTGAAGAACGTTCGAAGAAAGCTGGTAAGAGATTTCCTTTCAATCCATTGTTTGATTTGATTAAATTGAGTCTTCTGTTTAGCTGGCGATGCCGCTCGCTTGGCTGAAGAATTACGTATGGAACAAGAACATGCCATTCAAGTCGAACGACTTCGTAAAGGTCTCGAACAGCAAATCAAAGATCTTCAAGCACGTCTTGATGAAGCTGAAGGTAATTCACTCAAAGGTGGCAAACGTATCATTGCTAAACTTGAACAACGTGTATGTATGCAAGATGAATGTAAACGAAGATGAAGAGTATATTTTTGTTTAGATTCATGAATTGGAAAGTGAAAACGAATTAGAACAACACCGTCATCAAGAAACATTGAAAGAATTACGTAAGAACGACCGACGATTGAAAGAATTAGCATTTCAAACTGAGGAAGATCATAAGAATCAACAACGCTTACAAGATCTCACAGAAAAATTACAAAGCAAAATCAAAGTCTACAAACGACAAGTCGAAGAAGCCGGTTGGTGTCCTTCTTTTTTTCAAACGAAATTCATCGGATAAATCTTCAATTTTATATTTCAGAGGAAATCGCATCACTCAATTTGGCCAAATATCGTAAAGTTCAAACTGAACTCGGTAAGTTATTGTCGAACATTTCGCACAGTTTCGATCATTCGTCTTATGAAATTCTAGAGGATTCTGCTGAACGCGCTGATCTTGCTGAAAATCAATTAGGCAAATTACGTGCTAAGAGTCGTTCATCTGTTAGTGTTAGTCGACTTTCTCCAGGCGTAAGTACTTAATTTATCGATATTGTTCACATGCTGAATACTTTCTCTTCGTCTAGCGTGAAATCCGTGAATCAACAACTATTCGATCAGCATCAATTGTTCGTGGTGGTTCAGTTCGTCCTCATTAGATTCCGAACGTTGAACATGAACACTTCTGCATGACTTTTTACTTCTTTTTTAATTTTCTAAATCAATCGAGCCGTTTATTCATTAATATGTAGATTGTCATTTGTACGTCATATTGTTCTTTAATGTTTCAACAGAATAAAAACATCATCGAAGATTAGAGAATGAAATCAAATTTTACTACCGAGGAAATATCACTCATAAAATGTGATTTATTAAAAAAAAATATCAACCAACCTGATACTATATGACTGACTTTTACAAGTGCTGTGTTGTCCAACTCGACAAACATATCAATTCGCGACATCAATCACTTCCGAATTTTTGTTAGTGTGAAACGCACATGTGACAGAGGTGTTTTTTGTTTACAAACTTTACGAATGTCTCGTCGTCCTTGCTCTATAGCGGATTGTTACCGTTTGTCTCGTGTGTTATGTTACTGTTGTTCGAAGAATTATTGTGTTGAACATATCAAGAGTCATAATGAAGAATATCTTTGTGAATTATATCAATTGACCAATGACATCAATCAACTTTCAGAATCTGTTCGTAATCAATATCGTCAACAATTGGATCAATAGCGACATCAATCCCATCAAACGGTTGATTTTTATTACGAAAAAATGTCTCGTGAACTAGATTCACTCGATACACAAGATGCAGAATCAAACGAATATCGCCGAATGATTAAATCGATCCAAGCAAAACTAATTGAAAGCATTCGCGAACAAGATGCTACTCAAGAACAGATTCAGTCGTTTAAAGAAACTATAAGTAAGATTCAACGAGAATTAAGTCAAAGACCACATGTAGATTTCCAACTGAATCTTCCACCGTTAATCTTCGATAATAATTTTATTCAAATCGAGAAAACTAACGTTAGTTTTCGACTTCAGTCTACTGTTCATTCGGTATTAAAAACTCAAGCTGTATCATCTGACGAATGCATAGTCATGACGAATAATTCGAGATATTTACTCTTTGGGAATCAAGGAAATTTATGTTTGTGCGATAAAAATTTGATTATGATCAAGCAAACACCGTGGATACATGGTTGTATAAGAGATATGTGTTACTCAAATGCTCTTGCGAGATTTATTCTTCTAGCAGAGAATGGAATGTTCACTTTGAACGAGGAAACAATGAATATCGAAGAAGGGAAAGTCTCCCCGAAAGCAAAACAATCATGGCGTTGTTGTGCGTCGACGAATCAACGTTTATTTCTTACATCAGGAGAATCACATCGTGTCGTACAAGAGTATGTGTACGTCGAAGATGCATACTCACGGAAACGGAAACATCTATGTTGTACTCAAAATGAATATATCGAACATATAAAATGTTCGAACGACGACAAATTAGCTTTGATTATTTTAAACGATTCAGACAATGAAAGACGATTGGATCTAAGGTCGATTGAAGATTTCCATCAATTATGGACTATATCGTTGCAAATTCATAAGAAAGTTAATATCATATCATGTTGTGCACTGAATGATAAAAGTTGGCTGATTGTTAATCTCGCCGAGAATTTACTCATTCATGTGACTGCGCAAGGAGAAATCAAACAAACTAAATCATATCATCCATCTCCTCAATATGCTGTTCAATTCGACAATAAACTATTAACAATTTTAACAGATCAAAGTATCCGTTTACATGAAATTCAATGAAAAACATTATTTTAATCTGATCAATAGAAAATAAAATAAAATCTAATGTATTTTGTGCATTGTACGGCAAGCAATGATCATCGATGTTTCTGTACGGTTCGAGTCAATATGAATTAATTATTATTTGAAATATCTATGCAAACAACTATTTTTGATGTTAAAGTGGTACATATCAAAACAAATGTTTGCTCGTTTTAGTGATACACGTTGTAAAAAGATATAATTATTAGTAATAAGATAAGTATAGGGAAAAACGAACAAAAAAGCAGTATGAAATTATTCGAAGTTTGTGGTATAAAGCTTCAATGTTCTTAGCATTAGCGAGTTTCATTGGCGCACTTTCTGTAGATCAAGTCCGATGTTTTTAAAACGGGGATCATTTTAATTTATAGCGAGCTGCTCCAACACCAGCAGTACGTTTCATATTCATAGGTCTAGTGGAATGTTTGTTAAGAGCACGTGCATATCGATATTCATCATCATCATCATCAGAATACTGCGAAGCACTAACAGCTGCACCGATGATCAGCAATGAGACATTATCAAGTACTATCTTCATGATTTGTCAGTTATCTTGTTGAATAACGAATGTAGGAAAAAAAATCTAATATCGATGTAACTAACACGACTTTTGTATGAAAAATGTGTTGTTAGGTTTAGTATGAATGAGATTTGAGCAGATGACACAGTGAAAATGTAGGAGTTTCTTATGTGTTGCATTTAAGTTTCTACGATTTGTTTGAGATACTTACTAAGCAGAAAATATGATTATATTTTCAAGTACTTTAGTGAGTGAAATATATTCTTTTGAAGAATGCAAATGAGAGCAAAATTTTAGAATTAGCACTTAAAAACTGATTCTGCTACGAATATGCATTGAAAACTGTCGGAACTGTATGATTTATTGAATCGAGTTCTTGAATTTTTCTTGATAAAAAAGATTGTAAATGTCTAAATCCAGACTGTCGATATTTTGAATGAACGTATTGTGAGATTTGAAGTTACAGGTAGCGACATCACAGAATATCGAGATGTAGCGGTAGAGAATTATACATTTTATATGATTGGCACAGGACGAAACGTAGTTTGATTAACAAATTCACTATTTGCTTTGCTGCTCACTACTACCAAGAGGACATGAATATATTCAATCGTTTTCTATTCAATTAGTAAGAGTTTTTATCACAAAATCATTCTTGTTTTCAAAGAGTTAGTTGATCTTCTTTGCAGTGCAAAGTTTACTCAAATCAATGAACGATGTGTGCATTATTTATCTCAAGCAAATCCAATTCGTCAACCAAAAGATTTAGTGACATGTATTCTAAACAATGTAATTTATCATGATGATCAAATCATTCTTTTGAATAAACCACCCGGTGTGATTGTTCTGGGTAGGGACAATGTAGAACAGACATTTCTATTCATTGCGATTCTTGTCTTTCGTTTAGATGAAACGTGGGATAGGAAAACAGTACAAGTAACTAATGAGGATCACGATGACGACGAACAAGATCATTCGAATGTGAGAAACTCGAATCCTTGCACGATTCAATATCATATGCCACAATTTCGGTCGGCGCTCAAATGGGATCATTTCTTTCCTTGTATACGAACCCCGAAGTGAGAAAAACAAGTCATCTCGATTCATTTACATCGAACTTCATTCTAGTGAACCGAGTGGCTTACTCATGTACACTCAAAATGCTCAATTACACGATAATATTAAAAAAACGGCCATGCGTTTATTTCGAAAATCGAGAGAACCTTATATAACATTTTAGTATGTCAAAATCGACCTCTCTAAAGAATCAAGTTTAATCTGAATAGTTAGATACATTTTTAGCGGCATAACGACATCAATTCCCAGGAAATTAGAAGATTGTCATCACATGATGGTTGAACGACATCTTTACAAAGAGCAATATTTAGTAGGAACTGTGTCTTTTCGCATCATTCGAATCGTCACAGTCCACTTTTAGTCGTATGAAGTTTTTGAAGCAAGTTCCAATGCAATTAAACATGGCCGAGTATACAATGGAACTGTTCAACATCGAACACTGTCAGTTAACGATGAATTGAAAGTCGCTCTGGTTGAATTCAAAACAACGACATGTAAATCAAATGAAAACTAAACTTCTTTCTAATTTATGTCAAATGTTTTCGTAGGTACGTGGGATTTCGTTGAACTCTACTGTTTACGTCAATGCGCTCCTCTACTCGGCGACCATAAATATTGGAATCGAATAAAAACTGTCGGTGGTGTTCCAATGTATATTAATCCAATCAAACATGAGATTTATCCAGCTAAACAAGTGAGTCTGAAGAAGTGTACAAATGCCTGGTCTTCTTTCTATACGAAAGTTCCGTATTGTAGCAATTGAATAAGCATGTTCGGTTGGCACTTGATCTTTACGGTCTGCAAATCGTTTGTCCATTACATTTGCATCTGACCGACTTCAATCTACCGAAGAAATATCGACGTCAGCCAATTAGCGTGCATTACCAAGCACGACCGTTTCCTTACTTTTACGAAACTTTGGAAAGGTTGAAGTTAACATTTCCAGAGGATCTAGATTTGAATAAACCATTCGAACAGCATATCGATCATGAATTTGAAGAAGCAATCAATCGATAAACTGTTTGTTTTCTTGTTTTCTAGATGTCTGTCGACTAAGAACAGAAATGGGCCAAGGAATGAGCGAAGTAGACAGATTCCACAGTTGTAGAAAGTCTTTTTCAGTGAATACTTTTGTTATAGGTAGCACCTGGTGTTTACGTCACCAGTGCACTCGTTGCTCGTCAAGGAAACGTACTGGATGAACATGGTATTACTCATGTTATTTCAATACAAAAAACTCCAATCAGTCCATTTGCAGTGAGTGAAATGGAAGATGATTCAGAGTATTCTTTCGTTTATTTTAGCATCGTCAATATCTTTTAATACCTGCCAAAGATCATATCTCACAAGACATATTACAATACGCTTCACAATGTAATGATTTTATTCATAATGCTCGTCTCAACCAAGGCAAAGTACTGATTCATTGGTAAGAACTAATCTAAAGAATAGAAGTTCTAAATTTTGCTTGGATCTAGCGTGGAAGGAAAAAGCCGTAGTCCATCGATTGCTTGTATGTATCTCATGACAATTACTGGTATAACATGGTCCGACATGATAAACAGTCTTCGAGGTGTACGCACCTTGGTGGATCCTAATTTTGCATTTCAAAAACAACTAAAATATTTCTACGAGCAACTCATGATACCGGTAAATCTTTCTCACCTTTCTCTTTCACTTTAAATCACAGATGCTCTTCACACAGGAACGCGAAAGACTGATTGCAAAATTTGGTGCTCTGCATATGACTGATGATGATACGGCATTCGTTTTGAAAAATTTAGAATTGTACAATGAAGACCAACGTCGCCGATTGACGGGCAACGTTGTTGAAATCAAGCATATACCATTGCGCAAGACAACTACTGAAATTAGTATCTCTTCCGCCGATCATGATAGAACAAGTCAACTGAATGAAACTAATTCTAATTGTGGTAAACTCTTCCTCGACAAAGATTCAGAACCAATGACACCCGAGTCTCAAAGTCTTCTAGATGAAATGTTTTCATCTTAATTCTCTCCATGTAGATATTTTTATACTAATTTTTTCATTAAATAAAACATACGAAATATAATTATCAACTTGATTCTAACGTTCTCTTTCATCTATACTACTCGTGCGATCTGTATGAAAAAAGAGTTGAGTTTGTACAATAATCGACGATATCAACTGAAATAACATTGCTTCGTCCTTGGTTCATTTTTTATTACAAAACAAAACATAATGCGCAGCTTTATTTGGAAAGTATATAAAATAAAAGTTGATCATTATCGGTCAAAATAGCACAAGTTGTTCGTTGACAGAAGGTAGCTCGTTTAATTTCAAGTATATCTTCAAATATACGTTTCGAAATCATTTCACCATCGTATCCAAACGAACATAGTTGATTTCCGTGTGCTAGAATAAACCCATGACGATTATCAAAAATGAGTTTCATTGGGCGCGACAATCGATCGAGTGCTATTGAACATATCGTAACAAGTAAATCGGGAAAATGTCTTAATTCAATTCGATAATTCAAAATCTTCTGCTTGTCGCGTAGCAACAAAGCTATCTGTTGATCCGATGTGCATAAATGCTCAACATGGTCATTCGTAATGATCAATTGGTTCGAACAATGAATCAAGTTTCGTTTCGTCGAGTTTATTGTCCACTGATCAAGTCGATGTTTACTTGACATAAATAAATATAAGTACGATAACTTCGAATCACAGAAAATTTGAGTATAGTACGTTTGATTATTGACTGTAATCAATTTTGACCAGGTATATGTATGTTTATCGGTATGATATTGTAGAGAATAGACACTACCGTTTGTCGATAGGACAAAAAAGAAATCATCGGTAAATGTCGAAGAACATTGATCGTAACAGATGTCAACAATGTCACTGTGCTCCCATGTAAACTGATCGATCATTGTTCCGTTCGTGGTAAAGATGTGTAGATGTTTTGTTTTGTTCGAATAGAGGAATATACGGTTTTGAGAACTTATTAAAACACTTGGTAGAACCATCTTTTCACGACGAGTGCAAGAATTGGAAGGAGAAGGAGATAATGATGATGACGATGATGAAAGCACTGATGATGATTTAGTTGCATCAAAACAGACGTTTGCGGGATCGTGAATCAATGCGAGATCGAAATTGATTGAATGCTCGAATAAATGAAACAACTGTAGTGTTGATGTTGGAAACAAGATCAAATCATTATTAAGTAGATTCAATTCGACATGTGCATATTCGTATTCTTTCATAGACTTTTGTATATGCCGATTGTATGTATCGATCTTCATTCGAATATCTGATTCGTTTTTGCTTTCGAAAGATAATTGCTCTATAGAACGAATTGAAATTGTTTGTTTTAGGTGTTGTTAAAAGAGAAAGTTTACCGATTTCTTCAGATAATTGTTGTAGTTCTACTTGTTTGTCTGTAGACCATTCTTCAATTTCGAACGAAATTTGTTCAAACGATTCTTGTAACGATTGACGCGCGTGCGAAACTAAATCGCTCAACTTTTTCATCATCGTCTTTTCCCATTGATCGATTTGTTCCAAGACCAACTGATATTGTTTGTTCGCATGGACTTGTGGATGATTCGATTGGTTATTATCGAGATTAATCGATGCTAATGACAACAATTTGTTCATATCGTTGGTCAATTGACAGATTTGTGTTTCGATCGGTTGTTGATGTCGTGTTAAACATTTCAGACATAGATGTTGATCGCAATGCATACATTTGGCTACAGTTAATCGATTGCAACCATCATCTTCACACACAAGATTCGACATAATTTGTTCTCGTCTGTCTTATCCAATTGTTGTTATCAATATATATATATATATGCATAGCGTACGAAAAGAAAAGAAGAAAAGATATTTTGTCAACTTAAAAGTTGATATTCGAGTGTGTAAAGAAGAAATTAGAATTCGAAACTAATCGTTTGTCGTTAATGCCTGACACCTAACGTTAGAAGAAAAACAACGAACGTCATATCCTTCTGCATCATTCCCAATAAGCCTAGATATCTTTCGTTATGGTAGAAACTAACTTGATTAAAGATAGTAATGTCGACAGGTAAAAATGTCAAAAAAAACCCTCTGAAAGAATAACATCTAGGGAATGAGTAATACGTGAGTGTCGATGAAATGGTGAAAGATTGTTGTTTACGTAAACTGTCGTTTTCGATATTTCCGTACTTTTCATTTTCTGTGTTTTAATATTCGATGTTATTAAGGCGAATTTTCGTTCTAACTTGGTTAATATCATCGTCATTATGACGGAGTAATCTTACACATTGATATCCTTGAAAGATAACCGTTTTATGGAAATTTTTTTCTTTCAGATGACAACAGAGGATGCTGATATTGATCATGCTTATTCACCGTCGCGTTGGTCTCATAGGATTAAAGATCCAGTTGAGGTCATTAAAATGCATACTGAAACCTTGACTAAAGCTTCGCATTCCGCAAGAACACATTTACCTTGCCTGCTGAATTGTTCTGTCGATGCAGAGACATCTCTACCCGATCATTGCATTGACTTTTATTTCCCATCGAATATCAAGACTGACTCGCTTTTAAATGATACGATTGCAGCAAAAGCTATTTTTGTCTATATACACGGAGGTTATTGGCAGTTCTTTTCCCGCAATGAAAGCGCTTTCATGGCACAGACAATGAGTGATGCACAGATTCCAACTGCTGTTGTCGGTTATCCTATCGCACCTTATGTTGAAATGAACCAAATTGTTCAATGTGTTGAGCAATCGCTGGTTAAAATACTTCGATGGGCAGAGAAATTATCGGCAAAAATTTACATTTGTGGTCATTCAGCAGGTGCACATCTTGCCTCGACACTTTTACTTGTCAATTGGAAAGCTAAGTATAATATCGATCATCAACGTTTTGGTGGTTTCTTTCTTATTTCTGGCATTTATGATCTCGTTCCACTTGTTCGGACAGATATTAATCAACCACTTCGTATGACTTCAACCAGTGCGAAGAATCTAAGCCCGTTGTTTCGTCCTCAAGAGGATTATTGGTCGGAACTGAAAAATGTGCCGATTTTATGCGTTCATGGACAATACGATTCGCCAAGTTTTCATGATCAAAATCGTCAGTATGGTGCCTATTTAGAGCAAATTGGTTTTACTCGTGTTCAAACCATTCAACAGGATAATTTCGACCATTTCGATGTCATCGAACAGTTAGGAAAACAAGATCAACCTTTAACATCAATGGTTTTATCGTTGATGAACACTCCCTAGAAAATTTTGCTGTTCTTTTCGTGTGCCACAGTGCCATCTACACCTGTCGAATAAAAATTCATAAATATAAATGCATCAAGGCACTCTTGATTTGTTCCCCTATTCTTCAACAATAATTTCTCGTTGCTAAGTTACATTTTCACAACGTTTTTCATTTGTACCATGGCACTTCCATCGTTTGAGATTGTTATCTACGGTCTTCTGAACTCTGATGAGTATCAAAAGGCTAAAAATTGCCTAGAAGATCTCATACGCACACACGCGAAACAGATTGCCCATTCGGAACTTCATCCATTACTCGAATATGATTGGAATTCGTTTGTTCGTAAGAAACGTACCGAACTACGTGGTGAAACATGGTCATTCAATGATAATTGTATGGTTTTCATCGATAAAAAACTACATGGAAATGCCGATCAATTCCGTGATTGGGCCAAGAGAACGTTTGATCATGTCGATTTTCGTGAGAGCGATCTGCTAGATATATTCTCCAGCGAAGAATATAAGTATGTAAACTAAATAAACAAAGAAAAATCGTATTTGACTTGTTGTAGACAACGGTATGAACATCATGTTGGCAAAAACAGCTTTTGTTTTATGGATTTTCAAATTGAAAATCGAGAAACTTCGCAGAAATCGTATATTGGCCGTTTAGTCTTCGAATTGTTCGATGAACAAGTGCCTGAAACATGCGCAAACTTTCGAGCGCTGTGCACAGGCGAAAAGGGTCAAAGTGAAAAGACTGGTACCGTACTTCATTACAAAGAGTCCATCATACATCGTATTGTACCAAACGGTTGGATCCAAGGTGAGAAATTTGAAATCCTACCGGGTAAATCATCTTAATTTGTCTATCATAGGTGGAGATATTCGAGGTGGTCGAGGTAACGGTGGCGAATCGATTTATGGTGAAACATTTCACGACGAAGCGTTTATTGTTGAACATAATCAACGCGGTATTCTCGGTTAGTTTAATCTATACTTACCAGTACATGAACATCTAGCATTTATTTGAATAGGTATGGCGAATAAGGGCCATCGACATTCGAACGGCAGTCAATTTTATATAACCTTATCGGACACGTGTCAATGGATGAACAAACGTTTTGTAGCTTTTGGTCGTGTTGTCGAAGGTTTCGATACATTGGATAAACTCGAACGTATGAGAACGATTAATCAACGGCCTGTGGAAGTTATTCATATCTCCAATTGTGACGTTTTTCAAGTAGATGAAGATTGAAAACTGCTGATTCTCTTATTTAGACCTCTTCTTTCGTCTCTTCGATTTTGTTTGTACATCATCTTGCGCATATTTTTTTACGATCCAAATGAAATACTGAAGATGAGTTTAACCATCACCTCCTGATCAGCAAATGTTTTGAATATGTATGTAATCGAAAGAAAAATCAAAATCAACAATTAAAAGAAGAGCAAAGGGGAGAAAAAAAAAGCGAATGAAATGTTGAGTTAATCAATGCGAGAGTATCACAAGTTCACAAAAAAAACACGAAAGAATAAATATGCGTGCGTTTTTTCATGTTGGTCTTGTGCTAAAATGATTGACGCTACTTGAATATATGAGGGGAGAAAAAAGAAGTTAAACTGATTCATTGTTTCGATTTCTTTTCATGGTCTTTTTTCTTTTCTTTTCATGTTTAATCAATGAAGTAAGTACTTGTTTTCACATAAAAGTTATGATTGCTAGAATCGCTGATGACATAGTCACAAGAAAAAGAAGAAAAAAGAGGTGATGCGCGTATGAAAAAAAGCATGTTTATTTTCTTGATTCTTGTTCTTGTTTGTATGTTATGATAGCTTCTTCACCGAGTGCTTGAAGAACCGTAATTTTCAATTGATCACCCTGATCGAATTTAGTTCGAATTTCTTGGCCTAAGTCACCTTCAGGAAGTTTGATATCACTACGTGTATCTGAGCTATCATCCATCAACGAAACGTAACCTTCATTGTCGATATCAATCAACTAGAATGGCAAAGCGGATGATATTATTTTCCAAATGTTCCTCGCTTTATCTTGAAAGTTTCCTTACTGAATATTCAACACGCTTAACATTTGGAACGTTCATGTTGTGCGTTGAAGGACAGATATCCTCGTATTTCTTTCCTGTGAAAATATCAATACCGACCATATGAATCTATTACAAAAGATACTTTAGCTATGGTTGACAAAGATTCAAAATGTTTACTTTAGCGTGACCATGTTTGCCTGTTTTGGATGTTGACATTTCCATGATTTTGCATGGGCGATTCTTTAACATAACATGGCCGTTTTTACGTAAAGCTGAACATTGTTGCGGATATCTGCGAACGAGTTAACCGAGTTCGAAAAGGAAAATTCCGGAAGAAAGACTTACGTTGCTGAAGCTCCAGCATCACCGGTTGTGAAATCTTCATCATGGTCATCATGAACAGCATTGGCGGCAGCAGTGTTTTCGGCCATATTAGTATTTAAAATCGAAATAGATCAAAAAACGAAATTTTCTACAAGACAGAATGAATTTGTTGGACAAGTGTGATTATCAGCAGGCGAAAAGCGAAAACAAAATATGCATCAGCAAAAGTGTTTTATGTTGCGTACGCTTCGTAATAATACGGTACAGCATGTCGCCATTAAAATGATGATACCTCTGCTGAGAAGAAGACAATGTTGCCTTCGTTTTTCTACTTTTCAAAGCTTTTGTTCTTCTAAATGTTTGAATTGCAATCATCATTTTCAAGATTTTTTTAGTATTTATTAAGGAAATTTTTCATTTATCTCCTTCGATTTCGAATTAAATGAAATGACGGGTACGAGACCGTCTGCCATCTATCGGAAACCACTTCTGACTTCGACTTCGAAAGGATGTATACTTATCACGCAGTCGAACACTTCATATTTCTTTACCTTCGAAGAAAAAAAAACCAGTAAGAACATCCTTTTCCTCTCTCCCTCTCTTTCATCGTTTGACAATAGCTCGTTAGGAAAGCCTGTAAAGTGCCGGAATAAATATCTTGAACATGAAAAAAGTCAATGATTAGTTCCGCTTTCCTATTTCACCTCGGTCAATATAAATTAATGAACGAATTCAAATTTGAACTTATTCCATCACGTTTTTCTTTTCTTGAATACAAATAGAATAAATTTCTTTTTTCAGAAACAAAATCAAGAATAATAACAAAGCACATTCATGGAAAGAAACATAATATCACCATAGATTCACACATGAATGTATGTGTGCAGCACAAAATGAATGAAAGAAAGCAGATATCTCACAAAGTTTATCCGATCCACGATACAAGAAGAAAAACGAACGACGCAAGTAAAAACTAGATATGTTCCTGAATTATATATTAGTGGCCATATTTAGATGAGATACCAACGTTCGACACTAGAGCAAATCGAAAGACTTTTAGCACAATGTGACTCAGGAAAGCAAATGACATACGAGGCTATGCATGATATCAGTGTTTTGATCATCGACGAGTGGTTTTTGACAGATCAAACATAGCTATAAAAGATCAAAGTCGATATGCTTCAGAGTTTGACGGAAGTCGTTTATACTCTAGGACGATTTGTTGATACTGGATCGATCTGTCGACAAGAAAATGATGGTATCGATGGATGAGTTGCTGATGTTGTTAAACGACGTGTACCACGTCCAACATTATGCGAGAGAAGTGAGTTCTGATCGAGATTTATTGCCTCGTGCAGTATGTTGCTAAATGGATTTGTTAAATCAGTTGTGAACGCATTTTCCTGATGTGTTAACGATGATGTAAGACGATGAATGAACAAGATTAAATGATGCAATTCATCGCAGGTTTGCGCCATTGCTTTGCATTCATGATGATACTCAGACGAGTAGATATTTCGAAAATTTCCCAATAATTTATCCATTAATTTAACCTAGAATGAAGATGATTCCGTCGAATGAAGATGAATAGCATTCCTTGAAGTAACACATACAGCACGTAAACTGTAATCAGTAAGAAGATCCGCATGGTTTATTTGTTCTATTGTTTGTGTTGAACGATTGATACAATCGTTGATTTGATTACATTGTACAGATGTATCATTAACAGACGCTTTCCTAGGACAGATACATGTATGAATGGCGGTGACCTTTTCAAAGAAAAACTTGTTTACTTTGTAGATCTTTTGAAGGCTTCGATTGATTCGAGACTTTTTTCAATCAGATTATCGAATAATAAACGATAGGACGATTGAGTTTCAGCTGGTGTCGTCGAAGGAGGAGAATGACGATGATCGTGAATACCATTGCTTTCCAATAGTAATGCATTGGTAGGAGTACGAGTATTAACAAAAGAAAATTCACTCGCAAATGGGTTTAATTCGGGAAATTTCGTTGTTGATTTCTTCGTTTTTTGTTCGAGAAATGTAAGAAAGTCATCTTGGAGATTATCTGAATTAGAAGACATTGAGCGTGGGGGAAGTAATGGTTGTTCGAGTTCTAAATAGAAGTTAATTATTGAGAAGTTCCCGTGTTCACTCGAGAGACTTACCTGTCAACGAGGATGCTGATGATGAATCTGCTCGTATGTGTTCCGGTGTGTTGTTCACACCTGGATCGACGATTTCCAATGGCATTTCGTGTCGTTTGATTTCATTCAAAACAGGTGATTGGCATTCACGTATATTCAAATTCTTATTTCGTTCATTATCATTGCCAATCGGAATCAAACCTGTCGAAGATTGACTTTTTGTTGTTAAGTTTGAACGCACCATCAATGGACATGGTGGCATAAGTATTGCTGAGCCTGCTACATGTGACATTGGAGGTAAAAGGTTCGTTCGCGTAGGATAAAACTGAGGATAAAATGAGTTATAGCCGATACCATAAGGTGGCTGTTGTTGAGTACCATTCGATGGATATGCAACGGTTGGATGTACGACCGGGGTGTAATATGGTTGACTAGATGTACTGCCATTGCCATATGAGAAGAACATATGTGTCATTGGAAAGTATACTGGAGTGGGAATCGTTGCAGGCGGACGATTCTATATGAGAAATAGAGAGAAAGAAACATTCTAATCCAATATGAGACAATATTATACTTCATCTGTAGTAGGTGTCGTACCAGTCTGATTCATTACTGTTTAATGATCCTAATCTAAAGTAAAACGTAGAAAAAATAAACACTGGCTATCAGGAACAAAACAAAGAATGTTCATTTACACATATCTCATATATAACACGATAAATGGAGCGTTTGTACGATGCTGTTGTGTTATCTCTCTCCTTTGTCGTCAATAACATAATCAATTACATTCAATCTGTAAATTTTCCCCCTTTTTCCTGCATCTCAATACAAAAGATCGGTAATGATCAAGTGTGCTTTGTAATGGCTTAGTTCTTTTCTTTCTGGATAGCTAATCAGAAAAACAAAGAGAAACAAAAAAGAAACTATGAACTAAACGAATCAGTTTTCTATTTGTTTTTTTTTTTGTTTGTATAGACTGTTGAGTGTGTATTTTTAAATAAGTAAGTATATAATGAGAGAGAAAAAAGTAAGAGCGAACCAAACGAGAAAAAAAAGATAAACATCAAATACATTGTGTTGGTCTTCATTCTGCGAAACACACACACACACGCACACAAACAGATCAAGCATCAAGAAAAAAAAAGACAAAAAAAAAACTTAGCAGCAGAGCAAAGAGCAGTGAGAAAAGAAAAAAAGAAGAAAAAAAGAAAGAGAGAAAGAAAAACACAATGATACACGCGCTGATTAAAACGACTAGAACAACTGCGTTCGCTCTGAGAAGACACACACGCACACACAACAGCTGAAGTAGTAGAAGTAGGACGAGAAGACTGGTGTGAGAACTATGTTCACACGATCCCGATCCATAACGATACGACAATTAAAAGAAACGTACACATGCACATACACATACATACATACATACGTAACTACTGACGCCGATGGAAAAGAACATTAGAGAAAGAAAAGTGTCAAGCAAAAAAAGCAGTTTACAGAGAAAAAAAAGAAGACAAGGCAGGCAAGAAACAACCCGTATCGTTTTAAAGGAAATCAGAGAGATAGAGAAAACGTCTGTGTATGTATGCATGTATGTATGTGTTTGTGTTCGACAGACGTGTTAAACCACTGTAAAGAAGAGAACAACAACATGAGTACAACAGAGACATGAAGAAAAAAGAGAAAGAGAAAAAAAGGACAACAAGCAAAATTGGCAATACCAAACGTACAAAAAAATATGTCCACCAGCCTAGAGAATGAGAGAGAGACAGATAGAGAGAAAAAGAAAGTAAGAGAGAAGAAAAACATAAAGTTATTGTATTGTTTGAGGTAGAATAGGTGAGAGGGCTGGCTCTGAATAATGTTGTTGTTATTATTGTCGTCGATGTGACATAGCAGATCTTCTTTATATGAGAATTAAAGTAAGTAATTTAGACTAATTCCAGATCCTCAAGAAGCTATCCCACGAGCCAGTCGCTACGGCCATTCCATCTTCGGTTACACCCAAACAACTGACACGATTATCGTGCCCAGCTAATACACCTGTTCGAATAGGAAGATAACATCAATTATCTAAATCGTGTGCAAGAAGAGAGAAACTACGTACCAGCACGTTCGAGACGGAGTGTGTCCCAAACATTGCAATTGAAATCATCGTAACCCGCCAAGAGAAGACGACCCGATTTGGAGAAGGCAACCGATGTGATACCACAAATAATATTGTCATGTGAATACATTCCCACTTCTTGATCAGCACGAATATCAAATAAACGACAAGTTGCATCATCAGATCCTGTAGCGAATGCTGATCCATTTGGAAAGAACTAATAGAGAGAAAAGAAAAACGAGACAATCATAGTTTGATTCAAGTAAATTCAATTGAGAGAAAAACTATTGATATCTAATGAACGATTAACATACGGTAACAGCATTGATATCCGACTCATGGCCGGGAAATGTTTGTTTACACATGCCTTCTCGTATATCCCAAAGCTAATGAGAGAAAAGAGATAATAGAGATAATAATCAGATAAAATGATCATTCCAATTACCTTGGCCGAGGCATCGCATGCACCCGAAACAAATGTTTTCATATCGGGTGATAATGAAAGTGACATTACATCACCAGTATGTCCTTGAAAACTGGTTGTTTGTTGTCCGGTTTCGATATCCCACAAAGCACTAAACGAGAGAAAACAGATTCGACGTAGAAAGCAAAAAAAAAAGAACAATTCCGATGTTTCTATTTACCAGGTCATGTCTCCTGAACTTGTCACGATTTGAGAATCATCAAGAAAACGACAACAGGATAAATATCCGGTATGGCCAGGTAATTCTCGACTGACACGTACATTGCCTTCACGTGTTTTTAATGAATAAATTGAACAAATATTGTCAAGACCACCACAGGCAACAAAATTTCCAGATGGTGCGTAAGCGCATGTCATTACCCAAGATGAACGAAGTGGGATAGCGTGAACCTAATCAGATCAAAGGGATAATAATAATAATCATAATAATAAACATAACTATGTCTTCCTCGGCATACCTTGTTCGTAGTGTATGAATCCCATACAATGAGTTTTCCATCTTGAGAAGCTGATACTAAATTTCTAGAGGATGAACTAAAAAAAAAAGGAACAAGGTTTCAATTGGCGTAGAGAAGAAAACCTAGTCTCCTGTTGGCAAGTGATACGAACCTTGAATCGGAACCCCAATGCATGGCGTAGATCTTCGCCAGATGGCCGCGAAGAGTTCGTCTTGTGCGCATTTGAATGCGACCGATCTGATCGACATTTTGTGCTACTTGTAACAGTGTAGCATCACAAGCTGCCTTTCGAGCATCCTTAAAAGAAGAGAAAGAACAATGCAATTAATTTGCTAAAAATAACACGAAGATTCTGATGAGAATACATACACGAATTTGATTTTTGAGCGACTCGGCTTCTTGACGTAGACTTTCAATGTCACTCATTGTGAAATCAGATTTGTTATGAATAAAAAGTCAAGGGAGAAGATAATGGGAAAATAAGGAGGAAAATTGATTTAATTAAGAGTTGTGACTGTTGAACAAACCTATAAGAAAACAAATATTTTAAATACAGTTTGTACTTTCTAATTCTCCTACGACTTAGTTCGAAACTGCTCGGAAATTTACATTCGTTTAAAATAATTCCGTCACTTAAGTCTCTTCTACATGATAAACAAACTCTTCCAAGTTTGCTTGATCGTCGTTCTATGTATTACTCTGAGATAATACTGCTCGATTGTCGACAATGGGGAGTAGTTCATTGAGAAGAAATCTAATGATAATGACGATACTCTTTTCCATGAAGAAAGGTGTTTTATTTTGGATAGGATGAAAAATCCGAGCGTAAAGATCGATTTCCCCCTCGCGTTCATCGTCAGTCTCAAATTTCAATGTTGATATTTGAAAAATGTGTTTCTACTCTTATTTCATCAGGAAACTTCTTCTTTTCAAATGTAATGTAATCAAGGGGAAAAATATTTTTTCTCAATAATCTAATCGCCTGTTGTGCGTGAGAAGCAAATATTATATTGAAAGAGAAAAAAACACGTTTTCTCCAACATTTTATGAAATCAAACAAACATCTCTGTCGGCAAAAGTCGCTTGAAAATACAACAGACAGACAAAATCTCTTGTTATTTCCTCACTAACGAGAATATTAGTCGTGCATGCGTCACGATAGTCCTTGTTCGTTCTTCCCCCTACTTCTCTTAATATATATAAATATAAATATATATCATGTCTCGTCTTGCGCGACGACACTGATGATGCCAACTGTGTGTACTATCTGCTGTCACCACCACCACCATCAGTATTAGTAGAAAATATTGATGATGTTGGTCGCAGAAGAGTGTTAGATGGTGATGTACGTGCCTGCGTGTTATTCTCTACTTGAAACGATTGACGCACTCGCGCGATTTCTTTTCTTTTCCAACATGTTATTCTTACACGACAATGACGACACGCCTATATTCACATACATATCATCAGGACGACTTGCCAATCTACATTGCTAAGGCAATAACATCATATGTACACATGTGCGCATCAAAGATTAAAAAATTTTAAAAAACCCAAGAAAAACGTGTCTCTCGAGTCTCTTTTTTTTTCTCTTCAGTGTCTATTGTTTATTTTCGTTTCTATATTTATCTTACTTGATCTGTTTTATTGTACGATAGAAACTAGAAGAGTGATGAATGACCATCAAGAAGATGATGATAATAATGAACAACAGACGTGATCATTGATGCAGTAATTTAAATGATGATGATGATAATAATGATGATAATGTTGATCGTCGTTTTGTTTTTGATCTACTATTTTCCGTTTATTACGTGTGTACATGGTAGAGAGAAAATGATTTTGTCTGAAATTCTATCATTTATGCATACACTTTGAAGATGTGGCAAAATAATAAATACACACACACACACACGCTCGGCTACTGGTTTGTTTCAGTTTTTTCAACAAAAAAAAACGGAGAAGCAAAAAAGGAAAACGACGATGTATCGACGATGTTAGTGCTTGCTGTTGCTACTCGGGCGAGAGAACGAGCGGACGAGGCGGGTGAAACAGCGAAGAGAAAAGCTTGGCCGACTAGCAATGGCAACCGAGAGGAAAAAGTCTGCGTATATGTGCCAGCAATAGAGTGAGGAAAAAACGAAGAAAAAGAGCGATGGCAATACGTAGTGTATATAGATGGTAGATCTTCTTGCTTTTCTAAGCGATGAGAAACGAGAGAAAGGAGGAAAAAAGAAGAAGAAGAAGGAGAACGTCAATGCACGTCGAACCCCAGTCTAGAACAGTCAGCTACCATTGATGATGATGATGATGATGAGATGCTGATGAACAGCTCTATTGTTAATGATAATTTTCTTTGCGTTCCTTTCTCGCTACCATACTATCAACGACGAGCGACTTCGTCGTCGCTATTGCCGCGATTCGTCTTCCTATAATCATAAGTCTAGTAATGCGAACTAGTCGTTTTTTTGAAAAAAAAAAGGAAAGAGAAGAAGAAAAAGAAGGAAAAGAAGTGNTATTTACCAGGTCATGTCTCCTGAACTTGTCACGATTTGAGAATCATCAAGAAAACGACAACAGGATAAATATCCGGTATGGCCAGGTAATTCTCGACTGACACGTACATTGCCTTCACGTGTTTTCAATGAATAAATTGAACAAATATTGTCGAGACCACCACAGGCAACAAAATTTCCAGATGGTGCGTAAGCGCATGTCATTACCCAAGATGAACGAAGTGGGATAGCGTGAACCTAATCAGATCAAAGAGATAAAAATAAAAATAAAAATAATAAACATAACTATGTCTTCCTCGGCATACCTTGTTCGTAGTGTATGAATCCCATACAATGAGTTTTCCATCTTGAGAAGCTGATACTAAATTTCTAGAGGATGAACTAAAAAAGAAACAAGATTTCAGTTGAGTTAGAGAAGAAAACCTAATCTCTTGTTGACAAATGAATACGAACCTTGAATCGGAACCCCAATGCATGGCATAGATCTTCGCCAGATGACCGCGAAGAGTTCGTCTTGTGCGCATTTGAATGCGACCGATCTGATCGACATTTTGTGCTACTTGTAACAGTGTAGCATCACAAGCTGCCTTTCGAGCATCCTTAAAAGAAGAGAAAGAACAATGCAATTAATTTGCTAAAAATAACACGAAGATTCTGATGAGAATACATACACGAATTTGATTTTTGAGCGACTCGGCTTCTTGACGTAGACTTTCAATGTCACTCATTGTGAAATCAGATTTGTTATGAATAAAAAGTCAAGGGAGAAGATAATGGGAAAATAAGGAGGAAAATTGATTTAATTACGAATTGTGACTGTTGAACAAACCTATAAGAAAACAAATATTTTAAATACAGTTTGTACTTTCTGATTCTCCTACGACTTAGTTCGAAACAACTCGAAAATTTACATTCGATTTAGATAATTCCGTCACTTAAGTCTCGTCTACATGATAGACAAACTCTTCCAAGTTTATTTGATCGGCTTTATATGTATTAGTCTGAGATAAAACTGCTCGTTTGTCGACAATGGAAGTAGTTCATCGAGAAAGAATCTAATAATAATGACGATACTCTTTTCCGTGAAGAAAGGTGTTTTATTTAGGATAGGATGAAAAATTCGAGCGTAAAGATCGATTTTCCCCTGCGTTCATCGGCAGTTTCAAATTTCAATGTTGATATTTGAAAAATGTGTTTCTACTCTTATTTCATCAGGAAACTTCTTCTTTTCAAATGTAATGTAATCAAGGGGAAAAATATTTTTTTCCTCAATAATCTAATCGCCTGTTGTGCGTGAGAAGCAAATATTATATTGAAAGAGAAAAAAACACGTTTTCTCCCGCATTTCATGAAATCCAACAAACATCTCTGTCGGCAAAAGTCGCTTGAAAATACAACAGATAGACAAAATCTCTTGTTATTTCCTCACTAGCGAGAATATTAGTCGTGCATGCGTCACGATAGTCCTTGTTCGTTCTTCCCCCTCCTTCTCTTAATATATATAAATATATATATATATATCATGTCTCGTCTTGTGCGACGACACTGATGATGCCAACTGTGTGTACTATCTATTGCCACCACCACCACCATCATCATCATCAGTATTAGTAGAAATATTGATGATGTTGATGGCAGAAGAGTGTTAGATGGTGATGTACGTGCCTGCGTGTTATTCTCTACTTGAAACGGGTGACGCACTCGCGCGATTTCTTTTCTTCCGCAACATGTTATTTTTACACGACAATGACGACACGCCTATATACACACACATATCATCAGAACGACTTGCCAATCTACATTGCTAAGGCAATAACATCATATGTACACATGCGCGCATCAAAGATTAAAAAATTTTAAAAAGCCAAGGAAAAACATGTCTCTCGGGTCTCTTTTTTTTCCTTCAGTGTCTATTGTTTATTTTCGTTTCTATATTTATCTTACTTGATCTGTTTTATTGTACGATAGAAACTAGAAGAGTGATGAATGACCATCAAGAAGATGATAATAATGAACAACAGGCGTGATCATTGATGCAGTAATTTAAATGATGATGATGATAATAATGATGATAATGTTGATTGTCGTTTTGTTTTTGATCTACTATTTTCCGTTTATTACGTGTGTACATGGTAGAGAGAAAATGATTTTGTCTGAAATTCTATCATTTATGCATACACTTTGAAGATGTGGCAAAATAATAAATACACACACACGCTCGGCTACTGGTTTGTTTCAGTTTTTTCAACAAAAAAAAACGGGGAAGCAAAAAAGGAAAACGACGATGTATCGACGATGTTAGTGCTTGCTGTTGCTACTCGGGCGAGAGAACGAGCGGACGAGGCGGGTGAAACAACGAAGAGAAAAGCTTGGCCGACCAGCAATGGCAACCGAGAGGAAAAAGTCTGCGTATATGTGCCAGCAATAGAGTGAGGAAAAAACGAAGAAAAAGAGCGATGGCAATACATAGAGTATATAGATGGAAGATCTTCTTGCTTTTCTAAGCGATGAGAAACGAGAGAAAGGAGGAAAAAAGAGGAAGAAGAACGTCAATGCACATCGAAGCCCAGTCTAGAACAGTCAGCTAGCATTGATGATGATGATGATGAGATGCTGATGAACAGCTCTATTGTTAATGATAATTTTCTTTGCGTTCCTTTCTCGCTACCATACTATCAACGACGAGCGACTTCGTCGTCGCTATTGCCGCGATTCGTCTTCCTATAATCATAAGTCTAGTAATGCGAACTAGTCGTTTTTTTTTTGAAAAAAGGAAAAAGAAGAAGAAAAAGAAGGAAAATAAGAGCACAATGAGGAAGAAAGAACAAGAGTAATGGCGGGAACTACTGTTGGATACCACTGAGAGCTCAACCCGACGTCAGTCGAGAGAACGGGAAGTAATGATTACTTGACGCGACGACGACGACGAGTAACGAACGCTAAAAAGAAAGAGAGGGAAAAGAAGCCGTTTGTGTATGTGTATGTGTGTTTTTTAACACGCATACACATACAGGCATACATCAGTATGGCATCGTCCTTATCTTTTTTTCTCTTCTACTTTTGCAGTGGCGTCTGTTCTTTGCCACAACTAACGCTACTATCACTGGAAAAAAGCAACAAGAAGCAAAAGAAAAGAAGAAGGATTCCACTTGATAACAGGCATCACTAACAAATGATGTGAATAGACAAAACGAGACCAATGTCCATCATCGTTATTGTTTTCTCATGTCAATAGCAAAATATCATCATTGTCTAATGAAAGATTGAAGTGCGATTGTTGATATAAAGCAGACGAAACTCGACTGCAGTGTTCTATTATCATTCTAATGGAAAAAGAAGCAAGATCAAAGATATACCCATCGCAATTTCTTTTTTTTTATATTTTGATTGAATCAGAATGATATGAGAGAAAGAGAGGAAGAAAGCAAAAGTTTTCTCCGAACTTTTGAAGGTGAACAAAATAATCTTCTTGCATCTTTATCTCTTTTCTTCCTTTCTATCTAGCACTCTACTACTCTTCACTCTCAGTCATCTTTTCTCTTGTTGTTACTTAGTCGGTTTTCTTCGTTTTTTTTTCCAAGCGAAGGGAGGCATATAACCAGCACCGATGATGCCGCGAGTGACGAGTTTGACACACAGTTCCCTCCTCATTTCAAAGATGAACTAACGAGTGTACAAGAAGGAAGAACAAGAATAAGAAGAAAAAAAAACGAAGAAGAACAAGAATAAGAAAGTTAAGAATATATATATATATATGTCGCTCGTTGATAAGAGAAACAAGCAAGCAGAGATTTGTGTGGGATAATGACAGATGTGATGTCGTTCAAACATCATTTTTACAAATTATTTTCATATCAACGATAGATAAATGTGTATACATATATCAAACAAACGAAATCAATTGATTATATTTTAAAATATTTACCAAAGAAATTTGCCTCGTTTGTCTCACCCGGACATGTCATCAAGTAAAGAGAGAACGGAAAATGAAATCTAATAAAATCATCATGATCAGAAAAGAAAATTTCTTGTTCAATCTAATGAGATATGTATATAGACATGATTGATCTCGTCGTTGATATCAATAGACTTATGTTTTGACAAGATCAACATTGTTTCTTCAAACACTTCGAGATATATTCACTAACACTAGTGTCTGTTTTCGAGGTCTAAATATTTAGTTTTCTTGCGAACTGACACGTTGTCATCTGATGTGGCTTCTTAAACTAGAACGTTTCTTAGGTATTTGTTTAGTCTGATTGTAATTAACTGATCTGAATGAGATTTATTCGTTGAAATGAAATGTAAATCACTTACCTAAAATGTATCTATTTGAGCTTCCTTCTGTGATGAAGCCCGTGTTGATGTTTAAAAAGATTATTTTGATACTGGTATTCACGAATGATTGTCAATAATTGGTCGATAGAAAAAGTTGAAAATTAATTGTAAAATTTGTTTTTTTATAATAATAGTATATTGTCAAAAAAAATAGAATAATCAAAAGAGTAATAATGTGTCTGAAAGAAACATCAATAACACAATAAATGCTACCATTATCAATGTCTATTAGACAATAGCTAGACTCTAATTTGGTGTGAAAATTGGATGAAAATATCCCTGCTTTTTATTCGAATTCGAATGCTTTGAAATGTTTAGTAGAAATATCAATATCTAAACAAAATTTTCATGTCTTTATCATTCTAAAGTGATGCTTTAAATGCATTAGTGTACGTTCAGATGTCGCTAGTCAATGACACGAGCATAAATGTGATTGTATTCATCAAATGCAAATGGTTCAAAGTCGTTTTTACTTTTATTAGTGCTATTTTAGGAATCGAAGCAAACAAATGCGTTCGGCTGTACTAAGATTGAATGTCTCGGGGAGATATCGACACACAATGCGCAACTGGACCAGTTAACGTGCACGACACAATCCTCGAGCTTTATTCGTATATGATATTTGGTATGTTGTTGCCCACTAAAATAGAAAAATCGATTGTATACATGCAGCGGAAAGTGTGTTAAGATACTGGGTTGTATTGGGCTCGATTGAAATTTGTGAAACCTTGAGTAACTGGTCGGAAAGGTGGATTTGCATTGTAACATTGAGATAAACCAGCAATGGATGCTGAGAGACTATGGTTGTTTGGCTGCTGTTGCCGGTACATGTATGGATTACATGAAGATTGACCAGTTTGTTGGTAGACAGAAGGAGGATTGGAACGGGCGATAAATGATCTTTCGTTTGTGTTCTGTTTGTTATTAGTATTTTGGATGCCAATTGCAGCAAGTGTCTGAGGACTTAGTTGACATTTGATGTGATCAGGCTACAATGAAGAAAACTAGAATATTGATGAGAAAAACATCATGTACTGACTAAGTTGTTCAGTTGGTCAACATAACAAACTTCGGCATTTCCATTTGGTTTTTGGTTGATAAACTGTTTGGGGTCAACATACGATATACCTTCATTGACACATTGCAGTTGAATTTTCGGTTCTAGTGCTTCGTATTGAATGATGACATTCTTCGGTGGAGGTGTGTCATTGGTGGCCGCTTTTTCCACGATACATGGCCGATCTTCGGGTTCCTCGTACGGAAGCCATTTTTCAAAGATGATCGGACGTGGTTTCGCTGGTGGTGTCGGTAATCGTTCGACGATAACCTGTCGAGGTGGCAGCGGTGGGGGTGGAATCTCTCGCTCGATGATAGTCGGTTCTTGCATTTCAAGCATGGGCGGTGGACATTCACGAATAATCAGTGCTGGTGGTGTGCACGGTCGAGGAGGTATTTGTCGGATAACAATCGGTGATTGTGGTGGTGGTTGAGGAGCACAACGTTCACTAGATAGAATCAAAAGATATGGATTTTATTCGGAAACAACGTCATTCAAACCGAATGATAATTGGTGGTGGCATGGGAGGTCGTGGTCTAGATAGTGAAAATAAAGAATTCAATAAGCGAAAATCATAGAAGAAATAATTACGGTTGTAAATGACGAACAACAATCGATTGCTCATAACATTCCTCAAAGAAATGAGATGACACATGTTGATACTCGTGCGTTTTTCAATCAATAGAAGAATTTTACTTGACAATCTGCTGGCTTCTTCATACACAATGGATTTGGATCACAATTCACAGGTTCGTTCATAGTTACAGGTGAATCCGTGATGACCTCAAGGCAATCATTTGACGTTAAAGTTGATGCAATACCTGCTTTTTGAAGAATTTCATTTGCCAATTGACGATCACGTACGACCATTTTCTGTCGGTTCGATACATTGCCATTTGTCTCAGAAGAATAATTCAAATTATTCGAACCTGATGTCATTGGTCGTGATGAACGATTCATTTGCATAGTCTTATCGATATCTTGTCTAATACCAATCATCTTGGTACTATCATTGAATTGTTTAGCCGAGCAATCTTTTCCTAGTGGTATTTGTCGTACATCGCTACATGCTCTTGGATTTAATGGCGGTGAGGAAAATCTTTGCGACGGAGTAATATCACGTGTCGGACAAACAATTTTACTATTTTCATACGCAGATGTTCGAGTATTGCACAGAGCTGATCCATAGTCGATTCGTAAAGATGAATTCGGTCGATTGGGATAGTTATCATTATTCTTTCGTGGAACATACGAATTCGCATTCGTTAGTGTTGTTAGTCCGTTATTAATGGCAGGTAATTTACAACGATTTGGGTTCTCCATCGGATTATTCGATCGAAATGGAGCACAAAAATTTCGATTGGACATATTTGTTATTCGTTCGGATAAAATTGAGCTGTTTTTCTCTTGTAAATCAGATGTACATATTCGTCAGATACGCGCCATTTTCAATTATTTTACAAAGAATAGAATGAAAAAATCTAGCTCAAGTATGTTTATTTGAAGTTATTTCTTTTTGCGCGAATACAATCGTAATTCCTTCGTGGTACGAACGTCATCGTGATTAGATTTTTCTCAGAAGAGATTTCCCTGAATATGATGAATACATAAAGCATATTAATTTATGAGAGATGACATAAATACCATCGGAAATAGATTTTCTTCACGTGTTGATAAAAATAGATGTAAAGAAGCATCATGATCGTCGCTTTCCTCTCATCAAAAGACGCGAGATTATTGCTACACCACGCATCCCTATCAATCGATTGATTGTGCCCTACTTCCATGATTAAAAATCGAATTCCGATGGCGAGTGGCTTTTATGTTACACAATTTGATTGATTTTCGTCTCAATGAAAACACAAAAACATTATTCATCGGGAACATAGATAATGTAATAACTTCCGCATGTTTTTCTTCCTCCCGTTCTGTCAGATTGGTAACGTCATCAGAGAAAAACATGTTTTTTCAACCATTTGTGAAAGACGGAATAACTGATTTTTCCTATTCTTCACCGTCGCAGCCCACGCTTCGAAGGGAAGAAAGTCTCTTGGTGGGAGAATGAGTCAACCGGGTTTTTTTTTTGTATCGCTTCATCAAGCACTTGAAAACCTTTTCTCTTATTCGCATTCTTTGCATAACAAACAGAATACAAATGCAATGTTGAAAGTAAGACTATCGGTTATAGTTTTCGAAACGGAAAACACAAAGCTGATTTTCATTTTCTCGTTAAGATTAAACATTTCTGTCCGACGAAGTCGACAATCTGCTTATGTCGAAGAATTCAATTCTTCCCAACAGCAATTTCTCATGTATCTACTACTTCCATTCCGAATCCAAACGGAAATCAAAAGCAAGAAACGCGTCCAGATTACCCGTTTCTTGATACAAAGTTTAATCAGTATCAAATCGCGTATCGCTATCGACATACCATCGAACTTCTTCGCGGTTATTTTGTCTATCGCTTATTCTCAATTAATTTCCTTGTTAATAATCAAAACAAGGTAAATATCTTCTTCTGAAGTTAGTTAATGTGAAGATTATTCGTATTCAGATTGCCTACTGGGGTCGTCGAATTTTAGGCGAGAAAGTTTTTCACAAGGTTTTGAAATTAACTGCCTTCGGCCATTTTGTTGGTGGCGAAAGTCCACAAGAAATTATTCCGGTTATAAATAGATTACAAAAATATCACGTTCATCCAATCCTAGATTACAGTGTAGAAAGCGATGATACCAATTCTACAGCATCGTATGTGTTCTGAAAGCGTTCTTCCTTTGAAGAAAATTGTTCATTTAGGTCGGATCACGTTCAACGTATGCACGATGATAACACTGCGAAGTTTATTGAATGTATTAAGACTTCGCATGATATATGTGGTGCGAACAATCTGATTGCAATTAAAGTTACTGCGTTGATACGGCCGAGTGTATTAAAAAAATTGAATACAGTGCTGCAATCAATAAACAATCGAGAAGTGCTACCGGCGTTATTTGAAATCATTAATCAGGATGAAACTAGTGGAAAAACAGTCACACGTTTGCAACAATCTCTTCAATTGCAGAATACAACAGATCAAGTATCTAAACAAAGAGTTTTTTGTATATAAAACTCGAACAAAACTTGTCTTTTAGAAGGAAATTTCCTCGAGTGTTAGATTCACAACGGATGAACTGAAAGAAATCTATCAACTTCTATTACGACTGAACAAAATCGCTCAAGTAACGAACGAACTATTCTCGTGAGAAAATACTTTGAATAACGATTGTTCATTCAGGCATGTGCACAGTACAAAATTTCCATTATGGTCGATGCCGAACAAACATACTTTCAAAACGCGATAAACTATCTTGCTACTGAATTACAACGATATTACAATAAGAACAATATTCCTTTTATCTACGGAACTTATCAGTGTTACTTAAAAGTAAGTTTAGTAACGAGTAAAAGACATTCACGGATGAAGTTTTCTTTTTTCTAGGAAACACTGATTTGTTTAAAACGTGATCTTGCTCTCGCGGAAAAGTATAATTATATCTTTGCCGCCAAACTTGTTCGCGGTGCGTATATGGAGCAAGAGCGTCGTTTAGCCCGAGAAAACAGTTATGAAGATCCGATAAATGCTAATTTTGAGACAACAACACAGATGTATCATGTGTGTTTCGACGAAGTCATGAAAAGTACAGTTAAGCGTTCGCCAAACCAAGTTCGAGTCATGGTTGCTTCACACAACGAAGACACCATTCGTTATGCTATCACAAAGTAGGTCAAAGGTTACTATTTGCATTCTTTATTGACATGACTGATTTAGAATGAAAGATTATGATATTCGTCGTGGTTCATCAATTGTTTCGTTTGCATCACTTTATGGCATGAGTGATTATGTCGCATTTGCTTTAGCAAATTCGGGATATAAGACATACAAATATTTACCTTATGGACCAATTGAAGCTTTGCAACCCTACTTATTTCGGCGTGCCCAGGAGAATCGTGCGATCTTTCAAAAAGCGGATAAAGATCGTCGTTTTCATCTTCAAGCATTCAAGGATCGAATCTTCAAATCCACTAATTAACTACTTCAGTCCTTTTTGCATCATCTCACCTATACAAATCATGTAAATGTACTTTGTAACTTCTTGACACATTTCAATAAAAAAAACCGTTATAAATCCTTCCACACTAGAATCATACGTCTCGCATTAACCCTTTGTTGGCAGACGTGGTATATATACTACTTCGAATGTTTTCTCAAAGTTGAGGAATAACGTATATTTCAAGTCAATCAGAAATGAATGAGAACAGTCTGTCGGGTACATTTTCTGCATTGATAGAGTAATTATTTGTTTAAAAATTTATCATATTCTAAAATACTTTTGTTGATGGTTTTGTGATAGAATAAACATCTGTTTTCACTATATTAAAACGCTTAACTTTAACAAAAACAAAACGCCAACCAAGAGTTAAGCTGGCCGATGATAAGATAATTCGTGTTTTTGTTTATTTATAAAGAACGGAAGAAAAGAATGAAATTGCTAGTACGAAAATGCTATCGAAACTGATTAGACGAAATCAATCCTCTTCAGTTGTTTTTATCCAACAATGTATGCGTTCATCGGTGTTGAATCCATCCAGAACCAACGATGAAATTCGGTTTGATTCCATTACGACAGCGTATGGATATAAGTCGAAATATGAATTATATCGCGGTTGGGCGGTTTTCAAACTCTGCTCGTATACATCGCTTGTTAATCGTCTTACTCAGTTATTGAATATCTCGCGTACAATTCTCGGCCGATCTGTGTTCGAATCGATTATGCGTTCTACTCTCTATGGGCATTTTGTTGCCGGAACAGATAAGTCCGAATTAAAACCAATTGTGGAAAGATTAAGTCAGCATGGTGTTAAATTAATCCTCGATTATTCCATGGAATCGGATGTGGCAACTGATCATCTGTAGGAATTTTCAACAAAGCAATCTCGAACTCTGATTTGATCGTTACATTTTAGAGTGACCACGGCCCAATCGAACCATAGTATCTACGATGAAAACTTGCTAAAATCCTTGAAAAATGTGCAAACAGCATCGGAATTATCAGGCTCATCAGCCATTACTGCGATTAAATTTACCGCATTCATTTCACCAGATGTCCTTCAGAAATTAAATCAAGCTGTTGAACAACATCCCTCCGATCAACAGTCTCTATTCGAACTGGCATCGAAATCTTCGCTTGTAAGGAAGATATTTGATCTTGTACTACAAAAGATTTTGTTTGCAATAGATAAGCAAACATGAATTGATCGAAATAGAACATTTCATACAACGAATAAATCGTATTGTGCAAGTAAAGCATTCTCCATTTGTCTGAAATATTCTCAAAGAATCTCTGTCTAGGAAGTGAAACAGCATCAAGGAAGAGTATTTATCGATGCCGAACAATCCTATTTTCAAACAGCTATTCATAAATTAGTCTTGGAACTACAAGAATTATACAATCGAGACCGTATAATTGTCTACAATACCTATCAGTGTTATCGAAAGGTGAAAGTTTCATCTTAATCGATTTAGACATGTGTATTTCTCTTCTCCTTCAGATAACACTTAAAACAATCCAAAATGATTTAGCACGAGCGAAAACGAAGGGGTTTTCGATTGGATTCAAACTCGTTCGAGGTGCTTACATGGATCAAGTACGTGTATTGTTTACTCGATATTTAACCTTTTCCCTATCTTTTAATCAACCAACATACGAAAGAAATGTACGTATCTTGACTTTTAGGAACGAAAACGAGCAGTAGAACTGAATACGAACGATCCGATTCATCCAAATTTTGCCGCAACAACTCAGTGCTATCATCAAGCATTTAAAGAAATCCTTAAGGATGCAAAAAATCATCCTAATCAATTTCATGTTTTCGTTGCCAGTCACAATGAAGACACGGTGAAATTCGCTCTTCGAACGTAGATTCTGTCGTTTTTGTATTCCATAACACCAAATCAATCGATTTGATGCCTTTTAGCATGGATGAAATGAATGTGAAACGTAATGATGGTCTCGTTGCATTTGCCACCCTCTTCGGCATGTGTGATTATCTTACATTTCCACTCGGTATGATCTGTCTTGCCCGTAAAAATTAATTTGATTCATATTTTCATTTGTACATAGCTGCTGTTGGCTATGATGCTTATAAACTGGCACCATATGGACCCATTGACCGTCTTCTACCGTATTTAACACGTCGAGCACAAGAGAATCGAGCAATATTTGCTAAAGCTGAAAAAGATCGTCAATTACATTATAAAGCATTGAGAGAGAGAAATTGAACGTTTTCCTTGCAGAATTTACGTCTTATTGTATCGATTTAGTAGCAAAGTAGAACACATATATCAATAAAAATTGCACCAGTAAGGTTCTTCCGACTTTAATCATATCTGTACGCCTGTTATTTGTATGCAAAAACGTCATCTTCATTGGTTTAATCTATTCAATACGATGTTATTTTTATTATAGTTAGTTACAATAGGTTCATCTTACCAAAAAAAGGACCAAATAGAAATATATAAAGGAGAAACGAACACTGTTCAAGAGTGGTAAATGTATAAAGACTAGCTAACGAAAACTGAGGGAGAGAGAGAATATACAAGGTCAATTGTAGAGAGATAAACATATTGAAAGAGATATTTTATTGTTCATCTGAAACATAGCTCACTTTGTCCACCGGTGGATCTTGTGGAACAACTAGAAGGAAGTCAAAATCAGTTGATATCTATACTTTGAAGGGTTTCTTACTTGAATAGTTATCTTCTAATCGAATGGCTCCAGACGGTTTTCTTGTTCGAGTTTGTTCTTTTCGAAATTTCTTATAATACAGAACGACGAGAATGACGATACCTGTGAGAACAACAAAACTGGCAATAGGTATAATAATAGCAAGTATTCGTTTCGTTGTTGACGAATAAACAGATCGACGTGGAAAACGTTGATCATTCATATAGTGATTATCACTGAACGCCCCGCGTTGATATTGACTGAATTCTCTACAATGAAAACAGAGTTCTTTCTTATCTTCAAGGAGAATTAGACATATCAGTGAATACGAACTGAGCATTACAACAATATTGATAATTGGCCAAACCACAGCAGAATTGATCAAGTTGATTCATGCCTGTACTTGCTGGTAATGGACATGGAAATCGACCGTATACATATCCATCGAAATTGTCATGATTGTAACAAACTGAGCCACGTCCTTCGCGATCTATTTAAGTAATTAGAATGTCATGTATAATAAATCAAACAGTCTTACTTTCATTTAGAGCAAAATTGAAAGCCTTTTCACCTTTACTAGCGTATTGTCTGGCTATTTTAGCGAGAAATTGCTGTCCGCCATCGTGCCGTATTTGAGCAGTATTAGCTACAGCTCTATTTTCAAGAATGAATACAGAAGATCAAAAGCATCGTATATGAAATTACTTGTTAGGTGCCGCTTGTTTTTCTGCCGCTAGTTTATTCTTATCCAATTCACCATTTTGATTTGATACCCAATTGACATAACTAGTCCCAAACCATCCTGCTGGTTTGGCACCTGTGAATGTCGGAGGTTGAAATCCGGGACTACTATAGAATCCACGACCACGAATCACTTCGGTTTGCTGCTGTTGCGTTTGAGGAATAATTTGTCCTTGACTGATTTGTTGGTTTGTTAAGACAGTGTTCGGATTATTCGGCGGATTGTACGGAATGTTATTAAATTGTACAGGTCCTTGAGAGTTCTGCGACGGCGGTGACGCGGGAACATTTGCAATACGATTTGTACCATCAACGATTTGGCGACGATGACGGGCAGCATGGACTGAAAGTTATTTACGACCGAAGATAAACGATATTCTGCTGATAAGTCAAATAATACTTACTAAAAGTAGAACAGACGATTATTTGTAAGAGAAATATCAGTGAAACATTGAAGCTGATAGTCATTCTATTGAATGTTGATATTAAACTTTTTTCTCTCTTTCTTCTTACGTTTTTTTTTCTTCTTCTTGCTGTCGCTGTATATGTCGAGAGTAGTGCGCTCTGTTCTTTCTCCTTTCTATACATTACAACTTTTTTTTTTCTTCTTCGGAAGACCATGACCTTTTCTTATGTGATACAACTTCTATTCCTTCGTTCAGTTTCCTACCTTCAGTAATGTATAGCGCTTTCGTTTGTCATTACTTCACCTAGTTCTTCCTTCCTATACTGCCATGATTACCTCTCTCTTCTCGTCAATTCTTTGTGTTATACATAATTTTTTTTCAACGATCATACTTCGACATCCACGTATTGTTTAGAGGCCATACAGAGCTCTTTTCTCTTCTCTTTAATTTGTTGCATACAGACGTAATCAAACGTTGAACATTCAAGTTGATGCATCGTTTTTCGAACGCATATTTGAGTTAATAATATATTTGTAATAGCATGAGTACGTGTACATAAAGAAAGACTCACTAAACTCAATAGTGTATAAAGAGAAAAAAAAATGTCCTATTTTGATTGAAATTTCGATATGAATTTATATGAAAAGACAATATTACATCATACGATGTATAATTGTACAAGAGAATTTATTGCATTGTTGTTTTGATATCGGCAAACAGGATTTGATAACGTAGATTAGATGCATTGGCTCTTTTGTTATTTATTATCGTAACTTTAAAAAAGTCTATTTACAAAGTTTTTGTTGAAGTCATTTTCTAACGAAAAAAATTGTATAATTTCATGAGAAACAAGGAAAAGAGAAGTAACATTTGATGTTAAACATCATGATAACAAGAATAAGAACAAACGAAATCGAATACGGATAATTCGAGCAATGAATTCCTTGTTTCTATTCATCTTTCGTAATCACATGTTGATTAATAACATTCAAAGTTTCTTTACGTTTCATCGAACCTTTAAGATTCTTTTCACACCAATTTGTGAACGTTGTCGATTGAACATTTACCGTCGAAGAGAGATGCGTAAAAAAACTTTCGATATATTGTAAGACGTACAAACCACAATCGGAATAGTTGCGTTGTTGAGGTACACCAGCTTCAATCGTTGGTATTGTGTCCACATTGAATAATTTACGAGCTAATGATCCACTAGGTAGAGTTTTCTTATGATCATATTCAAGCTGAAGAAATTCACGTAATGTCGGTGCGACACGAGTTTTCGAGTCCGTGCGTAATGAATCGAAGATGATGATTGCAGGAGAGAGGGAATTGTTTTTCGGACCGACGAGTGATTCAATATTGAGCTGTAAGGGAACATCGTTGTCAGATGCGACTTCATCGGCATCTTCGAACTCGTCAATTAAGTATTGTTTACTCGCGGGTGACGAACTTCGAAGTCCATTGGTACTACCAGTAGGGTGAATTATTCTCGATGAACGTCGCCGTTTCTTCGACTTGGATAGATCCTCTAAAGAAGAGAAAGAGTTTCAATATGTTCCGTAAGGATAAACTTCGAACCATGACTGTCGTCCTCATCGTCACTGATTAGATCGCCTTCAGTTGGAACGTTGTTGAGATTCTGGATAAGAACAATATACCAATGTGCGTTTTGATTGATTGGTACGATAATATAAGTTTTAGCGAATAAATCAACATCACGAAGCCATCGTTTTACACGATTATACCGTCGTTCAGCTACTCTAGGAATTTTCAAAAAACAAAATAGAACTTCTCTTCGGAATGATAATTAGTAATGAACTTACGAGATGTCTGGATTATCACGTTTGTCTTTCTGTGTCAATCGTTTGTAAAAGAATGAATTGAATAAATAAGTGCGTTGACGATCTTCATTCGATAACTTTTCATAATAAATATATCTAAAATAAAATCAAGACTCACATTCTCAATTCATTGACATGAAGAAATCCTACTGTAGATAAAAGTCGATAATATTATCATTGAGAAATTCACCCTCATTCAAACAATGCAAATCATCAGATGAAAGATCAAATCGAATAGTATTATTGTTTAATCCAACTGTTTTGGCAGTCCTAAACGAAAAATAAAGATCTTTGCTGTTCTTAAGAATAATCGATCATTATCACGGTTGACTGACTTCACTCGAATGACTGTCTATTTGTATCTCATCAATCATGGATGGAAAAGAAAATGACATACAAATCGTTTGTATTGAGTACAAATGGTGTTTTCTTCGGTGTTGGTGCTGAGGCTTTTGAGAAGCGCGTGAGGTTATACAATTCGTCAGCTCGTGTACCACTGATACAGTAGATGTCCTATTATGAACAATATCACATGAAGTTTATGTAAGAAAAACAAATGAAAGATTGGATTTACCGTTTTTGGAGATTTTGTCTTGAGAAAATGATAAATTGTAGGTAAATGAATTCTCTGCATATCGGATGTTAATGGTTTCAGACAAAAAATAATATGGCGTCGTTTTTCATCTAGAAGCATGAGTAAAATAAAAATTTGACGACGACATTGATTTGATGAACCTTTAGAAATCGGATTAAATCCTCGTCCGTGTTCATCTGATGTTGGAATTTTTTGATCGAAGAGTATAGCGAATTCATTGCGAACATGAATAAAGGCAACTGGAATACGAGATTCGAAGGAAAAATAAAACTTCATCACATCCGTGTATGCTAATTTGATATTCAAATTATCCATGAAACCACCTAGAGAAGAAATTCAACAATAAAATGTTGATGATCATGATTTTCATGCCTGTTAATTTCATTTCGAATTCTGTTTCTTTCATCATGATAATTTCAGATTCAACATTGAACTGAACGAGACCAAAATAAACACTTGAACAACGGATTTCAAATGGTTTTTTATAGATGTCGGAATATTTCATTGGTAATGGAGAAACATAAATAATATCGTTCTCGTGAATAGCCCAATTCGATGCATTATTTGAAGAATTATTAACAATCGTTAAGCTTTCTTTTTGTTTAATAGGAGTCGTACGAGATTTGCTATTCACATGGTTATTATTATCATCATCATCGTCGTCGTCACTTAGACATATGACTAAAAATAACCAAAATAATATATGAGAAAAGAAATTCTATAGAAATCAGTACTTTCTGTAGGTAGTTTTGTTTTTTTCGCCATTGGATGGACTGACTACAAAAACAGGTTCATAACTGTTTATTGTTAAAGAACTAAAATATACAAGAATGAGATGTAGATAGCATGGAAAGGAATGTGAGAAAACTTACAGGAGAAGATGTTAGGTTTATCTATGAAAAATATTGTCTCGAACGAAATGCAAATATGTAATAGTAATCATATCTCTGAGCAAAATATTCGTTTTTAATCAAGAAATCAAATAAAAATAAATAAAGACATACTTCTTCTTTCAGATCATATGTGTGATATCTAATTTAGTCGGATTTTATTGGTTCATAGATATATCAATAGATGACGTGCATTGTACAAATGCAGCGTTGACGAGATGAAGAGAAAACGAAAAATCATGTTTGAACTGATGTCCTCATTGTTTTCTAGGACGTTCATTGAACTCATTAACAATTGAATGAACACTTGAATCATAAAAAATGTTCGATAGAGATGATAACGATGAGATTTTTAAGAACAATTAAGAGACATATATGTCAGTTTGCTACTATATTTAGAAGGAAAGATTTTTTTTCTCTATAGAATACGTATTCTTAACATTTCTTTGATTTTGAATATTTAATGTAGGAGGATATGTCAAAGAAAGTTCTCTTTATTCAGCAGCTTTAGTTTGATGTGCATTCTATGATGACGAGTAAAAGAACTTTTAGTTTCTTTAAATCTTATTTGTCGAACATCACCTGCTACTTGAAGGCACGGCTGGCTCCATTTCCGTGATGATATCTCTCTCGTTCTCTTGTCGTATATTACCATTTGCAAAATTTTCTGATTAAGAAATGTCAAACACTACCACACCTTCATTAAGTATAACTCTCTCCGCTGTACAATTTCGAATGTCTACAATTTTCATGCCGATGTTTCTCGTTTTCGGCAGCGGTGGAAATATTCTCAATGCGTGCATACTCTTGCAAAAAACATTCCGTACGAGTAGTTGTTGTATGTATATGATCACTGCTTATATTCTTCATACAGTGGTTCTTTGTTTTGCATTATCAACAACACTCTATTCACTTTCGCATACAGATCCGTTAACATATAGTGAACCATATTGTAAAATTCGTCAGTATCTTATCTCTGCTATATTCACCATGGCGCGTTGCTGCATCGGAATGGCATGTGTAGATCGCTATGCAATTTCATCACCGAATGTCAGTACTCGTGCTTTCGGCAGACCACGAGTAGCTCTCTATGTCATTTGTTTTATTGTGATTATCTGGTCTATCTTACCAATTCATTTAATTATATTTAACACGATTCAAAATAATCGATGCGTTATGTCTGGATGGTATCCTTACTTCTTTGCTGCGTATGCTATAATCATCGCTGCAATCATTCCACCGAGTATGATGATTACTTTCAGTATACTGGCTGCAAAAAACATTCAACAAATGCGCCAAAGAGTTCAACCAACAGTTGGCAATGTAAACACCAGTCAATTAACAACGAATTCAAATCTTGGTGTGCGTCTTAAACAATATGATTATCAATTATTGCGAATGTTAGTTGTCGATGTTACTATTTACTGTATATCGGCAGTACCATCACCAATTTATTATATTTATGCAGCAATAACGTTAAAAGCAACAAAGAGTTCTGACCAAGTTGCTTGGCAAAACTTTTTCAGTTATCTAGCTTATCAATTTCTCTTATATATCGCAGCATCAACAAGCTTCTATACGAATCTTCTCGTTTCGAAAGCGTTCCGAGACGAGTTTCGTATATTTATCAACCGGTGCACCAGATATCGAATACAACCCACTACGACGACAAGAAGTCAGGTACACAATAATCCAACCCTGCTAATCAGTCGTATTAATCTCTGAACAGATGCTGAAAGCGCCTTTATTTTCTCATAACTTATCTTCATTTTCTGAAAAGTAACTGTAGCTATGACTTTACTTCAGTATTGTTTCCTTCATAAAGTGAAGTAGAGATGGGTAATATACTGTATAGAGAAGCTGATGTTCTGATGAAGTAATTTAATAAATGTCAGTACGAAAATAGCCTCTTTGTCACCGAAGGCGGTCACAACAGCAAATGAGATGGCATTTTCAAAGAAAGTACATTACACCAGCTTAGGTACATAATTCGTATTTCACAGTATTAAATTCTAAACGTAGCCTATAAACGTCAGAGCTCAACGGATTAAATGTTCATACATAATGACATCTCATCAAACGGTAGCGACATCTTATGTTTGTTGCAAAAAAGGTGTGGTCATAGTAGCCAAGTCATTGATGGTGTATGAAATGAAAATATCGATGAAATACCTGCCAATTGTTATCGTCTTTTCATCTATTCAATCCTTGTCATATTTTTGGGCATTTATTCGTGTGACAGATATAAGATTTGTGTCAGAATAAGCTATGAATGAGGCTGCACCATCGCACAAGACTCTATATCGTTGGGAGAAACGTCAATCAGCGCTCGATAAACCGTCGAAACCAACAAAAAATGGTAGCGCGAACAAGTTGAAGAATTTCAATAACTCTATTTCCTAAACTGATTTTAGATGATATTACCACTTGGTTACGGCAAGTAGAACATGCATCATCCACTGCTGTTGAAAGTGTTTTCCCCCGTTCATCGGGCCGACAAACAGGAAAAGCACTTGTCAATCAAGCAACTGTCTACGCTAAAGCAACTGATAATACCTATACAGGTAGACCAAAGTAGTCTGTTAATCTGTAAAGATTTGTTTGTTTTCGGGTGATTTTTCAGAAGCACGAGAAATTCTTGATGAATGGCTTAATGAAAAGCTTCGTCTAGAAGCCGGTCTCGATGATAGTGAAGATGAACATATAGCCGAAACGAACGTTCGATCTGTCAAACAAGCTTGTAATCTCAGTTTCGATGACGACGATCAACAACTCGAATTCCTACGTGAACCAAAAGATCTACTGACATATAAAGATCCAAGTCTTTATTATGAAACTCACGATGAAAGTGATCTAGTCAAAGATATTCTTCACGGTAAACATTTTCATTCATTTGAGTCGACAGTTTCATAATGAAGTCATTTAGATTTACGAAGCAAAGAAGTATTAACTCGACAACAATTGAATGCAATTGAACAGACAAAACCAACGACAGTTGATATTCAAACGAAAATTGAAGAACGACATCGACAGGTCTCAGAAATCTTATGTTCGTTTTGTATCGAGTACCGTTGTTTTCTCCAGGTAAAAGAAAATCATGAGAAAATGCAGCGAGAACGCGAAGCAAAACGAAAACAAGCTCAAGCGAAGAAAGAAGCTGAAGCACAAGCTCGTCTCGTTGTTTTGAAAGTAAATAATCATTGGTTTTCAAACCGTAGAATCTTGAATTCTCTCTACAGGAAGAACGTGAACGAGCTTTGAAAGCAAAGCAAGAGGAAGAAATGATCGAACGGCATGTTGTTGAAATTCGACGAGAAATGAACGAAAAACGTTTACAAGAAGAAGACCAACGAAAACAGTAGGAAGGGAACGATACATTGCTTGGATATTGTATGTTTTTATTACAGTCAACGAGAGTATGAACAAGCAAGATATGAAAGAACAAAAGCAGAACAAGAACGAACTCGTAAAGAGGAAGAATTACACAAACTGAAAGAGATCGCTCTTAAAGAACAAAATGAACTAAGAGAAAAACGATTACAAACACTAGTTGATGATTTCATTCGAATGAAATCTCTGACAGTATGAGATCATTGCAGATTTTCCATACAAATAACAGTCGAATTCTTGATTTAGATTCTACAAAAACATTTTTCTGCATGGTTGCACGTTGTATCGGAGCGACGCTTACAAATGGGTCGGGCAGCAGCGCTGGCTGATTGGAAATTGTTGTTCCAGTATGTCTCACCTTTACGTACAGCTCCTTCTACGAAAATCTGCATGTTTAGATCATTTAATTATTGGCGAAGTACAGTACGGACGAAAAAACTCGAAGAAGAAACTGAAGTACATATGACTGAAATGAAAGTCTTGTCAATGAAAATGCAACAAGCAAATTTACATTACGAACGAACACTATTACGAAAGTAATACCAGTTGACATCACCGAGTGATATCGCCTTCTGTTTATCTAGATCAATGATTACCTGGCAAATCTTTATTCGTAATGAACGTATAGCTAAAAATTTAAAACATGAACAAGAGGCGACCAAACGAAAGATCGATTCGTTTCTGGATGCTGCCTCAACTGGAAAACTTTGGGGAAATGAACAACAACAGCAAGAACATCCGCCATTTCCATCACAACCTGCAACGACGAATTCAACTACGCGTCAACAATTAAAAACACGACGAGTGTCGATAGCACCACGTCCGTCGTCTGTAACGTCACGATCACGCTCAGCAGTACCGGTCGGCGACAAATCATCGTTAACAACACGAGCGCAGTCGGATATTAAATTAGATGATTTCTTTCAAATCTCATCACCGAGAAATGAACACGAAGAATTTGAGCAGAAGTAATGTTATCGAACTTCATGAATCAAATCGATACGATCAATATCTTGTTGTAGGACAAATCTGGAATTGGTATTGCCAACAGATACACGGCGTATGCATCTCGATTTCGATCAATTATCAAGTAGTGACGAGGATTTAAGTAAAAAGAAGCAACGTGAAAGGCGTATTCGCTCGGAAATGGCAGAACACAAATCAGCAACACGCGTAATGAACACCTTTGAAAATCGTTATAATGCGCAAATGAAAATGCTTAAAGAACAGAATCGTTTACTAAAAGGTCTGTTTCATCTTTTTATATGCTTACATTCGAATTAGATATCTCTTTAGACCAACAAAGAATGATTGAAGAACTTAAATATCAACAAGATCAACAGGTTCTGCACAATCAGCTATCGAATCTCGAAGTACTCAAAGCACAACAAGTAAACTTTTAATCTTTCTGGAATGAATATAATTAACAGTATTGTTTTAGACCGAAATGGAAGAAAAACAACGGAAACAGTTAGTTACTGACCGACGTCATGCTACTGCTCTTATTCAAGCACATAATCGTGGCGAATTACAAAAACAATTGAATACAAGTCGATTAGAGTAAATTCAGCGAGAGCAAAGAAGAATATTTCGTTTGACTGAATTCGTTTTCATAGTAATCAAACGGTGGTTACTGATCGGCCGTCGACTAGAGGTGAAATGATATTATCGAATATGGAAGAACGGGCACGCAAACGCTATGAAATGAAAACTGAACGTGAAACGAAACGACGAGCGATGGAAGAAGAAAAATTAGCGAAAATACAACGTATGAGAATCTCGATGTTGATTTTCGAATACAACCTGTATTTTCTGTATAGAAATGATGGAGGAGAAAGTTCGTCAAGAAGAAGAAGAAAAACGCTTGAAAGCGGAAGAAGCACGCGACAAGCGACGCTTGGAAAAAGAACGTGAAGTCGAACGAAAACAATTCGAAGAACGTTTACGCGTATTATCTGAAAAAGCCGATGCACATTGCCGGTAAGATCATATGAATTTTCAAAAAGCTGCATTTACATCATTGATCCAATCTCTAGACTCTATCGAATGCGATATTTCGGCATCAACCCTTTGAAAAAACTGATAGCTATTCGTCATGAACACATTCAAGTTGCTGAAGAACATCATAATCATGTTCTTCTCCAACGTACGTTCAATGTTTGGCATGAGACCATTCGACGCGATATCGAAATTAAAACAGCGCGAGCTGAAGATTTTTATAAGCGTTTACTCTATCGTCGATATTTTACTTCATGGCAACGATACAAGCAACAAACAGAAATCGCTGAAGAACGTGCCGAAAGACACTACATGAATCGTTTAGTAATCAACACGTTTAAAATCTGGCAAGATTATACTCAAACAGAAATTCTTCGTCTTTGGCGTTTAGACGATTTAGCAAGAGAGCATAATGTGAAGAGACTTTTGAAAAATGCTCTTATCATTTGGCGACAATATCCTGTTGAACGAAAAAAAGAACTTGAACGGGAAAAACGTTTAGCAGACATGCGTCTTAAAGTTAAAGATTTGGTACCAGACTATCGGGGAACAGAATCTTCATCTTCATCACTAACTACCGTTACCAGCAGTAATACTAAAACGTAAACGATCTTCTGCACTGTGCATGTCTTGTTTTTTTTTGTAAATTTTCTCCTCTGTCTGTTAATAATAATCGATAGCAATCATGATATATTGGTACTTTCTCAGTAGAAAGTTGCAGCAGCTGAAGATTAATCATTGCTGTCTTCTTGATCCTTCACGATGAAGAAGAATCAAAAAGGATAAATACTAGCGCATCGACTTCCGACCAACAGGATGGAGCTTTTTCTTCCTTTTCTGTTCTGTTGTTCGCTGTACCGTCGACTATATAAAACTCGTTTGTTTTCTTTCTGCTGAGAATCAATGGAAAAACAATTGATTGCTACTTGTTTATTTGTTGCAGATATGATCGATCGACATCGACTAGTTCCTCATTTGAAAGAACAAATCACCGGCAAGTTTCGTTTGTTGAATGCCAAATATGCATCGAATATCGATTTGTCATTCTAGACGTGGTTAGAGTACTGACTCATCATGAGAAACGCTTTCAAAAGACTCGTAAAGAGAAAATTACCGATTTGAATCAACTGAAACCGGGTGATCATGTGAGTTTCTATAAAACTGACTTCTACTACGCTCACCATGGTATTGTTTGTGAAGCACGAACTAATTATCTTCGTGTAATACATTATTTCAATACATTAGAACATGCTCGTACTGCATTAATGAAAGGTTCGGTCTACATAGCAGCAATTATTGAAAGCGAATGGTCGGTAAATTTGCAGAGCACAAGTGAAGATGTCTATTTACATCATTACGATAATATTCCGTGTTTCTCAAATGAAGAAACGTTACAACGAGCGTTTTCTCAGCTTGGCAAACGTGGATATTCGTTGATTGGAAATAATTGTGAACATTGGGCACGATGGTGTCGGACAGGTGAACATTACTCAGAACAGATTATCAAATTTCGCAGTTTGGTTAAAGAAAAATCAGCGACATTACTAATTGTCGATCCGACCGCTTTGATTGTTAAAGATATTGCAATCGTCGGCGTGCAAACGTTTGGACAGTTTCTTAGTGCGATTGGATCTGGACTGATCTTGACCACGGTCGAATCGATTGCAGCATTTATTGATATAAGAAAAAAGAAAAATGAACGGAAAAAAGGAAGTTTGAGCGATGTAGCGTTGAAAAAATATGTTGTGCGACGAATCACATCAGCATCGACAACAGTACGATTATAAATTCTGATAAAATCTCATCTTTTTTCGACTTTTTAGATAGCCGGAGGAACAGTTGGAACAGTAGTTGGCACAATATTGATTCCAGTTCCTATACTTGGTGCCACAGTCGGTGGTATTGTTGGAAGTGTCGGTGGCAAACTTCTCGGCGGCGTTTCTGGTATTGCTCTATCGAAAATTCTCGAAGTCTACGAGAAAATCAAAGCATCGAACATTAAGAAAATGACAACAGTGCCACAACTAATGAGTAACATATCACCAGAAAGTCAATTGATACGTGGTCTCATGACATTGGCACTCGATCCAGTAGAAGAAAAGCATATCGAAAAAGTTGTTCAAGAAGCTATGGAAGCGACTGCACCGTATACATCATTGTATCCATCGCTCGATGAATTTTTTCATGAAAATGACAATACAACAAAGGACAAATATAAAAAAGTGCAAGAATTATCTACGGAACTGTTCACCGATGATCAGGGTTCAGTGGAGTATTTTGTTTTGACACCATTACCAGATGAGAATGCTCCCGAAGAATTCGCATCATCAACAGATTTACTTGTGTTACGATGGCCGGGCCACGAAATGAAACCTTGGGAAACCGACGGAGAGAAAGTTTTAGATATCGATGAATTAAACAAACGAAAGAGTAATTGAAAATACAATCTCAATTATTTTTACTGTCAGATTTATTTTTTAATGTAAAAAAGTGTGTGGGCGTATGTCTGTTATGATTATTTATATAAAACGAAGATTATCAGTGTATTAATTTGCTGGTATGATAACAGGAGCTTCATTCTCATCACGTAGACCCATTTCACGCAGAACACCGAATTCGAATTGAATGAATTCATTGTACTCATTCTTCATTCGAATATCAATTTCTTCTTGAGTAGGTATATGGCTTGGAGCAATACCAATTTTCATCGCTGCTAATCGATCCTTTTCACGTTTCTCCTCTTCACGTAGATTCCAACGATGTTTAACAAATGACCGACGTTCAGTTTCACGTGTGAAGTAATTGGTTACGACTACAAAGATCATCATGAACAATCGTTATTCGTCCATCCGAATCATCTAATTATTTACCTTGTAGTTCCTGATTGATCGGTTGTCTCAATGATTGGGGAACTTCAAGTATATGAAGTGTGCCGTTGCTATCTCCTGCTGCAAGAAGTTGTTGTTTGGCTACAGAGAAGAACAGAATGATATTCTATGATTGTGTTCAAAGAAATAATTTGTTTTCTTTACAAGATATTGTTTTTATACTGAGATACGTTATAGCAGTGTTCGAAATAGACTGAGATATGGATGGAGCATGTGTTCGATCGATAATATCCCATACGTCAATGCTTCCGTTTTGTTTGGCCACATAAAAGACACCTGGTCGAGTTGGAGACCATTCGACATCAGTGATCTTCTCTTTCATCGGTGATGTATGCAAAAGTGAACCAGACTATAAAGAAGAAGGCTCAATTGAAAATTCGTTTTTGTCATAAACAATTTGCGTAGTTATCAACCGAATATGTGTTCTATCTAACATGATTTTGTTGACGGGAAGTTCAGATATAACCTCATTGACCCGCACACGAACTGTTTCCGTTTATGATTTCATCGGAATCAGCTTTCACTTGCAATTGAAAAGAAATCTATTAGAAAATTGCCTTTGTTTCTTGACTGTCGATATGCGAATGCAGTGAATATTGGATTTTCCAGGAAGGAGAATTTCTACTTACATGAACTTTTTCTCGCCAGATTTGAAATATCCAGCCGCCTGCAATAATTAACACATCTTTGAAGAACGGTGAGCGCTTCAACGCAACGACAGGACCGTCGAGAACAATAGCCGACCAAGCTGCTTTCGGTGCTACAAACAAGAACGTTATCTTAGTTATACTTCAGAGGGAAAACTTCGTCGCTTACTTGTGAACTTCGCTGAATCATTCTCTTTTTGTGGTATCCAATCTTGATAAACTAATTGACCATCCTAGTCATTAAAAAGAGACGAGAAATCATAATTTCATTTCGTTAAAAGTCAAGATCTGTCCTTGATGGATTACAAAGAAGTAAAAACGACAAATTGCATCCTGTCTTGTCTATTTACAGGAAATTAAGTGAATAGAGAGAGAATATATAACGTTTGGGGTCTGAAATCTTTTCTACTTAGTCGGGAACTTTTTCACTAAACGACATGTTGTTCAAATCAATTGCTGTAATATTTTTATTATCAATCTCTTGTTTTATTTCAACCAGTGCGTATCGATTGGATACTTCAATGCATCCGAATGACATTGATGATCTCGACGAGGCTGATGATCCATATCTGATGAAACAGGTACAGTTATTACTCGACAATGCTCACACTTCAAGTTATGGACAGTCTTATCACGATGACGATCTCTACTATCGAAATCGACGATTTTTTCATAATCGTCGACCTGGACTACTTCGTTTAAAATGAACTGTTTTCTTTATATTTCATCTTCATGAAATAAAACTTCGAAAATCATACTGACAAACTTACTTCAGTGCCAACATAGAAGAATGTGTCGATACTTTGGAGAATTTTCGCTTTCCCTTGTGATATCGTTTTGTTTCCATCGTCGATTGGATTGACAAATTGACCGCCAGTTGACTCCTTTTTCTTCTCAAATGTATAATCTTCTTTATTTACTAGAGGGAAAAAGAATCTGTCGAAGAAAATATTCAAAATGTTGTTAGTACATACGAGCGTCACGATCACCTTGACTCTCACGAATGGAAAACTTTCGTGGAGCAAAATCAACTTGGCCAGCTTCAGGACTTTGTAATTGTAACTAAAATCATATAAACATAAATGTTGCACACAGGCGTATTACAAATAACTTCAGAATTACTCGAAGAAATGGTCGCCAAATAAGATCCAAATGTTTAAATGTCAAGGGAACACCCATTGGATTGAGAATTTCTCGTTCTTTTTTTGATAATGGTTTAGGACCACCTCGCGGTGGACGTGTTTCCCAGAGAAGAACTTGACTAAACAATCGAGTCCTATTTTGTAATTAATCTGAAGAATACCTCTGACATACCTATCGAAAGAGCACGTCATTATTTGAGAACAATTTCCCGAAAGATTTTCCGTCGGTAAGCCTTGTGTGGTAATCTAGAAGTAAAATGATTCTAGACTTTTCAAATGGAAAACTATTCAGACTTGAAAATGATCCGGGATCCACTGAAGGTCCATGATGGGTTCTGAATGTCCATGTTCAATACTTGATACAGCGCAATAACGAAGGGAAGGTGTTTGAAAAAAACTTTCGTCTTCAAAGCCAGGCTAAAGATAAATATAGATGCTGATTATGTGTGAAACATATCGAGCAGCATATTCTTACAATAAATAAGTCTTTATCACGATGATCACCGCGTGGATTCCGTATACGATCTTCATATTCTTTGATATCCCACATAACAACTTGTCCGTTGACACAACCGCCAGCTATCACATGTGGATCGGTGGGTGAAAACTGAAAGCATTGAATGTCGTCTGGTGCTTCAAGATATAACTAAATTTCAAGTTTTGATGAAAGAGAATCACGATGATATCTCAAATTTACTTTCGGTTGGATTGGATCAATAAATGACCAAATAAAAATGAGTGATGGCGATGATGTGGTTTTACTGACATGTTCAACTCGTTCATCAAATCCTTGTCCCGCAGCAAGTGAAACAGCAATTATCCCTAGAAATGAAGTTCAGTTGATCTAAACCAAAGATCTTCTAAGTAACCTCGTATTGTTGGATGCCATTGAACACATGTCACGATCATACCTCGTGATTGTTTGATAGATGAAAACGATTGATATTCCTAAAGTTTGCCAAGGGACAAGACAATCAAAAATGAAATTCTTTTTTCAACGAATGCAAACTATACTTTGAGATGTGAATCACCTGGTCCACCTAAACCTTCAAGATCTCCACCAAGTTCACTCCAATCGAGATAGAATGGATTGTGAATGACGTTTTGCTGAAGAGCTTCTTTGAAACTACATTAATAGAATACTAGAAATGAGATTCATATCCATAGTCGCATACGTATCCTGAGAGTTCATAACCATCTCAATCAAGTGATTATCACTCATAGCTTTCTTTTGTTCTTCTTCGCTCAATGTTCGTGGTTCGTATTGTGTCCATTGGTTCTTTGGATACCGCCAAATCGTTTGAGCTGCATTTTCTCGGTATTCAGCAGCTGCCTACTCATTTCGAATTGATCATCATATGACGCAAAATCCATACATGGAAACTAAAGTCGTCCTACCTGAACAGCAGTGTCAATTTCCATTTTTTTCATATCAAATTGTTTGTCTTCATATTGATCGATGCTAACAAAATTTTTCTTCCGTTCAATATCTGGATCGACATCTTTAAACTTTTCACTTGGTGTTGTCGTTGGACGTAGCGGAACTTTGATTTTGAACCGTTTCTATTTCAAAACATGCGAACATAAACAAAGTGATGCTGCCAGAGATTGTAGTTTCTTACCAATGGTCGATTGACGATTAAACGTTCATTCTCAATTTCTACTTCACTTCCAAGTGAAACCCAAATCTTCGGTTCAGGTGGAACATACTGTTCGGTATTATCGTCCTCTTGTAGAGGTAGTGTTGCCGGAGACTAAAAAATACGAACGATGCAATCGTAGATGAAATGGATGCTGTATAACTCACATTCTCAATGTAACTTTTTAGCAAAGGATCGAAGCAGATTACTAAAACGAAAAGAATAACAAAGGATAGAAGTCATTTTTCTTCATACAGAAGTTTTGTGAGTAAAAGTAATCATAATCGTAGATCAAAGCGATTTGATTATCTGGATAATCCTATAGATAAGATATGTATGAGATGATATTGATTAGTATAAAAAGAATTTACTTGTATTTGTTGTTGAAATTCATAAAAGTTTGAACCTTGTCCAAGAGTTTCAATATCTTTCAGGAGAACTTCTTTATCAACCAGTTTCCAGTTGTTATCTTGAGTAACATCTTCATCGACGCAGATTTGTAATGCTTGTTGCGTCGCAGACGAAATGAAAATTGAATGGATATTGGATGGTAAATCTACAATCACAAACATTATTTCTCTCTCTCTGTCTCGTGCGCGCGTTCTTCATTCAAATCCTACATTGAGCATTCTCCGAAACTTCTCGTACAGTTGCTGATTTGACGGCTATAAAACGAAACATGTCAATTTCATCAGAATTGAGAGAAGAATCCTACTTGGCACTGGACTTGCAACAACGGGCTTATTCGCTGATGCATTAAGTCTATTGTCACGTGGTCGAGAAGCTGATGTTGAACCTGGAAGATTCGGTCGTAAAGCTGGTGAACCAGTTTGCGATGGAGCACCAGGACGACGCGGCCCAGCCGGCTGATTAGCAGCAGGTCTAGGTGCGACTGGTCTAGGCGCAGCTGGTCGTGGTGGTGGTCGCGGTGTGCTCATTTGATTAATTTGATGTGAACAGAGACGATGAATAAAATTTATTCGATGTACACTGAAGCCTTTTCGCCATTATAACCATCAAGTACTATGACAACGATTGATCAAAGAAAACACAGATGTCGTTCAACGTCACTGATAAAAAATTTTTGTCTTTGTTTGAAAAAGAACGTATAAATGAACGTAGATAAGTGTCGTCAAAATTCAGTTGAATTCCTATCATGGACAGTATCAGTAATTCAGGCGTCAGTTTAATACTGAATCCTGATATTGCCAATGTCATCAATGACCATCAGCATGATCTATCCACATGTGAAGAAGAGTTTGAGAATCAAGAAGAGATTCAACAAATGCTAGTCAATGCATTCGATAGTCATTCTTTATCGAATACAGAAAATGATGATCATGTTTTCGACGATGATGACGAAGACGGAGAAGAAGAACCTGTACCAAATGAAAAGTAATGCCATTCGTTTTCCTCTGCTCTGTATCAAGATTGTATGTTATTCTTAGTCCAAGACCAGACGATCATCATCTCTGTCAACAAGAGAATGAAAGTCTTCGTCAACGTTTGGCGACTTATATGAGCAATGAAGAAATCTATCGGAAAACTACGTCCGATTTCGAGAGCAAAATCAACGAGTTGAATGAAAAATACGAACAGAACCTTTTCTCTCTTCGTCTGGAATACGAAACGAAAATTGAACAATTAACAATGAAAACCAGTGAACAACAGATCGAAATGTTAACGCTGAAACAAATGTACGAAACGATCTACGATGAAAAATGTCATGTCGATCAGCAAATAAATGAACTGCGTTCAAATGAACGAAATCTTCAAGAAAATCTGGATCGAATACAGATCGAGAACGAACGACTCTCAATAATGAATAAAAAACCATCAATGCTAAACAATGTTACTCAAACGGTAAGATCAACCTACTTTGTTGACCAAGTGAGACATATTTCGCTCTCAGGAACCAAACAATGAAGTTCAACAACAAATCGATGAGTTAAACAGAGTTAATATTCAATTAACTGATCAATTGAAGCGATTACAAATTCAATTCGACGAACGTGAACAAATTCACTCAGATGAAAAACTGCGATATGAAAAATCGATCGCAGATCTATCCAAACAACCTTCGATGATCTCTCTTCAACTTCAGACTGTAATTTTCTTACTCATTTTCGTATTTGCCATTTCATTTGTCTCGTTTCAAGGATTTTCCCGATGACGATAGGAAAATAAAACAATTACAAGGTGAACTGGATGATTACAAATTGAAGCTCAACAGTAAACAAATGGAATTTAACAGTTTAAAATTCGATTATGACAATCTTCAACACGATATGAATGATCGTTTGTCTTTATTAACAAAAACTGTTCCGAATGATCAACTGAATCAGATTACCCTTGAACGCGATCAATATTTAGCTGAACTAATGAAACTTAAGAATGAACTACCAGAATTGAAACAACAAATGATCGATAGTTTTCAGCTGAAGGTTGTTTCATTCAAAGAACAAGTAAAGAAGTCGTTAGTTGAAAAAGAAAATGAGTATCGGAAAAAGATTCAACAGATTGAAGATGAATATGTCCATCAATATGAACAAGTTTTAGAGAAAAACAAACAAGTCGTACGAGGTTTGATTCTTGCTAAGCAAGAAGAGTTCAAAAATGAAAGAGTAAATGAATTTCTTTGAAAGACAAAGATGGTATTGAAATTTGTTGGATTTAGAATGAAATTATCGCGGAATATGAAGAAAAATTCAAAGTAGTTCAACAACAACAGCAAGTGAGCGGTTTTTGCTTCTCTTTCCAGAGCAATCCAAGCTTTTGTTTAGTTAAACAACGATGAACGACGTACATACGAACAGAAAATTGAAGAATTAACACGTGCTAATGATAAATGCAGTCAATATCTCGCCAAACACGGAAAAACTTCATTAAATCTTCAACATTTCGATGAAGTAAAGCGCAAATACAATGATGAAATTCATCGTCTCTACGATCAAGTAATGTCCAAATTCCTCTTCAATCATTTATTTTCCTCAGCAAATTGTTTTAGATTGCCAAACAGAACCAACAACAAATCGTACTGATCGATGAACATCAAAAGCAACTCGAACAAGGCAAGTTAACTTACGATCAACGCTATCGGATTCTTTTAGATGAATGGAAATTGTACAATAACGATTTACACGAGAATAATTCAAAATTGAAAACAAAGTTAAAAGAATATGAAAAAACTATCGCGCAATTACGTTATCATATCATCAATTTACAAATTGAATATTTGCAAAGCGGCGGTAATGCAAATAAAATTCTTCCCATATCCAATGAAATTTCATAAATGAATGATCGTCGAAACAAGTTTACGATATTGTATCCGACCATTCGATGTTCGTGCATCAGTTGATTTAATCATGTCGTCAACCGAATCCTTTGATAATGGTTCACCTGTTTGTTGCATTAGAAAACGAAAATCATTTTCGGATATTGTTTCTATGTAGACATTTAAAAACAAAAGTCGAAATAAATCAATCGAGAGTATTTTTCTCCTTACCATCGTTGTTTGTATCGAAGAGTTTCAATGCTGACAGAATCGACTGCGTCTGTTGGTTTAAACTTGGTTGATGAGTAGCCGCTATGATTTGGAGTAATTGAGGGAAGTTTATACGATCAGTTTTGTCTGAATCGAACTTTTTCATTAAAGCATTGATTTCCTGGTTGCTGATCGAATATTGCATTGCTCGTAGGCACATTCCCAGTTGGGGTCGGGTGATGGAACCATCACCGTCGTCGTCAACCATTGAGAAGATTTCTTTCATTTCATTGATACGTTCCTCGGTAAGCGACATCATTCAATGCAAATGAATACTAGTTCAACAAGAAAAATGTGACCGCGCTCTATGTTCTGTTTCTTTCTTCTACTCTTGTTTTTTTTCGCAGTAAAAGAAAGGAGAAGAGGAGGCCAACGCCGTCTCGTCGTTCTTTTCCATTTACTTATAGGAGACGTCGAAGAAAAAAATCACTGTTAGTTTTTGTGCATAACCTTCGTATTTATTCAAGACGAAAAATATCCGAACCAATCTGCACGGGCGAACCTTCTAGAAAGCACTCTCATGAGCTCATCAATAGAAAAAAAGGCTCTACTTCTTTCATTTAATAAAGATTCATCGATTCTAATGAACAGGCAACGGAAATAGATTATTATTATTATTAATATAAAGTGTCGCATTTACGTCATCATTGTCAGCGTACTTTGAAAGAAATAAAAACATTTATCTAAGTGTAAATCATGTGAATATGAATATCTGGTAGAAATCTCATCGTATATCGATTGTTATCATCGATATTGACTCGATTCCTGGCGCCCTCTATCAGCTCCTTTGTCTTGTTCGTCATTTCTCTCGAATGAGTATTGTCTCTGTCTGCTCGCTTGTTTATTGTTTGTTTCAATCAATGATCAACTGAATATCGAGAATTTGATATTAACTAACGGCAAGAAAACGACGAAGAAAATGAATTTACACAATAATAAAGAACTTAGTGATCTTCTCGATCTCAATGCTGTAAGTTGTTTTTTTTTATTCAAAAGAAAAAAAAAGACAAAGATTTCCAATTCGTAGGTGAAACATCGAAGTCATTTTTCCAATAACGTTGCCCATCCTTCATCATCTTCTGCATTATCCTCATCGGTATAGCATCTCATTTGATTTAAATATGCAATAAATGCAGTTCTTCCTTCGTTTGTACAGATGCTACCATCAACAATTCATTTTCCAAATGGATCTCAAATTCCTCCCGCTTCGACCAATGCCGAAGGTATTTATCCAGCTAATGCTAACAAAGGTGAGCTTTTCAATCACTTGTCCGTAGTAAGAATGACATTTTCATCGAAATTTTCAGAATTTTGGACACCATCAGCAACTTACGACGAGCCGGTAGTGAAACAACCTGAGAAATCGATGGAATCTTATTTTGCTTTGTAGATCTACGACGGAAATTACAGCAATCGTGATATTCTCCATCCATTTATTACATCCGAACCATTAAGTATATTTCGAGCAAAGTAGTAACGAACGAGTTTTTAATATATATTGATTTTGCTTAGATCGTTCGAGTGACTTTCCAGCATCGAATTCGGTAGGGCTATTTTTCATTGTCGAGTCAATGATGATTAATACATTTTCTCTTATTTTAGACAACACGAACATCAACAAATGATTTGACATATTCCGGTACAGGACTTTTCTTTGTTTAATTATCATTGATTTTGGTTTATTTTTAGATAAACTTAATGAAAAAGCTCGCCGATCGACGAATGTAAGTTTTTGTCATGAAACATACTCTTGTCACTTTGTCTGATTATTTAAACGTTCGATGAAATTAGTGAGGAATGAATTAGATATTTATTGCTTTCCTTATACATGCGAGCGATCTGGTTAAGATCAAGCGAACACATTCATATATGTCCATCGTTCATTCTTTTCCATTCTCATTTTAAAAAAATTCACTCGTCCAAATTGAACGCGCACGCGAATCGAGAGGGAAAGAGGAAAAAAAAGAAGAGAACGCGAGTCACACGAGTGCCGTATTGATCATCGAACACATTCACATTTGTACGTATTCGTCGGGCATCGCTGAAGACAATACTAGCAATGACCTTGCTTCATTATGAACCGTATTTGGTAAAAAATTTTCTTCTAATTTTTTTCTTTTGTATATAGAAACGTAGACATATCTTTATCTTTATTTGCGACATTGAATGTTGACGTGTGAGNGCATGTTTTCTCTTTCATGAAGTCATCATCAAAACTTCATTCTATCGAGATACGTATATTTATAGAACGAGATTTATTACTGACAAATGTGTTATTCTTCGATGTTTCTCTTAGAAAAAAAAGAAAGATCAGAATCGAGAATGAGAGAAAAGAAAGCGCACTCGAATTGATTTAGTTTATATGGAATCTATAATCATCAGAGTACTTCGGTGATTTATTGGAAAGTATTTACACATGAGATCAATCAAAACAAGTTAGATGTTAATATGCTAAAGACATTTGTTATCGATCTCTTATACAATCGTTCTTTTTCTTTATATTAGGTTTATACAGGAGAGGATTACAATCCAGAAAATTCGGCAAGATATCCAACAGGAAAGTCTGTCTATGGAAATGAAAGCAATTATTTCGTCGGTGAGTAGCAGCTAGATCGATTGATCAGATGGAGAGGAAGTTATCTTTGATTAGATGGTCAGAATGCTCATCCATGGATAGGACCACCAGGAACTTATCTTCCTAATGAACATGGTACATTTACTGATGCCAATGGCACATGTTTACCATCAATGGCAAGTTTTCGACCACAAGTACCAACGCCGTACACGAGTAATGGCAATGAACAAACAGTACAAACTGGAGAAACACTCGGCAAAGCATTGCAATCTGTATGCTATTAGAGAAAACTTATCCACTAGATGGAGAGACTTGAAACTCGATTGTTTATTTAGATTTATCCAAATGAACATCCCTATTCAACATCAGCATCAACACCTGTCGCATCACCACCAGTAAATGGTATGTTAATCGAGAAGAAGAAAAGAAATCTTCTCACTCAAAAGAGTTACTGAATATTCATAGACCTTTTTTTGTTTATAGGATCTAGTCAACCATGGATCAATGCAGCACAGACGTATCATCCACTTGTAAGTATTGATGATTGAAGGTCGATTTCGAATATTTCATTTTCTTCTAACTCTCAGACATCTTTAATCGATCTATCTGACGACTCATATTGTTTACTTAATTTAAATGAGGTTTGTCTATAGACACATCAATATGATTTCGGGGATAATGGGTTGTAGACTTCTTTTGATTATTCGTTTTGTTTGGATTTTCCTCAAGAAAAACAAAACTTTCAATGTTTATTATTTCTAGCCGCCAAGATTAGATGTAGATGATACATTTCGAGCAAACGATTTTCATCACTATTATCCTGGCTATCACCATCCACATTCCACTGGACCATATTCAAATTTCCTCAGTCATCCACCAACGACAACAACGACGACGTCGGATATCTCTGCCCGAAGTCGACATCATGATCCATACTTAAATTGTAAGTTTGTTTTCATCGATGCATGCTTGTGCTCTCATAGATACAATTTCAGATGGCAATCCAGCATCTTCATCTTCATCGACATCATCGAATGATGCCAACCATACATCGATGAACCCAGATTTAAAGCTCGAATGTCTTGACAAAGTTAAAGTTAACGTTGAGAATAAACCGCCAGCCACCAATGGTGCGACCCAATTAACCACAGGTAAACTAAACGACTTCAACCTTCGACATGATATATCAGAAGAGAATGCGGCACCGTTGACAATTGCTGTTGGTGGTGCGAGTGGAACACATGCAGGACCAATATCGTCTTCGTCAACAAAATTACGAAAGTAAGGACAAATGATGTTTTACGTTCATCGATTTGATCGTTTCTCTTGTCTATTGAAGTTCATTGACATTAAGTCCAAATAGTCATTTAAATTTATCGTATATGCGTGGCGGGCCACCGTCGGAAGAGAGTATCGATCCAAATGAAACACCTGAAGAACGCGAACGTCGAGAGAAAGATCGGCGCGCAGCGAACAATGCTCGAGAACGGTACGTATCAACTGATTTCTGTTTCGCGGGAAAATCTTCATCAATATGATTTTAGATTACGTGTCCGAGACATCAATGATGCATTTAAAGAACTTGGCCGTATGTGTGCCATTCATATGCGAAACGATAAACCAGTTACTAAGCTGGGTGTGCTTCAACAAGCAGTTAATTTGATCACAACACTTGAACAACAAGTTCGAGGTAAGACGAAATGATCTTGGCAGGTTCGTTGTTTGAAATGGGAATTCTTGTTTTCTAGAACGAAACCTGAATCCAAAAGCTGCATGTTTACGCCGTCGAGAAGAAGAAAAATCTGAAGATCATAATGGAAATATGAACCTAATGACTTCTCAAGCTCAAATCCTAATGCCAACAGAATCATCATCGATTGATGGAGCAAATTTCATGGAACAAATGCATCCATCGATCCCACCATCATATTGGCAGCAATAAATCGATTTCTTGTGAATATTTCTTTTCTGCACACTATGATTTACTTATCGGTGCCTTCTCCTGAACCCTTCTCTTGTTTTCTCTCTCTCTCATCTATACATACATGACCAATCTTACAACTTGTGTTTCTTTCGTTTTTTTAGTATTTACCTGTATTTTTCTTTCTGTAAACATGATCATGATGTGCAAATAGAAATGAATATTAAGATAGGATACGACAGTATTTTTTTTCTTTTGTTTTCTTTTCACATATACATATACTCTTGCGCATGCGCTTCGTTGTGCAATCTTACATCGATGAGCCAGCAATACATTGTATGATTGTTGTTATTTGTTGTTGTTCACGCATTATTTTTACCAATTGGAATTGACATGATGTATAAATCTGTTTGATTGAATATGAATTATTCTTGTTTTCGGTTTTTTTCTTCTCTCGTTTGTACAAAATGTTTCTTTCATTACATACGTCTAGTAGAAAAATCATGTTTCATTTGCTCTCGTTCTCTTTTTTCGTCCATTGATCTGTTAACTGTTCATTTCTTCATTTCTCGTACTGTTTGACACTTCTTTCTTTCTCTCATTCATCTCGTTTCTTTGGTTATTTCTCAATTGTCGTGCTTGCTTTTGAGTATTTCTTTGCGTATCCTTATTGCCAAATATACACTAACAATGAACATACTTTCACAACTTTTCGGATAATCAAGTCAGACTCGAAAGGAAAATGACCGAGAATTGTATGAGTCGTTTATTACGTGCAACAAACGTACGATTGCTTAATCTGACGTCTATACAACTAGTCATGACTTTGTTTCGTTCGCTTGGACAATGTGGATGTACGTTGTGGACATTTTTCGTTTCCAGTAGCAGTCTTCGCTGTTTGCAGATCCCGTCGTGATCCATAATCAAGAATACGATCGAGCACGAAATGTTCATCAGCAAATTGATCGTTCTTTTTCATCAACAACCATTGATTATGTTGTTGAGTTTTGCCGAATCGCGAACGAACCATGTGAAATTCGCCTTTCAATTTCTTGCCATGAAGTCGAAAGGTTATTTTGCCTTTGTCAATACCCGCATTCATATCATCGTTGTCATCCAACGACTCATACGTTCCAATATCCCACGTTCGTACTTCGCCTATCAGGAGAAAACTTTGCATTACGGATTACACTGAGATTTAACAAACCTGCGCCATATTCTCCATTTGGAATAGTTCCTTGAAAATTTATATATTCAATTGGATGATCTTCGACCATAATCGCTAGACGTTTATCTCGAGGATTTAAACTTGGTCCTTTCGGCACTGACCTGTGTAAATCATAGCGTAACAATAATCTTCGATCATTCTATCGACCTACCAGCTGCAAAAGACATGTATGAAACTTCTTGCTCATGAAGCACAAATTTCAAATCTACCTTTTCATAACGCCGTTCAATTCAAGTCGAAAGTCAAAATGTAACGTCGAGGCGTGATGCTCCTGTACAACAAATCGATGTTGATTCATTTCATGCTGATCTTTCATTGGTTTAGGTTCGTTTGTTTTCTTAAAATCCCGTTTCTTTTCATACTCTGCGAGTAAATCTTTCGATGCCACCGTTTTCTTCTAAACAATAACAGAAACAAAACATTCGATAAGATCACGCGCCAATATTGCGAAACGTACATCGAATCTGCAAGTTGATAGTGACAACAATCTATACAAGCACACATTTGTTAATTTCGTTGCTTTCATTCGAACTTTAATCTGATCAATAAAAGAAAACACCTCATTTTATTATTCGTTTCTAAGTTCAATAAAATATGTAAAATCCAACAAAAAAGAAAACAACAATGATACACAGAATAGTCTGTTTTAAAAGATTGAAATTAGAAGGGACCGAAAAACTCTGATAGACACAAATAGGTCAACGAAGATGTTTCATGTTTAGTTTTGTTGTCACTGTAACGAAGAGAAAATATCTGACAGATACACAAAACCATCTCAACTCGATTCCTAAGCATATGGATTAGATTTTTGTCGGGGCTTGATTTTCTCCGATTGGATCCATTGTGCATCTTCATTCATATAATCATCGAAGTTATTAAAAAAATACAATATACGATCATTACGAATGAATTTATGTTCCCTAAAAACAGATAACAACGAGATTTCCATCGGCAGAACCTTTTCTGAACAATTACCATTTTCGACAGTAACGAAGTTTATGTAAAATTGTAAATTGTTGCCACCGTTTCCAAAAATTAACTGTTCGACCATCCGGTAAATAATCCGTATTACCAATATGGACAAAGGTTAAATCCGACAGGATCAATCCACTAGAAAGCTTCCTATTGAAAAGTGTAACATCTGGTCGATTGACTTACATATAAGGTATACACGGTTGTCCAACCGATGCATTCAATGCTTCCCGGTAGTTTTTAAATGATCCAGTGCTGTCAATAAGTCCAGCGTGTTCCGATATTGACTACATGAACGACTGTGAAAATGAAATATTGAGAGAAGAAGTTTCTTACGTCAATAATACTCTTCGACCAATGCAATCGTTTTAATGGGCCACAATCCAAAGCGGAGAGTATGGCCAGATATGAGTTGAAGTTATTTAATCGCCGTAGATGCTAAACAGATGACACGTCTTACGATTACAACGTATTCTTCAAGGCAATGTCTAATACTCTCATAAGAGAAACTCGATTTATTTATGTAGTAACGCAAGAGAGTAGTCGAGCCATAACAAATCCAGTCTACTGTCTGGCTATGCATTAGCTAGGTTAAGTCAATCTTCCGCTTCATTGAAAGTATCGTATTCTTACTTTTAATATTTTCAAGAACTTTTCAAAATGAACTTCACGTTGTTTCTGCGAGTTTTGTTCGAGGATTCGTGATCGGACCCTGCAAGAAATGAATAAAAGATCTGTTGATTCCAATTATTCGAACGTCTCACCAGTAGGAGATATTGTTGAAATGTTCGGTGAAAGCGGCTAAATTCGGTGAATATTCTTCTCCTTTTTCAATTGACATGTATAAGATTTCGGATAGTTGGATTTTGAGAAATAATTCTGAATCCAGTAGAGTTAATTGTTCACTAATATCACTGGCGTGAAAATCAAGTAACGTCGCTCGTTTGGAAGAAATTGAGTTTTGTATAACGAGAATATCTTGCGGAGTTTGTTCAGAGGATGGCGGGAATCTTGTAAAACGTTCGAGAGATTTCCGTCGTAGAAGTTTCCCTAGCTGAAGTTCACCTTGACGAATTAAATTCGTAACAAAATTCGAAAGAGATTCCATTAAATCTTCCGTTAGTTCATTACTAAATACATGAAATTGTGAGTGAATTCTCTGAGAAATAAATATAATGTATGTTACTCGATTTCATCGATGACTCGAATGAGAAGTGAAAACGCATATCGCGATATCTTTTTCTTCGTTTCAAATTGCGAAAAGAACGTATAACGTTGAATTAATTTTTCAACTAAATCACTCGGAGAGACAAATGTACGATATGTAGTTAGAAACGCTTCTTGATAAACGAAATCTACAGAATACATCATTAGCATCACACAATTGACGTTTTTAGTAAGTAAAATCGAACCTTTTTTATCGGGAGATGTTGCTCGGATGATCAACGCATCGACAGAACCACCGCGTAATGACGGATTTTCGTTCTAGGGTGAAATATGCCTACGGAGTTACGCAATCGAAGCCTGTCATACTTACCAGATTAAAGACAAGTAAATGGGATATATTTTCCAGGAAAAGGTCACTCTGATAGTCAATTTTCAATGGATTTTTACATGTGAACGATTCGTCCATGTCTTTGAGCTGAAATGAATGGTAATTTGTTGATGCGAACATCGGATCCATCTACGACTTACGGAGTCATTGGATTTGTCAGTGTTTTTTAGTTTTATTCTCAGCGATTCATCCAAATTGGGAAAGATTTGCATCTGTTGGAAGTGTTCTTGCATTTGTTCGAATAAATCTTCAAATCGGCGTTGAGGCGTTGGCACAGAACACGTATCACGAAGGAAATTTTCCGCGACATGTTGATCATACCGATCAAACAGGGACATGTACGCTCGAGCTAAAAAAACGGAACAGGAAAAAGAAAATGGTGGAGAACTGTTTCCGAATTTTAATCCAATCAAGTAGAACTCAACTAGTTGAAAGGAAAAGCAATTTTCTACGTCCGTTTCCGGTGTTCGAGAGGAAATAATAACCTGTCTTTCGTTTGGGCGGTAACGGTGGTGGTTCATTACTACTGTCTTCGGTTTTGACAAGATTTAGCTGTCGATTTTGAGATGTAACGAATGATTTCTGCTGTTCGTCTTCGTTGTTGATCTTTTCTCGATTGATGAATGTAAATTTTTGTGTTTGGAAATTTCCATTGGGTGACTGAATCGAACAATCGGTTTCGTTATAAAGCTGACACGATTGTTTTTGATCAATGATCTCATGGCCATTTTTAACGGTCGTTTTCGTTACTGTGCTTTTGGTGATTTTCGAAACTTGAGTTTCGTATAATGTGTCAGCATTTTGAGGATGTTGATGACATGGTGCTGTCATTGTTATCGAACAATTCTGATCGAATAATTGTTCAGCTGAAGGGGAACGAGCCGTTGTTTTCGTACGTATCGCATCATCTAATTCACGTGTATATTTCTCGACGATCTGATTGATATCATCGACAATAAGTTGTATACATTGATCGTTATCTTTATCTGGGCGGATCTTTCTCGGAACGGAATTCGTACTACCGTTAGGTCGTATTCGATTGGAGACAATGGTCGTGGAAGAATTGATCGAGGATTTATCGCGTTTTGGAGGAAGGACAGGTGCAGATTCATCATTATAACTAAACATACGAAGGATTCGATGAAACAATCAATAGAGAAAACGAAATTTACCTGTTCGATGAGTGAAAACTTTGTATCGAACCAGAACGTGTCTCTACGCTTTGAATTGAGGATGCATCATTAGCAAATAAAATGCAATTCTATAGGAAGAAGAGAAGAGGATCGTGATTTAGTTCATTTCCGCCTACTTTGATCGCTTGGATAAGATCACGAGTTAGTTTTTTGTATTTTTCATCGGGATTTATTGATTTGGCTAGAAGGAATCGATCAGACCAGTCGATTAGATCTGCGAGGAGAGAATAGACGTCATTCAGTAGATGTGCTCTAAATTTATTGAAATACGTTCAGCTGATAACGATGCTTCAATGTTAATTTACCTGAATGAGGCAGATTCACGTTCGAATATACCTTTCAATACACTTTCAATATCGAAAATATTCTCAATTAGCGATGTAACGATGCTCGGAAGAATTTCAAGTTTGTTATGTGTCAAGACTTGATCGAGATAATTCAATGATTTGCATACTTCTTGTTCGTTTTTATGTAATCGTTCATAACTTGTCTGAGGTAACTAGTAGATAATCATTGTTTATTTATACGAACAAGCAAAAAGAACATCATTCATACCGATAAAGAACCATTGCTGATAATTGAATTTCGATCGATTTTCTTTTGTGATTTATGCAGATTTTTGTCATGTTCAGGAGGAGTGGTACTGAGAGAATCAGCTTTTGGATGCTGTCGATGAACCATGTCGCCAAGAACACGTCGGAGTGAATGTCGAGAGAAAGCCATTCGATATCTAAGGAAACATTCGTGAGTAAACCATGCATTTCATCGATCTTCGACTTACTTAGTTCATCTCGAATGAATTCGAGTTTGACTAATGGCGATGCATAGATCTGTCGTCACACATGCAGGTCAATGACGCAAACTAGTAGTAGTCGAAGCAAAAAACAACATTGCTTCTCTATAATATCGATCAATCATCATCGTCATCATTGGCGTTCTTCTATCGTTATGTATTCTATTAGTTGTACTAGTGTGCACACTCGTTTGTCGATTGGAATCATAGCATGGCTTCTTCTATCATTATCTAAAAGTAGATAGTCGGGAGTCAGAGAAACAGAAAAGGAAAGAAAAAGCAGGATGGGATCGACTAATGCGTTTTTCTCTCTTCGATAGAGGAAGAGAATTAATAGCAATCTTCGATAGTTCCTTTAAGATCAATAGGGAAGGAGAAAAAAGAGAGAAGAGAGGGAAATAAACTAAAGTAATGACAGTTTTTTTGCCTTTCTTCGCGCCACGATGAGAAGGTTGGTCGCCTGTCCATGGATTATTTGTCAATGACAAGTCATCAGAATTTGAACAAAGAAATCATCGACTGACAATCAGTACGAATATGTCAGTTAAGAATCAATATCTTCGACCATCACCAGTCAATCCGTACTTATAAATAGCACGAGAAAGAACGACATATGTCGACTTCTTTTTTTTCCTTTGTTCTTAATTAGAATTTTTCAGACAAAGATCTCTTTTAATCATCGAGTGGAATAAAGAGAAGAGCACAGATTGTTTTCGATGAACATTTCAAATCGAGTCATTTATTAATATCATACGGAAGACAACATCGAACATGGTAGAAGTCGAGAGTTTATACTTACGAACGTGAACTTTTCATCGTGTTCGCTGACTGAAAAAGAATCGATGATGAAAATCTGTTTTGGCATACGCCATAGAAACGATGTGATATTGACTTCTTGCAAAAAATGTAAAGAGACACTTGACAATGAATTGATTCGGTGAAACAAAAGATTGAACGAACCAAATTACGAAACTTTTTCTGCTATTGCCAATGGCATAAGTATCGAGTTCATCAACATGAACAATTCAATATGAAAAACTGATTTCTATCATAAATATCTCCCTGCTTGTCCAGCAATCATTTCCACCATATCGGACAATAACAACAACAACTCAAGTGAGATGGTTCGAAACGAATTCGACAATGAAAATATCTCCAAGCTATTATCTATAAGAAATAGTTAATGAAACAAAATTGGTAATAGAGAAACATATGTTCTACAAGTCAGAAAATTACTTACGGATCAGTGAACTCAGTTAATCGTGACATGAATCCACTTACCTGATATTGTCCATTCATCGATTCGAATTGTAATCGAACAGATTAAAGAATCGGTTAACAGAAACTTTATCTGTTGAAGTTCATCGACAGAAACATCTGACGTATTATTGTTATTTGATCAGTCGTCAATAAATATGTAAATGAACTTCTAACACCAAAATAATCACTTGGGATTTGCAAGTCGTTGCTAAAATAGATTGAATATGACAAATAATTACTTACTATTTTTGTTTAAATCATTCGATTTATATCACATTTTCTGTCCTTATTTACACATTGATATTCTACAATACAATAGACATGTTGTTTCAAATGACAATTAAAAATAGTTCTATCGCTGAATAAATATGATTAATTAATCTGTCACTAAGCTCAATGACAACGATTCGAACGATATATGACTGTGGATTAGTCAAAAAAAAGAGAAGCGATTGGCTGGGAACTGATAAATGAAATCTACTTCTGAACTCATCTATACACATGATCTACTCACAGCTAATCTTCTACAGAGTTTACTACTCTCTTGTCTAATTCTGAAAAACCGTGTCTTTGCAAAAAATTTATTCAAAAGAAAGTAAAGCATTATCGTTAGTAAGAGATGTCATTCCTTCTATCGGCTTCTAACCTAGAAGAATTAGAGGTTCGTATACTTTTCGTTCTCATCGATGCCGTAACGAGTAAAATGTTTTACCTATAAAGAAATGAAGAAGATTCGTAGATTAACTTTCACTGCAAGATTGAGATTTTCATACCATGAATGTCCATGATCCATCGACGGGATCGTAGTTGATGAATTCTCCATCGAACTTTCCGGTGGTTTCACGTAAATGATTACTGTAATTCATTGCTCTTATTCGTTCGATATCGGTTATTTTTGATCGGGTTGCTCGATCGATTGGATAGACGTCAAATAATGTGATACGAGCAGAGCGATTCAATTCTTCACCGACGGCTGGTTTTCTTATGTCATCGGGATAAACAATGACCTCCTGGTGATTGATTTGAACTAGAATGAGAATGAATAGAGGACATGTGTTAGTGTCAAACTGTTTTTTGCAAAGATTAACTTACTTATTTCATCAAGATTAAGTCCAGCAACGTTAATTTGTCCATAAAATGTCACTGAACCATACTTATCGTTTCCAACAGTGAATTGTTTGACTAAACATTGACCTTTATTGTTAAATAGTGTTTCTAATTCAGTTCGATCCGGTTTCATATAATAATTCAAACGAGTTAAGATAGGTAAACGGAACGATGATAGGTCAATATTCGGTTGAGGTTCCAAGTTTGAAGAGACTGATTTTGGTGACACGGCCTGTTCGGAAGGTATCGAAATGGGAGATGATAGTCGCGTTAATTTTGTTAATGATTCCAATTCAGCTAAACTTCGTCGGGGATACAGTGAATGAAGTGTATTTGGCTGATTGATTGTACTATTTAACAAATGTAATTTCGATAGTTTCGTACGAGTAAGTAAAACAATTTCTTCTTCGTCAGTAAAACCCCCTGACAGTGTACTTTTACTTGGTTCTGTCGTCGGTTGAGATTGTTGATCGAGTGATCGCGTATCTTCATGTGATATTGAAGTTGATGAAGTAGGTTTTAGTTTGAAATCTAAATTAATTGATGAATGTGAAGCAGTCGTCTTCTGAAAATTCGAATGAACCGGAAGAACAACTGGTATCGGTGTCGATGCCAATATCGTTGTATGTAAAGTTGAATCAACAATGGATGTCTTAGGTGAGGAGGTTGATTCCGCATCGATAAACTCTTTTCGTCCACGATTACCGTATGGATCGAGAAGTAGTTTGGTAAGAAACTGTTGCTGATTCGTTGCAATTGTTTGTGATGTCGTTGTTGAAGGTATCGATAATGGCACAGTTGCTTGCGTTTGTGGTACAGGTATTGTTTGATTAATAATCGATGAACTTTGCGGGAATTGAAACGGTACAGTATACGACTGAGAGATATTAGTTGATGGAACCGTATTGACCGTTGGTATGGTGGGTGTACGAAAACCAGGAAATATTAACGGAGCTGTTAAAACACTGGATATTGTAGTTGGCGTAGTAGTAGTAAATGGATGCGTGGATGATGCCGTTGACATTGGAGCTGCTGTAGTAACTGGTTTTATGCCGAATGGGTCAAGGTTTGGAGCAGTTGGTGTTAAACTAGCATTTTTTGACCACGGAAATGTCGCTATTGGTGCAGTTGACACTACTGGATTGAAAATAGTACCGGTCGTAGCCGCAATACTGAATGGGCTCGCTGCAGTTGTAGCTGGAGGATTAATATGGAAGATCCATGTATTTGAGGCAAGCGAGGTCGCCGCTAAAAGAATAAGAGACTTCAGTATTATTGAATGATTCTTCAAAAGAGAAAGACAAGGCATTTACCTGAGGAGAACTTTCGATTCGATTGATAATCTTCTAATCGAAGTTCATCCATCGATTTACTTGAATATTCTTTCATATTACATATGCACTGATATTTTACATCCAAAGTTACAATTTTGTTAGTTTTACGCACATATTCAGTCTCTAAAAAAATCGGAATGGATTATTTAAAAAATGTATGATATGACGCTTACCTTGCGAAGCTACTGGAGTGAATTTAACTGTTGTACCTGTTGGATTTGTGAAAAAATAATTTGGTACTTGTGCTACCGGTGCAGATTGATTGCTTCCGAATCGAAACAAACCAGTAGCATCTGAAACGGAAAAGAAATCTTATAGTTAAGCAATGAGATTCTCTACGTTTTTCATACTTGAATTTGCATTGTTAACAGATTGATTTGTTGCTGGAAGAAAGGCAAATGGTGAGGCAGTCGTAGCACCTTGTGGGTCACTACCACCAAATTGAAACAATGGTATATTTGATGCTTGTGATGTAATCGGACGAGAAAATGTAAATATTGAAGTGGATGTAGTAGCAGCTGTAGTTGTCGGATGAAATGAGAACATTATTTTCGAGTTTTATTAAAATAAAAGTGAAAGATACGAAAATGCGTCAAATTTCCTTCTATTTTTAGTCGAAAGTGTGAAGAAATGCCCAAGACTACAGTTTATATAACGTGCAAACATGAGTCAGATGCAAAAGCAACTTATCAGAAAATTGCGCAATCAGTAGAGAACATGACTCAGAGATGTGTGTCTCACCCAGCCACAGATTGTTGACGTCGTCGTTCAGCTCTGAGAAGAGAACGTTACTTCCTTTCGTTTGCGTTTGTTCTGTACTTGTTCCGAACAGGGTAATTTGATAACAAATAACATGCTCAACTAGATGTCGCAGTACGATGTTCATTTTAACTCAGTAAGTAAAACATATACAATTTACGATATGAGCCATGTATACTTTGATTGAATAGGTGTTAGAAAACTAGGATAGTTTCCAGCGGCAATAAAGTGTTTGATCTCTATGAAAATATCTCGCGAATTCGATAATTACTTCTAATATTCACTGATTAAGATAAATAGAACATGAAGAAGTCGGAGACAAATCTTTTGTTATGCTGATTGCCAGATATATTCAAAACAACTCATTGAAGCATTGAACGATAAGTGTCTAGTTTTTCACGAAAAGTTTGATGAGAAAACTCGTAGAAAATATAATTCCAGATGTGATCCTATCTCATTTGTGTGCCGGTTGTCCACCCTGGTTTACATTAAGATAGATTTGTGGAAAGGATCGACCTTGCAACAGAATAAAATTCATTATCCAATTCTCGTAGTTAAAATGAATTGTATTATTGCGTATCTATCTTACTATGTATGAGGTGGTGGAGTCATTATGTCTCACGATAAGATCGTTTCATCATCTGGGTCCACTTAACGCAAATACATGAGATTCAAACAGCAACGAAAAGGTCTATGAAATTATCCAACTAGTCATTGTTACTTGTAGGCGGAGGAAACATAAGCGACATCCATCGAAAGATTTGATTAAAAGAATAGTGAGCGAATAGTATCAATCGATCGTTGTTACTCACTCACATTACTCGGTAGTGAGCAAACTGATTTATTTGCTTTTATTGCCAAAAAACTACGTATAGTTAAGGGTGATCAAGGTTAAAATATTTCTCTCAACTCTAGATAAACTCATCTGATAATAACCTTTTGAAATGGAAGAGCCAACAAAATCAGATATTGACGCAATCTTCAAACGATTGAAAACGATCCCAGCAAATAAAGTTTGTTTTGATTGCGAAGCAAAGAATCCGACATGGGCATCCATCACATACGGTGTATTTCTTTGTATCGATTGTTCAGCAAGACATCGCGGGCTTGGTGTGCATTTATCATTCATTCGTTCGACCAATCTTGATACAAGTTGGGTTTGGCTTCAACTTCGGTATGTTTCATTGGACTGAACACGATTCTTTACCATTCAATTCTTCAGGGCTATGCAAGTCGGTGGCAATGCAAATGCTGTAACTAAACCATGCTGGTGTTGATAATCGATTGAAACATATATTTCTTTTAGGAAGCATTCTTTCAACAGCATGGCTGTCAAACAAAAGATATTCAACAGAAATACAATAGTCGAGCTGCACAACTTTACCGTGAGAAACTTCATCAATTAGCAACAAAAGCAATGAAACAATATGGAACTAAAGTATTTCGTTGTTACATATTGCGAATGACTTCATTTGACAAATCTTTTTCCAGCTTTTTCTTGATGATGGGAACAAAAATGAACGTCGCCAGTCGGTCAGTGAAAAGAAAGATGAAGATTTCTTTCGTGAACATTCTCAAACGTCGACTAGACCAGGTTGGGAAGAGAATGTCAGTACATCTTTACATTCAAGTGATCAAAATCTTGATAAAAGTACGTTACTTATTCATTCATCTCTCATTTTTAAGTTCTTGTCTTGCGTGTTAAGCTGAACAACAAGCTGAAGGACCTTCAGTTGATCCCAATGCATTTAATAACGATGGATCGGCAAAGACGCTCGATCCAAAAAAGTCTACTATTGGTCAGCGTCGTGCACCAGCAACTAAAAAGGTGATTTGAATCGATAAATAAATGATGAAATCTATATTTGCAGAACGTATTCGTTTTCAGAAGGGCTTCGGCGCACAAAGAGTTTCGACTGACTTCAAAGAAATTGAACGTAATGTTCAAGAACAAGAAAAATATCGGGAAGAACATGCTCAACTAGAGATAAAAAATCGCGAAGAACACGAAAAACAAATGGAAAAGCAAATGTAAGATGAATATCGTTCGAATAAAGACCATTGTCAATCCGATTGTCACTAGGGCGAATCTGAAATTTGCATATCAAGATATGAATAAACAACGTGAAATAGAAGAAGCGAAGTTGAAACAATCAAATCCAAAGAAAGCCGAGCAAATGGAACGTCTTGGGATGGGTTTTGGCGCTCGAAGGTAATTGAAACTTGATATTTAACGAATATTTCCACAGATTGATGTTGTAGTGGCGTTAGCCATAGTGCGATGACAGATATGCAAACGATTCAACAAGAAGGCGTCACAACAACCAGAAATGTGTCATTGGCATCAAGAAATCGCGATTTTTTCGATGATTTCGAACCGGCTGGCTTTAGCAGTCGATCGAAGTGAGTCGAACAAGCGCAAATGTTCAATTGAATATTTGAGATGATATTTAGTAATGATAGACGATTATCGGAAGATAATGATGAGAATCCGTCAAAGTACTTCAATTAATAATATTCGATATGCATGTACTGAAACTAATATTGCTATTCACTCGACAGTAGAGGAAAGGTTTTTCTTATGATAAAAAACAAATTTCGCTTCGAGTTAACCGTAACTGTTATTTGAATTCGCAGATTTCTATTCATCATTGTTCTCTTCCCATCTAGATTAGATGATGATTTCTTCAAACCAAAATCCTCTGCGAAACCTATGGATTCATTCAGTGCTGATTGGGAAGTTATTGATCAAAAATCAACGAACAAAGATTACGGATCAAGTGGAAGTAACAAATCTTCGTCGTCAAATTATAACAGTTCAACGGCTAACAGTGGTGCTTACGGGTGAGTTGACAATATTATGACGAAACCAGATAGTCTCAATTCACTTTATCTCAGATCGTCTTCTAAATCATCAACGTCTTACAATGCAGCATCTGCAGGCGATACTCAAAAGCGTTTTTCTAATGCCAAAGCCATATCAAGTGATCAATTCTTTAACAGAGATTCGGATGTACGTATGTGACCATTACATATGAATAAAATCCACATATCATACTCATCTTATTCTGCTGCATGTGCATCCATCTAACAACAATTGGAAAACAGACATTATCTTATTTTCTACTCTTGCTTATTCATTTTTTTCCAACAAAAATAATATGCATGTGCTCATCTAAACAAAACTTCTAGCGCACCGATCGAGCTTATAACTTCCAAATTTAAATAATAAACTTAATTTATTTTCCTTTCACATACAATGTTCGTTTTTACCAACAACGAGACGATTTTTTCGTAGAATGACCGGTCGAACGTTAGCACGCGCTTTCAAGGAAATACGAGTATTTCCAGTGAAGAATACTTCGATAATCCTAATCGAAAGCCGAATTCATCAGGTTATCAGGGAATCGATATAGCAACGATGACAGCAGATTTCAAAGATGGCGTCTCGAAAGCAGCTGGAAAGTTGTCATCATTTGCGAGTAATATGATGTCAAACATGCAGGTAAGTTGACAAAAATCTTCTCTTCAAGTCTTTCGAATAATATTTTATAGAAAAAGTAAAACTTCTCTTTGTATCGAGCAAGTTAGCATCGAAGACGGTGATGAAATTTCATCCGAAACGAAGATCATCAGAATATAGACAATCGTTTTTGTCAATAGTCTACTAATCTTGTATTTTTTACTTTCATTTTTTCGAAAATCATTTCCGCAGTTCATCTGTTCTTTCAATTGCAATTCAAAATAAATACAAACACCGAATTTAGATAACCTTGTAACGACGTTGAATAAATAGCGTCATTTGATTTCGATTAGTACATACAGCTCATTAGAAAAGCGAAATTTATACTGTATTATTCTTTGTCCAATGTCGTTTTTGTTTTTCTTGACAATGGCGACTACGAAAAGCTCTAGTAGGCGTGTCAACATTTGCTATTCTATTATTCGAATACTAATTTATATATAGTCGATTACATTTATTTGGTTCTTTCGTGGCGCAAAATCGATGCGATTGAATAGGTGCACAACGCGTTTTCGCTAGATCAACGTTTTCCTCAACTATTCGTAAAGCAAAGAGAAAAAGAAACGGAGGAAAAGTATTTATCATTGAGGAAGATGAGATCTACGAATGGCGAATGAGAAAAAGAACGTTATTTCTATCAGTAATATTTGCCGCTTGTTAACGTTAGCGCAGAACAACGCGAGTCTCTCTCTTGCTCCCTCTCCTCCTCTTCTGTGTCGTTCTCATCATTCATCATCATAACAAAAATATTTTGTAAGCACAAGACACTCAACAGGACGAAAGAAATACATTTTTCTAAGTTTGACGATACAAATCAGAAAACAATAAAAACAGTCATCAAGTCGAACCTTTTCGTCTCGAGTGTTTGCTCAATTATTAACAAATGAAATACACGATATCCCGACAATTTTCACTTAATAAAGAGAAATTCGAAGTTATCTGCAATGCCAAAACTGTCTGCACGGTCAAAGCATCGCCTTCGAAAGAAAACAAAGATCAATTCAAGTAATTCGCATTTTTCTTCTCACTTTTACGTGTAGAACTAACGATATCTTGCTACTTATCTTTCTATTAGAATCAAAATAACAAAACCTCTATCGAAACGCTTCTCACCCGAATCCTGTTCTGTGGAATCCGATCCGTCAAATTCCAAACATTACTTGATATACACGAACGATGTCAATACTGACGAGAAAGTTCTTTTCGGTGAATTATTCTACGAACTATGCAGTTACAATAACTATCTTTACACGATTATCATCGGACGAAAATTGTATAAAGTTAGAAGTAGTGATTTAAAAGATCGTCGACTGGCAATCATCGACACGATAGAACCTAGTAATTCGTCCAGTAATTATCAATATCCAGCATTACAATGCCCCGAAACATTATTTCAAGTCATCGATTCATTTTCCAAATCGAATTCAACTTATCATGTGACGATTAATGATCAAGAGAAACAATTCGGTTATCTTGCTATAGTTATCCTCATCGATCTACATGAACGTAATCGTGCTTGATTGACTTTGTATTATAAAACAAAAACACATATGTTTTTTTTTTCGATCGAAATTCTAACTTTGCTATGATTAAATGTCGAACATGATGTATCACATCGCTTTGATAGGCAAATGTCATAGTCAAGTGTTCGTGATTGAGAACGATGAAGTGTTTTTTTGCAAGATGCATTTACACAGCATATCAAATGACGATAATTTACAGGAATGTTCGTAAAAGATTTAGATTAGATCATTACCATTGAATAATCTATTGATGTAATGTACTATAACAATAGACAATGATGAGAGATACGTCTGATATGAAAGTTCTGTTGATCGTGTTTGGAAGAAAGAAAGAAATGTTAACTGCTGGATGAGAAATAAATATGAAATATTACTACCTCGATCAAATATGTTTTCGTTTAAATAATTGACTAAAGGTAAATATGATTAGGTTATATTTGACAAGGACGACTCATAGACAATTGTCATTTACTGATGGAACAGTTTCTGGTGAATATTCTTTATTGCTTAGAAATGTTTGACGATGTTGAGATGACAGATGTTTTGTTGTAACTAAGTTGATGAAAATGATGTGTGATTGCACTTCTTCCATTTACTTAATAAAAGTTTTTTTTTTACATAGTAACAAACTTTCTCCATTCCTTTTTATCTCTAGATGATAATGACTTTCTTTTTCTATTCTCGTGTATCTGCATGACTTACTTTCATCTATTTTCCGCAGCGTAAACGGATGACTACGATCTTTTCTGAGCCGATTCGATTAAACAAGGTTTCTTCGATACTTTCATCTTCTTGGTTTTCTCAAACACGATATTGACTGACTGTTCGTTTGGTTCAGTTAACATCTCAGGTTGTTTGAGAAAATATGATTTCGTATATTCAGTAAATAGCAATAACAAGTAAGTCGCATGATGTCTTCTCAATCCGAAGTTGAAATTCGCACTTTGGATATTCACATGAAGATTTACTTGTTGATAAATTTGAGTAGAAAATGTCGAAGTATGTAATAAGATCCGAAACATCGTCTTTCTTTCAAGTTCTCATTTGCTCAATAGAAAAGTAGGGAGAAAAAAAACTGGTGCTTAACGATGCCGTGTCATTTCTTTCCCGACGACTCGTCAGAAATGAAGTATATTTTGCTGTTACCAGGAAATGATATTTGACTACATCTATCTTCGTTCTACACGAAGATTTGACAAGAAAAAGAGAACAAACTTTTTTGCTTTTAGATAAGAGTATTAAACAAGATTGATAACAGATTTTCTGAGTGGAGAATATTTGATTCATATCGGCAAATATGCAAGGAAATAATTGTAATATTATGACGCAAGACAACAGCTTTTTCGACATTACTCATACGTTCAGAATTGGCTCATCGACCTACCATGTCCTGGGTGTGCGAAAAGATCGTCCAACGTATAAAAATACGTATTATATATTCAATTGTGAGAATGACCAACATGAACCGACGCATGATGCATCAGGAAGACCTCTATTAGTTAAACGCTTAGCTAGAACAGCTGAACAAACTACATTTCCTCGACATCGTCCAATAACAGCTAATTACAGAAAAACAACGACAACAACAGTTGATGAACGAACAACTAATTTTAATGAATCAAAGAAAGGTAAAGGTTCATCTCCACGCGCACGAACTGAATCACCGAAATCGGCTGAAATGGACCCTGAGATAATGAGAGAGACATTCAATAAAGCATTGAGAAGTGAGCGGCAACTGCTTCTTGCGTCATTTCGGAAACAAATCAATGTAAAAAATAAAATATTAATGCAATCGATTAAGAAAGACAGACGAAATGTCATTCAAACAATCAGCGAAGAACACAAAGCAGACACTCTTCGTTTACTCGAAGAGCACAATAAAGTTTTAACAAAAGCTTACGATCAATTCGTTGGTACAACAATTTCATCGATTCATACGTTGAAACAAACATTAATTGACACATTAGAATCTCAAAAACAAACATCACAATCTCAAAAAGAACTTCAGCTTGATCTATTACGAGCAATTGAACAGGAAATACAGACAATCACAGCGAAAAAAGAAGACTTTTTACAATCAACCTTGACAGAAATCAATTCGATTAAAGAAGCGCAAACTGCTCATTTCCAAAAATTCGAAGAGGACAGCAAAGTTAAAAAACACACTGATGATGTAATACTGAATCGATTATTCAATGAGCAAAAAGAAGCTCTTACCCACATTATTGAACATCAACAACCCGTACCAGTTGATCTGATTAAAAGAACAATTGTTGATGTACTCAATCAGCAGATAACAACATCTGATGAATCTATTACTGACATCACATCTCATCATATCCAAAGCAATAATGAAGTTGTTGCTAGTAATACAATACATAGTTTACCAAATATGAGATCCAATCCGTCTTCACATACTCTTAAGCAATCATCATTATCACTGAAATCTAAACCATCCGATCAATATTTATTTACAGTTTCAATACGAACACCTGAACCTGCGCATTTATATGCAAAGTTACTTGTCGATGGAGAGGAATGTTCTCGACGATTGCATACATTGTGTCAACGTGATATTATGGAACACAGTTTATACAATTGTTATGTAGCACCACCGAGGAAAGATCGTCCATTTGAATTGACTATTTATGCAAAAACGGCGAAGGAAACAACACATCGTGCAGCAATAAGTATACGTGTACCAGAATCGAATGGAACTCAATTGATTGAAATTCCCATGGTGCAACAAGCGTTTGAAGATCATCAATGTATTCTTATTGAACCATTTCAACGCTCATTGCCGCGAGATAAAGATGTGCGTATACACATGAAAGTACCCGGCGCGCTTCAAGTTAAAATTCGTAATGGTGATAGCATGACCGAACTTGACTCGAACGAATATAAGAATTATATTGTGAAGAAAACAATACGTGTACGAGGAGATGTTTCTATTCTAGGTTCTTGGAAGGGCAAGCCCGATTTACTACTGTGCGCTTTTGAAACACAGTCTTCGTCTAAGAAACAAAGTATGTAATATCGGATCGCTTGAGTTTGGTTCTATCGTGCGGGAGAACATATTCTCACTTTTCTTCTACGTTTGTTCTCTATGGTTTCATCGCGTTTACTTTGATATAAAAAAAAAACAACAGAACTTGAAGAATGCCAAAGAAAAAGAGTAGTAGGAATCTTCTAAACAAAGAACATATTCATACGGAAAAAAGTACTATGAAGCAAGTACGAATACAAGAGATAAATAGCAAAGGAATGGGTTTACCGTGAGTGAGGATGTCACAATGACGATTGGTAACTGAGATTAGATCAATCGTCCTTACTATCACCCTCAACCACTTGTTAAATTTCATACTTTATATATGCAAGACAAAAAAAGAGCAGTCATAACACACAATACTTAGGCTTCGCCTTCACAGGATAATGTTGCTTTGAGTGGCGCTTTCTTATTTGTAATAGGTGGAAGAATAGTAGAGAATTTCATTGTTGATCGCGACGCGACGATTTTAGTCGTTGCGATATTTTCATTCGGAGTAGCAAACAAATACCGTTGCTGTTTTGGTAATGTTTGTCTATCTATTGGCTGTGATGGTGATGAACGTTGACCAATATATAAAGTTTTTGTTCTCTCATGGTTCGAATTCGTTCGATTAGTAACCGATGATGAACGTGTGTGACTGATAACATGTCGCTGGTCATCGATATTTTTAAATGCTTTGGGTTTATTCGGTAAAATCAGTTGACCGAGACGTATACAATGACATATATGTTCTTGTTTATCGCGAGCGGAATAACGACTGTTTCGTGTGCTTGATGCTGAACGCTGCTTATACAATTCTAATGCTTGTTTTTGTTCAAGAATTTGCAAACGATTTCTGTAATCATTAACAAGTTTCTCTTTTTCTTCTACAATTCGATTTAGAGTTTTCACTCGATTTCGACTTCGTAACAATTCATTCTCTAATTGCTCAATAGTAGAATGCGCTTTGTCTAAAAGATAACAAATCGGTATGTCGAAGACACTTGAAAACAGTTCGAACTCACTTTGGTTATATGCATTAACCTCCGTGTTATTCAGGGTGAATTGAAACGTAAGATCTGAATGTGAGAGAAAAGAAGACTGTAGGCGAAATTCATTTGATTAAAACATTACCGTTGTACTTTCGTTGCCATTTATTTAATTCTTGATGAAGATCGGCTAATGTTGCTGAATGTTGGTTCTGAAGAAATTCGATCGATTTCTCTGCACGTAGAAGACATTGTGCGAGATTATTTGTATCCATTGACGGATATGTAATGTCAGACATCGATAAAATCTGTGAGAAAGAGGCAACTATGTCTAAACTCGAACAATAAATCAACAACAAAACACATAGAAAAGCAAACTAATGATAAAAAAACAGAATCTGCCAAATGTTCGAAAGAATGTTACATACATCTAATAAATGTGCGTTATATCACGTATTATATTCGAGAGAGAATTCAACTATCTTAAACATTATTCGCGATTCAATCGGAAAGTTCGTTTTGAGTCGAAGAAATCTGATCAAAGCGTTTCGATTTACAACTGTTCAGTCGTTTACTGATGTTTAACGATTGAGAAAAAAGTCTTTGATGTGATTCATGATGGCATCGACGGACTTGTTGACCTTGTATGCGCCCATGAAATCGATTGATTATTTAGCAAGGTGAAACTATCAGGTAGTAACTTCATCACTTGATACTTTAACAGATCAAATGAGAAACCATTCACTGTTTATTCAAATGCAATGTTTTTCTTTATGACGAAGCGAGAAGATCGCCTTTCTTGATCTCGTTCGTTTTTTTTATCAGAAGATAACTATGTTTCAACGAAGATATATCGATATGAATTGTATGTATTGTCTATTTGAAGTAGTGACACTATTCATTTACATCTATACTTACTCTCCGTTGCTTGGCAACAGCGGAAATGAAGTAAAGTGCATTACTGCTAAGAGTTACCTCGCAAAACACATAAAGTTTCGAGTAGAAACGGAAATGGAAGAATTAGTAACCCACTTGAACATTTTTCTCGTTGGAATTATAGGAAAAAATATCAATTTCATTGTTTGAAGTCAGAGAAGTCAAGTTGCCTAGTGACACTACAAGCAAGGGTGAATTGATGGTGTCAGGTTCTCTTCAGACGAGTAACAACAAGCAATTTAGACTGCAAAATCAACAGAAAGGAAAAAAGAAACAATGTCATCGATAGCAGCCGCAGGTAACAATTGATTTTCTAGTGTTTTTGTTTGTAACATAAGATGTTTTTAACAGATAATTCCAATGCCAATAAAAGCCGATCGAAACTCTTGTTATCCTCACGCGATTGGGATACACTAGTTACAGAGTATGATGATTTTCTGCCTTGTTTTTCAATAAATGACCTTGGTTGTATTTCTCTCTCTCTCTCATAAAATTAGTCGAAGTAAATTACGAAAGGAGAATACCACTTTATCACGCGGTGGTATTTCTGAACGGCGAGTCCACACTCGCGTTGGCACTTATCATACCGATCGCAGTCGACGTGGTGTATATGGAAATTCTGAACTAGGCGAATCGAGTGAAGATGATGATGAACAAGATGATCAGTTATTAGATCGTGCGCGACAAGATCAAACTGATTTACCATCGGAATATTGGCAAATTCAACGATTAGTCAAATATCTAAAAGGAGGAAATCCAACGGCAACCGTCATTGCGTTGTCGTCAATTCGAGATTTCAATTTGTCAATGGATATATGTCAACTAGCTATACGAGATGCCGGTGGACTGGAAGTGCTTGCGAATTTACTGGAAACCGACAATTTGGATTGCAAAGTAGGTCCATCCATAAGATGTTTCGAAAGATTCTGATGGAAGATTTTTTTGTTTTAGATCGGCTCATTACATATTCTAAAAGAGATTTCGAAAAATCCGACGATTCGAAGAAATATCGCAGACCTTGGCGGATTGCAAACGATGATCGCATTACTCGACGAACCAGAAAAAGAATTGAAGTGTCTTGCTGCTGAAAATATTGGTAAGATTCGTATTGAAGAAGATTATACGCGAATTGAACTAATTTTAGCACATGTGGCTAAGTTCAAACGTGCTCGAAAAGTTGTTCGACAGAACGGTGGAATCAAACGTTTAGTAAGAATTGTCATTCTGATGAGCATCATTAGTTCTCAAATGTAAATCTAGGTTGGTCTCCTAGAAACGGCTTCTCCGAATGCGCACGGATCAATGACGCATTATTCGCAAAATGACATCGCCAAGAATGTCGAAGTCGCTCGTGCAGGTGCATTAGCACTTTGGAGTTTAAGTCGATCTGATCGGAACAAACAAGCAATGGAACGCGCCGGTGTGATTCCTCTTTTGGCAAAATTACTTAAAAGTTCCAATGAAACGATGCTCATACCCGTCGGCGGTATTATTGAAGAATGTGCTGTTGATGTAAAGTTTATACTCTGGATTCTGTTCATAAGAAAATTGCAGCAAATGGTTATACTTTTCTTCTAGCCTGTGTATCGAATAGCCATACGAGGAATGATTCCTGATCTAGTGAAAAATCTACAGAGTAGCAATGCTGAACTGCAGAAACATTGTGCCAGTGCGATTTTCAAGGTAAAGTAGAAAATTGCTTTACTTATTGCTATACGATTGATCTCTAGTGTGCCGAAGATAGAGAAATACGTGCTTTAGTACGCAAACATATGGGGCTTCGTCTCTTACACGATCTTCTACAGCAAACAGACAATAAAGCATTGCTGGCAGCAGCAACAGGTGCGATTTGGAAGTGTGCGATATCTCGCGAGGTGAGATTTCATCTCTCATCTTAAGCGTAACTATTTCCCTTCTGATCGATTAGAATATTGCTCAATTTCAACAATTCCGCACCTTGGATACTCTGGTACAAATGCTGAACAACCAACCCGAAGAAGTCCTAGTGAATGTCGTTGGCGCTATAGCTGAATGTGCTAAGGAAGCCGACAATCGAACTTTAATTCGAAAAGCAAATGGAATTTCCTTCTTAGTCAATTTATTAACTGGAACAAATCAAGGTTTACTGGTCAATACATGTCATGCACTACGACAGTGTAGTGAAGAGCCTGAAAGCATTGTGTAAAAAGAGAGCTCTTGGTTGTTGTAAGCGGCACTATTGTATTGACATTTAGAATGATTGATCGTTTGGACGGTGTTCGCTTGTTATGGTCGTTGTTGAAAAACCCCAATCCTCGAGTACAAGCGGCAGCATCATGGGCGATATCTCCATGTGTTAAAAATATCAAAGATTCTGGTGAAATGGTTCGAAGTTTCGTCGGTGGTCTTGAACTGATCGTATCGCTATTGAAATCAAAGGATGTCGAAGTACTCGCCAGCGTTTGTGCGGCCATTGCTGAAATTGCGAGAGATGAAGAGAATCTCGCCGTTATTACCGATCACGGCGTTGTTAAACTTCTATCGAATTTGGTGACACGAGTACGAAGACTAGTTTGACATTAGATTCATATGAAAGATTTGTTTGTCTCACAGAATGAAGATATTCTTCGACGTTACTTGGCCGAAGCCATAGCCGAATGCTGTAAATGGGGAAATAATCGTCAAACTTTTGGTGACAACGAAGCCGTTGCGCCGCTGGTCAAATATTTGAAATCATCCGATACGAACGTTCATCGATCAACCGCGAAAGCGTTACATCAGCTATCGAAGAATCCAATGAATTGCGTTACAATGCACGAGGCTGGCGTTGTACGAGTATGTTTGTGAAAATGAGAAGTCTCGAGCAGTGCAGATCTATTCCTTTCATTTTAGTTATTAATGGAAATGGTCGGTTCGAAAGACGAAGTTCTCCAAGAAAATGCTGCGATTTGCATTTCATACATTCGTCGCTTAGCTTTGGCAAATGAGAAATCACGAAACGGTTGAAAAACAATCAAATGTCGACTTTTTTGATCCATTGACTTTAATAAATCTTTTTCTTTTCTAAACGATCGAAAGATAAGCTTCATATTTGAATATATACTTAAAAATCTCATGGAGAAAATGTAAATCAATTAATAATCGCAGGCGAATACACTGAAAAGTCTTTTAACTGAAGGTCGCTCTAGGATAAATAGTATCACAATCGTCTCAACAAGGTTATGTCCTTCGTTATTAAAATAACAAATTCAATAATTATCATATTTCGCCGAGGATTCGTTGAGAACATTCATTAGATGGTTTTCTACATGTTCGCGTTTGTTTTTAGAAACACATCAGTGAGGTGAAACGGACCGCATTCTGACGAGCACTTTAAGCTGAGAGAGAAAATTTACATTTTCACAATAAAAAAATATTTCTATTTACATTTATAGTCATTTGACTTTCTTGACGTCGATCATGACACAACTATTGCAGTTGTTTCGTGCGTATAAAAAGAAAAATAGTCAGAAGGAATCAAGTTAAAAAATTGACAACCATAACAACAATAACAACCGTAAAAGAAGGAGAATTTTTCTTCTCCGTCTCGTTCCCTCTTTCTCTCTCTCGTTTTTTTTTACATTGTCAAATAAACATGAAGTAGCAATAGACCACACAATTAATCCATTGGCTTTTGGGAAGAAAGACTTTGTCAACAGTAAGGAAGCCATAAGAACACGAAGCAATAGAGCGCTACTGATGCATGCGTATGTTTTATTGATTGATTTTGAAAATTTTGTTCTTCTTCTCTCTCCTCTCCTCCCCTCATCTCTCTCCATCTCTGTGTCTCTCTCTGCATTCGACATCTGATGTGAAGTGAAGAGAAGAGAAGTAGTAAAAGAAAATTGAGAGTCAGAAAGTTTTTCCATTAATCGATTGTTGTCACGGACGTCAAGGCGCTTACTGTCTGTTGTCGATATCCGTTGGCAACAAACGAAACAGAAGTAAAATCGAGTTGATATATTAATCATTCATGTTGAAGAGAATGTATGTGTAGAAAAACAGTTTCATTCGTATGGATTTTAAATCGCCTGAGTTTCTATTGATATCGGGTGAAGTTTTGTGAACCGAACGTTTCTTCTAGATTCAGTCAGAACAATGGTGTGGACAGAGACTAAACCACGCGGTCCGATTTCGGCCATGCATTCAACGCCGGGTCCGGTGTATCTCTTGCCAGGTTTAGTCGGAAATAACTTTCATGATCCACGATCAGTTCATAACAAACAACCAGCGTATTCATTTGGTCTCAGACATGGAAAGTATAAAGATGACTCTTCGCCTGGACCATGTTACTTCCCCAATCCGAGAATATCTCGGACTGGTAAAGATGGTTCGCCACAATATTCTCTCTACTCGCGACGTGGTGATCTGAAAGGCGATCGTTGTCCTGGTAAGAAAGCGCGATTTATTTCGTTCGCAAAGCAGTACTGCCTTCTTCTATAGGACCCGGTGCCTATAAACCTGAGGATAAAGGACCAATGAAGACTGCCTTTCAATCACCGCCTGCCTTTACTTTTGGCACTCGTCATAAGGCATATGGACTTGATAATACACCTGGTATGATCGCCGTTTTTCTTCCCAATGAACATACATCGAGTTTTTCGTCTTTGTTTTTAGCACCGAATGCTTATGGTTTACCAGGAATGCTTGGTAAAACCGTACAAAGTGCCAAGAAGCAAGCACCTGTCTATTCCATGACTGGACGTAGCAAACGAGGCGGTTTCGATGAAGATTTGCAGCGAACACCTGGCCCTGGTAAACATCAGTTTTCTTTTCTCAAAGAAAAGAACTCCACCCAATCTCTTTCTTTCTTTGTTCAGGTGCTTACAACGTAACTAAGCCGGGTATATATAAACAAGAACCACCACATTATAGCATGATAGCACGAAATGAAATGCCCGGTGATTCGACACGGAAACCAGGACCGGGCAAATATTCGCCCGAAAAAGTTTGGCTTCATAAACAACAAGCACCTGGCTATTCATTCGGCATTCGTCATTCTATGTACGAAGCACCATTGATTGTTGAAGTCAAAGAATGAAACGAGTTGATCATTTCTCTTCTTGTACGCTCACGTTTTCTTCTTTGAACTAGACAAAAAAGAGATTTTCATCTTCATTTTTTTGCTTGTACTATGTTTCGCTTTCGTTTTCTCTTTTCTTATTTGAATTCATACTTTAACGATCGATGATCTGATGTTTGCAAATTGTGTACGAACAGCAGAATTTCTTGTGGAAAGAGAAGAGTGTAAACAGAAGATTTATATGTCTCGAACATTCTTTCGCATGTCGTATAAAACTAATAGTCTTGTTAAACATGAGAATGAAATTAATTATAGAAGCAGCTAACCTTGAAAGAAACATAATTCGATACTCATCCAAGTAAATCAGTGGTTTCCTTTGATTATTAAAAAAAGAAGGTTCTTTGTCGCTTAGAAGTCAACAGGAAAAAGAAGTTTCGATTTGTGTTTATTTTACTCGAAAAGAGATCTCTGTTCGCTAACATTGTCAACGAGATTTGATCTGAGTACATATTTACACCCAAGCGAATTTGTTGTGGTGTTCGAAACGAACAGATCTGCTAAGAGAACATTTCTTTTCGATCGAATGAAAAGAAAATATGTACATAATTCGATATTTTTGTTGTTGATTTGACAAAAAAAGACTTTAATGATCGTTTTCATCTTGTCAACTCTTAAAAATTTTCTGTCAACTCAGGACAAATGAGTCGAACATTTTTAGAATACATCTGTATTCTAATAAGGTAATAAAGAAAAGAAAATATTTTATTTTGTCCTAACAATCGCATAACATGCTCCCCCGAAAATAAATACATAGAAACGAAAAGAAACAAATTAGTAGGAAAGACGTAGAAAACATCAGGGACATAGCATTATGATAACTTCTTCAAATGCCTCTCAGACGTCCATTATATGACGACGCTGATGTTTTTCCGTTGTTATACGACGAGTCATCGATAACAATTGATGTCAGTAGTGAATAACGTTGATTGAAATTACTACTTGATGATGACGAATGAAGACCAGTTCGTCGGAAGAGAACAGATCTAATCTTGGCACGGATCATTTGCCGATAGAAAATCATTATACATAAGAATAACATGACACACATCAAGATGATCATAGCAGTCGAATCTGTATGTGATTGTCGATAATGTATTGTTCGTTTAACTTGATTGATTGCTCTAGAGTAGAAACATAATGTATTCTCAAAACTAATTCAGTTGATTTTGCGACAAACCTCAATGGAAGAAAACGCGTTTTATAAAGAATTGCTCCTAATGTCCATTGAACGTCGTTGTTATTTACCAATGAAGCTGAACGTAAACGTTGGTAGTTTACCGGAAATCTGAGACCATCATGAAGAAATGCATACAACCAAGCAGATTTAAAGCATTGTAATCTAAATAGAAGGCTTAAATGATGACAATCAAAAACAACGACCTTACAATAAACGATTCAGATCAGCTTTAGGAAATTGTTTATTGTTATACCATTGTCGAATATCACTCCAGTTGGAATTACAATAATTCTGAGAAAAAATGAAACATTATTTAAGGTTTGCCGCTATTTGTCATCACTTACGATTGATGCATTCAAAAATGACAGTCGACCGTATGGACCACCCATCTTCAGAATATCTTCAAGAAACAATTCAAACTCTTATTTAATATTTTTGATTTCATTTCTTATTCAAACCTTCCATCGTGTACCAAAACTCCGAAAACCCATAGAAATCTTGTGAATCATAATTGATAGTCGGCTGATAGATTCCATTCAATGAACATGGCTTTCGTTTGCATGTTGCGTTTAAATTCAATAATGTGACTAAATGTTTCGCACAACTAGTGAAATCTCCTTCACCAATCATTGTTATCGTTTTATTATCGCGTGTGTAGTTCGCTGAGTAACCTCGAGGTAGACAATCAGCATTATCGATTAGAATGTGTGATGATGTTGATGCTGAAGATCTGAAATAGTCAAAATACTTAACAATAACGCGTCTTGGTCAAATCGAACTGATTTACTTGAGGGACAAGGATATAATACGATCGATGTACTTATCAAACGCTTTATTAGCTCCGTAACCGAGATACGTGGTGACATAGATTTTATATTTAAACATTTCTTGATGTTCATCGTAACCTAAAGAAAATTCCGCTACTTCTTCACCTTCCATCGGTATCTATAAACAAAATGGATAAGATGCTTTTCGCAAGTCAATCGTCGAAACTTACATCAGGGGAGACTTCGACTAGAATAGAACAAGAAAACCAATTAGAAGACTATCACATTGGAGCGTTTCCTTACAAGCTATTTGTGCTGATGCACCACCCATATCAAGAATACCGACAGTGGACGGTCGTTTTGTCGAAACAGATATCGATTTTCCGTCGCTGACTGATACTAAATATTCAATAAGCGAAAAATGATAATCAACGACCTGAATTCCTTACTTGATTCAGCGGTATTATTATTTTGAAAGCGTCCGAGAACATAATTGATAGCTATCCAACTGTAGATTCCTTCTAATTTACCTGGAATAACTTGAATATGAGTTTTTTCGAGTTGAAAATGATAATCTCGAACAATATCATTGAAGAGATCTTCAAGTAACTTTTGTTGCCGTCTGAAAACGGCACAATTCGTCTAATTATTAAAACGTCTCCATTAATTAGACTTACTCTTTGTTTAAAAACCGAAGACCAGCTGTAGCAAGGATATACACTAGATCACAAAGAACATCAAAATCATCAACTCAATATACATACATACATGGAGTGTCGCGATGTTTATCTGGCGGCACAGTTGTTGCAGCAAAATCTGAATAAACTCATGAATAAATCATCAATTTCGACAACAAAGCCACTCACCGACTAATGGTTTGAGGTATTCGGTCGCATTCTCTGGTGTATCGGCCATGGATGAAAGACCTAACGAAACAAAAATCACTTCATTTTTTCCAATAAATAAAAACTTAAGTTAAAAACCTGGCTCGAGTTTCTTCACAACTGGTCTACCATGACTGTCGAGTAGCTGTTTTATCTGTAACAATTCATTTTCTCGTCCCGAATGCTCTGGCCAAACGTAGATATAAAGTCTCGAGCCGCTACTTCCACAATCAATCACGATTCCATAATGCAAATTCGGATCTTTATTGCCGATTCTTTTTGGTACATAAACACCGCCAGCATCACCGCGTTTGAGTATTTCTTGAGTTTTAATTAGAGATTTACTATCGATACTTTCAATCGCAGTAGAATTAGCCTATGAACATCAATAATACACATGAAATTCTAGGAGACAATCCAAATTTGCAAACATACACGACTTAGCATTAACCAGACGATAAAACAGCTGAATAGGAATGCTATCGTCATCACCAAATAACCCGGATTGCATGAATGTAGCTTCAACGACGTCATCCATCAGCGCATCTACAACAAACTATCTGGTGGAAAAATTCTCTTCCGAATTTAATATTTTTCAAATGTGAAAACAATACCATCCTGACATACAAATTGTGATGCATGCCAAAAACATGTTTGTATATTTTTCTTTTTCTCTTTTTAAACTGTGTGATAATTAGATAAGACCGACAACCAATCAGAATATTACGAAAGTTCCCTTCCAGAATATGCATATCGAGAGGTCTGCACTAGACACGACTTCGACAATGATAAATGATAATTGTTCTCAATCAATAACGCAAGATGATTGTTTAGGTTTAGTTCAAAAGATGAAATTAAAATAGTTTTCATTCACGTTTTCGTCCAATTCGAAATAAATGGGCAGATATTTACCTGTAATCGCGATATTCATCTTTGAAATTAATTAATCAATCTATAGCACATGCAGGAGACCCGTTTTTTCGAGCATGACTAAATGATTCACATAAATGAGTTGTTACGTATTCGTAAAAGTTTTTTCCTATACACAATTTTCCAGTACAATTCCATTCCATCACGTTTTTTTCTTTCTTTATTGTCATAAAATAGATTCAAAACGAAAGTTCCAATTTCTATTTAACTTCCCAATTCTATATACAAAAAAAAAAATAAGACCTCTGTAATTTACACGAAAGACAGATTCTACGAAGAATATCTATGTGCGTTTTCGACATTCCAAACACAAAAATACAGGCAAAGAAAAGCAACCAATAATCAAAAGTGTTGGAATGCCAATCGCAACTAAAGCGATCAATGCTCCGATGACAATCGGACTGGTTAAAATTATACTTCCAAAAATTGAGCCTCGCACAAGCCAGCGTAGCAATGGACGATCTGGCCAAAGTTTGTACTTACAACCAAATATCGAATATTTCGCATCGTGACCTATATAAAACGGCAAGCGCATGCGACCACCACAGCGATAACAGAATTTCGAATTGCATTTCATACACAGCATATGATCACAGCCATCGATCTTCTCGATATAAATCGAACATTTCGGACAACGTTGAGCATTTCGTTGATTTTTATTATCAGGACGACGTGCTCGCGCCCATACATCGACATGAGTATGATTTTCCTTGAATTGTCGACAGGTTTCATTGGCGTGTGAGGGTGCATAGCATGACCAACACCAATCCTTGCCACATTGTTCACAGTGTACCCATCGTCCAGATGATCGTCGGGATCGTTTACCGTACTTTTTCCGATGCTGCTCGTCGATAACAGTGATGTAATTACAATGCGGGCATAGCTTAATGCACGTATTCTGCTGTTCTGATAGATCTTGTGCTAAAATACGTTGATACCGTTCTCGTAGATGGACAGGCAGTTCGCTATTATATAAAATCGTGGAAGAGTTCATCTGTTCGGAGCATGCTGGACATTCGATATGAACTTTGCCGTTGTTGATATTGGTCATTGTATGAGTTACAATACAAATGGAACACAGTTTTATTGAGCAACATGGCATTTGTTTGAGATCACTGAGCAGAAAACTATCACAGCAAATCGGACAATCTTGTACGGCGTTCATCGATGGCGGGATCTTGGCGAAACTTGTTGTGTGAACATTTCTAAATAGGAAAGATCTATCAATAGATCATCTTATCACAAAAGATTTCATTACAATTGAGCATATCTTTTCTATTTGAAGAATTGCTGAAAGAACTAATACTCCACAGTTTCACTTCATCAGATAAAGAGGAAATCTTAATTAAAATTTCTATGTTTATTCTTCTTTACGTGTCGATTGGAAGAAGAAGAAAAAAAACTCCATATCTTCACTTGCAAGTATTCTATTTGACCATGATCTTAGAGAGTAAAAAAGAAAACTAGTCTTATGACATGTTTATTCCATCGACATATGACGTCAGACCTTCGACACTATGATAATTAATCCTCTTTGCAGTTACCCTGTATTCATGGCTGTTGTTGTCAGATGTACTGCCAGATTATGCTCACTGGTCGAGATTGTTTTCGATGAATCTGTCATGAAAATTGATTTCAGTGATTCATGATGTGCTAAATCAAGCTCGGACTCATAATTCATTTCATGATTTGTATCACTGCGCGTATGTCCGATGAAAACAGCGTTACGTCTTCGAAACGGCCATGTCTGTAAACGTCGATTGGATTGGACTTGAGTATTGGTCACATTCATCTACAAAATGCACATGCGGACAAAAGATGTTGGTTTGAAATTTTTTACAAGGAAAAACAGCATCTATCTCACACATTTCCTTTTTCTCTTTCTTCACCTTGTTACACGTTTACCTATCATGTGAAAATATTACGACGCAGTTATTGAAGGTAGGGATAAGAAAAAAGAAGGCAGAGTGCTCGCGTTGTAGCTCGGAATAAAAAAAATAAAACAGCGAACATCACAGGAAGAATAACACATATAAGAACGACAAAATAGAAGAAAAGCAAAACTGGGAAGAAAGGATCCGATAGTATGTTTTATCCTGAATAAATGCATCGTAATGGCCGTCCAAATTAGCATTATATTGACTTCCAATAAATTACTTTCATTGATATCGCAACGGATTCGCATATTTTCATGATATTGACGTTAAATATGGCTTTGATATCGCATAGCTCTCTCTCTCTCGCTCCTTGTCAGTTACTTTTTTTTCCTACACGACTTTCATTTGAAAAATCATTCGATCGAAAGTTTGTATTTCTCCTCTTGATCATCAGAGCATCGATTGAAAACATGTAGGTCATCACAAAATATGATTTCCTCTCGAAACATCGGTCGTATTGCCGTGAGGATCACCCTCTTCGTCGTCGTCGTCGTCGATAAGATGCCTAATGAAGATCGACGACTCACTGAGACAGTTGAAGAAAGAAGAAAACTGATTGTAGACATTCGTCTCATAGAGACACATCATCGAACAATAAGAAATCTACAGACCTAAATAATAGATTTTGTGATTGAAGACAAAAAAAGAAATTGCTTTTTTCATTTCAATGAATTATTTGAGGAGAGATAGTATGAGACAAATTGTTGTTAATGCGTAGAGACGTACAGGCAAATCTAATTGATTGTTACGCGCATGAGCGCTATAATAGAGACAATATATAGATATATGTATATTCTCTAATGTATTTACTCTGTAATTTTTCTCACTTGTTAAATATTGATACTATACAACTGATATTCAATCCTTCGATCGAGTTTCGTCGTTGAAGGAAAAAAATCATGGACTATTTTAGGACATTGGAATGCATTGGGCTATTATGTAATGGTTTTGCCATTGATTTGAAAGTTATTAATGGATGTATGGAGACAGAGAAAATCTTTCTGGTGACATGAAATCGTAACAGCTGTATATTGTAAGCGGGAGACATTAAGGAGGAATGATGTAAATATCGTCACAGACGACTTTCAAGTACCTCCTGCTTATGTAAGTTTCATCTTTCTCTTAAAAATCGTTTAACATGACAATAAACGTCCATTCGGAGCTTCAATCATCAATCTATCAATCTATTGATTCCCATTCTCTCTCTCTCTTTCGCTATATTGACATCGAGGCTTCTTTTGACAACTCTGTGTTTGTGCACAAGGAGCTTTTTCGTCTCGTTCTTGACTATCTTGTGTATGTGCTTCGATTGAGAAGAAAAATAAGCAATAGTATATGTGGAATAGGAAAGGAATTGAATAAACTAGAATGTCCGCAAGCGTTTGTCTATGTGTTTTCTCGCTTGCTTATTTGCTTGCGTTCGATCGGCTACAAACCAACTCGAGACGCGCGCACATCTAATAAAGAGAAGACACATGAAATTAGAACAAAAAATCGAACTGATCTGAAAATCATCTCCATAATTTTCTCTTCTTAATACTACCGAACATGGAACAAGAACATGCACGGATATATGTATGTGAATATATTCGTCAATCAATGTGCGAATGCTCTTACATAGTTTGAGATGCGCTTTACATCATCATCATCATTATCATCATCATTGTTACTGGTTTGCCTTGTTATCATCAACAACAGCGTCATTGCTGCTGCCATCATCATCATCATCATCCTTCTATTTCTTGTTGTGCGCGTTGCCTATCTAAGATATTATGGAAACGACACGAAGAAAAGATGAGAGAGAGAGAGAGACACACAGAGGGGGAAAGCGCAACGAGAAAGAGATGAAGAATAGGCAAAAAAAGAATGAAGAAGGTTCCTATGCGCTGTTGCTTCTTTTTCTTGCTGGTTCGACACTATTTCCAAAAAAAATAAAACAGCCGACTGTTCGTTCTCGCTCCGTATGTGTGCATACGTGCCAGATCCTTCGTTCTTTCCCTACCCGCCTCCGCCAATGGTCGTTATTTCTCTATGTCTCATTTTGACTAACTTTGTTCTACCACCATCACCAATATTTTGAACACACATATCTATTTTTGCATATACATGTAGAAATTCACAGATCTCTTAATACATCAAAACACGACGAAACCTGTCAAATACCATTTAGCTTTCTGTCTCTTTCTTTCATGCGTTACAGATTCTCTCGATAGAGACTTATGTCATTGCATCCTATCGATGTTGGCCATGATCGCAATGTCGATTTCTTTCTCGTATTGCTTCAACTTGTTGTCGTTCGTCATGTGTGTTATTTCTCCTTCTCTTCTTTCTGTGATCATTCCAGCAATACTGAGTTTACTAATACTACTACCACCACTATCACTGTTCATGTTCGTTCTCTGCTACTACGACTAACCCGCACAGATATAGAAATATATATATATATATGTCGAAATTATTTCTATCATCATTGAACTCAATTGTTGACATTGCTTCATCTATTCACTCACTCTTGTCCAACAACAATAATAACGAACTACTATTTTTAGGCATTTTTTTGTATTGTGTTTATTACATCTCGAAAGACAGAAATCATAACAGACACAAATATTAGCAAATTAACCCGGTGATCAACAAATAAGCATAATATCAAACGCACGTTCTCGCCGGAAGTTTAATGCTGGCCGAGTCGGTGCGTTGATGATGCGAGCATGAAAAAGCAGAACGTTCGTACCTTAACACTTATCGTCTCGACGTTCAGGTACGCGAACTCCCCAAAATCTATCTTCATAGCCATTTACTTCTCGTTTCAGCTATTTGCTGGTTGGTGCGGCCATCTTCGACGCGCTCGAATCGAACACAGAAGATTTCTTGCGCAAACAGTATCAAGCGGCCGAAGAAAACATGCTCATCTCATATAATATATCTCGAATCGAATATATTGAACTCGAAGATATTGTCATTAAGTATCAACCACACAAAGCCGGTGCACAATGGAAATTTCCTGGAGCATTCTTCTTCTCACTTACTGTTATCACAACGATCGGTGAGTGAATATGAGAAATGATATCAAACAGTTGAACGTACACCACGTTCAGTTCTAACTTTGTCTAGTTTCGTTGATATAAGTGACTTTTAATGAGACTTAAAAAGAAATAAACATGAAAAGTTAGCCATTGCGTGTCAATTAAGATAATTCACAACTCGAGTAGGTTTGCTTCTGTCTGTGTGTCTGTCTCTTTATTTATGAAAATATTTCGTTACATATTCATGTGTTAAAAATCTATTTGTTAAGGCCTGAAATGATAATTGTTCTTTCTTTGTCATTGTTGAAAATGTAGACACCAATCGATTACAATATGCATTGCATCTGGCCTCGATCTGCTTCTTTGCTTTGACGTCTCTATTCTCTCTTCAATTATTTTGACGCACTCCTACTGTTAGTTACTAGCTTGACAATTGATTATCAGATTTTGCTAGTTTAGAACATACAACAGAAGAGAAAAAAGTCGCTGAACGAAAGGAAAGTAGAATTTCACTGATGTTCGCTAATCTTCATCATGCACATGCACACAAAAATTTCTTCTTCTTCTTCTTCTTCTTCTTCTTCTTCTTTCCGTTCTGTCTGTCATCAGAGAAAGACTTGATATCTTTCCTACTCATGCCGTTCGAGTCATTAGACTTCGTAGAGTACGTCCTGTCATACAAGTGTATTTGCCCGCTAATAGAAAAGCGAGAGAAATATGATTGTCAAAATCATAGGATAGAATACGACCATTCCCAATGACGTCAATCGAAGAATGTCATGTCAGAGCAAATATAGATATTCATACAAACCAAGGTATTAGCTTCAATAGAAGATCAAAATCATTCTTTGATTGTTACTATTTTTATCCGTGGGATTCTTTGAAAGATTCGAATTATCTTTTGTAAAGTTTGATACGTGTTGTTTATTATCGATCAAGAATAACTTATTCATTATAAATTTTGCGTTGCTTTTCTCGAAGATTATCTCGAAGTCGAACAGATCAAATAACAGATTTTATCTTTCATAATGACAGGCAATGTTTACTAATTCGATCCTGTCAATATCTGTCATTGATTTGATTTTGTTATGATAGAAAAATAGATGAAGAAGTTTTCAACCAAGTCCAACGCACAAATCTTCGTATCGTATCGATAAAGGACAATGACTGACTGAATGTGTTAGTTGCTTTTCCCGTCACATGCTAAACAAAAAGAAAAAACTCGAGCTGCTCTTGCCGATGAAATATTTATTGTTCATAAATCTTTACATGCGCGTGTTGTTTAGAAATGCGATTAGAACTAAAAATCACAGGTCTCGCATCGCCTTGCGTCGGGTTTTTTTTTCTTCAAATACTTAAGAAATATAAGTGTACTAAGGTCGATGAGAATTAACCACAAAAATGTTTTAATCTTTCATTCGAGTGTGTAGGAAGGAAAACGGTTTATGTTCAATTTGCATTTCTCTTTCTAGGCTATGGTCACTCCTGTCCCACAACAAGTAAAAGCATTGCTCGAAACCAACAAAAGATGACTTATTGTTTTTCTTTCGTAGGTTGGGGCAAATCGTTTTGTATGCTTTATGCTGTCATCGGAATACCACTATGTTTAGTTATGTTTCAATCGGTGGGTGAACGTCTGAATAATTTCTCTAGCTGGTGTATCCAGCGAATCAAGAAGTGTGTTAAGTTGCGACATTGTGAATCAACTCAAACTGAACTTGTTATTGTCGGAACTGTGATTGCTGTCGGCGTTGTCACAGGCGGTGCGGCGATGTTTCATCATTACGAATCTTGGGATTATTTTAATTGTGTTTATTATTGTTTTATAACATTAACAACGATTGGTAAAAACTCGCCTTCTTTGTCCCCTCTGGGAACCGAATATGAATGAGGAAATTGAATTTTTCTATTAGGTTTTGGTGATTTTGTTGCTTTGCAAACAAATGAAGCGTTAAATACGAATGTATTCTATGTTGTCTTGTCAATGACATTTATTCTATTTGGTTTAACTGTCGTTGCATCATCGATGAATCTCTTGGTTCTCAGATTCTTAACAATGAACACTGAAGACGAACGTCGTGAAGAAATTCAATCAGCAGTGGCACGAAATTCCCTTCATTTTGATAGCGATTTAATTAGTCCAAATGGTCTGAGTCAAGCCAAACAAGTCTCATTTTCGTTTCTCATCTTGTACTTGTTTTTTAGGTACTCTCATTCCATACCCGTCTCCTGAACATCTCGAGTACTTATCAACTGAACTCACACCAGCCGAATCTGAACCATGTCACTGTTTTGCGTGCTTCAAACGGAAAAAGAAAGAACGGAAAAAATACACAGTGCGTCGTATGCCTGGAAAAGTGACACATCTCGTCCCGATGCAACGTTTCGATTCAATGATCGTTCGACGAGCATTATCTATGGGTAAACCGTCCAACACTGATTATAATCTTCAAACGCCAACGAAATTTTCTCCAATAACAACGAACTTCACAGATAAAACATCTGTAAACAATTCTCCGGTAGCGCGTTGGCGATCGCCAGCCGTCACGTCGCATATACCTAAGTCTAACTCGCAAGGTCAAACAAGTCAAGTGAATAATACGATTGATACTAACAATGTTCTGTCTTCGACGAGATTACAAACGATGTTAACTCGTTTTCGTCAAGATCTCGAATCGACTCCGTATCGAACTGATCTGAAACGTTTATCTGTATAAAAATTTTCTCTTTACGAAAAAGGAAAATCACACGAAACAAGTCATTTTCGTTTTTTTTTCTAATCTCGTTCTGAGTTTGTTTATAAAATAGAAATTTGTCTTGGTTTTTTTTGTTCTGTCGCATCGCATTTCGTTTTTATTATTGTCATACAATGGGAACACACAAACAACATCTATTAAGTTCTAGTGACGAAACAACACAGAATGAATTATTTCATGTATACAAAATAAGAAATTATATTTCTTCTTCAAGTTACTCGACACAATGATAAAAACTTGATGATATGTAGAAAAATAAATGATTAACATCTAAGCATAATCTTCGTCATCGTCATCTTCATCGGAAAAATGATAACTCTTCTTCGTGGCACCGCCACGTTGAGCACGGATCTAAAGAAGAACGAAACGAGATGAGAAGAACTGGAAGCTAACAAGATGAACGTACTTTTTTCGCAGGAGTTGAGGTATTCGATAAAATCGGAACATCATCTTCGTCGCTGTCCTGAAAAGAAATATGAATGAAATGTTTCTGATTTGACAAGTAGGTAAAATAGACTTACATCTGGTTTTGGTCGTTTAACTGCTTTTTTTGGTTCTTTTTTAACGGTCTCTTTCTTTGGTGTTGATGCAGGTTCCTTTTTAGCCTTGAAAATGAAAAGAAACGAATGATTTTTTTTGTATCATTCAAATGTAGGTTTAATATACGCGAGGCTTTTTTGCTTTCGACTTTGACGAACCATCATCTTCATCGTCCATCTTTTTGGTTTTTTCTGGCACGCCGTTTGCTTCTGCCTTCTTAGCAGGCGCCTTTAAAAAAACACATGACATAAGAAAATTTCTTCAATTTCCATTTTCTCAATTCAATTTACCTTCGTTTTTGCCGGCGATGACTTAGTAGCTGAAAGAGAAAGACAAATGAACGGAAATTTGTTTTCCTTGCTAATCATTCAATTTACCTGATTTGGGTTTCCTTGGTTGTTTGGGTTTGTCGCTTGCTTTCTTCATTTTCTTTTCTGTTTCCGAATCACTACCCATATACTCTGATTCGGTTTCATCATCGACGTCCATACCACGAATAATACTTTCATCTTCTTCGTCGTCATTGTCGCCACCGCCATATTTGCTGACTTTTTCTTTCGCTGTACGTTGTGCATTGCGTTTTGGTGTGATTTCTTCTTTGACAACACCTGAATTATCATTACCATTAACGGACATCATCGATGCATTGCTGTTTTCATCGTGTTCGTCGATCGTGCCGTTTAATTTCTTTTCTTTACCTTCACCCGACTTCTTATCTAAATAGCGCCATTGAAAGACTATGAAAGATTGATCAGATATCTCAACAAACCTGTCGCGCCAGGAATCTTCTTCTTATCGCGACAACGCATTTGCATAATGCCAGCTATCTCTTCAGTAGTAACACCTTCTTTAACAAGAAATTCAATAATTGTCTTTTTATCTTCAATAGCCTTTTCTTCCTAAAAGACACAAACGAACTTCGGTTATCTACGTTAATTGTTATCAGGAAAACTCACTTTAGCACGCTTAGCAATTTCTTCGTTGACTCGCTTAATTAACGCCGGATCGACTACAGGTGTGATACGGCGACCGTGTGGTGCTGGTTTGGTTTCAGCACGTTGTGGTTTCGCTGTTAACCGCTTACGATCTTTAGCTCCGCCAGCTCCTTTTTTGGTAGTTGGATGAGCAACATCTGACATTTCATCCGCACGTTCTTTTTCAATCGTCTAAAATCACAAGATATGCTTTTTCCTATTCTCATCAACAGGTGGTTAATCACGTACTTTCTGATATTCAGCTTCAAAGTTTATCAGATCATCTTCATATAGATCTTCGGGTGATTTCTTTTGTAATGCTTCCAGTTTATCGCGTTTTTCTTTTTGTTCTTTGAGTAGTTCTTCTCGACGTTCTTTTGTAAGATTTCTTAATGACATGTTGATCAAATAATCGTAATAACTTGTATCAACACGACTCGTCGTTGATGAACTTGCTTTAGCCTTCTTTTTCTCAGTCGCACCATCATAATCTTCATCATCGTCATCCTCATCTTCTTGTTTCCTTTGCAGATCAGCTAACTGATCGCTATCTTCATGAACCGTATGTGTAGAAAGTTCAATTGCAAACTGAAATTCACGCAATTACCAACATCTTTTCTAGTTGAATAACTCACCTTCTTCTTCGCTTCTTCGCGCCAGACTCGTTCCGGATCACGGTCGTATTTTCTTTCTATAAGCATATCGATAACTGCACTAATCTTCTTGTTTTCAACGCTGATGACATTTTCAATTTTCTCCTTGATAAATCTAGCGATATTGTCCAATTTCGAAGACTGGGATTGCAATGTTCCAATCATAAATTCTTTTCGTTTCACGTACATTTTCAAGCGAACAGCAAAGAATTCTTCAACGATTTCTTCGGGGGTCTTATACCGGCGAAGTATACCGTTATGATCGAAGAGAACCATGTTAGTTAATTTGAATGTATCTTGTAAACGGAAACTCTTGTGTAAGCCAGCTTCGGTAAATTTCGCCAATTGATCATGAGTTAATTTAATAACAAAACGAACAGTTGTGTCCGTGTGATATTCTAATTTAACAGAGAAGCTTCGTTTTTGAAGAGATCAAAGACTAAAACGTACCTTTATAATCGAGGATTGATGGTTGAATGTCATTTCGTTTAGGATGAAGCATAACTTCGAGAACCGTTTCTTTGTAATTTTGCGTCCATGTTCCAACAGGTAGATCAGTTATTTCAATCGATGATTCATCAAGTTTGGCACAGACACCATTGATCACACCACGTGTACGATCGTTTTCTAATAATTGTATTTCACCAGTGAAATTCTTATACCATGGAATCAATTCCTTCAGAGTAATGACGTCGGGATATTTTCGTGATTCTGATGATGGATTATTCAACTGTCGTTGTCGTTCGCGTTCTTGTCGAATATAATATTTTAGATTATTACTCAATGTCATTGGATTGTACGACGGAATATCTGTTGAATAACCCGTACCAACACCATGTGCACCATTGACCAGAACAGTTGGAATGATCGGACAATACCATTCAGGTTCGATACTCATGCCATCTTCATTCAAATAGGTTAACAGAGGTTCGTCACTTTTGATGAATAACGATAAAGCAAGTGGACTAAACAAAAGGAAAAATTGCATTCGTGGAAAGGCAGACAACGTTGTCTTGGATTTACCTCAACCGAGTGAAAATGTAACGTGCTGAAGCAGCATCGCCACCACCATGTAATCGCGTGCCAAACTGACCAGCAGGCACAAGGAAATTGATGTTATTTGAGCCAACGAAATTTTGAGCGAGACCAACGATTGTATTTGTCAACGATTGTTCACCGTGATGATAGGCGGAATTTTCAGCGACTTTACCGCCTAATTGGGCGACCTTAATTTCTCGAACTAAATTCTTTGTAAAACAGACAAACATGATCTTCCGTTGACCTGGTTTGAGACCGTCCTAGAAGAAAACAGACGTACGTTTTCCCTTCAATATCAAACGTTCGTGGGTTACCATGATATTCGGAATAGCACGTTCAGTGCTTGATTTGGAGAAGAGAACAAGCTCTTTGTTAACAAAATCATTAAAATTAATTTGTTTTGTATCTTTTTTATATAAATAGTCAATCGGTAGATTTTGTTCTCGACGTTGATTAATGTCTTCCGTATGCCATTTAATCCAATCTTTTCGATCGTCACTCAACGCACTATTGAAAGCTAATTGTATAGCGAGATCATCTTTAGCAGATTCGTATTTGAATATAATCCGATGACGATCCATGTTTGAGAAGTACTCTTTTGCTTCCTTGGCTGTTGATGTACCCAAACCTTTGTAGTATTTACATTTCCATTTCTGCCAGTCCGGTGTCGCCGCTTGCCATTGTTCGAATTCTGGCATGGAATAAAATGAATACACTTCAGAACCTTTGGAAACCTGAAAATACAGAAAATGTCAGAACATAGAACAATGCCTTTAAACAATCATCCTACTTTAAGAATTGGAGTAATAAAAACTTCAACGTAATCATGTTTAAGTAGGTTCGGCCATTTATAGTGAATAAAATTGATGACTAAGCCTTTGATATGACTACCATCTTGATCTTGATCGGCCATAATCATCAATTTGCCATAACGTAGTTTGGATAGATCGCTCTTATTCGCATATTTTTCTCCATAGTTCAAGCCGAGGATTTTAACTAATTGTGAGATTTCGCTGTTTTCCGTCATTTTCTTCGTGGTTGCTTCTCGTACGTTCAGCAATTTACCTTTCAATGGATAAACACCGTACCGATCACGACCGATCACTCCGAGACCAGCGACGGCAAGTGCCTTAGCTGAATCTCCTTCGGTAACAATCAACGTGCAGTACATGGAATTTTTCGTTCCTGCATCATTTGCATCATCTAATTTCGGAATACCTTTCAGTTTCGACGTTTTCGAACCGCTTTGTTTATGTAATTTGGCATCCTGTTTATGTTCGAGCCAGTTGATGACTGACTCGACGATGCCAGTTTTCTTAATAACATCTTTGAAGAAATTTTCATCGCTTTTCAATGCGCAAGTCGAACCGAAGTTCTTCTTCTCAGTTGCCAATTGTTTCTTTGCTTGAGATTCGAATTCAGGATTTTCGATCAGACAGTTAACAAATAAAAACAGATGATTTTTTACTTGCATTGGTTTGAGATTCTCGCCAGCAGCTTTGCTCTTCTTTTTGATATGTTCCACAAGCTTCGGACAAATTTGTTCGGTGATGTAATCAACATGTTTTCCACCATCGGATGTCAAAATTGAGTTAACAAAACTAACTTGACTAAAGCCATGACTATAATCATTCTTAGCGACACCAACTTCCCATCGGTCATTCACTTTTTTATATACAACTTCTTTCTCTTCGGCATCGACATACATCAACATGTAATCTTTCATGTTTTTAACAGGAATACGAGTGCCGTTGAGTGTTACCTTACAACCAGTTGAGACGGCAACATCGTACGCGCGACGTTTGAAGAGAGCAACATGATCATCATCTAATACATCCATTTGAAATCGTTTCAAGTCAGGAATGAATGAAACACGAGTGAATTCCTTGGAACTTTCAGCTTTCGAGATAATCGCATCCTGAGGATCACGCATATTATTCATCCAAGTCTATCAATATAAACAATCTGACTACGCTGTCTCAAAGATTTAATGGAAAAACATACCTGTTTGAATAATTTCTTGAATTCTTTCGAGCAGGTTTCGACAGTAAATTTTTTACTGAAAATATTGGTTACTTTTGCACCATAACCATTCCGACCACCTAAACAGAAAAATTCAAGGGATTGAAAGAATCGCATTCAGTCGAAAAATCCATACCAGTAATACGCTTTTGATCATCATTGAAGTTATCGGATGTAAGAAGTTTGCCAAATATTAGAGTTGGAATGTAGATCGATTCGTCTTGAGCCCATTTACGGACAGGAATACCACGACCATCGTTGCAAATTTTGATTTCGCCTTTCTCTCTAGAAAGAAAAAAGTACATCATTTTCTCGATGAAGTCTTTCTCAATTCAATCTGAACTTACTGATTAATATCAACTTCAATGGATGTCATCGTTTTGTCACGCTGTTTATTATCCGCAGCATTAACTAAATAGTTTAGTTTTAGAATTCATCATTTTCATCGCAATGTAAATCGCTTCTACTTACCGAGAATTTCATCGAAAATCTTGTAAAGACCGGGTACATATGTAATTTCCTTTTTAACAATTTTTGGACCTTCTATGTTTGATTCATCCACAATCCACATTTCCTACAGAGAAAAAACAAGCGTGACGACGGTGATTAAAATTTGAAACTATTTTTACCTCTCGGCATGGTCGATTCGAACCGATGTACGTTTCCGGGCGTTTGAGGATATGATCGAGTTGTTCAAGAAGTTGATACGTTTCTTCATTTTTATTCGGTGCGTCACTTATGGACTTGTTCATTGTGGATACCGTAACAAAAGCAACGGTAAACGAAATATTAACGGAGTTTCAAAACAATTTGAATAAAAACACGAATGTTTGACCGGATACCAATGATCTGACACAATTGGAATGAATGTCACCGTTCTTTTTCAGACAATTATTCGTAGTTTTTGCTTCGTTTTTGTTTGAAAGGTTCTTTGTGTTCAGTCTTTCTCTCTATTGTATTCTTTGTCTAACGAGAATCAACCATTAAAATATGCGCGTTTACTCTCCACTCGATTTGACATAGATGTCGCCTGTACATGTTCACTAAGCACTTCTCTCTGTGAAAAGCGAAGATGAGCGTGCGAGAGTAATCTTCTTATTAATAAATTTTACACTGTGTTGTAAAACTAAACATATCTTGGCACTTCCTTTTGACTGAAGGGAAAGTAGCGTTTAACGACGAATGTGTTTGTGGAAAGATGCGTGAAACCGACAATTAACTAGAACGATTCGCCGAGTGTCAAGCGTATTTTGTCGAACAATTATGTGTTTGTTCACATTTTGGCTAAGAAAAACCATTAATAATCAGTCTAAAACGTTTACATTCTTTTTCCTTTATGACAGAACGTTGTTTATCTTGGTAAGTAAAGATAAAACTGACGTTAACTCCTTAATATAAGAGAAAACCTAGTTCAACTTTCTTCTAATGCTTGTCTAAAGTTATTTGACACTATTCTTCAGCTGACAACAGCATATGTTTATCAGACGTGAACTTCAGTCGCTTTCAATGATTAAACCTTCTCGACTATGGCGGGATTTCATACCCCCGAAACAATCATGATTTTCATCAACAATAGCCCAGTTTTCTTATTTCATAGGTTCTATATTATTATAACATCAACTTTGGCCATAAATCAACATTTTTCTTTTCTTTGTTTTGCTTAGCAGCGGTTACTTATCTATGAATTGTAAAAACACGCGTTTGTTTCAATGGTTCGTTTGGATTTTGATGAATGTTTCTCGTCTTCTATTTGGTGCCAATATAAATTTCAATAATCAGTTATTTCAGGCATTCGTTTTCAAATAGTAAATAATCAACAGATCTTATTTGCATATATTAGGTCGAGGAAAGACATCTCAATTTTTTTTTTGATAAGACAACAAATAGTTCAAGGACTTTTGTGTAAGTGAATATCAGATGTCTTTTTTACAGAAAACTTTCACAACGTGTAGCGTTACAAAGCAAAATTACCTTCGTATAATCTTCGATTTTCTTCCGTTTTATAACGTATGAACTCATTAGTTCGATCGTGCATGGCTTAATTTGTGTGAGCGTTTAGTATGTGTGTGTGTCCGTATTCTTAGTCTGTAAGGTCGACTGTCAAACCATCATTATCATCATTCTGATAGAGAGAAAAAAATGGACGTAATGCTCTTATCTTTGAAATACTGAGTAAAAAAGATGAAAGAGAAGAACAAAATCATTAATTTTTGAGAATATCTGCAGGAGTATGAAGTGAGCAGCATTGTATTTAACCGAATGAAATCATCGACTTTCAACATGCATGAATCGAAATAAGTTCGACAGCACTACCAATGACACGTCATTGTCATTTATCGTGTTCTTTCATTCTTTTTTTTATGCATACACGTGTGTGCATATGCACATACATACTATTTTTGTTCGGGGCTTTTTTCTCATTCATTTCTCTATTTCGACTCAATCACAAACATTCAGTCGTTCCTGGTTATTACGCATTTTTTTACAGTAGGAAATGATAAAAAACAACATCCCTCTATTTTGCTTGTTCTCTCCGGGATTTTTTTATTATAAAAAATCCTCTTCAGAATATATACCTTAGTAGTAAGGCTCTTATCTTGCAGAGAAAAAAAATGACCTTTCAGATTTGATTTCAAAAGGAATTTGAAGAAGGTGATGCTGTTATTCATCTCCTTTCTTTCTTTGTGACTCACAGTTTGTCTCATCGATCATCAAGGCGCTTACTAATATGTCTTCATTGATGTAGGTAAGCTGTTCTATATCGAACTACACGTCGAGTAAATATAATCTTCAAGGTTAATGAACGAAATGTCCCTCTCATTGCTTTACTTATTGAAAAGAAAGTTTGTACATCCCTTGTTCTTTCCTCTTCTTTCCTTCTTTTATTTCGTTTCGACTTACCCTTCGTGTGTTTTTCTTTGACCGTGAACTGACCCGTCCTTGTTAGTTTTAATCCTAATGCGAGTTCTTTCTCTTTTTCTTCTTCAAGATGATTACAATTATGCGAACTGCGAACATTTGATCGTCGACAAGAAATAGATCATGCAAACGCCTCTTCATTCCGAAAATCATCGATACAAAACAGTACAATACATTCGAAACGACGACGACGACGATGATGATGATGAAAAACAATACTTGAGAAATCAATCAACTAGTAATAAGACCCGTTCGATGTCTTCCGGTTTAAGAAATTCTATACGTCAGCTGACGTCATGTGCTTCAGCAAGGTATGTAAAATGTCAAAAATGATTTCGTTGCGTTTATTTTTTTTCTCTCTCTTCTTTCTTGTTTAACATATCCAAAAGAAACGAGACAGCCTTGAATTAATTATATGTAACATTAACGTTCAATGTTGCTAGACATACAACATATTTTCTATAAGTTCTCGAACGAGATGACAGGAGGTGTGTCTAGATTGATCTCTTTATGAATATTTGCCATCGACAAGTAAATCGTTTGATTTCAACTAGATTTATGACTATTCTGCGTGCGAGTCAGAAAGACATTGTGATTTATTTTTCTGCCATTAACTATGATCTCTGTCGACAAATATTTACCATGCTCATGTGAATAATATAATAACGTCAGAAAAGGCAATGATACTGCTAGTTTTTCTCGACGTTTCAGAGAAAAGAAAATTGGCATAGCGGGGGGAAAAACTAAAATGGACGAACAGTAAGTGTCTCGAACCATGCTCTATTCGTTATATAAATGAACCATATCTGATCATAGTTTAAGTTTAATACATACCCTAGTCGCAGCAGTAGTAGTAGTAGAGGTCATTTCATATGGTGCATAGTGTAGGTTTTTATATGTCGAAGGTATCGAGTAATTCTTCGATAATTGGCAAAATAATTCTTTTGATTATAGTGAGGTTTGTATCTTTCTTTTCATTCGTTTATGTATATATATTCTGAACGAAATGTCAAGTTCAGCGTTGATTCTTTTTCTTCTTTCTCCTCTGTCCCCATCGGGCGACAATAATAGCATTATTGTACAGGTGGACGGTGGTACCTCCTTGAATTATCATCGACATAGGAGAAAAGAGAACTAACGAAAAAATTTCATTTGAATAAGGAGAGAAACGGTAAGAGAAAGCACACATACTTATATGTATTGACCTACTGTCGTCGTGCTTTCTCTTCGCATATTTTTTTGTGTTTGAAACAAAAAAAAAATTTTGAGAGGAGAACGTTGTCGGTCAAAGGTATTCTAAGAAGAGTGATAGAAAAGTAAGCGAGAAGAGAAAGTGGCATTGGTATTGGTGCAAACATCTATACTCATTCACACGTACACGTATTCTAACAGTCCTCAATTTTCTTCGTCATCGCAGTGCATTTTTATATATCAACCCCCGCTCTAACAACAATTAGTTTGAATCATCTTTTATATATATATATATAATGACGATAAGTCATCACACACGAAACATACAGGAAGACGAACATTTACGATCGATTATATTTTCTCAATATTACAAAAAAGCAACGACGAGTGTATGACAACAAGTTTTCTTCTTCTTCTATTCTAACAAATATCTTAAGCGACGATGTTGAATTCATTCCGCCGAAGGTACGTGTTTCGAAGTTGATTTGATTTCTTCTTGTCTATTTGTATTTCAATGCTGATTAAGTATTGATCTTGGCGAGGGACAGATGTTGTTATTCAGGTGCGATAACGAGTTCACATTCGATTCTTCATGTTTTAACATCTGTTGTTCGATTCCCTCTTTTTTTTTATACTCTTATTCACCATTCTTTACATCCAACTTGTGAATAGAAAGGGATGGAGAGGAGAAAAGTGATTTTTAATTTCACATCGATCGTATCTTGGCATATACGAAGGATGTGTGTGTGTGCGTGAATGTGTAGGAGTATCTACAGTAATTCTAGACGAACATTTCTTTTACTGAAGACGAAGAACAATAATAATATTAATGATAATATTGACGAGATTGTGACGTGTCGACTACATCTACTTGGTATTTTTCTTATTTCCTGATCAACATTCATCATCATCATCTTCTTCAGCCTTTAAACCAAAAACACCCCTACACATGCAATTTCTCTCGTCTTTCAACATCAGGTATACAACAATGTTGATGATCATTACCGTCATCAACAAAACAAACAATAGTGAAAGTGTTAGAAATAAGTAATATTACCTTCATTGTTGTCGATGACTATTAGAAGGTTTCTGTCTCGTGCTATTTAACATACACTTGAGACATAATACAGAATAGATTAGTTCTACTTGAGAACTTTGTTGAATTTATACAACATTCGTTCGATTGGATTTTCTCTTCGAAAGATCATAATTGATATTGACACTCAATCAAATAAAGAAGATCAACATCGTAGATCTCCAATTCGTGTTAAGCCGCACAGTGTTTCGAGTCATTTACTTTTTCTGAGTATAACAAAAGAAAATGACATTAGGGTCAATCCTGTTAAAAGTTCAATTCATATTTTCACTCTATGTACAGAAAAAATGTGACATTTAACGATTTGCGATGATCTATTCAATTATCAAAAGCAAACATGACTAATGAAATCGAGAATTGTTATTCTTTTGCATGATAAACTCATGTTTTTCTTTCTACTTCTAATTTAGACGCAAGCCCGGTCGGAATTCCAATCATGTCAAATCCATCAATGATTCGAATCTTACGTACAAAGATGAACAACGAAACGCATCAGCAAAATCCTCATCAACTTGTAAACAACCCAATCGTCCCGCACTTTTATCCATCCAATCGCCTAGTCATGACATTCCACCAGCTCTACCACCACGGAAACCATTGGATAAAAAGAACAGTGCTCAAACATCATCAGCAATATTAAATTCAACTGCATTCAATCAATCTTCGACACAATTAACAGCGAACAATGTCGACGAAACCTCTCCAACAACAACTTCTTCATCATCAATCCTACATCCGCGTGTTTTACCTAGTAAAGAGGTGAGAAAACGAATATGTAGCATGCAATCGTTAGATGATTATCTACCCATGTTACTATATATATATACGGTGAAGTCTCTCTTTTTCTATTTATTCGAAAGTGTTCGATAGACACATCGAATATACGTACATATTGAGACAGATAAACATACGTTCTTTCTTGACGATATTGTGTGACTGACTCAAGTGTTATTTGAACAGTTTCATGATCGATTTGTGTAGTACACGGCGCATCAGATCAAGCATATCGTTATTTTTCGTTTTCTCTTCGCTCCCTCTTTCTCTCTCTCCTACTTGTGTGCATGTATAGACATACAGATAGTATAGAGCCTATTACTTTCTAATCTCACTTGCGTGTCAAATTGAATTCATTCGAGAAAGAAAAAAGGAGAAAGAGAGATGAGTTTTGTTGTGTCCCAACTAGTCAAACCAACACTTTATCTGGCTCAAACGGTAGGTTTTTTATCTTTGAAGATCAGGTTTTTCTCTTTTTTATCTATATAAACATATATCCAAAATAACAACCTTTATTGATTCTATTTAGATTAGTACTAGCTTGGTAAATTTAATGGGTACAGCATCGGATTCAATCGGTGTTAATAATTCCACACAATCGACTAAACAAGAACCTCGAGTATGTCGAGATTTCCTTTTTGTTTCTTTTCTCCCTTCTCACTTCATTATTAATCCAAAATGAAATGTAAACAATCCGAACAATATCAACAACAAAAGCTTCTTTTCTCTCTAGCTACGTAAACATAGCGTCTTCAGCTTCTTACAGGTATGCCATTCTCATGTACCCTCATTGATATCTAACTCCTGCTTTGTCATCTAATACCATTGATGTTAACCTAATTGGTTTTTTCCCTTTCCTAAAACAATTACGACCATTACATCATCATCATTTGCTGCCATTTTTTTTTTTCATTTGACTCCATGAATGTTCCGTATTTGTCAGCTTTCACTCAGATGCTGCCATAGATGATTGCGCGATCGAGTCAAATGGCTGGCAACGAGATGTTACTCATGTCGGAATTCTATTCATTTTCTTTTCCTTTCATCTTTTGTCTTTTGGCTTGTATGACTGACTTGGTTATATCTGTTTTTATTGACGTTACTGTCATATAAACGGGAACAGGAAGTAGGAAAAAAGAACCGAACAAAACAAGAAAAAGCTCGCGATGATGATGCTGATGAACAAAAACACGCGACGAGAAAGATAGAAATATGCTTGTATTAGATGAAGAAGAAAAAAAAAGAAGAGACGAGCAGATAGATATTTTTCCGTCATCCGACAAGCGATATACACCAGTAGAACGCTCGCTCGTACCGCCCATCGCTCTCTCTCTCTCTCTCTCTCTCTACTATTCGGCATCGAGAAAGGGAAAGAGAGAAGAAATTTTTCTTCGCTTTTGTCTCTTGACTGTCGTCGATAGTTGTTTGTTATTGTGCCGAAAGAAATAATAAAAATAATAACAAACTTATTGCATCTAACTTGATCTTCGTCCGAAGAGATATATTTTCTTCTCATTCACAAGATATCTTATCTTCTTAAAACTTAATCGTCGTCATGCGTCGACGCGAGCGAGCAGTCACCACTGAACTTCGTCTAAACATGGATTCAGATGAGAAATTATCATCCATGTCACCGATATTTACTCATCGGATGATCAATTTATCACCGTTATTGAATATTCGTAGTAACAATTACTTCGTACGTGCTTGCCTTGACTAAAACACTAAACGTCGACATACAGATATATATATTTACCCCAAATACACCGACTAATTCTTTCTTTTCTTTTTCTTTCTAGCGTATTTCGACGGCACCTTCAACAACAGTCGATCGATTAGTAAGTCAATCATATCCAATGATTACGTCAACATTCTTCAATCATTTCGTTTCCTAGGGCTTGTTCGATCCACTATCCAATATCAGTACAAATGGTATGGTTGAATCACCTTCATCACATCGAACAGTCTTCAATGGAAGTGCTATGTCGATTCCCTATACGAAATCAATCAATGATTTCACTTGGTGTTATGAAAGTTCTAACTTGAATTCGATTTCCACGCGAACAAGTGTTGATGAATGTTTACCACAATTAGAAATTGATGATAAACCGTTAATCTATCGACAGCAATTCGAATCAACTGTATGTAAACAATCGTTTTCTACTTATGATGATAAATTCCTTTTTACTAGGAACATTTTAATTGGTATGGCACGAGTGAAAGTCAAGGACACGTTATTATTTCATATAAACATTCTATTGATCAGAATAAACAACGATCTGTAATGTCAATTGTTAGGTAGTTGTTAACATCTTCGAACTTTTCCAGTCCGAACTCATTTGTCGATTGTTTTCAGAACGCGACAACGGACTCTGATTGAATCGCTTACTGATATTCCATCATCAATGGCTCCAAGTGATATTTTACATCGTATATGTGAACAATGTGCTATCAATGATGTCGAATATTTCGATCCGGTGCTATGCGATGGAGTAAATATGAAAATAGATTGAATTTCTAGTTCGCACTCTTTCCTCGTTTCTTTTGTAGGCACATGATTTATTATTAAAATATGATGAATCACATGTATCGAATCAGCATAAATTTGGAATCATCTATCAACGTGAAAATCAATTGAGTGAAGAAGATATCTTCAGTAATGAAACGCACAGTGTAGCCATGGATAAATTCCTAAATTTAATTGGAACACGCGTGAAACTAAAAGATTTCCGAGGGTAAATTCAATCGAGCAATCCAATTAATTATTTATCATCGAGCTTTTCTTCTAGATTTCGTGGTGGTTTAGATGTTAAGTGTGATCAGACAGGAGTGGAGTCGGTCTACGAACAATTTCATAATCATGAAATTATGTTTCATGTTAGCACATTGCTACCACATTCGAAAAGCGAGCGACAGCAACTAGAACGAAAGCGTCATATTGGCAATGATATCGTTGCCATTGTCTTTCAAGAAACCGAAACATTATTCAATCCCGAATGCATCGCATCGCAATTTCTCCATGTTTATCTCGTTGTTACGCCATTAGACTCAACAGGTAATGAATTCAAAGTTTCAGTTATTCATCGGGATAGTGTCCCACCCTTCGGACCGAACTCGAATCTTTCCACATCGTTCCACTGCGACCAAATCTTCAAGCAATGGATATTAACGAAATTAATCAATGCTGAAATGGCGTCGTGTCGTGCCAGTACACTTCATAAATATCAAGTAAAACTAATTCGATATAACTTCTTCTAAATATACAGTTTTGCTTTCATAGGAACGAACAAAGATGACTCTATTCGAGAATTTATATCGTACATTACATGATAACAATCGGCCATTGATGAACTTTGTCTTGCTACATAGTCAATACAAACATGAATGTGAACTTGAACAACAGCAACATCAACGTGAAGAAACACAAAATAATACTTTGAAAACACCAGATCGGCATGGTGATAGTTCACTGCTCGGTTCCGTTCGACGTCGATTCATTGCGCCAAAATTACGTGTGCAAAATCCAGCATCATCTCCTGCAACAACAATCATCGTTACTACACCACCTTCGAACGATGCACGAACGAAAACACGTTCGATGACGATGGATTTGCGACGAAGTGCATCACGAGAGTCAATCATAACGAACGGTCATGGGACAAGTAATGGAAATGGTAGTGGAAAAATGGCTTTGTTCTTTTCGTCATCAAAAGTAATCGATCTTCTGCCTTTCAATTGCGATTAGTAAATATGTATTCAACCGTTTTGTAGAACAACAGTCCACGAATTGATAAATCAATGACCAATCGATCTCTAGCTGATCCAGAAAATCTCGATTCATCGTCCAGGTACGGTTCTGTCTCTTCTGTACATGACATTTTCCATGTGATCTTGAATTTAGTTCACGTTTTAACAGCAAGTTGTTATCACCAGCAACTTGTCCATCTTCTCCATGGACACCTGGACCTTCGAATGGTTTTCTATCATCTCCAACAACTGAATTAAGCCCTAACGCTGATTCTTCCTCTCAATCGACATCGATGTTAAACACATCATTCAGTTTCAATCATAAATTTTCATCGGAAGATACTGATAATGATAATCACGTGCAATTAATACCTGAAGATCTACAATCATCATCGAAAGAGGGTAAGATCAACGCCGTTTACTTGATATCCATAGCATCTTCCGATTTTTCATTAGAATTAATCAAATGCGTTCTTGCTTTGCAACAACAACATTCGAATAGAATCGCTCAAATGGATCAAATTCATTCGAATGCTCTACGACGCTTAGAACTGCAATTAATGCAACAACAAAATACTATCGATCGAGATAGTCCATAAATGATAATGTTCATCTATGTGTGAATGCTTTCTTTACAAATTTGTTCTTTTCATTCCGTCCCCCGTCACTAATCCTGAAATTCAATAATTTCCCAATTCTTCTCTCTCCAACATAATTACACTGTAGAAGACTCTTCTCTTACGTTATACATATGTAAAATTGCGACCTGTACAGTGTGAATTTGTTCACTTTTTATTCGTTCTTTCTAGCTGTTCAAATGAATACTCAGTTAATCTTTGTATCAGTGTATTTTTCTTTTTCTTTCATCATACTTGTTGTTCTGTTCGAATGATTCAACATAAATAGAAAGAAAGATTTCAAGTTAAGTTTTCTCAAACATAAAACCTCCTTTCTTTTTTCGCCATCGTTTCGCACGCTTGTTAACGGGATGAACAATAATAGTAAAAAAGAAGGTAATGACAGTGTTTCCTCGGAGAGCTCACCGTGTATATAAATGAGACTGGCATGTATGTCATCTGACATTCTGACAAGATTTAACAATCGTCGAATAGAAGTGGATGATGACGATCTTTCAATAGAATAATAAAAATGCAAATCCAAAGGAAGTTTTCTCCTTGGAATTGATTCATTATCTACGTCATTCATCCAATTTGAGAGTATCCGTCGACATCGAAATACTCGTCTCGATTTAGAAGTGTCAACTCGAGAGATTCGTACGATTCTAATTTTAATGATGGCAAGTGACATGAAAAAGTCTTTTTCTACATATTTATCGAAGTTTGCCTATAAAAATAGACTTAATTACTTTTGCCTGAACTCACATGTAAAAGATTGCGAGTCTATATTAGTTAGAAATGACATCCTCAAAGCAGATGATGACTGAGCATATTTTTGTTTAATATTATTAATCAAATCATGTCGACTTTTGTTTCTTCTTGTATTTTTTTCTCTCTCTGCTGTTTTTTTTTGTAACAACAACATCACCATCACAATCAACAAGAACAGAAGACTAATGTTTTAGAAACACAACAAATAAAGACAAAAGTAATAGTAGTAACAGTAGAAGAAGAAGAAGAAGAAGAAAGAGACAAAGATAGTTAATGAATAATCATAAAAATCGTTCGATTAACAGTGACGAAGAAAGAAAGAGAGAAAAAAAACATGGGTGAATCGAATATTATGTCGTTCTCTAGGCTTTTTTTTTATTCATTGTATTTCTCTTTATGATTAAGTAAATATTCGGCAAGAAAACTAATTGGTTTAGCAGGTCGTTCTTTAGCAAGTTGTGACATTGCTTGAAGAAGAATAGGAACAACAGTTTGATCCAGATAGGCCCGTGTTGGTAATGTTGATAAGTCGGGTTTCGTCTTTTCACCTGTTTGTTGTTGCTGCGCATTGTTGGCATTATCCTTACTTGTATCCGCTTGTTTTTCATTCGATTGTTGTTCACCTGAATCAGTTGCTGGTTGAGCTTCCATTTGTTCCGATGACGCTGGTGCGGATTTCTCAGTCGATTCACCACTGGTTGGCGCTGGATTGTCACCTGTAGCGTCCGACATGTTTATATTTCGTAGTTATAAATGCGCGTAGGAAAGAAATCTAAAAAATAACGTGGCGCGAAAACAAGTTGCTTTTTTCTTACAGTAAAAATGAAATCATATATCTGTTGCAAAAAGAAACAGATTCGATCATGAGTATTTTATATGTATAAGCGATAATGAACAACAGAAGAGATGTGTATAGAATTAGAATTGAACTAAAACAATATCAATGTAATTGCATACAGAACAAATATGCCATGTTGTTCTTGTTCATTTATTTCTCAGTTATTCACCGTATTTTTCCTTATTTTGTTGTAAATATAAAGCCAATTGTTCGATTGGTTTCGCTGGACGTTCACGAGCTATTTGTGACATACCTTGGAGAAGTATAGGAACAACTGTTTGATCAAGATAAGCACGTGTGGGCAAGGTTGAAACATCTGGCTTCTGTTTCATTGAGTTCGAGTCTTCTTTAGTCGATGTTTCATCGTTAGCCTTGTTTACTACCGGTTCAGTTTGTTGTTGGTCCATAGCTTCATTTGATGGTGCTTTGTCTATGGCATCTGATTGATTTTCAACACGTGTATCCGACATTCGTCACGAATTCGTTCGATTATATCTGAATAGAATATGAAAACGTATTGTTTTTTCGACGAATATCAGTGGAATATTTTATGAAAAACAACAACAAAAACGTGTCGAATAGTTATGTCTTTCTTTGAATCGCCATTGTTATCCGACCATGAGAATGAGAACATTTAGATCAGATAGAGGCTATTAGAAGGTTGTGGCGAGTTTTTCTAGTCAAAAAAAATTTCCTCGTAACCATGATATATTTTAATAAACATGACATCATAATTGGAAATTTGTTTTGTATAATTGACCACCAGGAAAAAGATTTGAAGATTCGATAGATGGCGTTAGTTGATTACCATTCATTTCTTCCTATTTTTTTTAAACTCAAATTCGTATCCCCTGAGTATTTATTGCTATCTGATAAACTACAGCTACGTGAAAAACATATATCTGGTAAATGAGTACCATTAGTTCTACAGAAATAGAATAGCATGCTTATGCGGAATGTTTCAAGATAATGGAAGATCTTCGTATTTCGGCGGCGAATCAGCATAATATATCATTTGATCTAAAGCAAAGTAACATGAGAGAAATAATCTTGTTAATTAGATAACTTGTTCTTACTCATAGGTTGAGCGTACATAACTACTTCTTTCGCAACATCATTCTCAGCAATTATCATTCGCTCAAGCATTCGTCTTTGATTTGATAGAAGAATGATATGAGTAACAAAACATACAGCACCGATAGCTAATTGAATTATATTCAATGTGCGACTTAAGTCATACAAGTTCGTTTCCTTGACACATAGAATATTCAATTCGGACTCATGTTCTGCTCGGCAGAGCGGTCGAATATCTTGACTGTCTATGATCAGCGCGCTTATAGCTACGATGATCAGACCTGGTGCCAAGAGAAGATCGACAATAAATGACCAAATTTGAGCATGAAGATAATATTTATACGACGTCTCATGATATCCAGCTGCAATCGATGCTAAGCCCGCAATCATCAGAAAAAATCCGGCAATAAGACCTGCATTGAATGGCGAGAAATTCTCCAGATGATCCAATGAAATGTAATGTGTAAGAAACGCACAAGCACCACAAATGAATGAAAGCCATCCCAAACGAAAAACGGTTTTATTGATTTTCATATTCACATCTGCTCCTTCGCCTTGGATTATTACAGTTGGAGAAGAAGGAATTCTCGTAGTCTCCATCTGAAATATTCAATAATCTTATAGAAAAAAATATCATCGAGTGATTAGACTTTTCTTTTTATCAATAATATTAACAAAGAGTACGAAGAAGAATAATGATCGCGGCACATGCACACATATCAACAAGAAGGCATAGAGACATTTACAGACAAAACGCTAATGAAAAGAAAAAGACATCGAGTTTGAATAATAAGTAGATAAAGATTAGGAAAATAAGAGATATCTCGGAATTTTCATCGTTAAAATCAATTGATTTGAGAAAGTGAGTTCATTGGTTGATCAGAACGATGCCGTACAAAATCTGTCTAAAGTATTGCATTGTATGTGAAACAAAACGAGCAAAGCGAAGCCTGTATTAACATTATTTCGATCCGGGTTGATTGCGTAGAGAAAGTCTAAACGAAATTGAAAATGTTTTCAGCATTGTAGAAGTAACATACTGATCAATCATGTGTCTTTACCTTTTACCATCATTGCCCAACGCCTGGATCGATGCAGAAGTTGCGGCGACAACAGCCGTTGCTACCGCTGTCGTATTGACTAGTGTGCCAACTAACGGTTGAGATTTACTCAGAGTATTAGCAGCAGGATTATCAACTTTATGAGCAGAATCATCCGAATCATATTCGTCATCGCTGCTACTTTCCGACGTTCGGAAATAATTATCTTTGACAAAATGGAATATTCCACTAAATAAAGAAATTGCATGTTAATCAGCTCGGTTGGTCTGAGAACTAGGAAGTTCTCTTACGGTTTCTTCGGCACTGGATTGGGCGCATTTTGCATGAGACTCCGATAGACTTCGGATTGGATAAAACGTGGATAGCTGTTTTTCTTGATTAATTCAATGATATGTTTTTCAGCTTCGAAAAAGATTTCACTACAAGTATATTCCGAGATGCATCGATTAACAAAAGACATGCTACGCTATTTACCGAGTTGGATTATCTAATTGTTTGATGATTTTTGTTCGTATCGTATCGTTGATATTAACTTCTTGAGGAGCATTCGGTGCCAAATGTTCTCTAGAAAGGAACAAGATGATACACATTTCATTCCAATGTATAACTCTTCACTTACCGATAGACGAGCTCGGCTTTTTGTTTTATTTGAGATAATGGGCAATTTCGTAGTGCTTGAACATGAAGATAGAAATTTAAGCTTTCCGTGGAAAAATCAGCTTGACAAAATTTCATAAATTCACGAACACCCGTCGGATCGGATAGAAGCTCTTTACAACCGAATGACCATCGACGAACACGAAGCTGAGTAGGATTATCAACTCTACAAAAACCACACGTCAAAATACCAACAAATGAATCAGACAAAATGAATTATTTACAAAGGTTGTGTCAGATCCCATCGAGTTATATCCGATGTAAGCCAAGGATTTGAAGGTAGACAATGGCCCAGGAATGGGTCATAATAACTGAGTAATTCAGAATACGCACATAAACTGAAAAGATAGAAATGAAAGTCAATGGATCCGATTGAAACAGAAATTCTAATCACACAAAGCAATTAGGTAGGTCACATCGAGGAAAAACAGTGATGAAAAAGGCAACATCGATCGATGGGCAGGTTTATGCATAGATATAAACAATGAGAAAAAAACCTTTGATGCGTTTGCGAAGACTTTGTGCGAACTCGGTTGGTCAACGCCTGTTTGAGATATTCTAGCTGAAAAATAGCATGTCAGTTAGATAAACACTTCTCGTATTATGATTGATGTAATGGAGAAATGTAATCATTTAACTTACACGACGTTTCAGGACTTCATCACGTTTCATCGGGCGATGCGTGTATAAATCATTTCGTATATCCATTTCGAGAACGGATGCTTCATCAGGCTAGAAAAACACAATATTCAACTTGCATGATTAATTCAATAGACTCACCGATGGACGCATCACACGCCAGAACGCTCGTTCTTGACTGTCGATAATCGTTTTATCGGTCTTCTTACGATCTTTCAAAACACTACACGAAGCAGCAAGTGCATTTCAAGAAAAAAAATCACTCCCTATTGATCTTCTTACCGAAATTGAGCTTCAGCTTGCATGGTTACAAAATCCCACTGGTGAATCAATCGTTTCTTCAGATCGTCTAACGCATGCTAAACAGAATAAGAAGAAGATTAGATTTCCAAATCAAATCAACAACAAACCATTTCGTGCTCTTCAAGACCATGTCGTTGACGATTTCGCAACGTTCGTTTCAATAAGTAAATCGCTAAAAGCAACAGAGAATGCGTGACTATATAACCTCGATCATTCTTTCCAACGAACCGTATTCAATATTTCCTGTTGTCCAATTAGTCGAAACCCAATAATAAGGTGCCTGAAAGCGAAATAATTCATTATCATCTTTTATTTGCACGGCCCCGTTTGTTGTTATATGAAAAAAGTATCCATAATAACACAATAATGACGCCAAATGAAGTGCTTCAGCTAAAAAGGCAAATATTATTTAGTTTCCTCCATATGAGAGAGTTGACTTACCGGAATCTTTGACATTTAATTTTTCCATAATCCATTCAGTTACGTCAGCGCCAGTAAAAGCGTTCGGTACTGTTGTCAGAAATAACTTTTGACTACGTACGGGTACTCCTGCTGTCGGATGTTGCATGGCTTTAACGATTCGTTCCATTCGTTGGAATTGAAGTGAACGCGGCAGACCTTTTCGTTGTACATTATTCGTCACTTCCATGACATGAATTTTATACTGAAACAAAATGAATAAATATTTAGAAAAAAAAACGACTCGAGAAGAGCTTCTCGGTACGGATGTACAGGGATCTCGAGATTATTTTCTTTAATTTCACAGCGAATAAAAAAAAAACAAACGCTCTGTCATATACAACATGCAACGCAGTATTAAATGTCAGAAACGAGAAGAAAGAAAATCAATCAGAAGACAAAGGACAATTTGTTGTCTTATGCGACGAGTAATAAATAAAAAGGAAGCAAAAAAACCAAGCTAACCAGATAACGAATACATGAAACAGTAGGATATATATATGTATGAATTATCTGACAGAAAACAAGAAGAAAAGCATGATCTTTATTCCACATAATAGCGTCGTGGTTCTTTATTCTTCGATGTATATATATTTTTTCATAAAACAGAACAGCACGTTTCGAGAAGCAAATAAGAAGAGAAAATATTTGTTCACCATTATTAAAGCATATTTGTAAATTATACACTGATGTTTTATCTCAAATGCTCACAAGGAAAACATGAAAAAAAGTTAATTAGAAATAAACATACACAAAGATAAACAACAATAATATATGTGCATGTATATATATATAATAGAAAAATAGCGATAGAAAGCGTAGCAAAAGAAAAGCTTTTTTTGTATCCTGTGTTTGGTATCGGTTGAAATGTGATTTATTTTCTTATCGTTTTCTGACGATCGACTAAAGCAGTGAGAATTTCTTGTTTGGCCTTCTCGATATCCTTTCGTATTTCAGTCAGGATATCAATTTTTAACTTTTCCAAATCGTTAGCGGTGATGTGTGGACCTGTCTGCGAGTCGCTCATTTTGCGATTGATGCGTGGCGAAGTTTGTAATGGTGCAACTGGTGTTGGAGGTAGAGTCGAAGTAGGTACTGTTTTCGAAGATGCTTTGACTGAATTGGTTACGTTGGATGAATCTGCTTTCTCTCCTTCATCGACCTGTTTACGTCGTTGAGCAAATTTGGCTGCCATCTCAGACATCAGATCCATCGGTGGTGCCGTGGTGCTCGACTTGCGTGGTGTATTAGTGCCATTACTTCCGTTTGGAGCTGGAAGGACAAGTGAAGGTGCAGAAGGTTGACCAGCTCCCAAGTTACTTGGCATTGGAGGAGGCGGAGGAGGAGCGGCTGGTGGGGGTAGTGGTGGAGCAGGTGGTGGTACACCGCCGGTAGACATGGAAAGATTTAGAGGTGGAGCTTGTGGAATATTGTTGTTTTTATTGTTTAAATTATCACCGTAGGATGAAAGCGAATCGGAAATGAGTGCGTAATTTGCTTCTTCGTCTTCAGGTGGTTGTTGATGTTGGGTATGGTACGTAGTGTGGTGGTGGTTGTTGTTATTATTATTGGGGCCCGTTAATGTCGAATTTGTTGAGCTCAAGCTCGGACGCAACTGGTTATTGTAAGACGATGACGAGTGTAACTGTTGCTGCTGCTGTGGATGTTGTTGTTGTTGTTGTGTTGGATCGAATACAGTAACAGAAGGAGAGGATGTAGAATTGATGGATACTGTGGTTGCTGTAGGAGGAAAAGAAATTGTAGATGGTTGGCTCGTTTGACGTTTATATGTCGATGTGCTGTTTGTGTTATTATTATTATTCTGTTGTGTCGACGATGGAAGAGTAACTCCGCCATTAGTATTGGTATGAGAAGATAGATTAGTAGACCCATTGACACTATCAAGAATTTTCGTCATCATTGTACCGAATTCTTGCGCATCGAGTTTCGAGGCAAAGTTAAGACCATAAACAGACGACTGATCACGCCATTGATGGAACGTAGGTGTTGCTTGATTATATTTAATCCCTTTGCTTATTAGATGATTTAGAACTACTTCGTGATCTTGAATTTGCCGGCCCACTATACGATATATTTGAGTGTCTGGTGTGAACAGGATTTGAATCTTCGCTGGCCCATTCGATGCACAATGTATCCATTTCTTTTGTGCATCATTGTAAATCATTGCTGTTGCTTTACAATTTGTTAAAACTTCTTCACGTGTACTAGCACCTACCATTATTGACGTGACTTCGATATTCTGTATTGATGACGATGATGAATTACTTAACGTTGATGTGGACGATACGGGCTAACAGATAGAGAAAAATAAAAAGAAATATATAGTTCATTGATGTCATCTTTCGTTTATGTATTAGATTAGTGTTGACAAGTGTCTTATCAGTTGTACCTTCGGAAGAATTCTTAAATTTGATGATGAAGCTGCA